ACTCATTCTCATGTCTGCATCTAGCGCGCCTTGAGTTCGAGATCGGAAGCTCGCCGTCAATCTGAGTACAATGTCTTCCCTCCCCATAGCGTCGACTATGTATTCTGAGCCCCGTTTCGCTTCCCTCTTCACCTTGCTCATGATCTGACCTATTCACACACTCTCTTACCATCTTGTTTGGTTGTGGACCTCACGACTTTGTATCCTTGCTATTCTCCGAGCCTCATTATCCTGACACTTTATCCATCTTCCAATCCACCCGTCTTTCTCTGCTCGAGTTCTGCCATCCTCCGAGTGTTCTACTGGTCAACTCACCGTGTCAAGTTTGTGCATCCTCGCTCGAGTCGAGCACCATGCCTCCGTCTCATCTGCCAACCCCAAAGTCAATCACTCGACTGCCGTATTGCATTGCTCGAAAGTCTGTTGCTCGTATGCTGGCATTACCTGAGCACTCTTCATTGTGTGCCTTCTCTGATTCCATGAGCGCTCCGTCTCAACACAAATTCCGTGGGCGCTCCGTTGCTTGCCACATCTCACCAAACAGGCAAGTACGAGGTGGTGAGACACGGGTTGATGGGGCCGCTTGTGCACGAGTTGATGAGTCCGCTCACGCACGAGGTGATGCGTCCAAGCTTCGCACGCCACAGCGGCGATCAGCGATCAATATTCTGCTACAGCGTGTTGGCTACGTCTTTGCCTTACCATACTCCTTCATCTCTCTCTCTCCTCCTTTGTCTCGCCTTCCTCCTTCCTCCTTTCTCCTCGACCCACCCCAAGCTCACCATCTACCTCGGCCCACCCTCCAACTTGCCAACACAACCGCTCGCACCTGCGTAAGGATCAGCATGCTGCCCTCGACACGAGACAGCTCGATGGCGATACCAGGCGTACGAGAGCACAGCGACACTGCGAGCGAGGCACGAGGCGAGCACGAGCAAGAGCGACGAGAGAGCATGAGCAAAACCGACGAGAGCACGAGCACGGCTCAACGAGACGAGTACGAGCCCGATCCAGGGAGACGAGCACGAGCGAAGGCCGACGAGATGAGCACACGAGCGAGAGAGCCAGCGAGTCGTAGACCGCCGAGGCGAGCGTGACCATCGACGGGATTGGCGAGACGGCGGACCGCGATACGGAACGAACGCGGGGATGGCGGGCTTTGCGGTGCGTTCGGTCAGCATGCGACGAGTAAATGGAAAGCTTACGAGACTGGTAGCATTTTCGAGATGCACGGTGGCGCCGAGCGCACGAGTTGAAGACGGCGCGGCTCCGGCTTACCCCCCATCGCAGCAGCCCGGACATCGAACGCGGGCGTGATTCATCTCATGCACACCATCCTATCTCAGTCCATACGCGGGACATCTACATAAACTCGCTCGGTGACTACCATCAAGCTCCGAGCTAATCGCGGACGCGCGGTGAGTGAAGATGCGGGTACTGACGCGGGGCCTCTCCCCTTCCGTTCCCCGTCCTTGCTCTCCCCGCCTCCGTTCTCCCCTCGGCTCGGGAGAAGGGAGGAGGGGAGAGGGAGGAAGGGGAAGGGAAGGAGGAGAGGAAGGGGGAGGAGGAGGAGGGGAGGGAGAGGTACTCACCAGAGCCAAACCCGCCCTGTCGGATGGCCGAAACCCCAGAGCTTAACCGCTCGCTCCGCTCGCGGACGTGCGCTGGCGCGCAAAGGGGGGATGGAGCTCTGGGCCGGGCGAAAAAAGTGGATTTTCGGGAATTGCCGAACGGTCTTTTGGGGGAGGGGTAGGCGGGCGCGGCTAGGGTAGGCGTAGGCGTAGGCGTAGAGTGAATACGACGACGAGGAGGTGGACAAGGCGCGAATGTGACTTGTGTGCGTGTGTGATGTGACTGCGGAAGGTCGGCGCGAGTCGCCGGTGACGAGATGGCGGGTTGGCGGGGACGTGCGTCCTGCGATCGTGGGGGAACCCGAGCTGTCATGCAGACGCGACCCCACCCAAGAAGGCATGCGACTGCGATGCAATAGCGGAGTGGGCCGATCTCTGACGGTCAGTCCATCCCTCCCATCACACTCACAATGCCTGCTCAAGCTCAAGCAGACGGTCGCGTTGGCTCGCGCATCGAGAACTACAGCAAGTTCTGGCAGAAGGATATCAATAAGGAGGGCGATGTTGACACGGACAACCGTGTCGACAGCTATCAGGACGTCGTGAACGGTGCGTAAAACGCGGTCGACACGAGGACATTGCTCACGCCGCGCGCGCAGGCTACTACGACGGTGCTACGCAGCTGTACGAGTATGGCTGGGGCCGCTCCTTCCACTTCTCTCGCTTCTACAAGGGCGAGAGCTTCGCCGCGTCGCTCGCCCGCCACGAGCACTACCTCGCGGCGCAGATGAACCTCCGTCCCAAAATGCGTGTCCTGGACATTGGCTGCGGTGTCGGCGGCCCGGCGCGCGAGATCGCTCGCTTCGCCGACGTCGAGATCATTGGCCTGAACAACAACGACTTCCAGGTGCGTGCGTGCGCCTTAGCCGTAGACCACGTCTAACCTCCGCCGCCAGGTCGCACGCGCACGCCAGTACACGAAGGAGGCCGGGCTCGAGAACCAGGTCAAGTTCGTCAAGGGCGACTTCATGAAGCTCGCGGAGCAGTTCGGCGAGAACGCGTTCGACGCCGTGTACGCGGTCGAGGCGACCTGCCACGCGCCGTCCTTTGCGGGCGTGTACGGCGAGGTGTTCAGGGTGCTCAAGCCCGGCGGGGTCTTTGGCTGCTACGAGTGGGTCATGACCGACGCCTGGGACGCGAGCAACCCGGCGCACAAGGCGCTCGCGCACCAGGTCGAGCTCGGGAACGGCATCCCGGAGATGCGCCCGCTGCACACGGCGCGCGACGCGGTCAAGGAGGTCGGCTTCGAGCTCGAGCACGAGGAGGACCTGGCGGAGCGCGACGACCCGGTGCCGTGGTACTACCCGCTCGAGGGCGACATCAGCAAGGCGCAGACGCTGTGGGATCTCTTTGTTGTCTGGCGCATCAGCCCGACGGGCAAGTTCGTCACCCACTACGGCCTTAAGATCATCGAGATGCTCGGCATGGTGCCCAAGGGCACGCACGACGTCGGTGAGCAGCTCAAGGTTGCGCAGGATGCCCTCGTCAAGGGCGGCCAGACCAAGGTATGTCCCTGCTCTTCGTGTCGTTCGCTCCTGCTCATCGTTGTCCTAGCTCTTTACCCCCATGTACCTGATGATCGCCCGCAAGCCCTCAGCATAGAGGCTTTCCGGCACGGTGTTTCTCTCCCTCGACTCTACCTTTACTATACCCTATCTGCTCAGTCGTCCCTAATGTGCGTAGACATGGCATTGGATTACTTACCTTTACACATCCGGGTTGCCTACTGGCTAACAAATACACATTCCTTGAAAACACTCAAGAGCGTCTGACGACCGTAAAACGTGCTGCCACCAACCCCGGCCGATCTTTTCATCCATCCGCGGCGAACGCGTCGGCCCTATTCGGCTTTCGTCCGACCTGTGACCATCGCGTTGGCCGCGTGAATAGAGCCATCAAATGACTCCACGTCTATAGAAGCGTCGTATAAAGGGGACGCTAGTCCAGGGTACAATGACTGGTCACCTTGCGCCGCTCCCCCATCATGTCCGAGAAAGAGCGGAATAGCACCCCGACGGAGTATGACAAGAGAGACGTCCGCGTTGGCGATGAGGAAGTCGCTGGATCGAGGATAGCTGACCATGCGGAGGAGAGGCGTCTGGTCCACAAGCTGGACAGGACAATTATCCCTCTGACCTGTCTGCTGTACCTCTTTGCGTGTACGTAGTACTTGGTTTGCTTACCTCCGAGTAAACGTCCTGATTCATTCGCCAGACCTGGACAGGTCGAATCTCGGCAACGCCCGTCTGCAAGGTCTTCCAGAGGACGCTTTGCGCGGCGACCCAACGGGCGAGATATTCGACTGGGTGAACTCAGCCTTCTTCTTTTCCTATGTGAGTTGCTGCGCTTCACCATCCATCCTCGTACGCTCACAGCCTACAGATCATATTCCAGCTGCCCAGCAACCTCTGCTCGAAGCTCATAAAGCCACGTCTCTTTATGGCCGCCTCCGCCGTCGGATGGGGGACGGTGTCGACGCTCATGGTACGCGTGGTCCTGAAGCAGGCACTTCGTTTGATGCTCACCATTTGCTGACCTCAGGCTACCGCGTATAATTCGGCCGGCCTCATAACAGCGCGCGTCTTCCTGGGCTTCTTCGAAGCCTGCTTTGGCCCCGCAATTCCGCTGTACTACTGTGAGATCCACAATTCCGAGGGCTAGACTCGACGCTGACTGTCTTCGACAGCACTGTTCTATACAAAGCATGAGACAGGGTTGAGAGTGCGTTCCCGCCTGCTCAGGCTACAATGGGGAATTAGCAATTAACTGACCTCTCAGATGGCCCTCTGGTTCGGTTTTGCCGCCGTAGCAGGTGCCTTCGGTGGGCTTATCGCATACGGCGTTCAGCAAGCGAGCATACCTTTCTCAAATTGGAGGTTGCTTTTCATTGTTGAAGTACATCCTCCAACGTTTTGCATCAGTTTCTGTCCTGCTGATCAAGCACCATAGGGCATACCCACCGTCCTTCTGGGCTTCCTCACTTTATGCCTGCTACCCAACAGACCAGAGTCGACATCGTTCCTGAATGAGCGCGAGCGTAAAATCGCCATTGAGCGGATGAATCGTGGGACGAAGGCAGATGTCGGGCTGACAGTCAACAAAGGCGAGTCGACACTTCTGAAGCAGATTTGCTTTGGCACTGACGGGATGGATATTCCAGCCCACGTACTGATGGGTCTGAAAGACTGGAGGGTATACGCCGGCGGCGTCATCTTCTTCGCCATGAACTGCTCCCTGGCTTCCATCACCGCCTTCCTGCCTACTTTTATCAAAAGCTGGGGATACAGTACGTTTCCGCAACTTTTATCCCTTTCGCCCACACTCACCCCTCATCTATCTTACTCAGGCAACGCCACCGCCCAACTCCTCACCGTACCCCCTTACGCCGTCGCCGCCACCGTTCTCACCCTCCTCTCCATTGCCTCCGACCGCCTTCAATCCAGAGGGACCTTCATGGCAGGAGCGAGCGCCTTGGGAGGCGTGGGCTATGCCCTCCTGCTCAGCGTTCACGATAACAATCGCGTGAAATATTTCGCGGCGTTCTGTATATGCTCGGGGACGTATACAACGATTGGAATCATCATCGCTTGGTGTGCGTGGCTTAAGTAATGAGTGGTGAAATTGGCTAACTCGCCATACGCAGACGCCCACAACCTGGGCTCCGAGTCAAAAAAGGCAACCGGAATTCCGATGTTTATGGCCATCGGGCAGTGCGGCAGCGTCTTGGGCAGCCACCTATTTCCCTCAAGCCAAGGGCCTCATTACACGTGCGCTCCGCTCTTTTCTCATCCTCTCTCTACTTCGTCTCCTGACGCTGTCGTAGAAAAGGCTTCGCGGTGTCCTGTGCCCTCGAGTTCCTCGCCGTTCTGTGTATCGCTACGCTGTCGGTCAGTCATGCTGTCCTCTCGCAGAGGCTGCCTTTCTCTGACCCTAGAACCATTGCCCAGATATCGTATCGTCTTGAAAACCGCGCAAGAGACAGAAAATACGGCAAGCCTATCCCAGACGCTTCCGTGGACACAAGCGTCCTCGCGGACAAGGTGTGCACAACTCTGCCGCTGACGATGGCGCCAGGACTGACAACACCCTCCACAGGCGCAGAACTTCCGCTACGTACCCTGATACAACTTGATCATTGGCGCCCTCTACCCAAAATTGCCGTCGATGGTGTCAAGCTAAGACGTCCTACGAGCTATACGATTATTCACCGCCATGACTGCATGCTGTAACGACGCGTATACAAGCTCAACAATAATTACGAATGTGCAGGGGGATAGGCATAACGAAATGATACAATAGCGACGATGGTCCGGGAAGAGTGCTCCAGTGCTCCTTCTGACTGCGATGTGGACGAGACTTGTGTATGGAAAGCCAAGAAGTGAGCGAGATATGCAACGAAGTATGCGAGGGATACCAAGAAGATCGTCAAATCCAGAGCGAAACGTATGCGTACGTATAGGGAGGTAAAAGCCAGGAGAGGTCACAAAAATGCAAGAAGGCACATGCGGAAATAATTGGCCACTCATTGGCGGGACTCGCACCGCGCGCGCTTAGCGTCGGGCTCCCCGCTAACCTCCAACGTTCCGAGCGGCTGCCGCACCTGCTGGTTCAGGCCCATGCCCACCCCAGGCGCCGGCCGGCGGTTCGTCTGATTATGCCTGGAAGAGAACACGTTAGCTTGATAATCCACCAGATACAGCCTCTCGAACGCTTATACTCACCCTGATATCGCCTCCGCGCCTCTCTTCACACCCGCCACCTGCTGCTGAGCCGGCCGGAACCCTCCCACCCCTGTCGACGACGACCGCGAGCCAGAGGACATCGTCGCGCTCCCGCTGCTGTTGCGCGCGTGCTGACCACCTGAGCGCGCAGCCTTCTCCTTGTCCTGCGCAATCGCCGCCTCAATGGCGTTGAGCCGCGCCTGCCGCTCCTGCTCGCGCTTCACCGGGTCAGACTCGCGCCGTTGGGGTCCGCGCTGAGGGCCGCTGGATGGTGCGCGCTGAGGCACGTGTTGGGGTCCGCTCGGTGCTACACGTTCCGTCTTCACCGGTGCAGCCTGCTCCTTCGAATCAGCCGCGAGCGCGCGCTCGATAGCGGCAAGCCGGGCGGCCCGCTCCTCTTCGGAGGATTTCCGAGGTTGAGGACGCTGCTGCTGTGGCGAGCGTTGCGGTTGCTGAGCCTGCGGAGGGCGTTGGTGAGGCTGAGGCGCCGCATTACGCTGCTGGACTGGGGACGCGCTCCGTTGCTGCTGAGGTTGCGGTGGCTGCGGCGCGTCCAAATCACTCGCACTCGGCCCATCCTCCGCCAGCGGCGTCTCATCTTCGTGCAACGGTCGTCCCTCGTCATCGCCGATAGGCGCACCCACACCCTCGAGCCCGCTCACCAGGTCCGCAAAATCATCGTCCCCATCAAAGTCGTCGGACATAGCAAGCGAGGGGGACGGAGCAAGGGGTCGGCGTGGAGGTGCAGGAGCAGGCGCGGGTGCTGGTGCGGGGATTGGTACGCGGGCCGGTGGGGGTTGCTGCGGCTTCGTGTCCGCGGGACGAGCATGCGAGGCGGAGGAAAACCCACTCGGGTGTGCGTTATGGTTGTTGTGTGCTGGGCGAGATGAGGATGAAGAGGATGAAGCTTGCTGGGGCGGACGTTGTTGTTGCTGTGGCGCATTGGCAGGTGGAAGAGGGTGGGAAGGACCTGCTTGATTGGAGGCGCCAGGGTACTTGTCGGAATGGTATAACGTGCTGTCGTCGTATTGCTCCTTGGGGACCTTGGGCTTCATCTTCGCCACCCTGTCTGTGTAGGACTTGTCGTATAGGCAGTTTCCCACCACATTGCCGAAGTGCCTCAGCGCGCGCTTCATTCCATCCGTCACAGCCTCCTTCTTAGCCTGAAAATTCCATGAGTAAGCCCCCATCATCCCAACACGACACACACCTTATCCAATGCCTGGCCCTTATTGGGCATATTGTCCGCCTGCCCGTACCCAATATCCTCGTGGAACGCCCCGTCCCTCAGCGTTACCCTCAGGATCGACGTCACCCCCGTGCTAAACCGCCCACTCTTCGTCTCATCGCAGAAGTCGACCGTCAGACTGATCACGTTCGTGCTCCAGCCGTTGAACCCGAAAACCTCGTTCGCGAGGTTGATGATCTGCCAGCCCGCCGTGTACGTGAGCTTCGAGCCGCCGCCGCCGGGCCTCGTAGAAAGATATTCGGGCCCGAGCTTCTGATTGAGTTTGTGCTGCAGCGCCTGGAGGTTGAATTGCGAGTCCGTGGTTAGGCCGCCGGTGTAGCGTGCCATAGGCGCCGCGCTGGCCTCCCCCGTCTGATCGTGCAGCTGTAGCGCGCTCCCGTGCGCGTTCGCGTTAAACGACATGTTCCCCGCCTCAACCACGTTCGCCTGACTTGGGATGAAGGGAAGGGGTTGCCCAAATGGTCCTGTGGCGCGCGCCTGTTGCTGCTGCTGCTGATTCTGCTCGAATGCGTGGACCAGATGTCCGCTCAGCGCCGCGGCCGACCCTTCCATAGAAGTCCAGAATCCCCAACACCCAAGAAACGCGGACGCGGTCCGAAGAAAGTTGTCAGTGGTGATGGTTTGGGACAAAGAGCGCAATATGTCGGCGTTTGCCTCGAGCTTGTTCCCAATTGGGATTTCGGTCAGGTGACCGCGACGCCTCGTGGACAGTAAACAATGCCAGATCAACTGGACTTCCATTGTCCGTCACTATTATGCAACCTTGTCGACCATATGTATGACCCATGAGCATGGATATAGTGGCTGTTACGTAGCAGTTTCGAGGCTGGTTCCCGAGAGGTGTTCACAGAAACAGAACAATGTCATTATGAGTCTGAGCCGCGCGCTATCGACGAGATTTACGCAGCTTGACTGAGTAAAATTATCCTAGAGCAATAGGCGGTACGTAAGAGGGGCATAAATACAACAATCTGGGGTCATAGCATCTCGGGAAGCGGGAAAGGCATGAATGTCCGATTATGTAGGTGCTACAGCGCGAAAGGGCGAGCTATGCTATTATATTGTCCGAAAGGGCCATTCGCGCAATAGCATCATGAAGTACCTACCCTTGAGAAGAGGTGTCTGATGGAGAAGACGAGTTTCCGCCGCGGCGCGTGCGAGGTTGCTTCCGGTACGTGACGCGGATGCCCGCATCGTATAGGGCCTATGAGACGGTGTCAGGATGACGGTACATGGAGCCGCGATACCCACCTTCGTGATTTTCGTAGACGGTGGCAGAGTAGGCGCCTCCTTTGTTGGATACATAGTGAAGGTGCCGCCGGTGCACGACGCTCGGCATGGAGAGGTTCCACCCATGGATCCTGGAATGAGACACATCCCCGCCAGGTCGAAGACACTGTACTGCAGATAGAACTCGCCCTCCAATTGGACGGAAAGGTCCTGACGGTGCTTTAGAAAAGACCCCATCTCGGCGATGAGAACGACCGACCGTGAACGGAAAGACAGACATCTGTACGCCGTCGAGCTCAATAGTCCTTGCGGTCACGACCTTCCCGCCAACCAGCTTATCCGTGAGGTCGCGGTCCTCCTGCGGCGTGGGATGGAACAGCCGCGGAGGCGTCATAGGTCCATTTGCGTAGCCCGAGGGGCCGGGCCAAACGTCGGTGTCTAAGTCGTGATTTGGGAATGGCGCTTGTTGTTGACAGAGGTAGCCTCCCGAAGGCGGGGGAGGCGCAGGCACAATGCAAGGGCTTCTGGCCGAATACATGCGAGCGATACACGTGTAGTCCGACGTATCGATAGTGCTGGCAAGAAGAAGCCGTAAAAAAAGGCCGGAGGGCTCAGCAACACCCACACGTACCTCGTGATCTCGCGCACTGGGTAGGGTGACCCTGGCGAGGGAACGACGGCTTCGAAGACCCGGAGCCTCACGACGGGTGGCGGATCAAGCGGGCGGCGGTCCTTGCTCGCGTACCTAAAAAGAGAGAATAAAAACATCCGGCCGTCAGAAAAATTATTCCCGCCAGCAAGGGACTCGCACACGCACTTCCTGCCCAAGAGTGGCTGCTGAATCTCCTGAATCTCTGCATACACCGTCGGCACAGACGACTGGACGTCTGTGAAGTACGCGGTCCCAAGATCGGGCATGGGCCCGCCAGTTTGGCGAGATCCGGCCACATAGTTGATGCTGCTGATGTTCTCCTGCGCCGACTCAGCGCTATTGCCCCTAGGGTACGCATATGGCTGGTCGCTGAACATCGTATCGACGTGGATGGGTGCAGATGGGCAGCGGGGACGTGGCGGTCATAGACCGGAGGCGATGGACAGGGAAAACGTGCTACACCCGAATTTCGCGTTGGGCAGTAATTAAAGGGTTCCGGCACGAATGCACCTTATACGGCCACTGAGCGATCTGTATAGCGGCGTCCGGCGCGGCAGATGCCAGAACTCTATAAGATCGATGTATCGCGCGCCCAGAAGTCGAAGTCGGATAAGGACGCCGGTGCGTATGTTACCAGGAGTGGGCGTAAGCTCCGCGAGGAATTTGTCCAGCGGGAGCCAGGGACGAGGAGAGGAAACAAGCGCGAGTAGAGGCCGTGGGACCTATGTACTGCTGTGCGGTCTGGGGATGTGCTCATTAGCTGTCACGACCATGTCCGCAGGAACTGAAAAGGGCGCGCACAAAGGTTCCATCGCCCGATGGTATCCGGGAGTACCAGCCCTCGCGCGCGTAGATCAGACACGGGGGTACTCGCTGGTCCCTTCCCGAGCGGCGTCGAAACGCGGATTCTGGAGGTTGCCTTGCCCCGAAAGACGCTAGCTGTCATCATGTCACGAGTCGGAAGGGATTTTCTGGAGCCCCGTGGACAGCCGTTTCTTTGGAAAGGGAATGAGCATCTTGGATCTCACGGAGAGCCTGGCATGCCCACATATCTCTTCTGGCGGCTGGCGCAATAAAGTCCTTCGAGATCGAAACCAACAGCCTTGGTGGCGGCGGACAACCTCTCGATCCGGACGCGTCGGTCCGGCTTGTTGACGTGATTTGCACAGGGTCCCATTGTCCCACGGTGACTTGTTCTCTCCCGCCATCGCCTCCGAAATGCAAGCTCGCCGACTTGAGACGGTACTCTAAGCTCTCCGCGCTCGTGAATACAAAAGTTGCGAAGCCGAGCCCAAAGCAGCAGCAGGGACATGCCCATCCGTGCCCCAACTTCCGGAACTAGAACAATTCAATCTATCGCAGCGCAGCGGCCCTCTGATGCCAGCATCTCTCTAATGCCGCACAACCTTGTGTCACTATGTGGGCATCACCCCAATATAGCTAGATAGGCAATCTCCGTTCCTCGACGGGTTCCTGTGCTCGTTGCGCAGCGCGCTCGAGCAACGCTCGAGCACAAGCGAGTCTTGACTCCAGCCTCACATCGGAATATGCAACAAGCTATCAAAATTGAATGGCACGCTGCCTCGTTCCCCTTAAGGCTTACGAAGAACTTCACGGTCCCGCCGAAGGCAGCCACAGCTCGTCCGCAGCTGCCAGGCGGCTCTCGAGCCCAATCCAGTCCTGATCTCCTCGTCCGCCTTAATATGTTCATCTGGCTCATACCCTCGAACTGGCGGCGCAACAGTCGCGGAAGCATCACCAGCACATGTCGCACTGAATACGACGTGGTCAGCGGTACTACGGCCCACCGCGAGGGAGTCGGCTGGTGGGCGCTCGTACGCGGCTGGTGTGCGCTCGACGCGGTTGAGGTGCTCCCGTGCGCGGTAGATGTTGGCGCGTGCTCGGCTCGTATGTGCCCAGGCTCGCACGGTCTTCTTCTAAGTCCAGCGCAAGTCCCTCCGCAGACGCGCAAGGGGTTTTGCGGTAGGGGCTGCTCAGCAAGCGATACTCGGAATTTCATGTCGGGCTCAGCGTTTTCCCCTCGCGCAGCTTTACAAAGGCCGAGCGGGCTGCCGTGGTCGGTGCGAGGGGTTGTTCATGGCTGCTGGAGCGGGACGGAGGGCAGGTCGGAGCTAGCTGTTAGTCAACGTCCTTCGAAGTTCATCCCGTCACCCGGAAAGGTGCGCTGCATTCTGCATTGGTTTCCTAAGCACTAGTGTCGGCTTCCTGCGGTGACTTGACCGATAATACTATAAGACAGCTTGCACGATGGTCTGCATACTTTGCACGAGGTGCTACATATCCTACCGCCATAATTTTCCTCACCTACAGGTCGAACGCAATGATATATGTAGCAGGTCGAGAGAGCTCGGTGTCATCCTGACAGGGATCTGGCTCTGCCAGAAGGTGCCTTGTCTTTCTCTTCCTTCTCTTAAAAGGTCCCCTTCCGAACGCACTTCACCCTCATTCAGAGGACCCTGTCGCGGCCATTGGCGTTGCCACCCTTGTTCCTGCTCAAGTAATTTCAGAGATCTGCACATGTAGCGCTAATGCACCATCTAGGCCTCACTAGTACGCTTTGCGGGATCTGACAGCACGACGATCAGGGACATTTCGAAGTCAAAAGCCGCGTCGAAAGTTCAACTTCGATCACGTGCACCGCGGCAATCCCCGACGCACGCGACGCGGAAGCAGATTTGCTCCCGTTGCCAGCCCTCGCCGCTTGTCTTTCGACACCACTCTCGCCTGGCTCACCACGAATCAATTGAAGTTCTCTACTGTTCTCACTAGCGAAGGGGAACTGTGACTACTTCAGGGAGGAACTCGTGTCTACCTCGGCTACGAAGGATTTCCCTGGTGATAAGAATGGGTACGACGAGTCTCGTGGCCCGGTTCTTCGTGCGATTCCGCGGGAAGAGAAGAGTGCGGTGCAGGGTAGAGCTTTGTCAGTGCTCTCAGCGCTGGGGTATATGACGCTGGCGGGCTTGCGTCCAATGTCCTCCTCTTCCACCACGCTCTTTGCGCCGCCTAGCGCACCTTGTTCCTCGAGCACGTCAACCGCGAACCCGTTATGTCCAATGCACCAAACGGTATTAACGCCCCAAAACTGGGTCAGAACGTCGCGCAGCCCAATGGCATTCCGCCTCCGCCCTTTCAGCTTCGGGTAAGTATCTTAATTAAGTGTTTGCAACGTCCCTCGCAATATATTGCCGTCACTTGCGATACCGTCACAGCGCCTTCAGCGCAATGTTACCATATAGAGTTTAAGCGCCTATATTCAACCCTTGATCTGCCGTCTCCAGGTCCCCGACACGCACGACGTCGTTACGGACAATATTCTCAAGTTGAATACCCTGATTGACAACCCGTACGGCGTCTCGTTTCTCCTCTCGACGTGGTCGTCGGATACTGATGAAATGACATTCCATCTCCCGCCGCAGTCGCCACAAGTTTCTCATGGACAAGCTCGTCGAGCATTTACATGCCTTTGCTAGGGAGACGAGGTGGGTTTCCAGCCGTTAGCGCAATCAGCATGGGCACTGCTTCCACAACACTGCCGCGTCATCCACCATTCACTACCCGCCATACATACCCTACCCGTCACACAGAGGCTAACTGCTATCTGCGCTATCATCTGACCTGATCGCCCTTCTCCCAGCCTGACCACCGCCGAATGGCAATCCACCATCAAGTTCCTCACCCGCACCGGGCAGACCTGCACGCCGCTCCGGCAGGAGTTTATCCTCCTATCGGATGTGCTGGGGCTGTCGGCGTTGGTGGATAATCTGAATCATCCATCGGGCAGTCAGGATTGTCTACCGGACGGAAAGCTGAGGGCGACGGACCATACGGTGCTGGGACCTTTCTTTACGGAGGACGCGGCGGATGGTGAGTCTGAGCGAGGGTCTTCGGACGGGTGTGGGCTGGAGCTAACGCGTGTTCAGTTCTCCTTGGAGAGTCTATTGCTTCGGAGGGCAAGGGCGAATACCTCTTCGTCGAAGGCCGCGTTCTGGATACGGGCGGTCATCCTGTTTCTGGCGCGGTCATAGAGACGTGGGAGACGGACGAGAATGGTGCGTCCCCTGGTCTTCATGTCGCCATCCATAACCTCGCATCCAATACATACCTACCACCCCAAAGGCTTCTACGACACTCAATACGCCGACCGCGAGCACCCCGACTGTCGTGGTCGCCTGCGCTCTGACGCCGAGGGACGCTACAGCTTCCGCGCCGTCGTTCCCGTGCCGTACCCCATCCCCGGAGATGGCCCAGTGGGTGAATTATTGTTGGCTCTGAATCGGCATAATATGGTGAACGCTTTCTTGTCGCACTCCTTAGGCTTAGGGTAAGAATAGAAGGCTGACGAAAAGAACCCAGCGCCCCGCACACATCCACTTCATGGTCACGGCGCCGAAGATGGAGACGCTGGTCACCGCCATCTACCCCGAGGGCGACACATACCTGACAAACGACGCGGTGTTTGGAGTGAAAAGGTCGCTTGTTGTGGTACGTGCCGTCCTGCCCTTCGCTTCCACGCACCGTTTTGCTTAGCTCTTGTGATGTTCTACTGCTTCCGCCACTCAAACTGACCGCACTTTTACAGCACTTCGACGACATCACCGATCCTTGTGAGGCCAAGAAGCGCGGCATCCCGGATGGAAAGCCCTCTAAGTTGCTGCAATTCGATATCGTGCTCAAGGAGGATGAAACCGTTCAGCCAAAATCGCACTTGTGAGGGCAAAGCACCAACGTCGCCTCAGCTGCGGGTGTCCTCCAAGAGCCCGAAGCGACTTGACCAGAAGGCATGCACACCTCTCAAACGAAGGGATCACGAATTCGATTGGGACCGAAAAGAATGTACAGTAGCTCTATATACGAAACCATGCTAGGAAACGAGTGTACAAAGTCATATACAAGTGAGCGTCTTGCCGCGATAAATAGGATATAACGTACGGCTGTAGATGAAGTCGGAATAGATACCTGCTCTCACGCATTGCTCGTAACATCGCCCCACACCGATCACCCTGCCTCCCACCAACATATTGTCACACCGTCGCCCCCCTCTCATTCCACCTCTCATGCCTCCCCGCATGCTTCCTATACCTCTCCTCCCACCCCTCCACCCCCGGCTTCGCCTTCTCCAACCAGTTGATGCGCTTGAAGAACCTCTCAATCGGCCGCCCGTTGTAGTAATTGTGGCCGCCTTTCGGGTAGGTGGGATCGGTAGCGCGTTCTTGAACGTCGAACAAGGTGCATTCGGCCTCGGATTCGGGCACGCGGTAAAGGTGGTCGTCGGTGAGGTAGAAGGGTGTCTGGGTGAAGTGGCGAAAGCCGAAGGCGAGAGATGGGAGGGCGGGAACGCCTGCAGGGTCTATGAGTACACCAAGTGCGCACGCATGGAGGCAACACATACCGTCATTGAACGCCTTTACAAAGTACTCCGTGAACGAATCCTCGCCGTGCGCGAGCCGCCGCGCCTTCACAAGTTCTTTCCAGTACTGAGCAAGCGCCGCGTCCCCTGGCCTTGGTGACCCGAAAGCGCAGATCTTCAAGCGTATGTCCGGATCCGGCAACACAGACTGGTCCGCCAACAGGTCAAGCATCAGCAGCTGACTGACCACACCCCCCATTGAGTGCCCAGTCACGACCAGTTCTCCCACGTCGGGGAACTTTGCGAGCGCGTCCTTGAGCGCGTCAAACGCACGTGACCTCAGCCCCTTGTACAGGCGCCAGAACCCCTCGTGCGTCTGCCCACGCCGCGAAGGGTGCCGGTGCTTCAGCGTCTTCACGTCGTAATACGCGTGCTGTAGCGTCGATGTTCCCGAGATCGACATGATCAGCCGGTTCGTCGGCCGATGAAGGAAAATGGTGGCTGGCAGTCGTGCGACGGTCCCATGGAACGAGGACACGAGGGTGGAATCGAGGAGCGCGGTGTAGCAGTCGAAGGGGAAGCCAGGGCGGGTGAGCTCGCGGAGGTGGGCAAAGAGGAAGTTCTCGAAGGGTTTGGCGCTGTTGCAGACGTAGACGGTTTCGGCGAATTGGCCTGAGGGAGGGGGGCAGTGTCAGTTCATTACCGCGAGCTGATTGAACGGGGCAAGTGCGCATGTAGACATGTCTTCTGGGAAAGGGAGAAAGAAGCACACGCACCTAGCAGTGATAATTCCTCCACAATATCCTGCGGTACCATGTCCTGCGCTTGCAAGACATACGGGCTAGTCGTAGCCACCGTCTTCGCGATCCACCGGAAGTTCATCAACTTCTCCGCCGCGTACATCTCCTTCTGCGTCTCCGTAAGCGTGTACTTGGCCCGCGCAGCCTTCGAGGGTTTCCGTATTCTAGGGAAGCTCATAGATCGTGTCGACTCCAATGATTTCGAGGGCTTTGTTGGCTCCTTCGCCTCCTTGTCGTAAAGCGTCTGCGAGGAGCTCGACGCGGGCATTTCTGAGGGTTCTGAGACTTCGAGGGCCATCTTAAGGTGATTGTCGGTGAGATGATGGTGGGGGCAGAGGACAAGATGGGTATGTAGCTGACTGACACTGTCCCTTCAGACGCTTGTGGCACTCCGGCAGGAACAGCCCAAGTCCCGCTTTCGCGATCGTGATGACACAGCATCGGCCCGGAAATGAAGTGACACGGTCACGTCACACACGAACATCAACCGCTGAGCCTCTCAAGCTGTACTGCAACTTTCACTCCTTCAAGAGTGCTATTGCATGCTCCCTCGCATAGGGAGAGTACCGCGCCACCAGACAAATTAGCGGAGTGTGAGGTAGATCCTGCGCAGAAGAGCCGTCGAGCCAGGAGGTTGACCTGTGTTTGCTCGGAGGCTGCCATGTCATGAAACCTCGACCAAAGTCTGAGCACAGGCTACCCAAGTTTCGTCTATGACCATAGAAAAGTGAGGCAAAATCAGTTGTGTATCTGCTGTCTACGTCTACGGTTCCGACGTCGCAGCTTGTACAGCCACAACGAGGTTTCGACACTTGTAGATCTCAGAACTCAGGCAGATCAAGGTAATGTACACGTTTGTAGCATCACAAGAAGATATGTATATACGGAAAATACTGTATAACATGGGGGAAAATATCATTGGAAGATAGCCAACGCTCGGCGACAACTACAACAAGGTCCATGCCTATAGGCCTAGGTGAAGGTCAACGAACGTATGCATCCTCGAATAAGAGATAGACAAGGAAAAGAGCCGAGCTTGGAAAGAGGATATGGATTACTCTCAACGCCATGTATACTAGATGAAGTACTCACTACAAGAACAAAGATAAGTTAGCTAGGTACAAGGATTCGAGGTCAGTGGTCGTATCGGTATCGAAATTATGATGATTCTGTCCGTTGTCGCTTCTCCGGGCCCGCGTCCTCTCCCTCATCCTGGCTTGGCCGCTTCTGCGGCGTCGCAGGCGAGGTAGAGTCGCTCCCGTCGCTATCCGTCGGCGGCTGGGAAGACGACTGTTGCACCATAGGTGGCGGTGGTTGTTGCTGCATGATATGTGGTGGCGGCACCATCCCGTAGTACGGAAAAGGCGGCGGGTAGTAATACGGCATGACTGGCGCACCCGCTTGCTGGTCGCCGCCCCCGCCCGGATCCCCTCCGCCACCTTCCGGCATCGGCGGCGGCCCAGGCATCAGCCCAGGCAGCGGGAAGCACACCGGATAGTACCCTTCCTGTCCAGGCGGCGGGGGAGGAGGGGACGCGGACCCACCCTGCGCCTGCTGCTGCCCCTGCCACTCGCTCCCACTCGCGCCCGCCTCCGCTTGCGGCGCAAACTCCGTAAATGGCTGCTGCTGCTGGTCCTGATCCTTATTCCTGCGCTTGTACGGGCCGCGCTTGATGCCCTTCTTGCGCTCCTTGCGCTGCCCATCGACGCACGACTCGCCGAGGCCGTACTTGACGCAGCGCTCGCAGGGGCGCGCCTCGTCGCAGCGTTTACATGCGTTCGCGCAGTTCGTGCACGCGTTCTTGACCTGCTTGCGCTTCAGACGGGCTTGCTGCTGCGCGGTGAGTTGGATGGGGGCGCCCGGGGGTGGTGCGGTGATCGCAGGAGGCACGAAGGGGGCTGTAGTGGGAATTAGATTTTGAAGGGGATCAGGATAGTAACGGTCAAAGTGCATGAGCCCCTCATTGCGTGGCTCATGCACTCTGGATGTCGCAAAGATATTGGTAAACCGACGCACCTTGTCCAGGAGGTGGGGGCGGAATGGCATAGACCATACCAGGGGGTAGTGGCGGCAACATCATGATCTGCGTGCCAGGGGGCAGCCCGGGCAGAATGCCGTTCGCGTCGATAGCGATGGCGCCGCCCTCAGGAGACGGCGCGGTGTAGAAGGAGGGCGGGAATGCGGTGATGGGGGTCGCAAATGCTGGTGGGTACGTCGCGGGGTAAGCCATCGGATACGCAGGCTGCTGCTGCTCCGCGGGGGGCGGCGTCTTGGGGGGTTCCGAGGTCATCTCGACGAGGAAGCTCTGGATCGTCTACCCTGAGGGCGATCCGTGCCTACCCTGAGTGGGTGACCGCAAGGAGAGGCGCGACACAGTTGTGTAGGGGGAAGGGGGGTATCAGCGCGACCGGGATCGCGCGGTGCGTGCTTCGGCCCAGTCGTGACCGTCGCGCAGGGGCCGTATCACCGTCGGCGGCGATGAGTAGCAGTCTATCACACTATCCATGATCATTGTAAGTCGCACGAAGCAAGTCCAAAGGGCGCCGCGCACCTGAGTTGCGAATTACAAGTCCGCTTTCAACGTCCGACAGCGCGCCGCTCAAATCCTGTGCTGGACGCGGATTTCTCTCTTCAACCGTCACTGCTGAGTTTTCCTGCGTTCTTGCTTGCTGCCTTGCTGCTGGGCGCCAGGCGCGGCGACCTGTGGCCAGCGGACGTCGTGGTAGGGTTCAAGACGCTCGAGGACCAATCTCTCTGGAGACACGTGGGAATGCGCTACCTGTCGCCCGGTCTCGGGCCTTTGCCACAGCTGGACTTCTCGTCGTCTGCTGGGTTCTGAAGGTCGTCGACTTCCAGGGAACGTCTATCTGTGCTCAGAAGAAGAGGGGCTCTGGCGAAACGATTACAGATGAGGCTGTTCATATCTCTGATCTCGACGACGTTCCTCGAGTGGCATCTATCAGTTTTCAGGCCCTTGCAATCTCATCACGCCCCCCACAAGCCATCTGTGCCAGCGCTTGAGAAGTATACTCACCTGGCCAACATCATCACCCTTTGAGCTTCGCCCCGAGGGACAGTGGCGATGCCCTTTATCTCGAATCAACGGTGGCTTGCAATGCAAATCGACAAAGTGACTTCGGGGTGAAGGGGAAGTGGCCTGCCGCTGCATGTTTCTCTCCAGCTTCCAAGCCGTTCGGTAGCAAACGCAGTCGTTCTCATCCCGCTGACAACTTCTTCCCAACTTTCATCGAAACGTGACGCTCGGAGTCGACAGTAAGACGGACCTTGCGATTTAGGGCCTGTATTTATACACTGCAGCACTGGCTTTGGAACGTATCCTCCCGCACAATTCTATATCTCTCCTCTCCCTGCAGCCAGGCCTACCACAGGCTAGTATTATGCAACGATAAGTACTGTACTCCAGCATAAATAACCAAGTAAACCCAAGAACTCCTACGGATAGCGTGTTGAACGTGGAGAGCATGAAAGCATTGTTGAAGCGCGAATAAGTTAGAACGCGAAAATGCGGGCGGACAGGCAGCGTTGAGCTGCGAGCGCGTGAAGACAGCGTTGAGCTAGTCGCGGGGTCGTGGATCGTGAGGGCGTGCTCAAGCGTGGCAAGGTCGGTAAGGCCTGCGTGGTGGCTATTGAGCAGCCAGCGTGGATGGCAGCGGAGCGCCCAGGGTCGTGGTGTGTGTAGTCGTACTCACGCCTGTCGGTCTCATAGGACAGGCCATCGATCATAGATCGGAGCTGCGCGACAATTAGCGTACGGGACGACAGCGCAAAGCTATACACGCACGTTGTCGTCCCAATCGCGCCAGCCGCCTGTACCATCAGAGGGACCGATGCAAGAGGTATCCTAAACGTCGTAGTCACTTCATCGACGCTCAGTCACCATCCATGCAAATACTCACCTCGGATCAATCACTGCGGCGGCCTCCCCCTTGAACGACAATGGGGGCATCATCCCCACATACACGGGCATCGCCCGCGCAGATGCGACCGCGAGAGCGAGCAGAGAAAGCACGGTAGTGAACTGCATGACGATCGTTGACGATGGGGGAGAATAGGGATGGCGATCGGGGAAGTTCTTGCGCGTGTATCGTCTCCGAGGGCGTGTATCCAAGCCAAGTCTCGAGATGGTGAGAGCGACGGAGAGGGAAGAAGGACACAGCCGCGCAACAGGGAGGAGGGGGCAGAGCGCAACGACGCACTGCAAATTTCGGTCGCGCCATTTTATACTGTACTGTCGCGCGTTTTGCGCGCCCGGCAATTGGTTCCCTCGGGATCTGATCCGCAAAATGCCTCCGTTCCACGCGGACGGGGCGGCAGGGCGCGCTGACGGTGCGTTGCTGACCGCGCGGGTGACGAGGAAGGCTCTTGAACTTGTTCTCGAGCCTCGAGGACTTACCTGTGCACTCTCACGGAGGTTGCACACCTCCGCGGCTCCGACGAATGGAGGAACCACTTGCTGATTATTCGCTCTACTACTGGACTTCAGATATAGTAAGTACAGACCCAAGAAATAGCGGAAGGCATAGGCAAGATCGTGACAAGAGTGGAGAACATCGAATCGTGAACACCAACCAACAACGCCTCTCGCAGAACCACTAGCACTCGCACCACAACCTCCGCACCCGATGCTCATCGCCTCCTTCTCCTCCGATGCGTGATCCAAGAAAATAAGCGGAATGCAAACCCTTTACTCCTCCTCATCTTCCTCAAAGCCCGCGCCCTCGTCTCCGTAGTTCTTGAGTGGATCCTTGCGCAGAGCCTCCGCTTCGGTGGTCGCCAGAAGCGCGGCGCCAACCTTGGGCTTCATCGCGGATTCCGGGGCGGCCCTCGAGCGCGGAGACGTCGTAGTACCCTCATCCCTGTATGGCGAGATCCTAGGCGTCTGCGGAGCCTGCCTTGGTTCGTCCACATAAGGACGAATGGGCGCCGCAGGCGGGGGCATCGCTTCAGGCTCGGGATCCCTATACGGCACGATGCTGGGACCCGCCGCGGGGCGCTTCGTGCGCGAACTCTGCCTGAGCGTCGTTCCTGCCATCTTCTTCTTCGCCGGCACGTTCTCCTTCACGCGTTCCTTCCGCCCGCCGAGCTCGGGCCATGGGTTCGTCGCGGGAGCGGGCTCCTCGTCCGCGCCACCCGCGCCATCGACAAAGGGGCGAATAGTCGCGTTCGGACGCGGACGGGAGGTGTTTGCGGGCGCGCTGGCGAGCGGAGCGGTGGAACGGCTGGAGGACGTGGCGAGCGCGGTGCGACGCGACGGGCCTGCAGCGGGGGCGTGGGCCGGCGTCTCGGGAGGGGGTGCCATAGCCGCGCAGAGAATGCGCTTCTGGAATTCATGGTGCCGGCTCTTGAGGTGGTCGAGGGGCTCTGCATGGCGCGCAATGCCGAGTAGGTACACCTCGTCAGCGGCCTTGCGTCTGTGGTACGCGTCGATCGTGAGCCAAGCCCTTTGTCTTTGAGTAAAGCACCACGCACCGTCCATCCCGCTCCAGCACCGCTGCGTACTCCTCATACAGCAGCGCAAACTGCGTGCCGATCTCGTTCGCGAGCAGGAACTTGTAGATCGTCGTCGGCTTGTTCACAAAGCTCGTGTAGTGCAGCCACAGCTGCAGGTACTTCATCTCCCCGCGCCACCGGCCGTCGCGATGGTCCTTGAGCACGCGCGTCGCCTCCTCGAGGAGCTCGAGCAGGCCGGACTCGGCGTTGTGGCCCTCCGGGTAGCTTTCCATCGTCCACTTGACGAGGCGGCAGTAGGCCTCCAGCGGGTCGTCGTCCTCGTCCTCGAGCGCGACCTGCACGTTCATGCGCAGGCGTTGACGCGTCGCGGCGAGCTTCGCTTCGCGGTGCGCGTGCGGTGTCGCGAGCGCGGAGGAGAGCGCGGAGACCTTGCGGCCAGATACAAGTCGCTGAACATTCTCTTTGTGCGCCTCGAGGGTGTCGCAGTCGACGATCGTAGGGCCGTTGTCTTGAAACACGTCGTCAACGACCTCTTGGGGCATGTTAATGGTGATGACTTGAGGTACGAAGAGCTAAACGCGTTCGCCAGCACACGAAACTTGAAGGTGAAAGGCAACTTGCAAGCAGGCCAATAGCGCTATCCGGCCCGGCAGCCGTTGAGTTACAATCCAAGTTTTCCCACGAATATAGTGGATGCGATTTGGGGGAAATCATGATGAGCTTCAGCAGCGATTTTTACACATTGCTCGCCGCAGCCCTCGGCTGCCCGCGTTAATGTCCCGATGACCCTGCGTGGTATGCAATGATCTCTGTCGCTCCTATGTCAACTTCAAATGCAGGTACTTTCCCCTGTTCCGACGCGTCAAGCCAGTCGCGATCATAATGAACGCGTTAGGCCGCTTGCTCCCAACCATCATCTTGCTCCAATAGATAGAATGGACAACAGGGCCGACCCCCAGCCTATTCGCAGGCTCGACGAGAGTCTCATCAACCGCATTGCTGCAGGAGAGGTAGGTGGTGCGGCGTATAGATGTCGATGCGCAAATTCAGCACCTTTAGATCATCCATAGACCAGCGTCGGCGCTGAAGGAGCTTCTCGAGAACTCGCTTGACGCAGGCGCTACGTCAATACGCGTGACGGTGAAGGATGGGGGCATGAAGCTGCTGCAGATACAGGATAACGGATGTGGTATTCGAGTGCGTATTCCAAAAAGAAGGAACGACCTACTGCTCAACGCGCTCAGATAACTGACCTTCCTATCCTTGCGGAGCGCTTCACAACGTCGAAGCTATCTTCGTACTCGGACCTATCGCGCATACAGACATATGGCTTCAGAGGAGAAGCCCTTGCGTCCATGTCCCATGTATCCCACCTTTCCGTAGTCTCAAAGACGAAGACGGACAATTGTGCTTGGAAGTAAGCGGTCATTCCCTGCTCTGCCCTCTGTTACTCATGGCGTCAGAGCTCACTATGCAGACGGAAACCTCATACCCGCCAAACCCGGCCAGACGGCTGAACCCAAGCCTTGCGCGGGCAACAATGGCACCACAATCACGGTACGGACGCGCGTTCTCTCATCATACCTGTCTCATATTCACATTTGCATAGATAGAGGACCTTTTTTACAACACGCCTACGCGCTTGTCTGCCCTTCGGTCCGCATCAGAAGAATACGCTCGCATCCTAGACGTCATGACGAAGTACGCCGTACACAACCCCTCCGTCTCATTCGTCTGCAAGAAGGTTAGTGAATTCCTCTCTGCGCCCCGCCAGCCCACGCCGAGAAGTAGACTTACCGCCGTTCAGGCAGGCTCCCCGTCCCCTGACCTCTCCACACCTGCATCCGCCGCCTCTCCCGCAGGGACGCAGGCTATCATCCGCATGACCTACGGTAGCAGCATCGTTAAGGAACTCATTCACTACTACTACTCTTCCGGTGGCGATTCCAGTGATGCACAGGGCGAACAGAAGGAGAACGAAGACGACGACATGGACACGGAGGACGATGTGTCCCCGAAGGATTGGAGCTTCGACGCGCACTTCACCAACCCAAATTATCATGCGAAGAAGATGGTTTTCTTGCTCTTCATCAATCGTGAGTGACGTCCCGCTCCTCCTCCGTAAGCGTATACTGAGTCTCGATAGATCGCCTAGTCGAGTCCTCCCGCTTGAAACGGGCCATCGAAGGCGTATATGCGACCATACTACCGAAGGGCGCCTCGCCGTTCGTCTACCTCAGGTATGGACCTTCTTTCGTATTACGCTCGGCGCTGACCGCACGTCAGCATACAGCTCCACCCCTCCACTGTCGACGTGAACGTGCACCCGACAAAGCGTGAAGTACAATTCTTGAACGAAGAAGAGATCTTTGCGACCATTGCGGACAGCGTTCAGGAGAAGCTTGGACAGCAGGGCGGCTCGTCGCGCACGTTCCAGGTTCAAGTAAGCCCGGTCGTAGCGCAAAAGACCTGAAGTACTGAGAGAATGTAGACGCTTCTCACTGGTGGCATTCAAGAAAGCGGGAGCGTCCCAGCAAAGCGTAAAGCCCAAGATAAGGCTGCTTCAGACGACGAAGATGAAGGCGGTAGCGGCGAGGCGACTCCCATACCCCCGCGAACCACAAAACCCATCCCCTCGCACTTCAAAGTCCGCACGTCGGCCGCCGATCGAACGCTGGACTCGATGTTTCCGGTGGTGAACCCAAGTTTACGAACACAACTACCGGCCGATACTCAGCCCTTAGCGACGGCGGCGGGTACACAGCTTACGGAGTACAAGCGAACGATTCGGGAGTCGCAGTGCAGGCTGAAGTCAGTGCAGACAATGCGGAAGGAGATTGAAGCGGCGCGGCACCAACGTGAGTAGTAACAATTTGTGATGGGTTTACAAGCCGTGAAGAGCGCCGAACGCGACTGACACGGATCGTCCCAGAACTGACCGAAATCATCGAGAAGCACATCTTCGTCGGAATCGTCGACCTGACAAAGACGCTCTCCTTACTGCAACATTCGACGCGCTTGTATTTGGTCAACCATTGCTCGCTTGCGTGCGTTACTTTCTCCTACCCCAGCATGCTCATACTTCTTCCCATCGCCTAAGTCACATTTTCCTTCCGAATACTTTTGCAGCTTCCTCCCTTGCTACTTCGAACTCACTTCCTCGCCAGCGAAGAACTCTTCTACCAGCTCGGTGTCCGCCAGTTCGGTGACCTCAGTCGTATGAAGCTCTCCCCGCCGCCTTCCTTGCGGACTTTGGTGAAGCTCGGCATCAGCGCGGAGGACATTGAGGGGCAAACGACGTTGAAGCGGGAGGATATCGTCGAGGTGTGTTTGCGTTGAAATGGTGCACGATGCGACCAAAGGGTATCACGACGTTGACTTGCATACTCAGAAAATCGTCGAAATCCTCGTCGCACGACGCGATATGCTCTCCGACTACTTTTCCATGGACATTACGGAGGACGGGAACTTGGAAAGTCTACCGCTCTTGCTGCGAGACTATACCCCCAACCTCGACAAGTTGCCGAACTTCGTTATGCGACTGGGGCCTCAGGTGCATTGATATCCTTGTGGGCGCTACGCGTCTTACCCTGATCTTATTTCTGCTTCCACAGGTCGATTGGACATCCGAACAAGGCTGCTTCGAAAGCTTCCTGCGCGAGCTCGCCTATTTCTACGTCCCCGGGCCCGGTCCGTTCGCCCCACTCGGCGATGCATTCCAACCCGGCGTAGACGCAGAGAAAGCAGTGACCGGGGCAGACGAAGAAAAGACGGAGCGATGGCAGATCGAGCACGTCCTGTTCGCCGCAATGCGCAAGTACCTGGTGCCACCGAAGGCATTGCTGGAGCGGGATGTGGTGCAGGTGGCGGATTTGCCGGACTTGTATAAGATATTCGAGAGGTGTTGAGGTAAGGGTGTCGAACTTCCAATTAGTGAACGTGCACTGACTTGGCCCACAGATGGATGTGCGCAATACCATTAGGTGTATCCCATGCTTGACCTTATAGACACTGCAACCGCGCTGGTTATCCTTGAACGTGTGAACGGAGCGTTACCCGCCTTGCCAAGGAAGTACACAACGAGCCCTCGCCATGCGGCGTGAATGAAGTTTCAGTACCGTCCGCACTCTCATGAATCATGTTCTCTGACTCGGGATGACTGGATTGTCCGATATATGTGGTAATTGGCGCGCATAGTGAGTGGCATCGTCTCCTCTTCACCTAGTAGTAGCTGCCTGTGTTTGCAGCCCTTGCAATCACCTCGTCTGCCCGACCTTCGATATAGCCAAGTGAGCTTCGGCACCCTCAGAATGTTCGCCAACTGATTCTTGCCTGTGCATCCCTGCAGCATGTCTGACATCGTGCTAGACAAGGGCACCACGACACGAGCCTCGAGCGTCAAAATAACCTCACAGCATACGGTCTCTTGCGCGCACGAGGAGACCTTGAAAGGTCTTCCGTCACCCTTTCCACTCGGTCCCTTCGATCAGTTAGCTGTTCACTATCTCCCCGTCACCGTCATCTTCGTCTACGATATCACACGTTCTGGTGACAATGACCCGATTTCGTCGCCACGCCTGCAACAAGCCTTCAGTCGTTTATTGGACTACTACCCGCATCTCACCGGACGCAGACGCATCGATCCTACTGATGGGACCGTTGCAATCGACCGCTTGGGCTCTGGCGCTGCGCTGTATACCGCCGAGTGCGACGCGCCCTTGGACTCATTCCGCACGAAGTCTCCCGATGGCCGAACCCGACTCGCGATGTCCGACCTTCCTGGCTCCGGCGTGCAGCTGCTCGCTGCGTCGCAGTCGATGCTCGAGGGCGCACCCGACGATCCCCTGCTCATCGTTCAGCACACGCGGTTCGCTTGCGGCAGCGTCAGCCTTGGTTTCTGCCTGCAACACATCGTGTGCGACGTGAATGGGTGCGTCCAGTTGGCGCGCGATCTTGCGGAGATCTATCGCGGCATCAGTGTGGTGGAGGCAGCGGGTGGGACGTACTTAGACGTGGTGCTGAAGGAGGCGCCGTGCATCGAGGCCCACATCCCGGAGAAGACGCTAGGGTCCTCCCTCGAGCTGGTGAACAACTACGAAGAGGAGACTGGGCACGCAAACGATGTACCAGCGACTACACCCCCACCTCCGGTCGTTGGCAAGATTTTGCGCTTCTCCGGCCAAGAGCTCAAGGCGATCAAAGACGCTGCGACGGAAGATAAGGGTGGTGAGTGGGTCTCGACATTCGAGGCTCTCTCAGCGCATCTATGGCAGTCCGTGCACTGCGCCCGCGCGAAGCTTGACCCATCGCGCGTCGAAGGCTCTGGGGAAACGCTGGACACCTGCTCTGACCTCCTCGCGCCTGTCAACTGCCGCTCGCGCCTCAAGCTGCCCGCACGCTACTTCCCCAACGCCATTCTCTGCCCCATCGCTCGCCTGCCCTTCCGCACCCTCGAGCACGCGTCTCTCGCAGAGATCGCGCGCACGCTACATGAGATGGTGCAGGGCGTGACGTCGGAGCGCGCCGGGGGTACTCTTCGCCACATCTTGGCGCAGCCAAACAAGAGCATCATCAAGCATCGCTATCGGCATGGCCTCGGAAGCTTCGCGGTCAGCGCATGGAACAAGGTCGATATGTACAGCGTCTCCTTCAGCGACAACACGGATGGTGAACCCATCGCCCCGGTGATAGTGTCGCCTCCGTATACGCCGATCAACCTGGTGGACGGATTGGCGTTCTATTTACCAACCGAGCTCTCGCAAGGCTCGAATGACTCTGATCCCCCGATAGATGTTAGTCTTACGCTGCACGCTCCGATTTGGGAGGTCCTGGACAAGGACCCGAACTTCAGGAAGTTCAGGTCGTGATCCGGATACCAACCTGAACAGTACGCCTACGCTCTCTGGCCACGGGCATAGAAAAACATGAAAATATAGATGTCCTTCTTTCACGAATTCGGGTTCTGAGCATCTTCTGGCGCAACAGTGTTGACCGGTGAACTATTCATCTGTTTGGCCTTGTCTTGACTTGTAGGCGCATAAGTTCTGGAACTTGCCTAGACCCATGACATCACGACGCCACATAGCAACGGACTGCGCCGCCGGCACCTCGGCAAGGCTTTGGTCCCGTATTTAATCCCGCGAGCCTTTGTCCTCTTCCCTCACGATCTTCACCAGCCATTCGCGCGAGCCCACCAGTGAGTGGCGCACACAATGCTCCTTCAACGCAGACGACGCGTTTGAGCGCTTGGTAACGTACGCCAGCGCTCCCCCAGGTATGACGCGGGAGTCTCTGGGGAGGGTATGCACGGATGCTGGCGCGCCGTACGAGGGGACACCTTTGTCTCTATCGGCAGCGCACGGGATGGGGCCTATGTCTTCATCCTACCAGTGTCTCCGCTGCTATCCCTTTGGCCGCAGATGGCCGGGTTAACGGAATACCCAGGAATTGAGGAGGCGCCGTAGGACGGGTCGCGGTGTAGCAGGCGCGACGAGGCTGGCGAGAGCTGGCTATCGGCGCTTCGCTCCCTTCACGGGGCCCGCGACCTCTGCCTTGGCAGGCCGATCTTCCCGAGCACGACGAACGATGTCGAACGGGCAGGATGCCCAGTGGTCAAGGATGACCTTTCGCGCGCATACGAATGCATGGCTGCATCGTCATGAGGACCTGGAAATGGCCTCGAGGACCCGGAGTGGTCCAGGGGAATGGAATCACCCCAGGGATATGGAAAACATCCCTCGCGTCGTGGAACGAGACGCTTTCTGCTTCTGCTTCACTCCTGCTCTCCCGGAACGATCCGACATTCGTGAAGACGACAGATACTCCCCGCCGCCACTCCACTCCACCTCCCTACCACCTCGTTACACACATTCCTCCCGCCTCCTCGCGACTCGACAGTGGCACGCATGGCCATCGGGCATGCAGCTCCTCCTTGCCCGGCGCGCACGCGTCCGAGCCTTGGTCAAGGCTCACCCGACGTGGTTTGTCCACGTCGGGGACAAAGGTATGTGCGGGTCCCGTCCGCCACTCGAGGGAATGGCCTTTGTGCTATCCTTCTCGCCGGCATCTGACGGGGCCTCTGCCACATACCCTAACGGTGCATCTGATTCGGATGCATGGGCAAGGGTACCGCAGATCGGTATTCACCCTGAGAGGGTTAGTCGGGGCGGCCGCGGGAAGGGTCTCGCTGCGTCGCGGGGTGCGACGAGGCCAGCGCAAGCTGGCTATCGGCACCCCGCCTCTCGCTGGGTGCAGGCTTTCAATGCCTGTGCCCAGCGGGACACGAGGCCCCCAGACCGCGGCGCGCCCTCGGAGCGCCACGGACACCATCGGTTGTCCACGACTGATTCGGTCATCTACGAGTGCGCGCATGTATACCACGGAGGCACCCGTCGTTGGCGGGACGGCGTCGCGGTCAGGCCGCGGCGCCTAGGGCACGATCCGGCCCTCGCGCGTTGCGCATGGGAGAAGACCCTCGCTGAGGGTGATGCCTCGTTCGCTGAACGGGAAGGTGGGCCCCGCTGGGGACCACAGGGGTATGGGCACATGCTGCACGTGGAGTGGCATTGAGATACGGTGGCGGGGGCAGCGGTGGAGGACCGCTGGCCGAGCAGGCAACATATCATCCTCTTCGCTTCTGGCCTTCGGGCTGGGAGCAGCGGCTCCACGCTTGCTTCGCCGGGCGTGGATGTCGGCGGCGTCGGGCGCGAGCTCGACGCCGCCGTATCCGCATAATTTTTTTCTTCCCTTTCTCTTAACCTTCTGGTTGAATTTAGTTGCAGTACTGTAGATAAGTATGTAGTCGTAGCAGGGCTAGCGGTAGGAAGGTAATAATATGTGCTGTGAAGTGGAACTGCTGCCTACTGCTGCTCTGTCATAGCTTCTGTTAAATTGAGCTCGAACAAGGCCTTCGATTTATTGTCACCCTTTCGAAGTTGTGGGCACCGCGCTCGAACATCATGTGCCGAAACTCAACCTCGCTCGTGACCGCGACATCGCTGGCAGACGACTCGAACGCACTGATGACGGACATAGTGCCCATGCCTCACCGTCATCAACCCCTCACTGAGCTCCTCAAATTGCAAGGATTGGCGGCGCGTTGACTCGTTGTGGAGGAGGGCAGCAGCAGATGACTATGTGTAAATTCATACCGTCCCCCATTGTACGCCTCCCTCGCGGTATGTAGTCAGCGCTCGCGGCTCTCCTCTGTGCGGATGGCCAGCGCCGCCTCCGCTCGCTGTCAGTAGTGCTCCTCCTCGACGGCGTATTCATCGAGCCATCCGCAGACTCTCCTTGCGGAACATTTATCGCGGTAAGCGCCTTGTCTAAACTCAAACTTCAATCATATCCAATCAGAGCAGATACGTCGGCGCGGCGCAGCCGACTGACCCGCGCAGCTGAGTCCCTCGACTTGGTGGCTGGCTCTGGTGACCTGAACGGCTAAGTCCATGCAGCCCTGCGGCCGAGTCTCCCGAGCCCGTTGACCTCGACCACCAAGCGGCCAAGTCTATTGACTCAATGCCTGAATCCCCTGCCCTGCGTGTGGTTCGCCCAAGTCGAACATAAGACACGCGACCGACGCGTGACCGGAACCAATATTCACTGATCCCACGGCTATTTCCCCGCATTCCTCCGCTGCGGGGGTGGCGCGGGGGCAATCTCTTCGCGAAGGCCGGACGATCTCGAGGACGAACGATCCACGGTCCTTGTTGGTTGGCGACGGTGGGAAGGATGGGGTAGGGAAATAAATCATCATTTTCAGGCGTCGTCAAGTCGTCGCGGTTGACTGTACTGAAGCGCCAGCGAGGATGGGATGGGCAGGGGGTTGGCAAGGGGCAGGGGCAAGCGATCCATTCTCGAAAATTCCGAGACCGCCAGCGCAGCAACTCAAGGACGCCGAGAGCGTCTCAGGCTGGCGCGTGGTCGGTAAAGGGGATCTCTAAATAGATTCCGCAGGACAGGGACGTAGACGATGAGTGGCAGGTACGCGCCTCAAACGAACCTTGAAGGAGGGAAGTTTCCACGGTATTCCGTATATTCAATGTGTAGGAACAGTGGTGAACCTTAGGTTCATACCGTTCAGCCGCGCAGTAGGTTCAGTCCTGTCGGGATATAAGGCAGGGGCCGCCAGGAACGGGCACCCCTTACGTAAGCAGATCAAAGCCCGACCTTGACCACGTTTCCCGTCCGTCAGTGCACCCTTTTTGGTCAATGTCTTTTATACAAAGTGTAGCTACAGGTCCATACTACAGTTCCTATAAAACAAAATTGAGATATCTCAAAAATCTGGGAAGATATAAGGCAAACTCTTTTTTCGACGGAAACCGATTGAGAATGCCCCGGCGAGGCCTCTGGAAGGGTTTTCGAAAAATCGAACTCGAACAATTGTCCAGTCACGTGACCTTCCACGTCATGCAAACATCACGTGCTGCGGTTGGCGCATGCGCGGCATGTTCCGAGCATGACTCATCTGCTTCCCCCAACCATCGTGAGTGTGGGCAATGAGTACATTCGCGCATGAAACATCTGACAGACAATGGTCAGCCCAATATCAAGCGCCTGAAGCATATTCCAAAAAAATTTCCGGTCCGCCGACCCCCGCCATGGGTCGCTGTAAGTGTCGGGCGCGACATGGTTCGAACATTTGTCCAACCCTAAGGTCACGTGACATGCTTACGTAAGGGGTGCCCGTTCCTGGCGGCCCCTGCCTTAGCCGCGCTCGTGTCGCATGATAGGACCTATCGTACTTTACAGGGCATTCCATCGCGTTCTATGGCTGCAGCGAATGCCACCGGGTCCGGGCTGCCACGGCGAACCTTCCTGTAATTCGTGGTGTACGTATCGGTCAGACCAGGTCAAGGGGTTAGACGAGGTCGAGGAGGTTAGACCAGGCCAAGAATGCCGTCTTGCTCGGCGAGGTGACGAGGATGACGACGCTGCCGCACCGTACGAATGAACGATAGACGTAGCGGCATCCTTGACGTTAACGCTCGAAGAGCGGTACAGAATGACAGCTGCAGTGGCAACGGGCTCGACACTAGATGACAGCGAAGAGGTGCAGACCGCACACGACGTTCGACGATGCCGTCATTGGGGAGGGAGGTGGTCATCGCGAAGCAGATACGGTCTGCATCCGCCCGCCTGCGTGCCCACGTTCGCCCGCCTGACGGTGCACATCCGCCGCGCTGCGTCGTAGATTCGAGGGCCATGGAGAGCTGATCACCTAGGAGAAGTCATCGGCCGGTGTGCGCGCAGCAGCAGAAGCGCGAGTTGAATGAAGACTGGTGCATATTGGTTGGGGGACCAGTGCAGATGGGGTGGGGGACCAGTGCAGATTGGGTGGGGGACCGGTGCAGATTGGGCGGGAGACTGGTGCAGATTGGGCGGGGCTCGGCCTCTTGCCATTGCATGCTCATCTATGAAGAAGGAGGGTTAGTATATGGCGCGGAAGGTCCCATCTATGAAGACGAAGTCACTGCATATGAAGACGAGCTCACTGCATGTGAAGGCGTTGCTGAGCCATACAAAATGGCGGGCGTTGAGCGGGGTAAATGTCTCGCGGGATGTGAGGAATGGGGGATAGAGGGCGCCGTGGAACTGAAGGTCGGGTGCCGGGATACTGAAGGTCGGACCCACGGTACAGAAGGTCGGACCCGCGGTGCCCAACGATGAATACTGGAATAAGTGAGGGCCTCATACAAGCCTCATATGCCGATGCGCGCCGGGATGGATAGGAGAAGCGCCTCAAGATGAGGACGATGTGCGGTCTATGTCGGGGTCCGGGGAAGTGAACGGAGCGCGATGAGATGAAGGGAAGAGGTCTATAGCATAAGGGAAGAGGAGATAGCGATAGCTCACCGCACAAAACGCATCCTATTGCGATAGCGAGCGCGCGAACGTTCGTCTTGCGCGCCTCGCAACAATAGCTTTATGAATGTCATGCATTCGACCATCGCCGGCATGTATGTGGGCAGCGACACGGAGTACATGGGAAGAACGTTGCGAGAGGCGAGGTACATACGCGGTACGCCTGCCTGATCGAGGCATGATGGGCGGATAGCTGAGCGATGGGAGGATAGCTGAGCAAGCGTAGGCACAGAAGGCAGGCAAGGATCGGGCTGGGCACTGCTAGTGGGTTCGGATCCGATTCCGTTGCAAAGGAAGGAGGTACGCGTAATAGAGGTCGTATTGAAAGAGGCAGAGATCAACGAGGATGGTATTCAGCACCTAAAAAGGAAGACCTTCGACGAGGGTGGGAGGTACAGTTTGTGACCTGCGGCGCTGGTGGTTGGTAAAGACAGAGAGGGCTCGTCCAGGCTGGAGCGCGTCGTGGTGTTTGAGTCCCTGGTAAGCGGCGCCGTAGCGAGAAGAGGGTGCGCCCCCGGCCTATCTCTTGACGTACGGCGCGCCTCAATCGCACGGCACAGTCCACGACACGCTATCGTGCACGAAGCAGCCGACAGCGCGACCCACGAAGCGCGGTAGATCAGAAAGCGTACGTGATGCGCATCGATATCGGGCGCGCGGTATTACGCGGTCGTCGAGCGCGCCTTGCGGTGGCCCCGTCTTCGCGTGGGCGTCCGCCGGGGGCAGGCCGGTAGTGTCTTCGTCCATGAACTGGTGGGGGCGGGGCGTGAAGATTAAAACGGGCACGATGCGTCGCAGAGCCAGCAGTCAGGGTGAGGAGACTCAGGAGAGACCTCCCGAGTCCCACGGTCGCTTGCGAGGCGGGGCCGCGCAGGTTTGGTCAAGAGACCCGTGCAAGTAGCGCGCCATTCGACGATGGAGGACAGGGTATGAACCTACGACAGTGACTCAGTCGGGGGCCTAGAGGGCTTGAACGGTCGCGGCAGGGTGGGGGGGGGGAAGCGGTGCCAGCCAATGAGCTGCTCGCCAACGTAGGCCAGATCCGATGACCATCTTGACAAGACCACGGATGAGACCTATTGAGGACTGAATGTGGTATCACTAAGATGGAGCTCGTAGTACGAAAAGGGTCCGATGATTAGGGGATTCTTGAGTCCATAGTCGATTATTATTATTCGATTTAGACTGGAGAAGTTGATGGGTTCGAAATGCCTTCGTTCGGTTCCCAACCCCCCTTGTTTCCGCCTTGCTCGGTTTCGCGAGAGCTTGAGCAGTGCGTCACATTATGTCACACTCCAAAAAGTCCGGAGTCTGCTGTGCTCGCGAGACCCGTGCTGGACTGCAGGAGGACCCTTTTAGTACCAGAAATAATACTGTAGTGCTATAGCTACCTATGTGCACAATAGACGACATCAGAGACCACAACAAAGTGCGTAACATAGTTTGAGTCGGCCCCAGTTCAACATGTCACGTGCGCAGGGTAGCGCAGGATATGTATGTTGCGTCCTTTCGTCAAGCCTGAGACACTCCAATAGGCTCTTTGAGAGCGAGTATAGATGTACTGATGCACTATCTAGGAGGTGTCTTTTCACTCTATCCAGTCAAGCCAAGGGCGAAAGGCTGACAGTGACACGGAGAATGCCGATGTCACCGTGCGACATAATGCCGCCGCTGGCTTGCCAGAGTTCATGCGGACCACCTCCCCCCCACCCTTGTCGCTGCCTGTAGACGAGGCAACTCAGCGGTCCTCTCTCCTACGCGTAGCCTGAGGGCAACGGCACACGTGTGCTCCGGCGGCTGCGGGCCTTCTGCGCGGCACGCTAGCTCGGGTCCCTCAGATCCGATCGAATAATAATAATCGACTCTCCCCTCGGGGATTCTTTCCGGCGGGCTGCTCGAAGCTTGGTGGGTGTTGACAGATTCATGACGAGGGGGCAGGTCGACGTCGACCGTCTAGTTGAACTCTGAATGTAGAACGTGCTCGAAGGTCTGCCGCGCGTGAGGGGGCATTGGAGAATGACATCGTGGTTGGCGTTCATATGAGGCCACGCTATCCACTGTCTCGGTGATGCAGAATCAACCTGCCTTTTTGAGCCGCTAGGGGGATCTGACCCCTGGCGCAAATCGGGGCCCTTAAATTTAACGGCGCGCGGCTTGTTTCCGCCCGCATCGCTCCCCACTCCCCCGCCCCCACGAACAACATCCTCTGTCTGGTTTCGATATCGTTCCCGGACTGTTTTGCATGATCGCGCTATGAGGTCCTCGATAAACATCGCCCGCTTGGCGGCGCAACGCTCTAGACATAATTTATTATCTGCACCGGCGAGGCGACTGGCGATAGCAGCCCCCACCCAGCCGTCTAATGCTCTACTTCCCCCTCCCCCGGCGCCGAGAAAAGGTGCGCGGGTCAGCCGTGGTGAAAGATCCTGTATTTACACCTGCCTTTCAGGCCCAGTTGCCGATGCGACGACGTTCGAGTATACGTCCGGACGGTGGCTCTACAATGAGACGCAGCAGCTCATGCAGCGCTACACCCCTTTCAACGTCTCCGCGATGCACTCCAAGATCGCCAAAGTCTGCGGCGCAGACGTCGTTTCCTGGGACAAGAAGGAAGGCGTCTTCAACAAGTCGTTCATTACCACCCTCAGCAATGGCAAGCAGGTCGTCGTTCGTGTGAAGGTGCGTTATCATATATGCCACTATCTTTCGATAACTCATATTTTCACAGAACCCGATCGCGGGTCCTACACACTACACGACGGCTAGCGAAGTCGCGACGATGGACTTTTGCCGGCGTGTTCTGAACATGCCGGTGCCCAAGATCCTCGACTGGAGTTCTCATGCTGAGATGAACGGCATTGGGTGCGAGTACATCATCATGGAGAAGGCGCGCGGCGTCCAGCTGTCGACCATCTGGCACTCGCTCGACGCGGGCAAGCGCAAGAACGTCCTCAACTCGCTCATTGCGACTGAGCAGCGCCTGCTCAATGCCTCCTTCTCGCAGTACGGCGGACTGTACTACAAGAAGGACGTGCACCCATCGCTGCGTGCGCCGACCCTCTACGCCGACCGTGGACGCGAAACACCCGACACGGCCGAGTTTTGTATTGGCCCGGTTGCCAACAGGACGTACTGGGAGGAGGAGCGCTCGTCGATGAAGCTCGACCGCGGTCCGTGGCCGAACTGCGAGGCGTACTTCAACTCCATCGCCGCCCGCGAGGAGGCGTGGATCGCCCAGTACGCGAAGCCGCACATCCACGACGACCCCTTCCGGGCTATCACCGCCCCGCAGTCGCCGGACGAGCACATTGCTGTGCTGAGACAGTTCCGCTCCGTTGCGCGCCACCTCGTTCCCCGCAGCACGGACGGCAAGGTGCTCAACAGCGTCCTCTGGCACCCCGACCTCAACCTTGGCAACATCTTCGTCGACCCCGCCGGCGACCATGCCATCACGTCGATCATCGACTGGCAGGGCTGCTGGGCCGGGCCTGCATACCTCCAGCTCTCCGTGCCGTCCTTCGTCGAGTGCCACGGCGTCTCCGTTCCCTCCGGCCTCGAGATGCCGCGCCTCCCGGACGACCTGCATGAGATGTCGCTGCGCTCGCAGAACGTGGTCGTCAAGAACCACAAGTCAGTGATGCTCCAGAAGCTCTACGAGATCAAGCAGCTGTACCCGTACCGCATCGACCAGCGCGATCTGCGCGCGACACCGGTCGCGATGGCGGGGCGCACGTGGAAGGACGGCATCCTGCCGCTCCGCCTCGCGCTGCTTAACGTCGCTGCGAACTGGCCGAAGCTCGTCGACCCGCAGGACCCGGAGCCGTGTCCGCTGCGCTTCACGCGCGGCGACGTGCAGGGGCTTATGCAGGAGCGCGAGCGGTATGTCGAGTGGCACGGGTTCCTCGAGTACCTGCGCGACGCGTTCGGCGTGCGCCTGTACGGCTGGGTCGACCGTCACAGCTACGAGCGCAAGAAGGAGCAGCTTGAGGGCGTCAAGCAGCACCTCGACGCGGCTCTGGTCAGCGAGATGGAGCGCACCGCGCCTGGCGGCTCCTGGTGGCCGTTCAACGACACGGTGCAGTGAGCGCGAGCGCGCACGCGCGACGGGGCTGAGCGCAAGGGCCGCTTGGGTGAAGTTATCATTATTACCTTTTCTTCCTCTTCTTCCTCTGCTCTCCACTTGGGCAGACCTTTGGGCTTTCGGGCGTCCTCTTCTTGCTTCACCACTTGGGTTTCCGGGTTCACGATCCTCACACATCACACACCAACCACACGCAAACCATCTTCTGCATCCGTCTCATCCGCGCGCACATCGACGTCTACACTACATTCTGATCTTGGGCTTCTGAGGGACTATGTGTTATTTTCCCGGCCTTTCATCATCTACTGGTACCGTTTCGTTGCATCGTCTGTTTCCCCCTGGCCCCCTTGCATCGTCTCTGTCTCCCGTCGTCGTTCGTCGCTTGCTGTAGCCTCCCCGCACCATATATTTCCCCCTCGTATCATCCTTTCTCCCTATCTACATACCACGGTGCGCGAATGGACCCGCTCCGAACACTTACCTAGACACACGTACGCCCCCGGTGCGCGCTGACCCGCCCGGGTTTTTGGGCTGCGTACAATGACTTTTTATGCCACCTAGACACAATGCTTACACTGCCCTACCCATTGTATTTGTACGTGCCGATCCGACTTGCAATGGGCAGCGGCTCTTGTACATTCTTTAGAAATATAACAACCTGTCGTTCTTTCAAATCGCCAAGTTTGAGTCTGAAGGTTGCAAGTGTGAGCATGCGATAATTCATAGTTCGGACTTCGAGGCGAAGAGAACAATACCTTCCTGTTTCGGTCAATAAAGGGTTGCGTAGTAGGTGGCTGTGCAACTTCACTTTTATCACCTCCCGTCAAGTGCCCACGCCATTTCTGTCGTATCCTCTTCCACAGTTGCAAGAGACACTGGCGACGCTGGCGCCGTGACTCTTATCCCTCTTTTTCTCTCCATTCGTTCACTGGTCGCTGGAGTGCGCGCACGATGAGCACCGATTTCCAAATCACCATCCCAGGTGCGTGAACGCGCTCTTTAATCCAGTACGCGGCTCACGATATGCAGACCTTGAGGACTCCGACTTTGGTGCCTCCTCAACACCCTTCGGGCGCCATGCAACTGGCTTTGGAAGCGCAGCTGCTGGCTCAGGCTTTGGGAGTTCGGGCGCTGGGTTTGGCTCTGGATCTGGATTCGGTAATGCGGGAGGGAGCTTCAGCAGCAACGCTGGCGGTGGCGCCGCCTTCGGCGGCTCAGGGCTGGACTCGCCAACGTCGGCGACGCCCATGGCCATACCCGACCGCAACGAGCGCGGGTACTTCCAATCGCACGGGCGAGGGGACTCCGTCGCGTCGATCGACTCTGTCAGCTCCGCGACCGCCTCTAGCCGCTACACCGGGAAGACGACGCCGTTCGGCCACTCATCACAGTCCTCTGTGACGACGGCCGCGACGTCTGCATCGCCCTTCACGAAGAAGCCGTCCTTCGCCTCCCTTCGAAATGCGTTCAAGAGCGGGAAGAGCAGCGAGCCCCCACCGGTCCCCTCCATCGACTACCAAAGCCATGTCATGAAAAGCGCGTATAACCGGTCCACGTCCTCCCTCACGAAGACAGCCAGGCCGGGCACGCCAGCCTCGATGGAAACCAAGCACCGAGGAACACCCTCGCTCAGGAAAGGCCACGGTTACGCGCGCTCTCAGCACTCGCACTCAGGCTCAATCTTCCACGCATCTGATCAAGGCAGCGATGGGCACGGCGCTACTATCCATCACTCACCGCCGCCCGTCCCTCGCGTCCCTCATGCGTTTGGGCAAGTCAGTCGCAGCGAAACGCCAGACTTCGATGAGGACAAGGTCATCATGAATCCGAAAACGCCGGCGGACTACGCGCTGCATGCAGTCTTCATCAGCTTCGCGGCGTCGGCGGAGGGGAAGATAGATGAGTTCCTGCGACAGCCACTGGTGCGTGCAATCCTAGAATGACACTGCTCCTTTCCCTCGCTTCATCTCGTTCACCATCGTCCACAGGATCAGGATCCATTACTCCCCGAATTCATGGGTCCAGGGACCGACTCCGCGTTCGACGACACGCTTCAGTCCCTCGGCAAGATCGCGTTCAAGCACACCAAAGCTGTCATCGACTCCATACTGCGCTGGCGCCGCAGTCAGAACGAGAATGTCGGGTCGGACATCATTAAGTTTCACATCAGCCAGCCGCCTGTGGCCTCGCGCATCATCCGCATGAGCGACGTGCCCGGCTTGCTGAACGAGCGGAAGTCGCTCGCGTCTATCTACATCATGTGCCGATCCCTCATCGCGGTTCTGCAAGCAATATCGGTGGCGAAGGATGCGCTGAGCGAAAATATGGGCTATATGTTGTCGGAGATGATCTTTGAGCAATTCAAGAAGCCGGATACCAAGCAGTCGCCGAACCATCGAACGAATGCGGACCTGTATGCGACTTTGTTGGGGCATATAGCGAAGGCGAAGTAAGTCTATCATTAGTTCTTGGGATACTGAGGTGACTGACGACTTGCGCAGGTTCGTCAGCGTGACAGACAGATTCGTGGCGGAGCTGGGGCCTATCATCCAAGGTCAGGTCATACCGAAGGAGGTCGACTCGAAGTTCGACAATGTCATAAGGGCAATGCGGTATATCCAGATCAAGGTCGGCTTCCCCTTCATTTTTGCTCCGACGTAGCTGACTATCGAGCACAGGTGTTTCCTCCAGAGGACTTCGAAGAGGGCGCGGAGTTCTTCGTCTCTGTCGCGAAGGCGTTTGGGAACACGCACGGGTTGCGGCTCAAGAGTACGTTCGCGGAAGCGCTCGTTCACATATTGCACCCCATCGTAAAGGTAGGATCATGTGATCGCTGGACGCGCGTCAGTGCTAATTGCACTTCAGACCGCTCAAGAGGAGACGAATGTGCCCGACTGGGCTCAGGCGATGGAGATGATCTACCCTAAAGCCCGCGACATGGCGACAAAACCACGATACTGGGGCGTGGCGTATCCACTCGTCGTCACCAGCTTATGCGCGGCGCCTCAAGACTACTTTCGAAAGAACTTCTCGTCCTGCTTCGAGACAATTCTCTCGAAAGTCAAGGTTCGTCCTGTCGGTGGCTAGACATCTCACACTGCTGACTTTGCCCCAGGAAAAGTCCAATCGGATACCAGTCATGAACGGTGTTCTGCGGTTGGTCTGGACCTATTTGTATCGCTGTCAGGAGCCACTGTCGACGACCACAACGAAGCTGGATGGCATACTGAAGTATTTCTTCCCGCCGAAGGGCGCTGGCATCTACCCGCACGACGAGCACCTGGAGCCCTTCATCTACATCGTTCACTTCATCCTCTCGCGGCACTTCGACTACGGCAGCGACTTTTGCTTGGAGCTGATGCAGGAATCGAGCATCAAAGCGGGACACTTCGGGACGAATGTCGCCCCCGAGCGGACGGCGATTGCGGTGCAGGCGGTCCTCTTGTCGCTGAACGTGTACGAGCGGGATTCGAAGCACCCGGTCTGGCCATCCAGTGTCGACTTCACTGCGTATCCCTCGTGGGATGACTACCCGACCAACGCGAACTTCCTGCCTCCTAAGCTGACTGAGAAGCCAGCTGTCATGAAGCTGGTCGAGCGCACTGGATCGACGCTTGCGACCATCGCCCTCGCGTGCAGCAAGACCGTCGGGAGCATGTCTGTATTTGACGAGCAGTGGACATACTCGAGGTTGCACCCTGCGTACGAGGAGCCGCACAACTACGTCGTCCGCCGCAACCCGGAGGGCGGCAGTGTCGCCTACCCAATGAACCTCGTGTCGTACATCAGCATCTTGCAGACGTGCTTCCAAGCATGGCCGCGGTTGCTGGACGAGTCCATCGCTGTCAGCGACGCGATTGACATGCTGCTGCGGGGTGCCGTGCACGTCGAGCCCTTGCTCGCGGAGGTGGCCGTCGCTGCGCTCAAGCGATTCATGGAGGACGACGGGCACGCGTCGATGCTGCTCTCGCGCTTCTGGATCTTCCTGTTCCACCCGTCGCGGATTGCGCAGGACACGGGCACGAAGCTCACGCTGGAATCTGCTTTGTTGCGTCTCTGGGTCGACGTCGTGGATCTCTGGATCCGCTCGTTCCTGCAGCGTCCGAGGAACTCGATGAAGGACGAGCAGAAGTTGCTAACGTCGCGCGGTCCGGAGGTGGAGGCAGCCGCTTTGTTCCTGCTCTCGCACGATACAGGCCCGGTACACTCAGCGGGTGTGAAGATCATGCGCTTGCTGGGGCTACTTGTCAACCACTTCTATCCTACGCCTCCGGGTCCAGAAGAGGGTCCGCAGACCGCCATGCACTACGTCGAGCTCTTTCACGGGCGTATCACAATCGGCAAGACGTACTTCACGGGCTTTGACGACTTGTTAGACAAGCCCGAGCTAGCGCGGCTAGAGCAGTGGTGCGAGTCGAAGAAGCCAGACGTGCTCCTGCGTATTGCGGATAGCAGCAACGACAAGGATCGCAAGTTATGGCGATTCATCTTCCCCGCGTTCTTGCAACAGGCCATGGACTCGGCGCATCCGCTGCCGTCGACCCTGCGCGAGAGTATCGCGGCTGCGGCTTCGAAGTACCATCCCACGATATCGCAACTAGCCGGGTTGAGCAGCCGCCCCATGGGCATCTCGTCACGAACGATGCACTCAACCGAGAAAGATGGCTCAAAGTTGGTGAAGGAGAACAGGGACATCATCGATCAGTGGAGTCTATGGGTCAAGATCCTCTCCTCCACGGCGAAACTCTCCGAGTCTTCGCGTCCGGCGCTTACACAGCTTGGGCGAGAACACTCGCGAGCCCCGTCAGATGCCAACTTCGAGCGCGAGCGCCTCTCCACCACTCGTGGTCTCTTCCGATATCTTACACCTTTCCTGGACTCGGAATACACCCTCTTCCGAGACGCAGCTGTTGTCTGCATCAGTTCATTCCCGTCAAACGCCTATCCGCAGCTCTTGGAAGACCTTAGTCTCCTCGCTGGACGCCAATTCTACGACGACCCCCGTGCCAAGGCACCAACGCTGGTCCTTGAATCTAACCTGCATCCCACCACGGCACGACAATTTCACGATGACTCTCGCTACAAGCCAAACACTGGTCTCATCAACGAGCGTGTACGGCGTCAGGAACGCCTTCACTCTGCAGTTGCCCACATCTACTACCTCACGGCCCCGTTTGTGCAGCACCAGCGTGCTGCGGGCAAGCAAGCGGTGCTCGCACACGTTCTCAAGTTCATTCGCAACACCCAAACCTTCCTCACCTCTCTCGATGCCCGCGACAATCATACCCTTCAACGTCTGCGACGATATTTCTGCGGTACGCTAGAGCGTGTCTTCGATGGCCTAGCGTCGTTGAAGGACACGGACCGCTTCATTCCTTCGCACATGCACCTGTCGTTATACCGGCTATGCGAAGAATGGTGCCAATTTGGTCCCCAATCTGAGGCTGTCAGGCAGCGCCTCATCCTCATGCAGCGGGCTGCCGCGTCCACTAGACAGCAAGAGGAGTTTCAGCAGGAGACCTCCCAGCTTTCATATGCTGCTGTGGGTGCCATGGCCGTGCTTTGCGTATGTGTTCTCCCGTCATCTTTTCTGCACTTCGTGGCTAATCATTGGCGCAGCAAAAAGCACTTTATCCACCCGATATGTCCTCTGGATCTCCGACAGACAAGCCCCCTCCCGAGCATCTCAAGGCATTGACCCCTATGAACGTCCTCGAGCGACTGAGCGCGATTCTGACGTCTGGACACGTCCCAACCCAGAATCGTGGCAAGTGCGTGCTATGAACTATACCTCTCTAGTGCCTTGACTGACAAATACACAGGAAAGCCCTTCGATCCTTATTGACCTGCCCGCAAGCAGATACGGAGCTGTTCGAGGAGGCCCTACGTCGTGCCATTGTAGCTTCGGACGAGCCCGCGACCAGCTATGGCAGATTCTTCGAGGTTGTCGATGACATTGTTACGACCACTGTCAACCACGGCTTTTCATTCGCTCAAGTGGTCTGGCTAGGACTGTCGAATCTATGCCACAAAAGCCTGAACGTCCGTCGACTGGCGTTCGACATGCTTGAAGCTGTTCACCACCAAACTGGAGGCACCATGTCGATGTCGCAATTCGAGCCCTCGATCAGCAGCTTAGCGGCCACGACCTATGTGCGCGCCCATCACCAGATCTCACAGCTCCTTGCCGCCGAACACCTCCATGAAGCGCCGAACATGCTCAGCACTCTTGCGCTTTGGCTTCCACTGTTCCCGTCCTCGCCCACCGTCGTCAACACGCCCATTCTCTTGCTGCAAAGCCTCGAGAACTGGGTACCGAACATCGAGCTTATGACGGAGGACAAGTCAGGGCTGTCGCGTGCAGGGCAGACAGCGATGTATCATATGCTTGCCCTCACCAAGCATTTCAGTCAGACGCACTCGGAGCAGGTGCTCTCGATCTGGACGAAACTCGTAGAGCCCCCAAATCAGGCCAACGGGCATGCGACGGTCCGATTTCTACTCGAGCAATCCCCGAAGGTGGGCAGCGCGCCGTTCATGGAGTGCGCGGCGACCATCGTAGCATCGCTATGCCAAACCTCATCCGGGCGTCAGATCTTCGAAGATCTGGCTTCTGTCATCGAGCCGGCACGTATGTTGCCCACTATCGAGCATAAGCTGGAGTTTCCCAACGCGCACGACATGGAGTTGTGGTCGGATCTGGACGCAATCTTCGGGGAGGATCATCCCAGGTTGCAGTTGGGCTCGGCGCAGTATGCATGGCTATATCTCTCCGACGTCGCCCTTCAGCGTTATTGGGAACTTCAAGCCCAGCTTCCGGTGCTCCTACAGGCCCTCTTCATACACATGGACCATCGCAACTCCTCCATTCGACAGCGAGCCACGCGCATGCTCTTCCAGATACTCCGCTCGTGGATACCTGGATACGACGAGCTCCCGGACCAGGCGCTCAATCCTGGCCGACAGACTCTCAAAGCCATTGTGACGCGCCTGGAAAAGGAGGTCGAGCTCAAGTGTTGGCGGGAGGACGAAACAGCAGCCGAGGTAGAACCCAAGATGAAGTGGCTTTGCGGGGAGGTTCTGGGCATACTCGCGCCTCTTTGCCCTGATTTGTCGGAGAGATGGGGATCGTTGGCACTCACCTGGGGCACGGCCTGCTCGATTCGTGGCATAGCGTTCCGGTCCTTGCAGCTTTTCCGTGCGTTGACACCGCGGGTGAAGAAGAACGACTTCGCCATCCTGCTCGGGCGTCTGACCAACACGATCTCTTCTTCCGACGAGAACATGCATGCCTTCACCTCCGAGGTCATCTCGACGATCAACACCATCGCAACCTTGGGCGAGCTGGACGCGAGCATCGTACCTCAGTTGTTTTGGTTCGCGTGCGCCGGGTTATCGACGACGGTGGAGCAGGAGTTCTCCCAGATTCTCGAGCTTCTGCATACGCTCATACGACGCGTCGACTTGGACGACCAGAACACGATCGATCATCTGCTGTCACAGCGACCGGTGGAGTGGAAGGGGTCGACCTCGCTACAGAGCCCGTTGATGAAAGGCCTCCGGTCGGCGAACACGTCGGAGGCTACGATGAAGGTCCTTCAGCAGCTTGCGAAGTTTAGGGATGGGCGTCTCATTGACACAACGGAGGACCGCTTACGCGAACTCTACACGGTGGCCCTGCCCTGGTGCTTGGAGGCCATGTCGAAGGAGGCGCCTAAGCCGCAACTCGCTGAGTTCGCGGAGAACATCAGCGAACTCGCGACGCAGGAGGGACGACAAAGCATCTCGCGGATCATGGTGTCCTTCGCCAGAGGACACTTCAGGACGAGAGACGACTTCTTGCGGCAGTCGGCCTTGAGCTTGCGCGAACATTACGGCCAACGGTACTGGACGGAAACTGTCACGGCCTTGCTCAGCTTGGTGCTTAACCGCCAGTCATGGCTTCGGGTACAGGCAATGCAGCTGCTGAAGATGCTGTTCCAGCAGCGCGAGACGCGTGGGCCGGTCGAGCTTTTGGGGTCAGAGCTACTCATGCCGCTGCTGCGGTTGTTGGAGACGGACCTCGCGCTGCAAGCGTTGGACGTCTTGGAGGAGCCGATCGTCATGTCGGGTGGCGGCCCGGCGGCCAAGCACGTCCTGCGCATGAGCATGCACGCCGGCTCGCTCATGAAGAATGCCGACACTGTCACCACCGTCTTCGGCGTGCCCGACGAGTCTGGCTGGTGCATCGCGAAGGCGGACTCCGTCCGCGAAGCTTGCCGCGCGAACGTCATGGCCGTATTCGATACTTGCCAGATCCACACACGGCCCTCGCAGATCAGCTTCCAGCCCGAGGTCGAAGTGCTCGCGATGTCGCCGATCTCGCTCACGCACCGTCGGGACCAGTCGGAGGACGACCTGAATGACCTCGTACAGAACCTGCACGAGCTCACGACGTTCTTCCAGGACAACGATACGGCCAAGCGACGGAGACCTACGCCTGCGATATACTCGACGGGGCCGAATCGGCGACTGGAGGCGAGGGTGGCGGCAATCCTGGCGAAGTCGACGGCTGCGGAGACGGTGTCGGACGCGCCGCAGACGCCATTCTTGGACGTATTCCGGGTGGGCAACGGGAGCTCGACGGACGCGGACGAGGAGGACGAAGATTCGGATGAGTACTCAGACGAGAGTGAAGAGGAGGATCTGTTTGTTTTCGACTCGCAGTCCGTCTATCGCGGGCACGATGCGAGGTATCACTAAGATCGAGTAGATATAGCTTTCGCATTGCTTTCTCAGGGCGCTTATTTCCCCTTGTACACTATCTTCGCTACCTATAGCTACCTTTCACGCACCATCGACGTTGGCTCTTTAGCTTACTTTATGACCTCTCTATTGGTGGACATTGGGATCTTCTTATGACATCTACGTTCTCTCCTTCCCTCTCCGACCTCTGAATGTGACATTGGGCCATGAAGTCAGCTCTCTTCTCTGCGCCTTGCTGAATCGCATGGTGTGACTACCTTGGTAAGGTATCACGAGGTCGGTGCTTTACCTAGGTCTTGCAGCATCGTGCTACTGACAGGCTCCGTCTTCCGAATCCTCGGTGCTTTACTAATGTATCCGTATGTCCAGGCAATACCCTCATCCTCGATGACGGCGCGGGCGAATGGTTGCCGAGGTGGAGAAGTACAAAAGCGTAAGGAACGGACAGCAGTAGATGCCGCATTCAAGAGCTTCCCCCTACGAATTGGAAGGCAGGATCGGCATGGCTCCCACCGTCTACCTTGTCACCGGAGGGAACCGCGGCATTGGTATGTGTTCACGATAGGCAGTGCGATGTCTGTGGCTAACCCTTCACTTCCAGGACTTGCAATCGTCACTGCCCTTGCCCCCCGTCCTGACGTTGTCGTCTTCGCCGGTGCTCGCGATCCTACTCGCTCTACCGACCTCCACGCGCTTGCCAACGCCCATTCCGGACGCGTCCATGTCATCAAGATCGTCTCCGCGGACAAGGAGAACAACAAAGCAGCCATCGAAGAAATCAAGCGGGTGGCAGGACGTCTCGACGTCGTTATAGCAAACGCCGGCATCGGCGACTCCTACGAAACGGCGCTCGAGGTACCGACCGAACAGATGGTCAGGCATTTCGAGGTATGGCAAACTGTTTGCTTGGTCTTGACCCCATATCATCCACATCGCGGCTCACTTGACTATCTGCAGATCAACACCAACGGCCCCCTCGTCCTCTTCCAGGTTACCTACCCGCTTCTCCGAGAGAGCCAGATGCCCAAATTCGTGACCATCTCCTCCGCGTTGGGTAGCATCGCCCTAGCAGGTCAGATGGCACTGAACGTCTACGCATATGGCGCCTCAAAGGCCGCCGTCAACTGGGTGATGCGCAAGTTGCACCATGACTTCCCTGACATGGGTCAGTACGCCGTTTGTCTCAATTTTCCTCACCGTTCCTCGCTCGCGGAGAACCCTCGCTAACGGCGTACGCAGTTATATTCCCCATCAGTCCCGGCCGCGTCCTCACTGACATGGCGCAAGCGGCGTCTCGAGATGACACCCAAGAGCAACGAGCCATGAGGGACGCCTTCCCTGCTATCACGCCAGAAGAGAGTGCTGGCGGAATCCTCGAGCAAATCAATGTTGCGACGAGGGAGACGCACGGAGGGCAGTTCGTGGACGTTACCGGCCTCGGAAAGTAGGGTTGGTAGCAATACGGTGGCTTCGCTGATGGTCGGGAACCAGCCTGAACACCTGATACTGTACTAAAGAAAAAGATTCCTATCTGAAAATCCTTCTCTCAATAGTCTCTTTCACGCTCGTTCAGTGAGACAGTATCAAGAGCTCGCACTCAGGATTTGAGTGCCCGATTATATAAAGTTGAACTGTGACGTCACGCATACTGTCACTCTCGACTAGGCCCGTTTTTCTTCAGCTTGGGTCCTTGGAACAGGCACCTACGAGTTGCCTACGAGTGCCTCGTCCACCACAGCGCAAAGGTGAGATGTCTTCCGAGTCGCTATATCAGTAATATCATTGAGTCTCTTCACCTGGAACTTCTGGAGATGAACACTCTGGATGGCCGCTTTATCATAACAAAATGCATTCTGAGTTGAGCTACTAGTATACAGTACAGTGGTCAATAGATAAACAACAACACGATAGCGTGAAAACATGCGCGATGATTAGTATGGAACAGTAAGGTAGCAAGCGTCCGTCCTGATAGTCAGTGCGACCAACAATCTTATAGTCAGTCCAACCAACAACCCAGACCTGCTGCACCCCTGTCTAGCCATTCGGCCTCTCGACGCAGACACTCCTTCTCGCCCCGTCTGTGCTTCGAGGCAGGAACGTGCGGCTCCAGAACGTGGAAGCGCGAGTCATGCTCGGCGGCCTTCCTCCACGCCTCCAGCTGCGTGCGATAAATGGGATGGTGGTCCATGCCCGCCGGCGCGGGGGGCGCGGGGGGCGGCTCGACGATGAAGCACTGCACCGTCGCAGGCAGCCGCTCGGGCGCGTCCGCCAGCTCCGAGTCCGCGCCCATCGTGAACGGGTTGCACTGCGCGAGCGACAGGCGCAGGTGCGTCAGCCGCGGCGCGATCTTCGGGATCCCCTTCGGCCCGAAGAACCCGTGCGGGAGGTGCGCGACGCCCGAGATGTGCAGGCGCTCGAGCGCGGGGTAGAACGTCTCCGGCGGGAGCGCGAGGTCCGCGGGCGGCGGGAGGAGGATGGGCGCGTGGTGCACGTCGAGCTCGACGAGGCGCGGGAAGGTGTAGGGGAGCGGGAACGGGACCTCGCCGTGCTCCGAGTGCACGCTGAGGCGCTCGAGCGAGGGCGCGAGGAGCTTGAGGAGCTTCATCATCGCCTTCGACTTGTCCTCGCGGTACTGCTGCGCGCGCGCCGCGGCGACGTTGATCGAGCTGAACGCCTCGCCGAAGTCGAGGATCGTGCCGCCCATGCCTGGGTGTCCGGGCGCGCCGACGGTGATGCCCATGATCTCTGGCGGGACCATGACGATGCCGCGCTGGATCCAGTCCATGAGGCTCTGGTTGCGCTTCGTGTCCAGCAGGTCGGCGCTGCTGATGTAGAGGTCCTTCACCCGCCGGACGACGTGCGGGTTGGCCTCGAGGAAGGCGAGGAAGGCGGTGATTTCGTCATAGCCGACCAGCGAGATGGACTGGTATCTGACTGGGGCCGACGTGTTGTGGATGTACTTCGAGACGAGAGCGAGAGATCGTCCTGTACGGCCGTCGTCCGTGCAGGCGAAGGAGAAGATGTGCGTCCAGATTTCGGCAGGGATGCGCTGCATGGTATGAGTGTAGAGGAACTGAGGGTATATGTGTGTGGCGTCTGCAGTTCGCACCCTTTGGCTTATATAGTTGGGTACGGCTACCTGCTCTGTCAGCACCCGACCCGTTACTTACTCGAATGTTCTGGAAGACGACTTCTGAACCTTCCATGGCTATCCAGTTGGGTCTTCGAGCAGTCCAGTTCTCTTCACTCGAGCATCAGATTCGTCCATTCGCGACTTTAAAAAGCTCAAAACACGATGAAGAGATGGCGGTGAGAGAGAACAAAGGGAACGCGCTTGGACCAGATCAAGCTTCGATGTATACCGGCATTTGCCGAAATGGATTCACAACTCTTACTCAGCTGGCGCTACACCTCGTCTTACCTCAGCCAGGCCTGGAAAAGCCGTTCCGGACGGTAGCTATCCGTAGAGTTTTGCGGGAACAGACGAGTAGGGCATAGTAAAGGCGAACATTGGAGGAGTCAACAAACACGAAATAAATAAGTAGACGGCTCCCAAGACCATAGGCGGCACACGTAGTAATACATCCTCAAGGACGACAAGTACAGTACAGGGTATAGTGCTCCAGAAAGAGAAGGCACCCAACGCATACGAGATTACGAAGATGAACCCTCGAACTTCTTGACCTGCTCCTCGCACCAGTCCCAGACCTTCTCCTGAAGCTGAACGTCTTGAGCAACAGGACTGGTCACACCAAGGCGCGCCCACACGGTAGCATACTATGAATCACTTCAGTGACGTCCCTTGCCTTGACAAAAGTGCATCGCCTACCTTGCCATTCCACTCAAGGCCCTCCGGTGTCGTCCCCGCGCGCAAAAGCGTCAAGGCGCCGTAAGACGGTGGATAAGTGTGCGGCGAATATTGCTATACAAACCGTCAGAAAACCCTAACAAATCATCCACGACACCCCACTCACCCAAAGCTTCTGCGCAATCCCCGGCAAGTCGTGCGCCAGGTTCGTCTTCAGCTGCCCCGGATGCAGCGCCACCGACACCAGCCCCTCCGCCCCGTAGCGCTTCGCCAGCTGATTGCTCAGCAAGATGTTCCCCACCTTACTCTGCCCGTATAAAAACTCCTTCGAGTACTTCTTCCTCTGCGGTGTGTCCGTGAGCGTCTCGAAGTGCACCGAATCGGCCTCCCAATGCATCATGGAGGAGGTGTGGATGATGCGTGCGTGCTTGTCTGGAGATGACTTGGCGGTGGAGAGGAGAAGGGGGAGGAGGAGCTTGGCAAGGTAGTAGTGCCCGAGGACATTTGTACCGAACTGGGCGTCGTAGCCCTGCGCGGTGAAGCGGTCCATGGGCGTCATCATGATGCCGCCATTGGCGAAGAGGACGTCGAGTTGCTTCTCGGTTCTGAGCGAAGCGGAGGAAGTGAGTATATGCGCATATACCTTACTTGAAGAACGGAAACGCACCTCAAGAACTCTTCCGCGCACTCCTTCACGGACTTCAGGTCGGCGAGGTCGAGGTGGATGAAGCGCGCTTCCTTCCCCGTCAGCTCCTTGAATTCCTTGATGACCGCCTCCGTGCTCTCCTTGTTGCGACAGAGCATGTACACCGTCGCGTTACGCTGCAGCAGGACCTTCGTGACCTCCTTCCCGACGCCTGTAATCGACGTCGTGAGCAATCCCTCCCTACGCGACTCATGCGACAACGTACCGCTATTCGCCCCAGTGACTGCCATCACCCGCCCAGTCAGGTCGGGAACGCTGTCGGCGCTCCAGTCCGGTTTGGCGGGGAACGTCTCGCAGATGTATTGGCGCAACTTGCCCATGGTGAAGCTTGCTTGTAGAACGTGAGAGGAAAGGAGAAGTTGGGATGCTGCAGAGGCGAGGTGATGCCTTCTTTCTCATACCCATCGCATTATAAAGCGGAAGGCCGTGGCCCTGCATGCTTGACTACGCGCATCGCACGGCCGCAGTGTGGGCCTCAGGCGACGCGTATGACCTCGGGGGGACGCGTACGCACCCCGGCATCGTCGAACAATCAAAGATAGAGGCTCGGGCAGGGCAACAGACGCCGTTCAGACAAATGAGGGCGCAGATAGCAAGGATATAGCTTTTGTACATTTGCCGACGAGGATGCAGGGAAAAGTAGGAGCTGGAGGCGAAGTCCCGGCACGCGCTTAACGCCACAAAAGCTTGGAGCACGTGCTTGCGGTACCGCGGCCCGGGTGCCGGAACCGCGCTCCCGGGTCGGAATTTCCCTGACTCGAACAACAATACATCTCCAGCTTGTCTTCAGCTCCCATGCTCACCTCGAGCAGATGCCTCTCGACGACAGCTGTACGCGGCGCGCAGCAGACTATGCGCAATGCACAGACGGCCGTCGCAAAGGGGACCGCATTCGAGCAGCGCTCGCTGGCGGTCGCGCGAACCAGGTTGTCCATGTCCCTCCGCCGCGTCGGCGGCAAGTCTGACGGTGGCATTGACCTCACGGGTTGGTGGTGGCTCCCGCACTCGTTAGATATGGCTCAGTCACAGCATGCCTCGGCTGGAAATGCTGTTCAGTCGCAGCCTCACCCAAGGCGACGAATCCGCGTCCTCGCGCAGTGCAAAGCGGAGAAGAAGAAAATCGGCCCGAACTATGTGCGCGAGATGGAAGGCGTGCTATACCAATACCGCGGCGCGTCACCGCGACAAGCAGCTTTGTCCCTCACCGAACCTCCCTCGTCCGAGGACACTGGAGAGGACACCGACTCGTCTAACGGACACCCTATCGTTGCACTCTTCATCTCCGAGTCGCCCTTCACGAAGTCGACTATGTTACGCGCCTTGTCCTCGACTGTGCCCTTCCTACTTCTTCACCTACCACCCACTCATTCCACAACACCCTCACCTTCCTCTTCTGCCTCCTCCGCCGACGTCACTGACGACACGACCATCATGGGCTCCATTCTCATGAACCACGCCCTCTCTCGCATGCTCGGAGGCGAACTCGAGGTCCGGTGGGAACGCAACTTATCCGACGGGCGCCAAAGTACGGACGGGATGTGGACACCGGGGGGACGACCTGGGCTCTATTGGAAGGGACGAAGACTGGAGCCGTGGACGCAGGATGGGGACGGGTATGATGATTCTGCTTCGTCGTGGCGTTGAAGAGGACGTTTGTATACCTCAACGTGGAGATTCGTACGCATCAGTACGGGGATTCGTATACCCCAACTCGTCTGATACCTCAACTCGGAACTCAACCCAAACGCCGCAGAAGGGCGCAAGCAACGAAGGGCTCTCCAGAACGGGCTAGCTGATGTCCAAGTTCAACTCTTCGATGTGCAAGCCCAATCCTCCAAGTCCTTCTTGCACGATCCCCGCGTCAGGTGGGCGCCTATCGAGGCCATCGCGGGTGCACGGCGACCCTCGAAGACAGATAAGCTGGCCAAGGTCCCTTGCGAAGATACAATGTTGCGGTGAAGGACGCGCAACGTCGCAGGAAGCACCGAGAATCCCATGACCCCACCTTCTTCAACATTGCATCGTTCACACGAAGTTCAACATCAACCATGATTATCGTCGCTCAATTTTTGGCGTCCAAATATTCTCAGAAGCTCTTCTTTGAGATCTGGTACACACCAGAGGTCGAATAGGACATACAGGATCTGCTACGCCTACTACCCCATCGCTGGCGCCATCATCCAAAGTTCAACATGCATGTCGGGAATTCCCGGATCTACCACGTGACACCGCGCACATGTTTGTTTTCCATCTTGTCTGCCGCGTTGATGTTCGCGAACGGTACCCTCGTTCATCGATGGCAGCTGGATTCCCGCTTACGCTGTACTAGGCACACCTCATCCCGTAAACGCTACTGAATAACTTGACACGGAAGAGCTACACGAACACTGCACCTGTGAACACTGGGCCTCGCGCGAACCCCGGAACCTCTTGTATAATAACCCTCGCGACATCCCCGCTTCGACAGTCTCGCCGACTTCCCCTCTCGAACCATCTCTGCGCTGAACTTTTACCCCGCTCTGTATAACAACGCCCAACCACCGCCCACTATCTGACTCCGAACTCTTGAACACTCTCCTCTGTACCAATGCCTTTCCGACCTCGTACACGTTCCTGTGCGGACGCTGGCGCTTCGCCGACATCTATCGAGCGTACGAGCTCCGACGACAAGTTTTTCTACGAAAGTAAGCTTTCGCCTTCGACATATCTATGGGCGCATGTGGCTCACAGTCGCCTCAGCCCGCATCCCGTCGCAAGTGTACGATGGCAGCCTGACCGATGTGCTCACGCCGCCGCCTACGCATAGTTCTGGCTCTTCAGTATGTTGTGTGCTTATGGGTTGCGTTCTGAATAGTGGCTGATGTACTCCTGCCAGACCGCGGTCAGCCACTTGACCGAATCGACGAACAGTCCCGTCGTCAAGCGCGAACCCTCTCAATGTAGGCCGATTGCTCTGATAGCAAGAATACTGTTTCTGACTTTGCTCCTAGCGCCCTCGCCGCTTGCAAAGAAACGAAAGAGAAAGGACGACTCGGAAGACCGTGCCCTATGGCGCACAGCAAAGGCGATCAAGACCGAACAGGACGTGGAACCGACACCGCCAGTGGTCATCAACGACGACGCGGTCATTCTGGTAAGCGAGTTGATGATGAGTTCGCGCTTCCACGCTCAGCGTATTGCATCGCAGGCCTGGGACAAGGGCGTTCAGAAGCTGATTGACGACTATGGCCTTTCGGACGGCGTAAAGTGGGAGATGGCTCGTAAGTCTGTCTCGACCATGATTGGTTGCGTCATATTCATCGGTACCAGGCCTTCGCTCCCTCGGGCGCATCACCTCCTACGCTGACTTCAAGCGCCACAAGCTCGCCCTCCTCCGCGGCTCAAACGCCGAGGCGGCCGACCGCGCCGCCCGCACCCTCCTCGACCTCCCCGAGGACGACGCCTCCGCAGACGCCGCCTTCGCCCACGAAAGATCCCTCCTCTCCCCCTGGGTCGAACTCGACACCGAGCTCGCCACCCTCGCGCTCGACCGCGACGCGGGCCTCGGCAACAGCACCGTCCGCCCCGGCTGGTACGGCGGCAAGGTCGTCTTCCCGCTCCGGATCAAGGCGAAGAGGGAAGACAAGAAGGGCAACCGGCAGGGCGAGCTCATCGGCTGGACCATCGTGCTCGACCACGCGGCGCTGGGCTCGTCTACGCGCTTCGCCCGCCGCTGCGGCTCCACGGCGTTCCTGCGCGTCAAGGTCGCGATGGACGTGCTCCGGAGTCGCTCGCACGAAATGCTCGACCTATTCCTGAAGCCGTTCGTCCTGTGGGACCGCGTCTTCCGCGCCTTCTTCGCCAAGGACGACAACGTCTTCCTCGTGTGCACGAATGAGACGATGGAGCGTCCGCGGATGCTGAAGACGGTCGACAACGGGAGGCAGTCGTTACGCGAGTTCGTCGAGTTTCACAACCCTCTGAGGGCGGGCGACAAGCAGCTGCTATGCAAGTGGGCGTCTCGTATGGCCCTTGGGCTTTCCAACTCTGTCCCCGGCCCCCGGATCGACCCAAGTGATATCTTCGAGACGCCGGACATCAGTACGTCGCTCCCTACGCCGAGCCAAAGACGGCATTGCTGATACCTCTACAGTCTCTACCGACGGTTCCAACTCGGACCTTACTGACGGCTGCGGCCTTTGTAACAAGACGCTCCCGGTCATGATCTACCACAGCCTAGCCCTTGACGGCGTGCCGGCCGCCATCCAGTTCCGCCTCGGTGGTATGAAGGTGGGCGTACCACTTCGGGCTCCATCGCATGAGGCTTACAGTCGCACTTGCAGGGACTGTTGCTACAAGAACCTCATAGCACTCCCTCTGACCGCCCTCAAGTGACGTATCGGCCTTCGCAATTAAAGATCCGCGACCAGCCGAGCCATCCCGCGCATCTCACCATCGACCTGCTTCGCACCTCTCGCATGAGGACGTCGGTCTCCATCTCGGCGGAGGTCATCCGTAACCTGGAGGACAACGGCGTACCTCGCCACGTCCTTGCCAATCTTTTCAAGGCTCGCATCAACGAGGTCATGGAGGGCCTCACCAATTGGGAGGTAAGCCATGAGTGCCTCAGTCAACGTCTTTCGACTCATACATCGCTTCACTAGGGCCCCAACGGCATGCTCAAGCTCTGGGCGACTCTCGAGCGCCTCGGAGGGGTCCTGACCCAACGCCGCGCCACCGAGGCAAGCGGCGAAGCCCGTGCGCGTGGCCTCGGCGGCGATTTCGACCGCGCTGACGACGACGCCGACGACGACGAAGACCCGGACGAGTTTGGTTTTGATGCCGGTCTCCAGCGCCACTCCATCGCTTGGCAGCCCGACTACGTATCCGGGTCTCCTAGCCGGCTGGAGGAGACCGTCATGATGCTCCTCGACTCGGGTTTCACGCCGGACAACAGCTCGATCTGCCGGGAGAAGCTGAAGGAGATTTACAAGTCGCGGGCGCGCTACCTGACGTCAAAGATCAAGTTCACGGTCCCGCAGAGTGCGAGCGCGTTCGTGGTGCCTGGTCAGTTGTGGATGGTTAGAATTACATTGGTAGCAATGCTGACGAAAAGCGCGCAGACCCGTGTGGTGTTCTTGGGCCAAACGAGATTCACGTTAAGTGCTCGCGCCCTTCGCTCAAGACGGATGATGGGCTCGAGACCGATATCGTGGTCGGTGACGTCCTCGTGAGTGCTCAGACTCTTCGTTCCGATACAATCGACTGATATTGTGTAGATCACCCGCAACCCGTGTAAGGTTCCCTCAGACGTTCGCAAGGTACGACATGGTGTTCACCACCTGCTCATATCTGACTCTCTACAGGTTCGCGCTGTTAGCCATCCTGAGCTGGCGGGATATGTCGACGTTATCGTCGTATCTGCTCATCCGTCAACTGGGCGTCTTTTGGAACTCCTCGCTGGTGGTATGTCTTCATCATCATGTACGTGTTGTCGAGTGCTTAGAAAACGTTGTAGGCGATTATGACGGTGACACCTGTATCGTCATCTGGGACAAGCAGGTCGTCGATAACTTCAAGAACTCTGACACCAAGTACGCAACGCCGCCGGACAGCCTCCTGAAGTACCAGTTTCGTCGAGATTCTTTGACTGTTGAGGAATTTTTGAAGGCGCACAAAGAGTCCGAGAATCCAGACCTTGAGATCGTCGAGATACAGAAGTATCTGCTGAGTAATCTGCGGGATATGACCCAGCTTGGCATGTATTCGACCTTGTAGGTGTCCTGACTTTTCTCTATTTCCTCGTTCTTACGCAGTTCTTAGCCACGAAAACGCAATCATCAAGTGCGGCTACGCAAACCCAAGGACCGTGCGCTTGGCTCACGTGTACGCTCACAGCTTCATCCCTGATGCTGGAACTCATGTATACGTTTTTAGCTTCAACATCCTCATGGACGCAGCGAAGACGGGCTATAAGCTTAACAAAGCAGCGTGGAAAGACGACCGAGCTACCCATCATCACAAAATCGGCCCACTGTATCGCGAGCTCGCGAAGACACGGCGAAGAACGAAGGCAGCACATCCCGCAACTGACTACCTTCACCGTGTTATTGATGACGCCAACGAAGATTCGATGTTTTTCCGCAAGCACAGGACCGAAGTCATGGAGTACCTCGTCAAGGTCGCCGAGAAGGAGTACGACAGCTTGTGCGTCAAGATGGACGCAAAGTTCAAGGCGCTGTCCCTCGGCAACATCCAGCAGAACATCCCACCCGACATGGACCTCGCACGGCCATGGTACGATGCGGAGGCGCGCGCAGAGACAGTGCAGCCAGCTCTAGCCCCCGATCTTCGCGCCATCGCTGCGCATGTCAACCGCGTCTACGAAGAGCAAACGCACGTTGACACGGATAGGCGTATCGAGGAGAGGCAGGACCAGTTGCGTGCGATGTCCAAGGACTTCGCCTCCGGCCCGTCCCTGCAGCGGATGAAGGTTATATTCGACGAGGCCCAGATCAGGCGGTCAGTCGTGTTCATGTTTACTGAGGCCTCGACTCATCGTGTCTGCAGGCTCGCGGCCTCTTATGCGTACGTTCACGATTGGAAGACGAGGTCACGCTCGTCGAATCATGTTGGTGACGGTTGGTCCCGCTTCCCGTGGAACGTGGCCTTTCGCGAGCTCTGCCAAATCAAGGCCGTTGCGGTCGGACCCAGCAAGACGGTGACTACGACCTTCTATGAGCACTTTAAGTTGGCCAAGGTCTAGTACTTCTGATCAGGGTGCATCTCATGTTGTTGCTTCCTCTTTTTGATTTTTGTACTCTTATGGATTTTCATACCCTCACTTCATCTTTGGATCTCTCACTGTACCGCCAGATATTCTTGTATAATGTATAACACGCATCGTCCTCAGTTACGATATTCGGATGGAATTCAGCACGTTGCAAGCCATTTCTTTCTTCCCACAGTCACGACTCGTCACCTCGAGGACAATTGAGTAAGTATCCTGCGCCGCCTGCAGAATCCCTTGCTGCCGCTCGCTTGTCAGCCCTCTCACCTACGCTATCATCACCTTGTACCCGCGACGTGGGCATGACTGGCAGTATGACTCACGATCTGGATCCCATTGAGCTTGAACAGTTGGAAGCACAGGTCCAGAAGGACCAGGTACGTTCCCAAGAATTTGCGGACTCAGCCTTGACGTTGATAGCGCCGCAGCCTTTCCTGCCCAAATCTTTAGCACTTTGGAAGCAGCTGGATTCATACAAACCCCGTCTCATCAGTTCGGCGTACCTCGCTTGGGCATGCCTCAACGACGTTTTCAAGTGTCGAGGCTACGACCTTTATGTGCCGCGCAAGAGGCCTAGGTCAGACACCAACTTTTGGACGATGATGTATCCCGCACATTATATCGCGGAAATTTTGCCTGAGTTTGACGAACCGGATCGCAACGTCATTCTTGGATCTCGACGCTACGTGATACCCTTCTATGTACGCGCACTGGTCGTTCCTCAAGGTGGGACGGCATGCTCACTGTTATCATCTCAGCCTTTCAGTGGCGCTCTCTGGGCGGCGACCAACGTGTCCGTCGCACCAATTTGATGCCATGTTCATTGCGCTAACGTTCGATAGGTCGGGCGACGACTTCATCATTAAACTTGTCTCTGACGGTCAGGACCCCAAGGGTCTGACTGAGCTTCGCATACTCGAACATCTCAGCCGGCATGACATTTGTGCTCACCCGCAAAATCGCACAGTTTCCGTGGTAGATCTCGTCAGACACCAGCAATATACCTTCGCTATATTCCCTAGATGGACGGACTTCCCTGAGAAAGAGATCAGGACACCGCGGACCGCGATAGAGTGTTGTGTACAGGTTACCGAGGTGAGCATGATCTCAGCTGGCTCGCGCGCTCGCTCATATAATCTTTCTCAAGGCCTTGGCATTCTTGCATGCACAGTGCATCGCCCATCTTGTACGTCTTTACGCACCTGGTGCTCAAAGTAGAGAGTTAACTGTAGACGGTGCAGGACATCTCGATGGAGAACATCATGATCAACTTCTTCGGCTTTGTTGATCAGTCGTTGTCCCCCGTCGTGGAATACTTCCCGGTTTCATATGGCCTTATTGATTTTGGCGAGAGCGTATTCCTCGACGCGCCCTCCTCTTTAGCACCGCCGAGGACTTACGCAACCCGTCCTACAAGCGCACCAGAGGTCAGCTCTGGGGAATCGTTTGACCCCTTTGCGGCAGACGTATATCAAACTGCCAGGTTCTTCCTAGAACAATTCTACGTCCGTCGTCCTCATGATCCTCTGCTGTCGCACAGAGCTCACGTCAGCACAGGATATGACCGGGGTCGACCCAAAATTCCTTGCTATATTGCAGGCCATGGGATCCAGCCCTCCATCTACCCGCATATCCATGGCCGAAGCGCACGAAAGGTTCGCCGCCTTGCGGGCCTCGTGGCTGCGCGACCCAGAACCACACGTCGTCGACATCTACGGGCGCCGGAAGAACAAGTACTTCGATACGTACCTCAATACCTGGCGTCCGCCCCCCGGCATGCTGTCCATTCCTGCGAGTGACGAGGAGGCCAAGGCTTTGCGCGAGCGCATGCGTCGGGACAGGGCCGAACAGCGACAACTTTATGGCGGCCACTCATTCTCTGAGTCGGGAAAGCTCAGGGTCGACGTTGCAGGATCCATAGGCTGCGTAGACGGGAACAATCCACGCATGCCCGGATTTTAGGCGACAATATGATCAAGTCGACCTTGTATCTGTATTTTCCTGATGCCCAATTCAATGAAGAGACAGTCGACTGCCTCTGTTTATCTAACAATGCTACCCTGACGTCGCAATGGAGAAGCTGTGCTCGAGAAGCTTCGTATGGAACCCGGTGCCAGTTTTGAAGACGTGACTAGAGTCTTGTGGCTGGCTTTGTTGGTAGGCGCCGACGCGAGCGCTCGATGAGCGTTCTGGTCACCTCATGAACATTCTGAGCTTCCTCATCCTCAGGCCTGAAGAAGGATCCCTATACGTGTCTAATTGCACCCTCCAGAATAGCGACTCGACATCCGACCGCCAAGCAAAATGACACAAACATAGAGTACAGAGATGAAGCAGTACAGAGCTCGACATGAAAGATGACAGTCCAGATGAATACCTACTTAAATAACCACATAACCGTGCGCGCTGGGTATCCAAATTCCGATAGCGGGGAGGACCTGCGTTCGCGAGGACAACCACCTCCCAAAGGCATGAATCCCCTTCCATTGTACCTACCCCACCGGTCCTTCAGTTCACGAACAAGCCCCTCGGGCTACGCCATGAGCTGCGCATCCCGAAGCTGCGTCTGCATGATGCTATCTCGGACTGGAGTGCGTCGTCAGCTATCCATCTCGCGGCCATGAACTCCGCAAGCACTCACTACTCCCCAGTATATACTTCGTAGCTTTCATGTCCTGGGCGGAGATGAACCAACAATCGTTGAACTGGACGCGTGGAGACGTACCGTCACATTCGTCAGATGACAGTAGAACGTCCGCGGCACCGGCGACTGCTCGCGCATGATAGCGGCTATCGCATCCCCGTCAACATCAGCCCGACTGACGGGAATAGCACATCGTACTCACCGAACTTCTTCTTCAGATCTGCGAGCGGAGAGGACATGTGAGCGTCGATCACCTAGTATAGACAGTCCACGCACATGCAGACGCCGTCTCGTAGTTATTCGGCCTATCGCCGTACGACACGACGTAGTCCCGCAGTCGTATGCCCGACGCGAGCTTCTGCTGCATGAGGTCGATTTTATTGAGGAAGAGGATGATGGTGGTGTTCTGGAGCAGTCGGTTGGAGACGATCGTCTGCCAGAGGTGCACGGAGTCCTCCTGTGGCCTGTCTGAGTACGTCTGCAATGGCGAAACAAAGACGTCGACGCTCACCAGTCGATTGACCTTCGGTGCTTCGCTCAGAACTTGGTCAAAGGCGGATATTGGCGCAAGGAAGAGGATGGCGTTCATGTCGTCGAAGTATGGTGCCCACGCATCTGCGAAGGGAGAACGTCAGCACTGCGAGGAAGCCGGGTCGGCACGACGATATCCGGCAGAAGGTCCACTCACTGCGCTGGAGCCAGGAGTCAGGACAACCTCATTCTGAGTTTATGAGAGGGAACGTACTAAGGATCGGTGGCCTCCGACGTCAAATATTCGCCAGTCCGAGCCTATGCCCGTCCCGCCGTTGAGCTTGAAGCGATGCTCGGTTACACCTGCGAGACAGTCAGCGGACGGTCGCCTGCTCAGAGGGACTCATCCCTTACCTAACGTTTTGAGCCGTGCGCGTAGTATGTGCTCTATCAGCCCCGTCAGCGACTATCTCTTCGGCGATAGGCCGGCAAGGAATCACGCCGAACCCACCATCGGATGGTAAATACCGTGGCGATGTCACCTCGTCCAACGCGTCAAGGAAGCTGCTCGCCTATCAGCAACACGCCTGATAGATGCGCGCTAGAAGTCGCACTCACAACCCGGCCATCTCCTCCAAGCGTAGGTTCTGCTTGCTGAGCATCTCCTGTATCGTCGGGTGCCGCCACAGCCGCTTGATGTCCTCCGCGCACTCGTTGAGGACGATACCGGGGTCGTTCGGGTCCTCCCAGTCGACCGCCGCCGAGCTGTCGATGCTCTCCTGGTCGCCCCGCTCCTGGCGCTGGTGGTGCTTCGCGAACGCGCCTTTCCACTGCAGACTCGCATTCACGGCGACCTCCTTCAGCACCGAGCGCGAGCGATTGATTGTGTCGAGCTGTGTCGCCTCCGTCTCCCCCGAGTCCTCCGTCAGGCGCCGGATCAGCAGCTCTTCAACCCCGAGTACGGGCTGCAGGCGGGTCTTGAGTCGCAAGAGTTCGGGGTCGAGTTCGGGGTACACGGTGGGTGTCATAGGCGGGGTGAGGGGGCTATTGGGAGGGGAAGTTGCGCGGTTGGGGGATGTGGCGCGCGTATGGGCTTGCACGTAGGCCATGGCGTCCAGGATGACATGGATTGAGCGACATATATTGAGGAAGATGACCCCGCGCCACCCTGCGCGCTCTTTGGAGAATGCCTGGAGAGTCACTGGTGAGAATAAGCGTAGATGGAGGCCATAGTAGGCGCACCTTGGGTTCATAGAGCAGCTGAAAGTCTAGCACTCTTCAGCAATCAGCACCACACAATTACTCCAGCGACACACTTTTGAGAGTCGTGGATTTGCCTGCACGATCATGAGCTCACTTGACCCCCGTTAAAACATGCGATCGTCCATACCAGATTCACTCTGCCCTACACCGCATATGCGTTAGCTCGGGCTGAACACTTCGGAACGCGACACACCTAACAGAAGTATCTTGATAGGCTTGATCCCTCTCTTGGCCTCTTGTCTTTGCGCCTCCAGTTCTTGGTCTATCGAGTCCGATATCGCCTTCGAATGCTGCTCCTCGCGTATGCGTGCTGCCCTCTCCTCCGGGGTCTCGTCCGGTGGCGGCGCAATCGCCAGTGCGAGCGGGTCAGCGTCCTCAATGGAGGCCGCTCTGTGCGTCGTGCGAGTTGGCATGGCTGTTCAGGACGCGTACTAGCTCCCTCTAGGCACAGCAGATGGAGGGCGAAGACGAGTGCGTTTCAATGGGGCGTGCTTTTCTAATTGGCATGGCCCTTGTACTCACGGCATGCGAGATCATTTGATGCTGGCACGGCGAATCAAGACTTCCCAGATTGCGCACATGCATCCTCCGCAGCCAATGTAATCCTGTACCTTCTAGTCCCGAATTTGCGTGAAGGTTGAGGGTGAATATTTGACAGGAATTCAGGGAAGACGACAGGCAGCGGCCGCCGTGAATAAGACGATCCAAGAGACTGAACATTGCCGCCCGTCATGACGGCGAAAGGGAATGCCCAAAAAGGCAATTTTGACGCTCGGCACGCCAACAACGGAACAAATGTTCGAATCCGACCGAGTCGCTTCTTGCGTTTGACCACCACCACGGTCTGCTTGACCCCGGTGAAGCTTTTGATACCTGACTGCGACCGCAGACGGAGCGACTCTTCCGACGTGGCATGCATACTTTCGCGGGCTTTACTTAATACCCGCCGAGTCAGCGATACTCACCGCTTTGCCGAACCTCGGGTCCTGACGTTCAGCCCGCCATCTGAACGATATAAACTCCGGTCATCGTACGAGAGAAGGCCCAGGTAGCCATTTAGAGCGTGACTATATCCTTCTGTACTTCTGGCTACATCTGGGCTGCATGCCACCGCACCCAAATTCCGGCGAATACCTAATCACGAAGCCTGTTCATCACGAACGATCCGGATATCCTTCCATCGGTCCAAGGGCGGTCCATCTTCCATCTCTTCCTCGTGTCCCCTCAACCGTCCCCGTCTCCTCCCAATCTTCGAGGCCCACCCCTCAGTCTTCCACGAAGGTCCGGTCGCTGTCCCCCTGAAACTAATCACCGCCTGCCCTTCTCTTGCTCTTCCCAGCCTCCCGCGCTTCTTCGCCTACAAGGCTGGTCTCGCCGAGGCGTGCTTCGTCAGACATCAGGTGTCTCTGTATTTACTCACCTCGACAGCGCTCCCTGGATCACCGCATCATCCGGAGCGCGCCTACAGCGGCCCATGCCACGGCAACCTGCGTGCCCAATACAGTCGCTGTATTTCCCCACAGCCTATTCTTTGGCTTTTCACAGCCTACGGGATAGTAGCTCACGATAGGTTACAACCGCCTCGAAAACCACTATCATCCTCCGATGGCACGGAACGGATTGTGAGTCTTGTACAACTCAAGGGAGCTTACTAGAATACAATGGCTTACCCTTCTCCCAACAGCAAATCGCCTATCGCCTCTCGGTTACGCGCTCCATGCCTCTGGTCTACGCACTCTGTACTTCTCGTCGACGGAAATCACCTTTGGTCTACGGAATCATGTCTTGGTCTACGTGCATCACCCTAGGTCTACACGGTCTACAAAGTCACCTCCGGCCTCTGCGGCGGGGCGTCTGATCCTCTGACGCTCGTCCGGCGCTGCGCGACAGCCGCCATCTGCCACCTCGCACAGCCTGCTGATGTCGAGTGACCTGCGCGCCTTCTATGTCTGAGTAGTCTATGCACTTGCTACGCGCATAGCTCACTCATGCGCCTTCTTGGTCGAATCCAATGCACCCGTGTATAGCTTACCTGCCTGCTACGCACAACCAGCGCACCTTCTCCGTCTTCTCGATCTTCTTTGTTCTGATGCCATGTCGGCACGCACAGGCAAAGTCTACACCCACGGGCATGTGGTCGCCACCATAGACCTCCCATTGTGACCTGGGGTTGCCCGACTCGGCGGCGCAGGCCACACAGAGCACAGCTCGTCCTCGACGTCCCGAAAGCTCTGCCATATTCCCCGCACACCATCCGTCCACAGTGGAGCTTTGGCGACCCAATCTTTCATTGACCCCCCGACCTCGGTCTCCAGAGAAGCCAGCCAACGTTCCTAGGTTGGGTAAGATAGGTACGCTGTGGGGGTAGTGGGGTTCTTCCTTCTCAAGCCTTCACGTCAGTCTCCCAGGCCTTCAGACGCCTTCTCAGGAGTTCTAGTCAGTTGCTCAGGGCCTTTGACCAGCTTCTCGTCACTGCCCGTCAACTGCCATCCCCTGCTCTCCGCTCTCTACGGTAAAGTGACCGCTCCCAGCGATAGTTCAACTACCGCAGGACCCCGCATGCGTCGCTTTTCCCCGCCCTTCTCGTATAATTCAGCCTATTCATCACTGGCTTTCTCCGCCCTCGTCGCCAGAGTCCGTATATTCTCTGTTCTCTGCCCGATCTCCACCACTATCGCAGCCACTGCTCCTTAGATCGCCTCAAATATACTCGTACTGCGTCATGTATGGCACGAACATCAACGGCAGCTTATTGCATGCGCATCTACATCGCCTACTAGCCTCTGATCATCATCATTACTAGGCGTCGATGGGGCTCGCTCCTTGAGTGCAGCAGATCTGCACCAACCTCCGGTGATGTTGATTGCAGCACCGCGATGGCACAGCCAGCATCTTGGGGGAGAAATCCCTGCACCATAAGGGAAAGCTCAGGATGCCATAGCCTATCGGCAGGACGCGGTTGATCCTTGATAGCAGTGGGCACACTCAGATCTTGCTGTGTCTCCATAGCTGAGAGCTGTGTGAAGAGAGGCTTCTCGTGTTTTGGATACCCTCGTACCGCCCTTCGCGGATGTCCGAAGTCGAACAGGGGCGTGCGAAGTTGAGAACGTGACCTATTGGATCACGTGAAGGTTGATTTTCGCGGGTCCGAGTCCATCGACATCGGGGACTGGAAGTTATTGCTGCCGATCGCTGGACCCAACAGTGATGTGGCGCCAAGTTCGATGGAGATACAACATGGCCTCAAGCCCGATCGCAATATGCATTATACGGAGTAAGATGGTAGATTATCAGGGTTGTACGCATAGTGAGGAGATAGGCTGTGATACCTATCTGCAAAGTCCCGATCGTGACAGTGAATCTGTATAGTTCGGTCTTTGAGGGGCGGACAAGAGCGCGAATAAGGATATGCGAACAATGCAGGCCAATCGTTGAGTGAGGTTCGCCAACCGTAGAGGACGAGGTCCCCCGACGAGCTCAGACCGACATACGGCGCTTCGCGTATGCCGAGGGGTCGACAATGGAGAACGTCGTCGCCGAGCGTGCCCTCCCTCGCCTGTCCTTGCGCTCCTTGACATCGATCTTCGCGACCATCGCGTCGAGCCTGAGCTGGCGGCAGAACGCCTGAAGCTTCTCCGTGGCTTCGATGCGCTCCCGCACCTCGTCCTCGTCCGCCGCTGCAGCTGCGTCGTCCTCACTAGGCGCGACGCTTACGTCGATGCGCTGGAGGCTATCGTAAAACCCGCTGCCGCGCTCCGCGCGCATACTGAGGAAATCTTGCAGCGCCTCGCACACGTCCACCACATCATCCTCGTGGCACCGCAGCGAGAGATCCTCGATCGGCGAGCCCGCGAGCCCCGCGACGGTGTCCACGACGCTCTCGACGGGGAACGTCGGCGCGATGTGCAGGCGGCGCAACCGCCGCAGCGGCGTGTCCTTCTCCGCAAACCGCGGCTCGCACACCGCCGTCGTGAGCGAGAACTCCGCGACGGTGGGGCCCACGGCCGCCATGATGCGCTCCACGTCGCGGTTCGAGGGCGCGCAGTCCGGCGGCGCGGAGAGGTCGAGCATCTCGAGCCGGCACGCGGGCGGCGTCGTCGCCCAGCGCGGGTCGCCCAGGTGCGTGTCGCGCACGGTGAGGCGGCGCAGCCCGGGGAGGCGGAGCAGGTTCGGCAGGAAGAGGTCCTCGCCGAGCGCGGGGTGGGGCGGCACGTCGTGATCTCCGGTTACGACGGGCACGTAGGGCCACGCCCCGACCAGCTCGGGCGCGTGCTGGCGCGATCGGGTGACAGTGTCTAGCGCGAGGTACTGCAGGTGCGGGGCGGTCGCGGCGATGGACACGACGACACGCTCGCTTCTGGACTGGGCGTCAGCCTCCGATCGGACGGGCTAGAGGGAGAGGGACATACAGAGGCGCGCGTGTATAGTTCCGGACATTGTTAAGCGTCAGGTGCTTCAAGGCGTCGAGTGCGGCGAAGCAGGGAATGATGTCCTTGGACAGACAGCCTGCCGCCCTAAGGGTAAGCGTTTCCACTCGGGGGCACTGCCGCAAGAGTTTGCCGACAGCATCGGTGTAGGGGCCGGAGAGGGGTATCGTAAATGCGTCCTGATCGTGGATGGGGGCAACGTCCAGCGTGCGTATGTGCTGCATGCGCTCGGAGGGAACGCTGAGGAGGAATTGGTCGAGGGCGAACTGGGTATCAAGCTTGACGACCTGTAGCCGGTGTCAATGATCCGTCTATGCGGAGAGAAGGGGCTATGCACCTTAAAGATCGAGGGTATACAGAGAGAATAGGTATCCTTGTCCGTGAAGGACAGCGCCCGCGCGTCGTCATCGTCGAGCGCGTCGATGATCGAGAGCCTGAGCTCGGGGGGAAGGTCGTGCCAGATGCAGGCTCCGGTGGAGGCAGCGGCCATTGCAGTGTGCTGTTAGTGGGGAATGTGGGTTGAGGGCGTTGGTGGTGAGGGGAATTGAGGCAGCTGGGTATATAAACGAATCCGCTCCGAACTCATCGTCCACGAAGGGCGGAGGAAAAGACTAAAATAGATGCGGGCCCACTGATGGCATCAATTGATGATAAGCAGCGGGGCGGAGGCAATTCCTTCCCTTTTTGGTCCGCTAGATCTGCTGTTTCCTCTGCTCCGTCATGTTCGAGAACGGGATTCTGGGCTGATGGTCCGACAGACGAGAACTGTGCGCGCACTGGACTGAGCCCTTACTGCGATTGTCCGGGGCTCTGCTGGCACCACAAGCAGCTGCTTCCTCCGAGCTCGAAGGCCTGCCATCAGTATGCCACAATCGCTGACAGGCCTTCTTCTTCTCCTCCCTGCTTCTCTGCTGTCTCAAGCCAGCAAGGGTATCAGATCGTAGCTTGCAGGATGCTTGCTCGGTCACCTTACACCAGCTTGAAGCACGACGCGCTCTTCACAATGGTTACCTGCCTTACGTCCCCCTAACAAAGATCTCTCATCCGCCTGATTATCTTCGAGCATGCGTGCTACTTACCCCAGCCGCGTGCACCTCGGCGGAGGATACGAACTTTCTCCATCGCGCTCGTCCCCGACACAGCAATGTCTGCGCGACACCGCTTGCCTCCCAGCGACATCGCTTGATTCCCAGGCACGTGCGGATACGCAGTCCGCCTTGGGCGGATCCGCGACCGCCTATTCTGTGGGCGTGCGCCACAGCCTACCCTGCATTGTATTGAATTCTCTACTGTGGTAGCCGACCGAGCGCCCGCTTCTTCCGCGTCAGTGCACGTTTGGCCACCCGAGAGGGCCGGGCCGCACGTTTCATCCCTCCGAGAGCGTGTTCTGCCGGCTTTTGACGGCAGGTTCACCAGTCCTTCACAGCAAGCTCATCGGTCCCAGACGGCAGATACCAGGTCCTTCACGGCAGGCTGTCTGCTCCTTCACGGCAGGCTGTCTGCTCCTTCTCGGAGAGTTTCCCGCTCCTTTTGTTTCAAGGCAGGTTCTCCCGGAGACTCGCGCAGCCAACACTGATGACGTCCCGGAGACGATAGCTACGCGAGCCCGATGTCCTGTATTCTGATGAACTTTCCTGTCTGTATTGCAGTGGTACCCGCTAATTGCTATTCCGGTGGGCCCGCCAGTCTATGTTGCGATGAATCTGCACCGCACGAACCCCCAACCACCGAACGGATGCCTGATGCCAATCCTGCAGGACCCGAGCTCAGCGCACAACCCGGGCTCGGGCAATGGAAGCACTGACGTCCAGTAGCCCTGCTCGCAAACACCCGATGCGTTGCTTGCGAGAATGGAAGACCCCGTCCGAGTCTGCCTGACAATCTCCTCCGACAACGCTACTTGACTGCCTTTCCGTTGCTCTGCTTCACTGAAAAGCTCCGCCCGTACACCCTCCCCGACGCCATGCCCGACCAACCCTCCGACGCAGCCCGACCACCCCTCCGAGACGCTGTTGGGCCACCAACGAAGCCCTGCCCGACAACCTCCTGCGTAGCCCTGCGCGAACAACATAGCTCGTGTTTCGCTACAACGCGCTCGGCACGGCGCGTTTCTGAACGCCGACAACGGAGGATCTCCTCGCCTGCGCCCGTGGCCGGCGTCTCAAGCGTTTGTCGCCGGCCCCTCGAGCTGCGCCGCCGCGTCGCCGGCCCCTCGAGCCGCGCCATTACGCCGCCGGCGTTCCAAGCGCCCGTCGTCGGCTGCATTGTCGCGCCCCGAACATCCATTGTTGCGCCCCGTGAAAGCGACGCCACGACCACCGCAACGACGTCGCGCGGTGAGTCATAACTGACTTGCTATAATAAGTTCTGAATACACGACCTTGATTTACGCGCCAGATATTCGCATCGCGGGTGGACCTCCCGCGAATCTGCGCTCGCGGGCCGAAGGTCTATGGTCCTTGTGGCTGATGCTCTAACGGATTAGCGAACATAGGCACTCTCGGAGCCGGCGGCTCACATCCATGTCGCTGCAATCGGCATGCTTGTTTTGTTAGTTTCGACGATGACATGTTTAGTCCCTTTCACTTGATACATGGCGGGCTTGGCGAGGTATGTGGCGGCTGGCGAACATATAGCCTGTTATGTAGCGAGATCGCCGCCTGTGTCATAGCGAGATAATGACTCGTTCGCCGCTCGGGCCACACTTTCACGGGAATCTGACGAGAACTAGCGCGCCACAAAATTCCTACAAGGCTCCATAATAATAATATATCATGTAGGCGACGACGGGCTGAACGGGTCGCGAGCAGAGAGTGGTGGCGCGCGTGTCGAGGAGAGGAGCGGTATAGGGCGGGACGGAGGCCAACAGATAACTAGAATGCGAGGAGCACACAGCTCGGTCTGCAGCCTAGTTGTGGCGCACGGCGAGCGTTGGAACGCAAATCCCAGCACGGGTGGCGCAGGCTGCAGCTAGTGAAACCGTCACGTGAGACGCGCATGGCGCTTGAGATCCTCAGTTGTACTCCGTGGCGAGGATGGGACACCCAGATTACTTGCTCAGAGCGCGAAGACGTCGCAAAAAATACACACACGAGTGCAAGGTTCAGCTCGAACGCAACATCACCTAAAACCCTCGGTGGTCGGTTGGGAGGGGAGTACGACAAGATAGAATCGTCCTCAGTCCTTCTAGAAAATATTTGACCTCCAAGTGGAGGGGGTTCCACTTATTGTTGCCTCAATGCCCTTCCAGATGTCACGAATCCGATAATGGGCGACTGCGAGGGTCAAGTTCCAACATTGCTCGGCCAATGCCGACCTGGGACTCTCTGGCCGATATTCGGCCCGAAATTTCCCTTTATGGATGCACGTGCACACGGTCGTGGCGCACTGGCGCCTGCTTGTCCTCCTCCTCTTCTTCGTCGTTGTACAGGCCACAGTGCTTGACAACAAAGCATTGCTATGGCCCTCTGCTGCGATGCGTATCTAAGTTGCAGATTCTGTGTGATTCACACGATTTGGACGAGGCGATGAAATGAGGCTCGTCTTATTTGAAAGCTCACCTCCTTCGAAGCTTGACAGGAGGCACCGCTCCAATGATGGATCTCTGCGTATTTCTATACAATATTGACGACGTGAGTGCCACGTCGAGATGGGACAGGGAACGACGCATTCGGAAATGGGGAGACTTCGGGCGCTGCCTTGTCAGACGGTGTTCAGCAGCGTTTGCGGCGCATCGAACGCACAGTAGTGAGTCAACAGAAAATTCGAAAACAAGAACTTATCCGACTTCAGGCCAGCCAAACGGAATCAATTGGAATGAAGCACGGTCGATAGACCCTTGGCCCGATCCTGGTCGTCGCCACTGCGAAAGACCGCCCCGCCCAAACAAAATGATGCAAGTTTGTCGAGATTGAATCCCAACGCAGGACAGACGACGAGACTGCGCCGGATGCCACCGACAAAGGGTGCGATCCAATGCTCCGGTCAAATACTCAGAGCCTTAGTTATCGCCGGTTTTTGCATGATTTGAGGCTATGACAGCTGCGCGACAAACGCGTACACACAACATTCAAGCACGGTCACGGCCGCGAGGGCGCCTGCGCCCTATGCAGCCATCTTCGAGTCGTACTGCACGGACTGAACCTATGTATGTGAAGGAGGCTACCGCAACGAGGAACAGTGAGTGAATCGGCCAATCTCGCGCTCTGCCGACGTACAGCTCTTATGTGACGCGCTCAGCAGGCAGTCCCGACACAAACATGCATCGCGTCACGCGCTTTGTCCTCTGAACATGTTGTCGCTTCTGACGGTTTATGTTGTCGGCGTTCAAGACACCGCCATATATATAACCCCGGCAAATTACCATTCGCGTTCACCTCACCTTTTCTAATCTCGACGCGCCACACGCAACCCAACCGCTCTCGCGCGCCGACCGCTTTCTTCGTTGTGCATGCACAACACCCGCTACTCAAACTATGGCCGCGCCACCTAATCGCGACACGTCGCAACCGCTCCGGCGCAAGAGGGCGATGGAAGACCTGAAGCCCCTCGACAAGTCCACCTTGCCCACGCCGGATGCGCCGACGCCATTTCCATCCTCTCCATCCTGCGACCATGTTTCCCCTTCCCACCAGCCCGCAGCAACGCACGAGGAATCACCGATCTCTACCCTCGAAGAGACCGACCCTATCAAACGCCGCGAATCTGCCCTCGAGGAGGCCTTGTTCCCGGTCGAGTGTCTCAGTGCAGCACATATTGGGATTGAAGACAAGGAGGGGATCAAGCACAGGTTCATCGACGGCCATATACCCACGCTCCGACTGAAGATGAAAAAATTCCTGAAGGTCGTCGACGGCAATGTACCTCCTGTGGAAAATATCAGATTGGATTATATGAAGAAGGCTTTCCGCTTTGTACGTTTCTTTATGATTGTGTGGTTGGGCTGTACTGAAGTTCCAACAGCCATATTATCAGCTGAGAAATGTCAGCAGCGGGCTCACAACCTCAAGCGAGGAGTTGGTCAACCGTTTCCGGGATGCCGCCGAGGACGCCAATGAGATTGGCCACCTCATCATCCGCATCATCATACCGACCCACGAAGCTCAAGTGACACGCTCAGGTGTGTGGGTCATTCTGGCAACCCTCGCGTATGGTAGTATCTCGTTCAAGGACATACCGGCCCACCTGGAACCGCTCAGGCAAGTTCGTCACAACTCGTGCGTGACTCCATCGGACCGGCCGACTCTTCAGCGTGCCTCCACTGCCCCTCCTTCACCATCCACGCCCAAGCGCACGCGCTCCAACTCGCTGCTGGGCCTCTTCCCCACCTGCCACATCCCCTTGACGCGCGCGAACTCCGCGCCCAAGAAACTGATAGGGAAGGCGACGCGGACTCGCACGTCCAGCGAATCCTCGCAGCTGCGCCCTCCCGCCAGCCGAGCGACGGCCATGGCGCACCGCCAGAAACTCGCCGATCGCCACCACTTCGTCGAGGTCGGCTCTGGCTCGTCGGCCATCGAAGGGTGCTTGGTACCAGGCGTCTGCGCCATAGGTCCTCTCGACGCCGTTCTCCACGACATGGCCGTCGAGATCATCTACGACAGCAAGGACTCCGACCACCCGAAGCCAATCGCCGCATCGGTCGGTGGCATGGCTGCGCTCGCCGCCAGCGGGGACAAGCAGCTTTGTCGTCATATCCTGCGCAGCTTCCGCCTTTTTTGCACGTCGGAGACGCTGCTTTCGGCCATTGCCATGCGGTGGAACTCGCCGGACGTGGCGCCTGCCAAACGCATTGCAGAGCGCACGCGCCTCGTGGACTTCATCGTCCTCTGGTTGCAGTCGTTCTGGAGATGGGAAAATGATCTTGCCGCGCTCGGCGACATCATTCAGCTCTACAACGACCACATTTCCACGGCCGGGGATGTCAGTACCTCCGCGCGCAAGGAGATCTGCGAAGCCATCGAGCGCGTACGACGATTCGACAAGCCTCAGGCGCCTTTGGTGGACCCTCAGGGTGTCAGAACGATACCTGCCTCCGGATATGTCGCACCACGTAAGGGTAAGTTGACCATGGACGTCCTTTGCGCCGCTCGCCTGTCCGCTCGCGAGGTCGCACACTGTTTGGCCCGGAGAGCCAACGAACTTTACTGCGAAATCGACGGTGTCAACTGGTTCGTCTACGTCTTCCGCAAGAACAAGGACATCGGTCAGGCTCTCTTGGACTTCTTGTCTTACGCGAACCGCCTGCATATCTGGGTCGTCGAGACTATCGCTTCCGAGAAGACCCCCATGGACCGAGCGACGCGCATCGGCTGGTGGATCGACGTAGCCGACGTACGTGAACTCCTCATTCGATCTTTCCGGTGTGTATTGACGATCCTTCTAGGGATGTTTATCCGTTGGCGATTTCTGCAGCATGGTCTCCATCCTGAACGCCCTGCAGATCTCGCATATTCGCAACATGCGCGCTTCCACCTTGGTGAGTGAAAGTCTTCCTTGCGACTTTCATCGCTGACATCAAGTTAGCTCGTCAAATGGGAGTCGAAGATGAAATTCCAGGTGATGAAAGGATTCGAAGAGGCGCCCATGGGCCTGGGAGACGTGGTCCTGATCGATGGCACCCGCGTTCCCAACAAGTTTGTGGCTGCCTCCGACGCCGCGGGCGCCCCCGCCGTTCCTGATGCAGGTCAGTGAACCTTCCATCTCAATGTACATGATAATTGACCGGTCCTCAGGTTTTCTCCTCACGCTGGTCGAACGCCTCAGGGTGCTTCCCGAAAACCAGCTGACACGCGCCAGCGAACAGACGCGCGACGTCAACTTGCTTAACTTGCAGTTCGCGGAGAATTTGTACAAGTTTGTTGAGCGTGAGTGTTTTCTCGCAGGTGTCTGTGACTGACAGAATGCTGATATCAGTTGCCAGGCGTGGAGAAACACCGTGTGCCCTTCCAATTCGAGGCCGCGCAGGACGGCAACGTTCGGTCCTTCGTAGAGCTCGAGCTCCTGGAGCGCGCCTCAAATGCTGCGCAGGACAAGATGCTCTCCCACCTCGACGATCTCTTCGACAAGGACAAGCACAAGCAGTGAGTCCATGATCAGTATAACACTGAAGCTTACTGATGATGTGTGCAGCCTGATTGATGAGCCCAAGGTCTATCACTTGGAGCGACGTAATGGCCCTCTCATCGCGCTCATGCCAGGCGAAGGTTTCGATTACTGCCTCAAAGACAAGATGACTATCGTGTCACTCAACGACGGCGACGGACTGAAACTCGACGCGACCTTGATCGACGTCTAGTCCGAAGCACGTTCTTCAAATCATGCGCCACCCTGTTCACCCACTCCCACACCTTTGTACTTATTGCTCTCGCAACCTTCACATGTATACCCTACGATGCATCACTCACTCCTTCCGGATCATGCTGTGTATCAGTAGCTCTTCCCGCGACCGCCACTCCTTCTCTGATTACTGACAGATGCCCTACGACACATACTCACACTCTTTCCCTTTACATTGTACTTGTACCATACGAGCTCCGTCGATTACCCGCTTGCACCTGCGCGATTCCCCTCCATGTATTATACTTATGCTCTCCCCTTGTATTTATACATTGTGCTCGGCCTTGTGCTTGATGTCCTCGTCTATCCATCCTCGCGGGCTGCAGACCCACTCGCAAGACAGCTCTCGCTCCCATTCCGGTAAGATCCATATATATATATAGGTCGTAGTCATCACGGGTCGATGTGGCAGTTACAAAGGTAGTATGCAGAACGTCCAGACGCCGCCGGTACGTCGATAGATAGATAAATAGTGTACAGCTTCGATGAGCGCGCACGAGCAACCAAGCTCATGCATCGCTCATAGATAGTTCCCGCTCCTTCCGGCGGACATGCTCGTCGTATAGATCGTATATCTTCCAGCTCAATTTCGCAACGGCCCAACACGATGTCTAGGCGCTCAGGTCAGCGAGAAACACGCTATGATAGCAGATCGAGACTCACACAAAGTCTACGAGAACGCGAGTGGTGTTAGCCTCGTAAGTCGTAAACAGAGTGATAGATTGAGACGCACGAGATGATGATGACGTTGGGCAGGATGCCAACAAGATCTAGAGGTCATGTATGAGCGCGAGCATGAGCCAGCAGAGCGATTCGTACGCACCGATCGTGCTGCCGAATGGTGGGGCTCCCGGTAGCAACGATCGCACCTAAAGTGGATAAATCTATCAGCAAGCGCGCAGCGGTGGTACCCAGAGTATACTCACTCCCGGGAGGGCAAACAGCGCAGCAAACAGGACACCCAGCATGTCTGTACCCTCCACGATGTGTAGGCGGCGAAGGAGCAGCGCCTCGCCGGTGAGGAGGAAGATGACGATCGTCGACAGCCAGTTGACGACTAGAACGGCGATGACCGTGAACTTGACTAGCCCCGGGCGACGGACGCGGAAATCGACATGCTAGAAACGCGCTCAGCGATGGGTCTTCGCTGGTAGATGGCGACATACTAGCTCGCAATAAGCGCTATCGAGGTCTCGACACGTCGTATGAGAGGCCGCGGTGATCTTCCAATTACTAGTGCTACATGAGCGTATGTGTGTCGGGATCGAAGGTAAACTGACAGGAGGCTGTCTACCAGATAGACCCCGTCGAAGGAGAACGCATAAGCGTCAGTGCGGTTGTCTTCCATCGAGGATCCGATATTATTCTCGTAAACGCATGTCAGCCAAGGATCTGAAGACCACCTGCGGACTCACAGAGGCCAATATCAAGCTCCCAGTCCACTGATCGTAGGGGTATCCTACGAGTATGAAAGCACATAAGCCACAAGTTGGGAACTGGCTAGAGCTTCTAACCTCTCATCGGCTGCGTCCAAACGCTCTGTGCGCTAGCAACAAGGTCGATGTCCGTGTCGAATGAATCCGATTCACGCCAACCGATGTTACCGATGGGGTTTGCGGTCGCGTTGTCCAGCATGAAGTAGTAGTACCCAGTGTCGTTGGTCAGATCAGAATCTACATATGCCTGACTGCGCGGAGTAAGCACGACGTTGAGTGGATATGACGAAGGACGTACATATCGCGATACATATTCAACCCTGCGGGATAGTCATCGGGGGAAACCAGCAGAGGGTCCATCGAATCAGTGGTGTCGTTATAGACGAAGCCGGACCACTGCACGGCTGACAAGCGGTGAGTAAGGTGCGGTATTATGTCGTGCAGTTCAGCTGACTCAATGTCCTCTTGTCGGTGTCTAAAGCGCGCAGTGCACCCTGCAAGAACCACTATTGGATGCCAATGTTTGTACTCAGTAAGTTCGAGGATGAACACGACTCACCACTTCATCCCCCTTCGCCACTTTCCCCTCGTACTTCTTCGAGTCGCCCTTGGAATTCTTCTCTTCCGCCTTGAGCTGGCTGTGGGCGAAGCCAAGGATCAGGCCGATCCACATAAGCATGATACTAACGCCAATGAAGACGTAGAGTATCCGCGGCCACAAGCGCCGGCGCCTGTACATGTAGGAAAACCAGTCGCGCGACATGCGCCTGGGGACGACCGTGATCGGGGGACGAGTAGGGCGTGGGCTCTGCTTGCTCTCGCCCATGAGAGGTACCTCAGCGACGGACTTCGTATCATCGTAGCGGCCCTTCAGCTCGATGTCAAAGGGATCGCTGTCTGCACGGGCGCGGTCAGCAAAAGGTATGCAAGGTATGGCAAAGACTCACAAGCCGGCCCCATCGTCGCGGTGGTCAAGGAGGATAGCGCCCAGGGCGCATGGGCGCTGGGCGCTACGCTCGTAAAGGGGAGAGATCACTGTCACAGATTTGTTTCACGGAGGGCCATTCAAATTCGTGAGGGCATGTTACCAAGGTCGCTTGAGTACGTCTACTGCGTCCAGTCTTTTTACCCCGGGATCACATAAGAGGCTAAGCAAAGGAAGGGAGTACCCCCTGCAGCGCTTCCTGGCGGTCGTGGACAAGTTTAAGCCAGCACGGCGCGGAAGTAAATGCCGCCCTGATCAGAACCCTGCGAAAGACCTGCCCGATTCGAAACAATAGACCCCGCTGTGCCTTATCACTGCCACACCTTCGCTAAGTTTGAGGACACTACAAGACAGAAAAGAACATTAGTCATATGATAGTATACCTACGAGCCCCTTAAATCACTACATAATCTAGTACATATGCAGAGATACAGCATCGGAGGAGAGATGTGTGCACACAATTGAACGCCATGGATGAGGTGATTTATCGATTGCCCCGACCAGGTCTTACGCGTCGCGCTCGGAAGGCGTCTCTTGGACCTTGGTGTCATTTTCACCGTTGAACTGGCCGTTCATCTTCATGCATGCCCAGCAGAATGTCTGCAGGATGTTAGACCGTGCTCCTGGCGAGATAGAGGTATGAATACTCACGCAGAGCCTGTACAGGAATGAGCCCGAGTCAGTCGCGAGCGAGCAAGATAGTCTGTGACAACTCACGAGATGATGATCACGTTGGGTAGAATGCCTACGAGATCTGGAGCACCGTGAGAGACCATACCAGCTCAAGGGAGAGGGTACCCACCGATTGTGCATCCGAACGGCGGTGCATCCGGCAGCAGCGAGCGTACCTTCAAGTCGTCAGCTAAGCAGCGAGCGTCATGGCAGACGGCACGACTCACTCCAGGAAGAGCGAAGAGCGCGGCGAACAGGACGCTCAAAATATCTGTGCTGTTCACGATGCGCATCCGACGGAGTAGCAGAGTCTCCCCCGTAAGGAAGAAGATCACCAGCGTAGACAGCCAGTTGACGATGACCACTGCGATGACAGTGAACTTGACGATCGTTGGCCGACGGACACTGAAGTCGATGTGCTGCGAGCGTGCTTAGCATGCCGGCAAGGTAGCAACGGAGACGGTAACGGACCAGGTCACAATGCTCGTAGTTGTCGTCGTTTCTGCAGGTGCAATCGGACGTCGCGTGGATCCTCCAATTCCTGATGAACTTTGAGTACGGACAGACTCGGCAATTTGTTCTGACCTACAGCAAACTATCATCGAGGGAAATGCCGTCGAAGGAGAGTGCATAGTGTTGGGTGTCGTTAAACTCTGCGATAGAGTACCACACGTTGTTCTGATACAAGTACTTCAGCAACGAGCACTGTAGCGGAAGCGTGCACCTACGGATGCTATGACGATGCTGCCCGTCCACTGATCAAAGGGGTACCCTAGTAGGAGCATCAGTCACCACGACCAACTGCTTATGTGAGGATATCCTACCCCGCATTGGCTGCCTCCAAACGCTTGCTCCCTCGACGTCCGTCAAGTCAATGTCCGTGTCAAAAGAGTCCCATTCGCGCAAGCCGACGTTGCCGATGGGATAAGCAGTCGCATTGTCCAGTTGGTAGAATATGTATCCGTTGGGGTTGTAGACAGAGTCATTAGTGAGTGTCTCGTCGATGACAGCCTGTCTGCACGAGTGTCAGGACGGTAGGTAGAAGATGGTGGTGGGTGGCTCACATGTCGCGATACATGTTCACTCCGGCGGGATAATCATCCTGCGAAAGAATCAAAGGGATTTGGCTGTTGTTATTGGCGAAGTACTGTGCCGCGGACCATTGCACGGCTGTGGGAAACCGTGAGGATGATGTAGCTTCTGAGAAGTGTATTATGCGTACTCAGCGTCCGATCCTCGCTGTTGAGCTTGCGCAGCGCGCCCTGCAGAAGCCACTGCGAAAAAGTGAGCGAGAAACCCTACAACCGCATAGCGTACCCACAATCTCATCTTCTGAGGAATTGCCTCGTCCACGATACTTCTGCGCGTCTCCCTCAAGGTTGGTCCTCTCCGACTTCGATTCGAAACGGGCGAATGCCAGAATCATGCCGATCCAGAAGAGTATGACGGCGATGCCCAAGAGGATATAGACCAGTCGGCGCGCGCGTCGACTCTCGGGCACATATTTGACCAGCCTCGACGTGTATTGGTTGGAGAGAGGTCCCGGCTGGTTAGACAGCCGACGCGGCGATGTCGACGATTCTGCCATATCCTTCATAAGTGGTACGGTCGCGGCGGATGGCTGCTGGTCGGGAAGTGGGCGCAGCTCGACGGGATACTCGTCTGAGAATAGCAGTGGGTGACAAGTCCGTGGATGGCCTTTTAAGAAACGAAGACGAGACTCACCATGGGGATAGCTCATGGCGGTGACGGCTCGGTGAGGGAGAACTCCGGTCGAAGATGTGCAGAGCCCGGAGACATCACCCATAATATATCGTCGAGGCCTGCGGAACCTTGTACACTCATCGGGCGCTCTATGGCGACTCCCGATATCAAGATGTACTGTATAGGTCCATCAGCTTCTGAGCCCTCACCCACTCATAATGACCATCGCGTTCCCGTCGTTGCCTCCAACGGACGAGGAGGGACCAAGGGCGTGGCGCATGTAAGGGCTGGTCGCAGCCCCGACAGTGATCTGCAGCGCTGGAACATAGCTTCGTCCATTCATCTCCTCGCAGTCTGACACCTGTACCGCATGCTATATGAATGGGATCCTAGTAGATAGCTCGAGCGCTGAGTGAATATACCGGGCGCCTACGAAGAGCGCTCGCAACGAATTCATCAAAAGCCCCGAACGGAGATACCCATCGGGAATTACAAGGTTACGACGGTCTGTGTGAATCTGGTAAGCTTTTGACATTTGGCAGTGATAGATGCTGAGATAGATGAAGTGACTTGCCTCGCTACTACCACGTCCAGAGGGATGATTGGTGCTCGCGCCTTGGGTTGACCTTGTCGCACCGAGTACTTACGCACAGGTGTTCGAGCGTCCCGCTGTGCATGTGCCAGCAGGTGATTGGGTTCGACGAAAACTTTCTTGTATGTCAGGCGATGCCCACAGCTCGCTCGTGGTGGGGTGAAGTAAGGACAATTATGTTGATTCTAATTCGGCCTGATGCGCGCTCCACGGGCCGAAGTCCGAAAATAAGCGCCGGGCGCTTACCGCCAACACGAGGCTTTCAGAAGACCGCACGCAGATATCGACGCCAGACTTGGAAGGGCATGGATATTTCCAGCGGCCACGGTAACAGTACATTCATGATAATATACAACAACCCCGTATTCTACAATGGAGTCCATTTTCTTTCCACAATCCACACATTAACCTCCGCAGATATTTTACTTAGAACTTCAGGACAATGCGGCCAGCGACGGCGCCCTGCTGCATGCCCTCGTAGACGCTGGTGAGTGCCGGCAGGTCCTTGAGGACGTACTTGCACTCGACCTGCCCGCGGGCGGCGATCTCGACGGCCTCGTAGGCGTCCTGGCGGTTGCCGACGTACGAGCCCAAGATGCTGATGCTCTGCGCAGAAGGTCAGATGTAGCTCAGGACACACCAATGCAAATGCGTACCTTGAAGACGGTGAAGAAGATAGAGGCCTCGAGACCGGCCTTGCCCGGGAGACCGACAGCCATGAGCGTGCCTCCGGGGCGGAGGTAGTCGACGGCCTGCGTGTAACCAGAGGGCGATGCCGTGGTCACGACCGCAGAGTGAGCGCCGAGGCCGCCAGTGATGGCCTTAACATCGGCGACAATGTCCTTCGACTCCCTGAAGTCGATGAACGCCTCTGCGCCAAGATCCAAGCAAAGCTTGCGCTTCTCATCACCAGTGTCTATGCGAATGTCAAAAGATCGTTGGGAACGAGGTATGAAGAAGACTGACCGATAGCAATGGGGCGGAGACCGCGGACTCTCGCGTACTGGATAGCCAAGTGACCGAGCCCTCCACCGGCACCGGGGAGCACGATCCAGTCGCCGAGGTTCGTCTGCGAGTACTTGATGGCGCGGTAAACGGTGACACCAGCGCAAAGGATGGAGGCGGCAGCATAGCTGTCGAAGCCCTCGGGGATGGGGGTGACGTGGTTGACGAAGGACACGACATATTCGGAGAAGGTGCCGTCGACGGTGTAGCCAGAGAGCTGGGCGTTGTAGCAGTTCTGCTCGCGGCCGTTGCGGCACTGCTCGCAGTTGAGGCAACTACGCGGGATTATCAGTCTGAATGCGAATTCGGTGTATGGGATCGACGCACGAGTTGGCGAGCCACTTGACACCAACACGATCGCCAACCTTCACGGGCGAGTTGGAAGTGTTCGCGCCTGCGATCCGAGATCAGTGAATGGGAAGTTGGGGAAATGCGGGGTAGACGCACCGATCGCGACGATGGTACCAACACCTTCGTGACCACCGATGAGCGGGGTCTTGGGCGGGACGGGCCAGTCGCCGAGAGCGGCGTGCAAGTCGGTGTGGCAGACACCCGTGCAGACCATCTTGAGCAAGCACTCGCCCGGCGCGAGCTCCTCGGGACGCTTGATGCGCACATCCTTGATCTCGATGGCGGCGCCGCTCTGGGGAACGACCGCGGCCTTCATCGTTTCGGGGACCTGGGGCGACATCTTTGCGTTCGAGGAAGTAGAGGAGAGGAAGCTGTGGTGTATAGGAGGTGTGCTGAATTCGCTGAGAGGCGATGGGGAACTTCTCTTCCGCCGTCTATCTGCCTTTTTATCCGCGCGCTCGCATGCGCGATCTTGTCAACAGGGTCAGGCAGCCGCGTGCGGCTCCAGGCCGTCGCAAATGGTGGCGCGCGAATCAGGCTTGAATCGCGATACAGATCGCTCTGGACGTGATGACATTGACCAAGACAGAGCGCGAGGGGGCATACGCAGCAGCGCGAGGGGTGGATCGCGGCCTGCCGAAGCCAGCGGCAGCCCGCCGAGGGTCACGCTGGCACTCTCCATAGGCTGACGGAGGGCCGGTCTGGCGTCGAGATCAGGTTTGTCCAGTACAGTCTCGCACGCACCTGGGATGGGAGTAAATTGGGGTCTAGAACTTGCATCACCCGCCCCCTGACGGGCCCCCGACCTGGACCAAATCGATAAGGAGGCGTTGTTGAAGGCGAAGGAGTCGAGGTCAGCTGGTAGATGCTGTCCAGGTTAGCCGTAAGTCCCAAGCATTCTGTGCGCTCCCGCTGTCCATTCGAGTCCCGACGGACTAGCGCTCGCTGGGGAGCTCTGGGGTAGTCCATACCGTTCGGAAAGCAGAGCGCGCTTAGGAGTAGTTGCCTACGCAATTGGAATATGATACGGTCGTCGGCACTTGTCCGAGATGTACCATGATAACGGGGAGGCTGAGTAGAGGAGGAGAGGGACTTGCACCAACCAGCGCATGAGTTCACGTTGTGCAATTGCGGGCTACATCGGCGTTTCAAGCCTTCTAGAAAACCAGCGGGGCATATTGGGTACAGATATATGCCACAGTCGTAGCCGTACATGGAGAGGACACGGTCCCGCCCTAGGGTGTGAGTGCCAGAAACAAGCTCAACTTCGGAGCGCGACGAGCCGGAAGTTTGGTGTGAGTCACTGTAGGTCCATTTTGAGGCGTGCGAAAGACCGCCACGAAGTGAGCAGCACGTGCAAAGTTCAACAATGCCAGCTGCCTCGAGGCGCTTTTGAACGCAACACGAGGCGCGCCGGCGCGGGCATTACGCGGTTGCGTCACAGGCTCTCCAGTATGGACGTCGGCGTACACGTTCCCGTTGCAAGTTTCGCGAAATTACCACTCGTGTCGCCCTCACAACTCGGCATGCTGTGTTCCGTGCAGTGAAGGCGCCTCCGGAGGTTCAAAAGTAGAGCGCGCGCCTGAGCAGTTCGCAGGCGCACCTTGCCCTTCTATTCTACCTCTTTCTATTCTTCTCACGCACGCCGCCACACGAGGGGACAGTCCCACAGCTCGCGCCTTAGCGACTCCCGTCATGTTCGTTCTCGGCGTGCTCGCTCTGCTTACGTCCGTCCGCGCCTACGATCTCGTGCGGGACTACTCAGGCTCTTCCTTCTTCGATCGGTGGGACTTCTACGGCTACTGGGACAACCTGGTGAGGGGTCCGATGACTCGGTCATTACAAGCTCAGCAGCTAACGAAGCGCTTCCCGCGACGCTTGCATTCCGTTCCTGCGTTCTCTCGACCTCATTCTGCGCTCATGTCCGCTCTCCCCGCCTTGCTCCGCTGAATGTGTATGCAGACGCTCGGTTCGTGGCCACCTTCGTTTGTGGCGATGACGTAGGGCGCTAACCACCTTATAGGCGATGTGTGGTGGCTCAACAGGAACGATGCGTTCTCGCAGGGCCTCACGTACATCAACAACGCCGGGAACGCAGTGTTGAAGGTTGACAACGAGCACGACGTCGCCTGGAACTACAAGCGGAACTCGGTGAGTGCGAGTTCGCGGAAAGTAGGTGGCGTGGAACTGAGGCAAGTCCGAAGGTACGGATTACAAGCCAGGACACCTACGCCGTTGGAAGCTTGTGGATCACAGACGTGGTGCATGTTCCTTATGGTGAGAATTGCCTTGGGACTTCACTTTGGGTAACATTGACCTGTCCCTCAAAACAGGTTGCTCTGGTAAGCGCCGAGCTTCTTGTGCAACCTTACACGGACTCTGACCCGCTTCGCAGTATGGGGCGCCATATGGACGAAGGGTCCCACCTGGCCCGACAATGGCGAGATCGAGTAAGTAACATATGTGGCGCGCCTCTTCAAGACGCTCCCAGCTTAATTCGTCCTACAGCATCTTTGAAACCATCAACCGCATGCCCATCAACCAGTACGCCTTGCACACGACCGAGGGTTGTATGAAGGACACGCCGGACAACCAAGTAGGTATGTACCAAGCGGCGCAGAAGTTCCATACATCGTTCACGCCGTGCACGAGAGTCGGATGCGTGGCGTGTCTCAGAGCTGTACTGACACCTTTACCGACAGGCACGACCGTCGTGGAGGACTGCTCGCAAGCTGCTGGCTGCACCGTCACCGAGAACTACGAGAACAGCGCCTACACAGGCTTCGCAGAGGCCGGCGGTGGCGTCTGGGCGACGCAGTTCGACGTTTCTGGGTGAGTGTGGCGCAGCAATAATCGTAAAATATGTGCTGATCATTCTCATAGAATTTAGTACGTTCTTCCATTCACACCAACGACGAGATGAACGCTGACTTCTGGTGGCATCATAGTATATGGTTTTGGAGCGTAAGTAGCACACATCGATAATCATGCTCGACGTGCTGAGCACCCGCAGCGCCCGAACGTGCCAGCGTCCATCACGCAGTCGACTTCGACGTCCGGCGTCGACCTCTCGGACTGGGGCCCGCCCTCGGCAGCCTTCCCTTCGACGACCTGCAACATAACCGAGTACTTTACGCCCCAGAACCTGGTTATCGATATAACGTTTGTCCCTTTTCCATTTATTGAGTATCGAGCGAAACCTTGACGTCTATGATGTTAGCCTCTGCGGTAATTGGGCTGGTTTGCCGGAGACCTACGCGGAGACCTGCTCTGGTGGTACGACTGGGCTTTGCGTGAGTAGTTCCCTCCATCGTCCAACACCTATCGCTCCCAACATTCCCAACTCTTCCCATTACCCCTTTTCCCTCGACCACCTCACTCACCCCCGCCCAGTACAACGACAACGTCATCGGCTCTGGCGCCAACTACAACGACGCCTACTTCGAGATCAAGAACATCCGCGCCTACACCACCGGCGGCGTCGCGCCCACGCCCACCGCCAACTACCAGGGGACCATACCCACCATCACCGGCACGTCGGCCTTACATAGTAGCACGTCGACGGTGGGCACGGCGCTCATCCCGACGCCGTGGTACTACCCGGGCGCGGCGGTGAGCGATGTGAGGGTGGGGATGGGGAATATCCTATTAGCTGTGGGGGCGATTGTGGCACTCAGTGGGTTTCTGCTTTGAGGGGGTCTGCAGTTGGAGATGAACTCCGTTCGAACGGCCACAGGGGCGCACCTGACGTTTTCGACGACTTATTTTGCTTTTTATGACATGGCTACGACAGTAGACGACTCCATGCAGGACGTGGTATTGTAGACTTTACTTATGCGGTTTGGATACGATTGACGCTGGACGGACTTGCAACGAACGATAGTAGACCGGAATATATCGGTCGTAAATGGTCGCGGAGTAGGGGTGTACTGGCAGGGTACGAGGGTCTTCGCGTAGGTGCAAGCGAGGGCGAGGCGGGGTAAGGATACGCTATTTCCCTCCCGCGACCTTCTTCATCTGTGCTAAGGTCTTGTCGACCTCCTCGATACTGCGGTCCAGAAGTTTTTGGTACTGTATTCGTCAATTAGTTGGTACTACAGGAAGTACCCACATGACACGCACCTCTTCCAGCTCGACTGAGTGCTTTTCGAACTTGCCCTTCTTGACACTGGTCTGCATCTGCTTGCGCAGTTGTACTCGCGTGTCTTCGGCCTTGCGCTGGGCTTCGGTGTGTAGACGCTGGCGCGCTTCAACTGTGGGTCTACCGAGGTTGGTCTGTCAGTGCAGAACGTGTATTCAGAATGAAGACACGCACTTCGGTATGGGGATCTTGATTGTGCGCACGTCCTGCCGCTGAGGCACAATATTGGGCAATTTCGACTCATAAAGGGCGCTCTCGACGGCTTTCATGGTCTACTAAAGTCACATGAGCGCGCTTCGCGTCGCCAAACTGAACCACTCACGGATTCGTCGAACAGAGTCACCAGCAGCGTCGAGCCCTCGCGCACGCCCACCGTCGCCACCTCTTCCAGCCGGTACTCCCCGCCCTCGATCTTCACGCGCACGGGGGAGAGCAGCTGCGGCGTCACGCGCCCACTCGCGCGCGCCTCCGCGCTCGCGCAGTCTTTGCGGAACCACTCGACCGCGGCCTTCATCTTTTCCTCCGCCTTGTCGTACTCCTGCTGCGCGGCCTCGTCCGCGAACTTCTGCTTCGAGTGCGGCACGAAGCTGGCGGTGGATTTCGGGCCCTTCGCCTTCTTGACGGGCTCTTCGTCGAGGAGCAGGTCATCCTTGGCGTTCTTCTTGCTGGCCTTTTTCGAAGCGTAGCGAACGGTCCGGGGTGCAACGGCGAGACCTGCTCGCGCGCTGAGGAGGCGAGGGGACGCGACGCGCCGGGCAGTGAGGCGGAGGAGGGAAGACATGCTGGAAATGAGCGACGGCGACGGACGTCGGACGGTGCTCGGAGCGGAAAGGTGATCGCGAATAATTGATCCGTCGTCGGCGTAAACACTGTTCAACAATGAACTTGTTCTTGACCTTCACAAGCTCAATGCTCAAGACTGCTTTTCTCGTCTTGGCTCGTAACTTGGCAGAATATGGAAGAAGATTATATACGAAAATGGAACATACGGCGCTGCTAGCGCCTCATCATTACTTCCTGCTTTTCAGACGATCCACCGGCAGTCTGCTAAGACTCACGTGTAGACACATCACATTTGCCTACAAGGGGCTTGTCGCGGATAGCTTTCTGACCTGGAAAGGTCGCCTCGGAGCGCTTTTGGGCATCAGATTTTGCCCCGCTATCGTTCAAGTAGCGAGATGAGTCACCCCAACCAGCGAGGTCTTCCCTTTTCGGACGCTATCGTCTGCACCGTTCGTCCCGTCCCCGCCTACTCGTCGCGCGCCTCCTGGATACCGCGCACTCTCTGCGCTCGGCGGGAGGATTATCATGCTGCCTGTGCAAGCGGCCATGCTCCGCTGCCAGCGAGCTGTACGGGTAGGTGGATAGTGGTGGGCGGCATATATAACGAAGGGAGGCGGATGTGGTGGTCCCATTGCTTGTTTGCTGCATCTCTCCCCCCTTTTCCCTTCACCTTTTCACCCAATTTAGATGAATTCCGTAAATTTCTTGAATGAGACGCTGGAGGCGACGTCCACCCTGGTCGCCCGCGCGGCCTCGTCCACCGGCCCATTAGGCGGTCGGTCACCTTATGGATATACACCCACCGACTGGATTTGTATCTTATTCCTCGTCTTGTATGGCATCTCGACTGGTATGTTGCCCCGCCTTCGAGGCTTGACTTTCTTCTTTGACCTGACCCAACTTTCGCAGTCCTCCACATCGGCGAAGCAGCAATAACGCGCTCCTGGTTCATCTATCCCACCGCCGTCCTCGCCGGAATCCTCGAACTTCTCGGCTGGGGCGCGCGATACGCAAGCTCGGGGAATGTGCATCTGAAGTGGGCGTTCCAAATGCAGATTACTTGCACGATCATCGGTCAGTGGATTCTTCGTTTGAGCGCCACTCAGGGATAACCTGACTGACTATCGCATGCGTGCAGGCCCTACACCACTTCTCGCTGCCAACTTTATAATTTTGGGAAGGATTATTGAGATCCTTGGACCCGCGTACAGTCGATTGAGTCCAAAGCGATGTAAGCCCACTCTTCCTGTACGCCCCGCGTTATCACTCGAACTTACCCGCACTGTTCAACAGACAGCGTGATCTTCTGCACGGGCGACGTCATCTCTCTCATCGTCCAGGGCCTCGGAGGTGGTGTCGCCTCTGCTGCCTTCGGGAAGGGCAAGAGCCCGGACAAGGGCGGCAACATCATGCTAGCAGGGATTTTGTTTCAGATGTGTGCGTAGCAATTGTTTCTTTCTGATCTTCCAACCTCCCTCCTTGGCTCGTCCCACTCGACCGATGGCTCAAGCGCTCTCCAGTCTGCCTCATTATCTTCACATTGTGCTTCATCGAGTACTTCGTGCGCTACTTCGCCGACAAGCCCGTCAAGTCGCTCGAGCAGCCGGCGAAGCGGAATCCCATGTCGCAGAACTTGAAGCTGATGTCGTCAGGATTGACGTTTACTATTCTGGTCATCTTTGTGCGGTACGTACAAGCGCGGACTCGACTGCCCTGAGTGCGCTGACAACGGCTTGCATAGGTCCATCTACCGGACAATCGAGTTGTTGGATGGCTGGCAAGGTCGCATTATCACGACAGAGGTGTACTTCGGTGAGTACCTTCCACTGCATTCGCTTGTGTATCCATTGCTGACCGACAAATCAGACGTGATGGACGGCGCGATGATTATTCTTGCGACGTACTGCCTGAACTGCATCCACCCAGGCTTCCTGTTGCGGAAGCAGACAGCAGGCGAGAGGATCAAACTCGATTCATTGGGTGCGTAGTTGATTACACTGAAGCACTGCGTTCCGCGGGCCATCTACTGAGATTAATGACAGAAGGCACTGGTTCGGTGGATACTCGCACCGATGCAGTGAATGCGTGACGGCGGTTCTTTCTCATCGGACTTGGGATAGGGATTTTTGTATACCTGTACATGATAATTTGTTGTCTACGTACTTACTTCTCGCTCTTTATTCTATCCTAAGAAGACGTCTCCAAAACGAACTGAGGCGTGGAAACTAAGAAGACCTCCACGTGCCGGTCATAAACAATGACGCGAGTCATCCGAGAAGCGCGTGACAGGTCGCGGACCCGACGCGTGACAAATTGGCGCGTCTTGTCACAGATCAGTCACGCTCATTTGGCCATTCCATTGTGTGCTATGACCCTGCTGTTGACCACAACCACCATCCAGCATGTCTGAACTGTCGCCGGCGCAGCTCGTCGCGCTCGCAAAGACGACCTTGGGGCTGCCCCAGACGTCGCCTGTGAGTCCCTCGTCGCCGTTGCCACCATTCGTGTTGTTTATGCTGAGACCGTACGTACTAGGATCGCGCCGTCCCGCGAGCATACCTCAACGAACTGAGCATACACTTGAGTCTGTATCCGAATGAGACGAACGTGCGTTTGCCACACCTCTTCAATGAGCTCAGCCCCACTGACCGCGCCCGCCAGTTTCGCGTTACGCTCCAGCCCAATGTGGCATGTGAGTGCCGTCACCGCGGTCCGCGGCGTTCCCAAGCTCAATCACTAATCTTGCCTAATGCAGTGGGGGAAATAACGTGTCTGCACCCAGCGTGCCAGGCCAAGACCCTGAAGCTCCAACCGCGCTTCAGAGCCCCGGATGGCGGGCTGAAAGACGGGATCGGCTCCTTGAGCGTGTATCGCGTGCGTGATGCGTTGTCGGACTCGCGGAACGTGTACTGAACGTGTATCTGCAGCGCCATATTGAGAATGACGCGTCGCACAAGACGCGCCGCGGCAAGAATGAGATCGTGAAGCGCGAAGTGGTGCGTTGGACCCCATATATGCGCGATCAAAGGCTCATGCGATACATGTAGATCGACGACTTCGCGCCCGACAACTCTCCCCTTGCCGGATCCAGCTCCAACCCGATGCGTCTTAAGGGTGGTGCGCTTAGCCGCGACCCATCCAATGCTAGCTTGTCGCGCAAGAAGAGCGTAGGCGCAAAGCCTAAGGGCGGCGTCAAGCCAGAGCCCTCCGAGCCCACCATTCCCAAGAAACGCGTCACGAACGATGCCTCTACCAGCGCCAGTGCGCGCAAGGCCGCGACCTCCGCCCCCAAGCGCATCAAGACCGAGACTAGCTTTGTGTCTCGTCACTCATCGCCAGAGAACGTTCGCAGCGTCGAGGATATCCGCGAAGAAATCGAGGCCGTGTCCATCGAGATCGCCGAGCTGCAGCGCAGCCTGTTCCGCATGCGCCGCAAGGTCAGGCCGACCAAGGCAGAGCAGACGCGCACCCGCAAGCTCGACTCGAAGCTCAAGGACCTGAACGACAAGAAGGAGCGTCTGAATGCGTCGCTGCCGACGCTCGCGCCGAGCTCACCTCTGAGGCGCACGAACTCGCACGTGTATGCCGACCTGTCCTTCAAGCGCCGACCCGTGGACCAGAAGCCGGTTCTCCAAGGCCTGAGCACAAGCGCGAACCCGTTTCCCGGACGCGTCAAGCCAGAGCCCATCGTCGCCCCCCTGCCGCCCATCAGACGCTTGCCCGTCAAGCCAGAGCCGAGCTCCTCAAACGTCAAGCTCGAGTCTCCTTTTGCGAAGGTATCTCGCCCTAAGCCGCGTGCTGCTGTCCGCCGGCGGTCGTCCCCCGTCGCCTCGGGGTCCGATGTCCACCTCCCGCCATCCAGCTTGCCGCCCTCGAGCGACTTCGACTACGACATGGACGTCGACTCGGATGGGGCCGACGTGATGCCCGAGACCATCCTGAACAAGTTTGGCGAGGCGATCCCCAACATCGCGCCCGTCGGCGGCTGGGAGAACTTCGACGCCGAGGGCAACTTCCACGGTCGAGGCAGGGACCACTTCCAGGGGCCGCAGGCCAAGGCAGACGAGTAAGTCAAGTCGAGTATATGCGCATATATGCGGGCTGATAGACACCGACAGCATCGAGAAGTTCCTCGTCGAGGCAGGCAACTCGGAGCAGTTCGAGGACAACGCGACGGTCGACCAGGCGCAGAAGAAGCTCGGGATGAAGAACCAGTACCAGCTGCTCGATGGGATGCAAGTGCCGCTCATGGCTCATCAAGCCATCGGTGTGGCGTGGATGGTCGACCGGGAGCGCTCGAAGATGAAGGGCGGCTGCCTTGCGGATGAGATGGGCCTGGGGAAGACCGTGCAGATGTAGGTGTCGCTGTTGACTTAGGTCGGCGGAGACTGATTGGGTATATGCAGGATTGCGACCATGGTCTTCAACCGCTCGAAGGACAACAACTGCAAGACGACGCTCATCGTTGCGCCGGTGGCTCTACTGTCGCAATGGACGCTCGAGATTGAGATGAAGACGGCTTGCGGGTTTGAATGCGTGATCTATCACGGTAAGGCTGCCTCTCGTTTGCGCTCGCACGCCTGCTGACATGCTCGCAGGGAGCACGAAGCCGAGGTCGAAGAAGGAGCTCCTCTCTTACGACTTTGTGCTGACGACGTACGGGACGCTGGCAAATGGTACGTCACGGCATACAATACCATTCCTGCTCACGCTCATCGGCCTCGCAGAATGGCCCGACTGGGAGAACGAGATGAAGAAGAAGGAGAAGGCGCTGCGCAAGAAGACCAAGGGCCAGGCTAGCTCCGACGACTTTATTGTCGACGACAGCGACGACGAGCCGATGACCAAGAAGAGCAAGGGCAAGAAGATGACGAAGGGGCTGCTCTTCCAGGTTGACGTATGTGTTCCCTCATCGCCTTTTTCGTCTGGGAGCTCACCGTAGAGCGTTAGTGGTACCGCGTCGTCCTGGACGAAGGGCAGAACATCCGCAACCGGCGTACTCGTGAGTTGTCCTCCTACATGTGCGATTGCATCGTGCTCAAATTCTGTGCAGGTGTCTCTCGTGCTGTGACTGACCTTCAGTCCGAGTTCCGTTGGGTGCTCTCTGGCACGCCCATCATCAATGGTCTGCAGGACGCATACGGGATGTTCCGCTTCCTCAAGGTTCGCCCTTGGTATGACTTGAAGGAGTTCCAGGTATGTACATTCACCCTACCATATTTTGTGTCGCTGACGCTCCTTTCAGCAACACATCGGTCTTCTGGAGCGCAAGAATCGTGAGTATTCATACTTTCTCCGCCTGACGTGGGCTCACATCCTCGCAGCGCAACTCGCCGTCTCTCGTCTGCAGGCCATCTTCCGCACCTGCCTCCTCCGCCGCATGAAGAACACGAAGCTCGACGGCAAACCACTCATCGATCTCCCGGAGAAGGTCGTCGAGCTAACGAGGCTGATCTTCTCCGAGGAGGAGCGGTCGGTGTACACCCAGGTCGAGACAAGGACTCAGAACCAGTTCAACCGGTTCTTGCGTGCGGGGACGGTGCTCAAGTGAGTCGAGCGCTTCGACTTTGTGTAGCTTATAGCTGATGCGCCGAACAGGAACTACCACCAAGTCCTCGTGCTTCTGCTTCGCCTTCGCCAGTGCTGCGTACACCCTTGCCTCATCCAGGAGGATATGAACGCCTTCGTGTCGGCCATCGAGGCCGCTGTCGACGACCCCGAGATTGCGACTGAGCTCAACCGCGCGCTTCGCAAGGAGGGCGCCGAGTTCGTGCAGAAGGTCAAGGATAAGCGGAAGGAGGTGGCACTCGCGCGCATGGCGGCTGAGAAGGAGGTAAGTCGTGTGTATGGATACACCTCTGGGCATGAGTTGACCGCGTCCCGTAGTCCGAGGATGCCACCGTCGAGCCAGAGGAGTGCCCCATCTGCTTCGACAACCTTACGGATGCGGTGATCACCAAGTGCATGCATGTTTACTGTGCTGGATGCATCCACGACGTTCTGGCCACGGCCCGCGTCGAGAACGATGACGAGAAGAAATACAAGGCGGACGAGCGTCCATGTACGTGCTTTCTCGCGAGATCCTCCCACATGGCTGACATTTTATTGCAGGCCCTTCTTGCCGGGAGCCCATCTCCAAGGACAGGCTTTACAAGCGTGAAGCTTTCGAGCCTACGGACGACGAGCTCAATGGCCGTGTCAAGAAGGAGGAGGCCGAAGTGATTGACATCGAGGATTCGTCGGACGAAGAGGATAACGACGACGATGAGGACTACAAGGATCCCAAGGGCAAGGGTAAAGCTAAGGCCTTGCCTCGGCGTCGCTCCACTCGCACCAGGCGCCCCTCCAACAAGATGCGGATCGACTCGGAGGACGACGGCTACGGGGCGGACGACATTGAGTCTGAGCCGGAGTCCAACAGCGACGATGACGACTACGACGACGACATGAGTGACTTCGTCGTCGAGGCGGACGAAGACGAGGAGGAGAAGGACCTCCAGCGCGCGCTCAAGCGTCAGGCCAAGTCGCGGGCGAAGGGCAAGGGCCGCGCGATGGTCGTCGACGACTCCGACGACGAGGTCATCTATGGTTTGCCCAAGAGGAAGCCCGCGGCCGCGGCGCAAGGTGAGGGTGAGGAGAAGGCCGATCTCATGTCGAGGTTCTTGCCGTCGACGAAGATGAAGTACATGATGGAAGCTCTAGGTGAGTCTCTTGCATGAACTGGAGAGATGATGTCTAACTGCGTATCAGAGCGTCTGTTCAAAGAGAAGCCGGATGAGAAGGTCATCCTCGTATCGCAGTGGACCACTGCTCTCAGCTTGCTCTCCGACTACTTGTCCGAGCGCCACATCGCCCACGTCAAGTACCAGGGCGACATGAGCCGCAATGCTCGTGACGCGGCCGTCCGCGCCTTCATGGCCAAGGATAAGGCCAAGGTCATGCTCATGTCCCTCAAGTGCGGTGGTAAATACTACACTTCCTCAGCTCTCCGCACATCCTCACACATCCTGCAGGTGTCGGGCTCAACCTCACTCGCGCCAACAACGTCATCTCCCTCGACCTCGGGTGGTCGGAGGCGGTGGAGGCGCAGGCTTTCGACCGCGTGCATCGCCTCGGCCAGACGCGCAAGGTGCGCGTCGAGCGCCTTGTCATCGACAACACCGTCGAGGACCGCATCCTCGGGCTGCAGGAGCGCAAGGCCCTGCTTGCGGACGGCGCCCTCGGTGAGGGCAAGGGCAAGAAGATTGGTCGCTTGTCTGTCAAGGAGCTCGCTAACTTGTTCGGTCTGAACATGCGCGGCGAGCGCTTGCGTGACGAGGACTAAGTCTAGAGTGCTGGCCTTGCTTGCCTCCCCTTCTTGCTTTCTGCGCTGGTATTTTCACTCGCGTTGGCTTGCTTGACCATCTCGCGTGCCCCGGACAGCATACTTTCTCCCTTCTAATTTGCTGTGCTTATTTGTTGATTACCGGTAGATGAATCCTTGCTATGCTCTTCTTATCGTAGACAACCCACCTATTGTGTATCGTATTACGCTTTCCTCCCAGGTTGAATCCAGTCGTCTTGCTCGTTACGTTCGAAAATGCGCCTTCTCAAGGGTTTCATGACCGTCCTACAGCGTTGTTTGGAGGACATTGAAGATTCGCAGTCCGAGTGAAGACATGTCGTACGAAGTCTTCCTAAGAGGTGAAGGTCGTTGCCGAGATGCATGGCGACAAACCAAAGCCACGCCACCGTCGTGCCACGCGACGAGCCGGATGGTAAAGCTGAGGTCTTGACGAGCCACGTGCAAAGTTCGGAACACAGACAATACGATTTCAAGCGACAGTTACACACAAAGATGGGGGCATAGTAGTAGTACAGCGATCAGACATCGAGGGACACGTTAGGGAGACAAGAACGATGCGCCGCGGGGACTGTCGTGCGAGTCGTGAGCGACGGCGTCGAGCGGCGCAGGAAGCCGGCGTACCTTTGTGCGGCGCGACTGCCAGTGGTGAGGAGCGTTGAGCGCTTAGGCCTTGGTGGTGCCGGAGCTGCCGCCTCTGCCGCCGCTGCTTCCGCCCTTCCCGTCCTTGCCCCTGCGGGAGGTGTCCTTCTTCGGCGCGCCAGGGTTGTACTGCGATGAAGTGGGTTAGCCGGGGAGCCGGCCCCGCAGATGTTGAACGCGAACGCAGCGGAGGATACATACGTTGACCGAAGACGGGCAGATAGACTGACCACAATCGCTGACTTTGATGTTGGGGGTCGCCCTACCGTCGGTGCTTGTGAACGTGCACATCTATCGGGACAACAGTCAATCTCGACAGCGAGCGAGGGCGAGGGTTGTGGGAAGACGGCTTACTTCGTGGGTTGGATAGGAGTTGTGTGTTGTGCGGCTGACTTTGAGGGGAGAGTAGACGATGAGGAGGCTTGTCTGGAGGACTCTCCCTCTAGCGCTGCCTCTTATATACCCGTCATTCTGGGTGAAAAGAAATTGTTAACGCAGCATGCGCGGCACCGTAGTCGATCCGTTCGAAAGAGGGGCTGTCCCGGATTCTGGCTGGCAGCCGAGTGCGGTCCCGGATGACTCGCTCAGCATGGCTTCGATGCTGTTCCCTCGAGTCCCACAAGTGAAGAGGGCGAACATGACCAAAGCTGTGAACAACTCGCGGTGGGCGCCAGCCTCGAGATGCTAGTCTCGGGACCCCGCGAGTAGCAATACAAAACACAGTTCGCTGCTCCTTCGAGGAGTCAGCAAGGTTCGTCACACTGGATCGCAGATGAGGGCGAAGGGCAGAAATCATTGAGGGATACAAAGCGGCGCTTACCGGCGTGCTTCGTTCTCCCCCTTTGGCAGCCTCTCCGTGGTCGCACTCCAGCGTCGCAGTCTGCGCTTCGTGCTCCATTCGGTGCACAACGAGACCCAGGTCGAGCGAATTCGTCCTAATCCCTGTGGTGTCCTGTCAAGAGAATCAAGGTCGCGGAGTAAAGCTTGACCTATGACGATTCCTAATGCGATTCAGAGGTCAGAATCATTCGGTCCGCTTGCGTGTACAAGAATTTACGAATGCGAAGCGTTGCCCTCCTAAGGGACGACTCGAGCTCCGACCAGACGTTCCCTCGAGACGTTAGATGAGGTGGTCTATGACCATAGGGGTTTGCGCATGGCTTCGTTCTATTCGTCTGTCGATGGAGAACATACTCTGAATGTAGGAGACGCTCAATAAAGGGATCTAGGACTCCTGAGTGTTGAGCGTCGGGGGTGCGTCCGGTGTTGTTGATCAGACTCATGAAAGCGGAAGCTAGAAGCGGATTATCGGACCGGCCACCCGAGCCTTGTCCTTCTGGATATTTCAATTCGTCTATCCCACAAACCCGACTCCGCCCAGCACACGAAGACGCCAGGGTCTCCTGCTGCTGACCGACAACCGAACGTCCGGTGCTTGATAACTTCAATTTAACCGCGGGAAGCTACCTCTCTTTTGGGTCCCAGATTACACGAAGGCTGTTCAATACATCAACTTCAAGCCAGTCGCATGGATTAGTAGTGAGTTCACTGTTTTCCGGATATCGCAAGTGCCGCCGAGTCGCGCCGTAGTTCATGCGCATTTGAAGTCCAACACAAGTTCTCTCTGCCTCTCTGATGTATTAGTGAGTCACATAATTTGAAGCCTACTATCAACCTGCGGTCGCCGTTAGCGCCTAATCTCGGGTCCTTGCCTTCGCAGAAGAGTCCTTCATCCGACTCTTTCAGCCATTCGGGTCCTGAATAACAGTCTTCGCTTGCCCTACGCCATTGCTTGCCCTGCGTTATCGCTTGCACGAGCCTGTGGCTACGCTCACGACGCGCGCAGGCACGCTTAGCAAGATGCCTCATGCCACACACGCAAAGCGCATCGCATCCAGCGAAGGACGTCTGTGCAGCGGCATGACTCACGGCCAGACACCATCATGGGCTTGATGCGCTGGCTTTGCTCAGCGCGTAGTTGTGACCTTCACTGATCGCCACATCAGGCGCGCGCGATGCGAGACTATCATATCCCCGGCAGTCGTGGCTCCAATGGAGCAGTCGCGGCGCGTTCGTACAATGGAGGCGCAAGTGTGACACTGCGTACGACAGAGCGGCGACATGGCTGATCCCTCGACGAGAGCATGATCTTCCTGAGTCTTGTATAGTCCTTTGCCCTACGAAGTGCCCCTGGCGAGCTTGGCATCTCGGGATTAGGACGAATGCGCTCGACCTGGGTCTCGTTGTGCACCGAAGGGAGCCCGAAGCACAGACTGCGATGCTGGAGTGCGACCACGGAGGCTGCCGAAGGGGGAGAACGAAGCATGCCGGTAAGCGCCGCATCCCTCAATGCTTTCTGCCCTTCGCCCTCATCTGCGATCCAGTGTGACGAACCTTGCTGACTCCTCGAAGGAGCAGCGAACTGTGTTTTGTATTGCTACTCGCGGGGTCCTGACTAGCACCTCGAGGCTGGCGCTCATTGCGATTTGTTCACAGCTTTGGTCATGTTCGCCCTCTTCACTTGTGGAACTCGAGGGAACAGCGTCGAAACCATGTTGAGCGAGTCATCCGGGACCGCACTCGGCTGCCCGCCAGAATTCGGGACAGCCCCTCTCGAATGGATGCCGTGGTCCACACACGACTACGGTGCCGCGCATGCTGCGTGAACAATTTCTTTTCACCCATAATGACGGGTATATAAGCAGCAGCGCTGAGGTGAGAGTCCTCCAGACAAGCCTCCTCATTGTCTACTCTCCCCTCAAAGTCAGCCACACAACACACAACTCCTATCCAACCCACGAAGTAAGCCGTCTTCCCACAACCCTCGCCCCCGCTCGCTGTCGAGATTGACTGTTGTCCCGACAGATGTGCACGTTCACAAGCACCGACGGTAGGGCGACCCCCAACATCAAAGTCAGCGATTGTGGTCAGTCTAACTGCCAGTCTTCGGTCAACGTATGTATCCTCCGCTGCATTCGCGTTCAACATCCGCGGGGCCGGCTCCCCGGCTAACCCACTTCATCGCAGTACAACCCTGGCGCGCCGAAGAAGGACACCTCCCGCAGGGGCAAGGACGGGAAGGGCGGAAGCAGCGGCGGCAGAGGCGGCAGCTCCGGCACCACCAAGGCCTAAGCGCTCAACGCTCCTCACCACTGGCAGTCGCGCCGCACAAAGGTACGCCGGCTTCCTGCGCCGCTCGACGCCGTCGCTCACGACTCGCACGACAGTCCCCGCGGCGCATCGTTCTTCTCTCCCTAACGTGTCCCTCGATGTCTGATCGCTGTACTACTACTATGCCCCCATCTTGGTGTATAACTGTCGCTTGAAATCGTATCATCTGTGTTCCAAACTTTGCGTGACCCGCAAGAACCTCAACTTGGCCAGCCAGCTAGCGTCTCGAGGTCGTAGCATCGTCCTCGCAAGATACTCGACGCTTGCATGACCGCAAGTTGTTGTTAAACATTCGGCCACCAATCAAGAACACGCCTAGACTCGTTCTTCATATCTTGAGAGCTACGCCAGATCAGCCGGCATACCTTTATATATTGAGAAAATCTACTTCGCGTTTGGACGCCGAACGCGCGCTGAGCTATGGGCTTTCTCAAGGTATACCCCAAGCCAAATACATCACGACCGCTGTCTACCGTTGGCAAGTCAAGCTACAACAAATTCAAGCAGAATTCAATGCGCGCGATGAAGGCCCGGCAATCCAATTAGGTGATTCGAACGACCGCCACCGATATATCGTCACGGTAGTAGGCTGGATCCGCATGTGTCGTGACCAAAGCATCCGCCATCTTTTCCCGATCCATTCCAAAGAGAGCGTTTCTAATGACACGATCCGCGACGTTGTCGCTCGCCGCCGGTGCCATCATATCGTGCCCAAGCTTGTCAAAGAGCAACTTGGCCGATGCAGTGTCCAAACCACTATCAGTAGCGAGCGCGACCATGGCGCGCGTCTTGGACTCCTCGCTTTCAAGCTTTTCCAAAGCGAGGCGAAGACCATCTGAAGACATGATGAGGACATCACCTGGCGCGAGAGCACGTCGAACGACTGTTGGCGTGGAGGATATGTATGGAGGGTGAAGATGGCCGCGGTTCTGCCAATCCTCGATGTTGTTGGTGCCCAGGTAAGATGGGTACGCGTAGGTAAGAATTTTCGTGGTAAGGCGCAAGCCGACCTTCATCGGGAAGTCACCGAGTGCTGTTGTGTAGGCAGAATTTTAGTCGCTAGCTTTGATCGATGGAGAGGCTACTGACCACGGGTGACGGCGAGATATCCCAGATTGCGTCTGTTATAGACAACAGATGGCTCGCCGGGGTGCTCAGCTTGCAACCGGGAAACCTCCGCGGGGTTATCGCAATTGTGAAAGTCGTTCAGAATCTCGCATTGAACCTGGCCGTCGACGACGCGACCAATCACTGCGTGGAGAGCGCCTTCTTCAGCAGAGTAGAGTATACGGCCGAAGATCACCCGCTTACCTGCCTCCGAGTCCCCCAATGACGCTACCCACAAATTCTTCTTATCCTTGTCCACAAAGCAGACAAGCGCCGTGGAGCCAACTATCGTACGCCTGCCGGCCATAAAAATGGGATCATCCCGCGTGTATCCGATGATCTCGAAGACCTCCGACGAGTCGTCCCAAAGCGGGTCGTCCCAGTTGGTGTCTGCACCTTGTGGGAAATGCTTCAAAAAGTCGTGGAGTAACGAGGCATCGAAGTCTTCTATGCCTTTGATGAGAGCCTCCTCGACTGCCGCAGATATATCGACAGCGTTAGTTGAGGAGACATTGCGAGAGATACGTTCACAGAGCTGTTGAGGCAGGACCTTGGCGGCGTAATCAGACAACTCGTCCGTGTAATGACCTGCAGACGCGCTCAGTCAGGCAGAAGCCTACAGTTTGAGGGCGGAAAACGCACCATCGAAGATGGCGATCAGCACGCCCAAAGCGCAGGAGTGAATGGCGATCCTATCCTCGCTCACAGCCTTCAACCCGCGAAGGGACGAATGATGGACCTCGAGGCCCACTTCATCAATCGCATCGATTCCAGAGGTGCACAAAGCGTTGTATGCAGCGCCGAGGTCGGCTTCAGCGACGTTTACTGAAGATTCTGGCGCGGCTGTCATGGTTGCGGAAGAGCACCGTGTTGGATGGTCAGGTGATTCAGCAGCGTGTTGAACTTTCACTGCCATCAGAATCAACGAAGGTGTTTGCCACGTGTGGACCTACACGACCAAACACAGTTCAACAGAGTGGTCACGTTCAACTTACTCGCCGGGCTCAAGCTTTTCTCGTCTCATACGCCGCAGAATTTGTCTTTGGTAGCCTTGGTCTCAGTATTGCTCAAGGCACGATAACACATCCGTGCAGGCATGTAATCTATCACAGAAACAAGGGCCAGAGAGTCAGGATGTGCGAGGTCCGGGATCATAGTAGCGATGCTGTAGTACGGCCTTTAAGGCGAGTGTAATCGTAGACAGCACATACCGTCGTCCCCATGTGCGCATAGCCAACTTAACATTTAAGCAGGCAAGCCCACTCGCGAAATCCCAGGGAACACAACCTCCCTGCATGGGGCGCTCCTGGCCTTTCGGAATTCCTTCATGTGGACTATAAATATGTGGTCATACCATTAAAAAAAAGGCTCGTTCGATGAGCAGATTCGGGTAAGGCCGAAGGTGGAAGCCTCTAGCCATGCGACTACTGGTCAACTTGCAGTTCCGTCTTCTTCAGGATCGTATGATGCCGCGTGTCGCAGGAGCGCAGGTACTGACCATTGTATGTCGCATTGACCAGAAGAATGTCGAACTAAAGACGCGGAGACGTGTCAGCCGTGTGTGTGACAGAAGTGGTTGTAGACATAACGAGTCCGCTGAGGCGATCGACCGACTGCAGCCAGGCATCCCCAAAGGCGGGCTTACGCACTTGGGAGGGAGTATATACATAACAGCAGTCCAGGTTCACTGCAGAGGTTCTGCGATGAGGAACAACCAGAAGAAGGGAGGGGGTCGAGAGCGACAGTGTTGACGAAGCACGAGAGCTGCTCTCTTGAAAAAATCAGACGGAGGGGCGGGAAGAGACTGTCTGCGCCCTGTGGGTACCAGTAGCAACGTTCGAAGATACGCACTTCGAATATTAGTCAGTAATGCAGCGCGGCGCCTATCAGGAAGCTCCCAGGAGCCGGGTCCGAGCCATACGTTGGCCTTCCAAAGGATCGTGTCGTGGTGAACTCTATGCGGGGTGCCACAGCTATGGTATGACTCACCAAGTCCTTGATACATTGGCGATAGCGCCGAATGGTGATCTTGCTCGGTTCAGGGATATATTGCGCTGTTGTAGACGCATTCAGTGGATTGGCCATGAAGTGGGCATCGTGCCGCATGGCGAAATTGGTCGATGGGACGCCTGCCACGTATCAAAATAAGGTGACACATCTAATAGAGTCATGTGAGACCCAGATTTCGGGTAGCTTCAAGTCGTGCAGAAGACAAGGGCGCGCGCAGATGAAGACGAGGTGCGAGTTTTTTGATAGTTTGCTGTCGAAAAGCGCTGACTCGGACCTCGACATCTGCATTGCCATCTTCAAGCGGACCCTCGTCCTAGCAACACTAGATGGTTCTTCTGCTTGTAGACCGAGTCAGCTTTGCAGAAGCGACGAGAGATGAGCTAGCACACAATGGAAGCCGGTGACAATTGATCATTTCACTCACTGATCTCGGAGGCCGTCCGTTCGCAAACGACCAGGAACTATTGATACGCAGCACATCGAAGATTCCTATATGAGCCAGGATGATGCCGTTGCAGGCTTGAGAAAGCTGTAGGGAAATGAGGAACGACTCGATGATAGTTGACCCCATCGGGTTGGCGCCCACGCGGTCACAACGTGGCGCGTCATCCAATCTCCTTTTCCGCTGTCTGTCCGAACGTTCATATCAAGATGACTTCGCAACCTCACCCTCATCTAGTGTGCTACATTCCTTGGCGACGCACACCTGATTAATGCTCTCGAAAGTCTCCTCGGAACTGTGCGTGCTGCAGTCACCGCTGAGACTCAGCCTACCTTGGCGCTGACGATGTGATTCAGAGCGGCCTTCGTAGTGGCGCTTTCGCCATCAGAGTCACGGTCCGGCGGCCTCGAATTGACGGAACGCGCTTCGACTTCTGATAGACAATAGTCCCTGGTCTCCGCACTCGTTCCGGGCCCCGGCAAATGCAGCGACCGAACTCAGCGATCAACAGTGTGAGCTAGTTCCTGCAATTCGCCTTCTAATTGCAGTCGTGCTCTAGCGTGAACGGACCTCGGAACAAGACGAAATCACGGAAGGTGATGTTGACCTTGTCTGCTCCGCGCTACTCGACAATAAAGACTAGCATCATTCTACCCCACATCTTCTTCCGCGCGTCTGTTCTCTACGGGACCCTTGTGCTGTGGCGCCCGGAGATCTACCTCGATATACACCTGTGGATTAGGCCTGCACTGCGGTCCCGATGGCGAGCGCCCACTTCGTGACCAATATATCCGGTGAGTCAACACCTCCTTTCTCATCGAGGGAGAACATCGTTCGGCACTGTCTGTTTTGCGCTCGCAGGGCCTAGCCAAGTCATAGCCGTGAAACTCCGCTCTGTGCGCAACCATTTCTTCGAGACTATCTTGGCGCCGGAAGGCATCCTAACAGGCGCCTAATTGATTTCCTGCTACCAACAAATTCTCGTATATTACTGGGGCATATAAAAGCAGACGTCGCCATCCAGAGTGGCCAGTCAGTAGTGCGCCTTACTTTTTTTTCTCACCCCGTGCCTCATATTTCCAAGGCAAGTCTCCTTCGTTCTTCCCCCACTTCCCCTCTCTGTACTATCTCGAGGCGTCTCTCGGAGGCTGACCCAGCGTGCAGTAACTATGTGCCAATGGCAGAGCAACGGGAGTGCCACACCTATCAAGGTGGCGGATTGCGGAAAGGCCGACTGCACTAGCTCCGCCAACGTGAGCGACGACCCTCCAAGGTCGACACTTGGCTCATCTAATATTTTCTATTCAGTACGGTGGCCGTCGTCATAGGCGGTCGGGTGGCGATCACAACGGCGGAGCAAGTTCTGCTATTCACGACCTTCCTGTCCTTCCATTCCACTTTCTGTGAACTCCGGATTTGTTGCACGTATGGTCGATTCTCGTGAAGGCAGGAGCTCACCATCGGGAGTATGATAGCCGTTGGGATTGTAGGGCTTGGCGATGGGGATGTACACTCATACCATACTACTACTTCGACTACAATCGTTGACTGGGTACCAAACATCGCACGAGCATCAGTCAGGCCGTTTAAGCAAGTGATAGCTCAGCCTTGTAGATCGACAATGACTACGGAAATATCGTCGCGATATCGCTCCGACGTCCCAGTCAGCGCAAGCTCAGCTGCCATCTTGTTCAAGTCCGCGCCGAAAAGCGCATTCCTTATGACAAAGTCTGCAGAGTTTGTACTCTGGCTTATCGGGATGAAGTCGTGCCCGAGCTGATCACGGAGGCGCGTCAAGACAGGCTTTAAGCTCGGATTCCCTGTAACTGCGAGCGCGACCATGGCCTGCGTCCTCGCATCCTCGATCGGGACAGCCTCCAAGGACATGCGGAGACCATCCGAAGCAAAAAGAAGGACATCGCCAGGTAAGAGTGCGTGACGATGAACAGTCGGCGTGGATGAGATGTAAGGAGGGTGAAAGTTCCAACGTCTCTGCCAGTCTTCGATGATATTGGTGCCAAGGTAAGACGGATACGCGTAGCTCAAGACCCTTGTTGAAAGGCGTAGGCCAACCTTCAGGTGGAAATCGCCAAGCGCTGTCGTACACGTAGGGTAAGGTAGTGTCTTCGTGCGTCAGAACCATACGACGCACCTCGAGTAATTGCCAACTTTCCCATGGTGCGCCCGTTGTAGACAACGGGTGGCTCGTTGAGGTGCTCGGCTTGTAGGCGGGCGACTTCGACCGGATTATCGACGTTGTGCAAATCGTTCAGGACTTCACATTGGAGATGGTCATCGACGACGCGGCCGAGAACTGCGCGTAAGAAGACCTCCTGAGTACAAGGCGTATGCAGGCCATATAGGTCAATGGCTTACCCGCCTCCGAGTCTCCCAAGGACGCTACCCAGAGGTTCTTCTTCTCTCTATCGATGAATCCGACGAGCGCCGTAGAGCCGACGATTGTACGTCTAGCGGCAACAAACACAGGGTCTTCCCTCGAGTATCCGAAGATGTCGAAGACCTCAGCCGGATCGTCCCAAAGTGGATCGTCCCAGTCGGTGTCTGCCCCCTGCGGGAAATGCTTCAGGACATTGTCTAGAAGCGAGGCGTCGAAGTCTTCGATGCCTTTGACGAGCGCCTCTTCGACGGCGGTGGAGATATCTGCACCGCCGCCTGACGAGATGTTGCGCGAGATGCGGTCGCATAGTTGTTGAGGAAGGACGTTGGCAGCGTAGCTAGATAGTTCGTCGGTGTAGTGGCCTAAGCGGTTGTTAATTTGTAAGAGTCCAGACACTAACACTGTGATGAACGCCAAGTACTTACCGTCGAAGATCGCGATCAAGACTCCGAACTCGGACTCGCATATGGAGATCCTGTCCTCGCTCGCGGCCTTCAGGCCACGTAGGGACGACTGATGAATCTCGAGACCCATCGCCTCTATGGTGATGATTCCGCGAGTACACATCGCAGCATAGGTCGCCTCCAAGTCTGCCAAACTTGGCGCGCTCGAGGGCTGAGAGGTCGTTGGCACAAGTGACGTCTCCTGCGCAGGATCTCCCACGCAATCGGAAGGCCTCCTGCCACCAAAGGCGAGTACGACGATAGAGATATCATCACGGTATCGATCTTCTGGATTATCCTCGGCCAGAGCAAGCTCCTCAGCCCTCTTGGTCTCATTCGTACCAAATAGGGCATTGCGTATGACGAGGTCCGCCATATTTTCGCCAATTTTCACGGGAAGGAAGTCGTGACCAAGTTGGTCCGAAAGAATCTGTACTGAAGCACCAACGTCGTGGGCGTTGGCAGCAGCGAGAATACCGATGGAAGACTGTACTTTGTTGTCTACCACGCCCTGCCTCGTCAAAGCATTGCGCAGACCATCAGAGGCGAGGACAAGATGGTCACCAGGTAAGAGGGCGTATCGCTGGATGGTCGGCGTAGAAGAAATGTAAGGTGGATTGACGTGCCCGCGGCTCTTCCAGGCGTCGACGGTCTCATCGAGAAGATAGGATGGAAATGCACAGTCGAGAATGCGCACCGCAAGGTCCAAGGGAACTTTCGCCTGGAAGTCGCCCAGTGCTATCACGGACGAAGTCAGTGGATGCTGATCAAATCACCAGAGCAAGCTTACCGCGAGTAACAGCTAGCCAGTCAAGAGTGCGACCTTCATATACGACGGGTGGCTCATTAGGATGTTCGGCCTGCAGCCGTGCAGTCTCCGCGGGGTTGTCCGAGTTGTGCAGCTCGTTCAAGGCTACAAAATGCATTCCCTCATCGTCGACGCGACCAAGGACTGTGAACCGTCAGAAAGGTAATCACTTGCAAAGGACAATGAACGCTCACCTGCCTCCGAGTCTCCCAAGGACGCGACCCAGGCATACTTACTCTCCTTGTCGACGAACGCAACCAGAGCAGTAGTCCCAACGACAGCACGCCTAACACGCCTGAATCTCTCATCCTCCTTCGAGCGCCCGATTCGCTCGTACACATAGAAAGGGTCCTCCCAGTACTCGTCTGACCAGTCGGTCGCAGCGCCGTCGGGAAAGAGCTTATAGACTTCGTTGATCAGCGACGCGTCGAAGTCCTCAATGCCCTTCGTCAGGGCAGCTTCAACGGCAGTGGATATATCACTGGGACTCTGCGAGAGATTGCTTGCGATACGTTCGCAGAGCTGCTGGGGAAGGATCTTGGCGGCGTAATCAGAAAGTTCGTCGGATAGATGCCCTGCATGAAGCGTGAATGAGGCTGGCAGCGCCTACTGAGCGTCCTTTACATACCGTCGAAGATAGCAATCAAGACTCCAAGGTCGCACTCTTGAATCGCGATCCTGTCCTCGTTCGCCGGCTTCACGCCGCGAAGAGACGAGTAGTGGACATCGATGCTCATTGCGCCTACAGCTGTAATCCCGCGAGTAGCCAACGAAGCGTAGGTGGCCTCGGAGTCGACCGAGCTCGGTAATCTAGATGGCTGCGAGGGCAGAGACGTCGTTGTTAGGGCATGCGCAGAATTCTTCGTCGTTTGAGCGGAAATCGGGCTGACGTTGCGATCGACAACGACGATGGAGATGTCATCCCGGTAACGATGTTCTGGATTGCCGTCAACCAGAGCCAGCTCTTCCGCGATCTTGCCTTCATTCGTGCCGAAAAGGGCGTTCCGTATGACAAGGTCCGCCACATTGCTACTGGATCTTGAAGGGAGGAGCTCGTGACCAAGGCGGTCTGAGAGGGTCTGCAACGAGGCAGCGACTTCAAAGGCGCCGGAAGCGGCAAGCGCGATGATTGAAGACGGCACTTTGTCGTCTTCCACGCCTCGGCTCGTCAAAGCGTTACGAAGGCCGTCAGAGGCGAGGACAAGGCGATCGCCAGGTAAAAGGGAACGGTGCTGAACCGTGGGCACGTTGGAGATGTAAGGCGGATGATAGTGCTCGAGTCCTCTCTCCTTCCAGAACTCGAATTGCTGGTCAATGATAGGCGATGGGTACAGATACATCAGAAATTTGAATGCGAACTTGTAGTCGGTTTTCATCTGATAGTCGCCGAGCGCTGATGAAAATGTATCAGTACGACGATACGTTATAAGGGACTGCATGCACGCACCCCTCGTAAGCCCTAGCTGGCGCATCGTGCGTCCGTCATAGATGACAGGCGGTTCGCCACGATGCTCGGCCTGCAAGCGTGCGACTTCTTGCGGGTTCTTGACGTTATGCAGGTCATTGAGGGCAATACCGCTGACAGTACCATCTACAACGCGACCCAGAACTACACGATAGTCATCAGTGCTTGAACATCCTCGAGACAATGTACGTACCGGCCTCCGAGTCGCCCAACGATGCGACCCAAATATTCTCCTTCGCTTGGTCGATGAAGGCAATCAGGGCCGTTGAGCCAACAACGGCACGCCTGGCCCTGCGGAACTTCTCATTCTCTTTTGAGTGGCCGAGAGTATCAAGGATCCAGTACGGATCGTCCCAGAACGCGTCATCCCAATCGGTCTGACGGCCCTCGGGGAAGAGGTTGTAGACCTCATCAATCAGGGACGTGTCAAAATCTTGTATGCCCTTGGAGAGTGCCTCTTGGACCGCAGCAGAAAGTCCATCGCCGCTCGAGACGTTGCGTGCAATGCGCTCGCAAAGCTGCTGGGGGAGCACTTTCGCTGCGTAGTCGGACAGTTCGTCCGTGTAATGACCTGTATAGTGATTAGTCTAGGTACAAAAAAGGCAGACCTTCGTGCACGCACCGTCAAAGATAGCGATCAGGACACCGAGATCGCACTCCTGCACAGCAATTCTATCTTCATTAGCAGCTTTCAGGCCAACGAGCGATGCGTGATGGATCTGCAGGCCTATTCGGTCAATCGCAGTGACACCGCGTACACTCTTTCCATCGTAGAGTTTACTGAGGGCGGATCTATCAGGCTTCGCTCTGGATTCGACTACTGTGGTCATGGTTGCGGTTCAACCTCGTATACAGTCAGGCGATTGCGCCTCGTGTCGCCAAATGCGGCAACCAGCGCACCCACAAGTACAAATATAGCGCAACAAGAGCGACCGTGCTTCGTTGTCTGGTAGCTGTTCTTTCGCTCTCCGACATTATCTTCTCCAAGTATTGCAGTAGTAGCAGTTGAGCTAATATTCCTCCCATTATACTGCCTATATTCAACTAAATAACCTAAACCCAAAGAGCGCCAGGACGGACGCACAGCGTCAGACGTCCAGTAAATAGATACATAAGAACATATGAGAGCATAAGCACTGGTAGTCCGCTATGAGGTTATTGTAGTTTGCTATGAGGTTATTATCAGCCAAGATATGGATGTCCGCTATGAGGTATGAGGTCGTCTCCGACCGAATGTTCACAATGAGTAACGAGAGAGCACAGAGCATACCAATATCGACAGCAAAATAGCAAGGAGCGCCGTCCACGGCAGGACCAGCCGACGATGAGAACGGCGCTAGCTTTTGGGGGTAACGGGCGGGGGATGTCGCCCCGCGTATGATGGCCGCGACGAGGCGAAGACAGATCAGCCAGCTGAACGGGCTCAATCCGCTCACCAATCCCTCGTCAACAGATCCACATCCCTCCACCCCTTCAAGAGCGCCCGCCTCACACTCGGCATCCCAGGTTCTGCGCCATGCACCTGCGCGCCCTCCATCGCATGCTCCGCAGACGCCCGGTAACCCTGCTCCATCGAGCCCCTCCCATTCGCCGCGAAGCCGCCATACTCCCTCGGCGGCGGGAAGACATACTCCTTCTCTTCCTCCGCCCCGTCCGCGCGCGCGGGGCCGACGAGATCGTACGCGGTGCGCCGGTCGGCGGGCGCGAAGGGCTGGTTCCACATGCTGAAGACGAACTCGGAGGGCTCAGGCGCAGTGTGGGCGGTAATCTCGTGCAGCTCGCGCTGGATGGAGAGGCAGAAGCCGTCGAGGTCTGCGGGGGAGGTGAGTTCGGTGACGATGGTAGGACGAGGAGAAAGGTAGCATACCAAGATCGTTCTCGTCGTAGTTGAAAGGGTTCTCACTGGATGGATGGTCAGAGAGCGGACGCATATCAGGAGCTGAGAAACGCACATCTCCTGCCCAATTTCAAGGAAGCCAAGGAGAAGGAATGAAGCGAAGGCGGTTCCGGGGATCGTAATCCAATCCATGAGAGGGTAGACCTGGAAGGGAAGGAAGAGGAGGTAGAGCCTGGCGAGCAACGAAGATTAGCAATAGACTACGAGAATATGTCCGGGTAATGCGCACCATAGCGACATGCGAAGATGAGCCTGGTACGCGAAAGGCAGGGGCGTGCTACGGATACGCTCGAGATTGGTGACCGTGTCCTGAAGCATGCCCAGCGCGTTGGCGAGGGCGGACGCAATGGCGGGTTGCAGAAGGCCCTTGCGCATCAAGACTCATGACACCGTCAGCGATTACCCAATGATATCGCCTAGAAAAGACATACAAGCCGAGTATCTGGCGGAGAGCAAGCTTTAGTCAACCCAGGACCAGGAGCGTAATTTAAACACTTACGCAGAAAGATATAAGCACACCTCGAACGGTACATTCGAGTCGACCTGCTCGGGGTTGACCTTCTTGCCAAAGATGTTCCTGCCTCCGATTGGCTGCTGCTGCACCTCCTTGCGCTTGCCCACAAGTATCTTGTAGCAGTAGCGGAACAACCTGAACACCGGCAAATAGTCGTAGAAGGACGGGTTGGGCGGGCTCCTTGCCGGGCGCAACGGCCGGTGCGGCTGCACATCGGGCAACGCCTTCTCGGGATCGAACATCGAGCGCCGCTTACGATGCAGCGGACGATGCGCCGTACTCGCATCCCTCGTCAGCGTATTCGCATTATGCCCAAGCGCACTCGTCCCCCGACTCCCCAGGCTCTTGAACCAGCTCTTCTCCGACCTTCCATCATCCGTCCCGCCCCCCACCACCGTGCTCCGGCTCATCGCATCATGCTTCGGCGCTGCGTTCGGGAGCGAGGACGTGTGCTGCAGCGCGGGCATGTGCGGGTTGTCGCCCGCCGCGCGCGGGTTCGCCGTGCTATTATGGTGATTGAGGCCCATGGCCGCGTGCGCGTGGTCCATCGGGTGCGCGTCCTCCTCGGAGGCCCACCAGAGCGGGTTGAGATCGTCGGAGGTGTGCGAGGTCGAGGCGTAGCGGGGGAGGAAACAGAGGAGGGGGTAGAGGTCCTGGTAGTAGATGCCGGGCTCGCCGCGGAGCTGGTGCTTGACAGCGACGGAGAAGGCTTGGACCTGCCGAGGGTAAGAGAGGGTATACGTGAGGGGCAGATGGCACACGCACGAGATTAATCATGCTCTTCTTCTCGATGATGCTCTTGAGGACGCTCTGTCCGGGCTGGCCATCCTTGGGTGGGCGATCGTTGGATACATGAATCCAGATCTATGAAGCGTCATCCACGATGCTTTGCATATGGCGGGCACACGCACCATCTGAGCGACATTCCGCGATGCAATTGTGATGTTCGTCCACATCTTCCGGCCATCCTGGTATCTTTACCCCGAGCGTCAGTCACCTTACCCTTCCCCTCCAACGGTCCACATACCTCTCATACGCAGTTGAGGTCCTGAACGAGATGACCAGACCCAACACCGTACCGAGAACGGTGAGCAGCGAGTTGTTCACGCCTAGATCTTTCGTCGTGAACTTCGAGACGCAGGTGACCACTACCCGATCGCTTTAGCTATACGGTCTGAGCACGGAAGGTGGGACGTACTAGTAGCCACGAGGGTGAAGAAGAATACTTCTGGCCAGATATCGTTGATAACAGTTGCATTGAACCGCTTGAGCGTCCACCGTCCGCGAAACAGTGGATTTGCCGCCACCATAGTCGCTTAGTGATCTTCTGGACGTATACCGGATTCTGTAGCGCTTGTCTTGAGGATCTGTTTCCGCCTGCTCGAATTGCGTGAAGCTGCTTGGATTAGTGACCGTGTGTAGCGAACGAGTGACTGTGTGCAGCGAGGGACGCGGTGGAGTGGGAACGTCGAGAGCGATACGAGCGTGCTGGCAGACGGAGAGAAGCGCGGACCGTCTTATACAAGGAAAACTTCTGACCGGCACACGAGGCCGTCGAGCGTCACGCCGAGCATTTATTTGCCTTGCGGCCCTTGCACGGCTATGCCCCCTGCTTCAGGCCCGTAGCGCGCGGAGGGCCGGACCAGGTGATCCCAGGCCGAAGTGAGGTGATGGCCTTCCGAGCGAGAGGCGGATGCTTTTCGAGGACAAGGGGATTTTATTGTCTGGAGCAATAGCAAGGAGAAATGGTGGATGCTTCATCGCGGGGAACGGAAAGGGAGCAGAGTGGGTGCGGGGGGGGGGGAGGAGAGGGCCATTGTCGACGGTGACGGTCAGGAACAGCCGGCCGTTGATGTGACGACGCCCGAAATGAACTGTGACTTGTCACTCTCCTTCCCCTGCCTCGCCTCGCCTCGTCTGCTAGCCAATCAGTTGCAGATGAACGCAACCGTCAGCCTTGGTCGATACCCGCGATGAAGCATTGCCACCATCTCCAGGAGCTTTCTAAGCGGACCCAGACTCGCCAGGTATCAGTCACCACGAGTTGTAACACGTCTCATTCTACATGGGCTGCGCCCGCCTACAAGGCCTACGTATCCGGTACCAGGCGATAGTACAGTACTAGAGGGATACCAAGAAGTGGTACCAAAGGAGCACCAGAAGGAGGGTGGTACATGGATGGAAAGGGATCCAAGAAGGCGCACAGCAATATATACTTAGCAATAATTGTCTAGTAGCAGAAGAGGCGCATATGACGACGCAAGCGCAGTAAACCAGCCAGAGTCCCGACCCCATTGGCATAAGCAAGGAATGTATGGTATGTTACGAGGAACAAAGAAGATACGAGGAGAAAAAGAAGAGGAATTCCATACGAGCAAAGTTCCCTGAGATCCAGAACCAGCAGACCGAATGCCAGAACAAAGGGGAGCATGAACAAAGGAAGTAGGAGAACGAATTGATAAGGATAGAAAATGGTCTAGAGGAGGAGAGGAGGAAATCCAATAGCACAGGAAAGATCGTTAGGGTTCATGAGTTGCTTTGGTATTTGGACGATGAACTTGGTATGCCGCTGAAACAAGCCATCGAGGGCGCCGGCGTTCCAATGTGCAGTCGATGATGCGAGGTGCAAATGGGTGCCGAAAAGGATACGTGGCGACGAATCGATCACAGTGCACGTCAAGAGGGATGGACGGGGAGCACGGCGAGTGTGAAGTTCCGAGCAGGAAAGACGACTATAGCATTTCTGCCAGCCTGTTGGACATCGTCAGTTTGGATACGACAATGCAAGCACGAATCTACGCACCTCGAGCCGTGCAAAAACGGGTTCCGCTTCTGCATATCCTCCAGCGTCACCGAGTATCGATTGACCGCATCCCACGACGCCAGTGTGTCATTGCGTACGTGTCGTAGCGGGGACATCGGCGTCGCCAGTACCGAGTCCTCTGACGAGTCCCGGCTCTTATCCTGCACCAGCCGCGGCACCCGCTCGTCGTCCGTGCTCGGCCCCCGGCTCGACATCGCACTGGGCGACGCCGCACGCACGTCGACCGCCGACTTGGACCGCTCGCCCATCGCCGCGCGCCTCGGCGTGCCGCTCGGCAGGTCGTGGTCGTCGCGCGAGCGCGGGGCGGCCGCGGACCGGCTGCGCGCGAGCCCGGGCTGCTTGCGCGTCTTGCGCCGCGTGAGGAAGCGGATGGAGAGGAAGCTGCGCAGGCCGCGCGAGGTGGGGGACGCCGCGCCCGAAGACGAGGACGAGGGCTCGGGGGCGGTCATGGGCCGCGAGCTGCTGCCGCTGCCGTTCGCCACGCCGTCGGGGAAGGAGACGACGCGGGAGGGGTGCTGGTTGTGGCGGCGGCGCAGCGTCCCGTTCGCATCGCTCTCGCTCTCTTCGTCCTCCTCGGCGACCGCTTCGCCTGGATTGGAGAACATCCACTGGGCGACCTTGCTGTTCGAGTCGAGACCACCGAGCTCCGCGAACGCATCGTAGACGGACGCGCGGAGGGCCGTGGACTGGCGGTTGGCGTAGGACATGGGGTTAGGACGACGGTGCATCGTGGTGGGGATTGTGTAAGACGTTCTTTAAGGACGGGAAGCGCGGATAGAAGGGCTCAGAGGGAGCTTGTGGGGCCAAGTTGTAGGGAGCCGTCCAGAACCGATCCGGCGGCTGATAATGGCGATAGAACAAGTTCGGGGAAGCTCGAGGGATTCTCCAGAGGAAGAGGCTGAAGTATATAATAGCCGCGCCTGCGGGGCGTGCGCTGGCGAAGGCTCTCGTGGAATGTGAACGGTGATGATGAAGGGTGAAGACAAGTTGGAGAACGGATCGCGGTCGCCGTGGCAATCCTTTGATCGGAGCTCGTTGTTCTCGACTCTCGTCGGCGCTTCACTCTCGCCTCCATCTCGAATGAGATATGTGGGTGGTTACTGCTACATGCGTGTCGACAATGCAGTATCCGAAGGATATACGTGCTGACCGAGACTGAATACGATCGCGAAGTCCTCGTCCTCCACTAGTCGAGGGCCGCAAGAAGGTTGCGCACCCCACTCCATCCCTGGACTCTTACGCAACGAACGCTCCCTGCTAGCCGACGAAGACCAGCGGAGACCGACTTCGTCAATTCTCGATGCTCCAGCGGGTCCAGTCGGCGGCTGCGCCCGTAATCGCGACGTACACCGTTCTCCGTAGTCCCTCTTCCCCAAAACATATCATCTCACTCCTCCTTCTTGAGCGACTTGTACTTCCTCTCATACCCTAGCAATGGCGCTAGGACTCGTCCGAGGATAAAGGTCAACTGCGGGAGGGGAGAGATCAGTCCAGGTGTGTCCTCCGCTTCGCGAGATCGAACTCTGTACTCACCCCCTTCTCCAGCGGCCGGATGTGGCCAGGCGTACCCGGGAAGCTCTCGCTATACCAGAAGATGTTCATGAGCGTCAGCATGCTGTGGTCCTCCAACTTCGGCTCTGAGAACAGGTTGCGGAAGACCAGCTCGTACTCCTTCGGCTGTGAAGATGGACCGTCAGCATACGCTTCAATCCTGCCCGTCGCCCTTCCCTATCCTGCATCCTCTCTTCTTCTTCTCCCCTCCGATGAACTACGACTCACCCCAGGATCAACCCACTCTTCCACCACGCACACCTCCCCCTGAACGCTCTCCAGCGCATGCACCGACCCCGGCGGGATCTTTGCAGGTCCATCGCTCGATGTCCTTTCTGTCGTCACACCATCCACCGTCACCTTCATTTTCCCTTCCACCACGTTGATGTATTCGGTATGCCTTGCATGCCAATGCGGGGGAACGACGAATTTGGCCGTCGGCGCAACGCGTAGGACGCGCTTGTGAGCCGGCTGTAAGGGATCGGTGCCGGGGGCACCAGTATCGACGAAGGCCTGGGGGAAGAGGTGATCAGTTTGAAGAGTATAGTTAAGGATGTAGGGAATGCGCACGCAGACAATGCCTTCAGATACGTTCACGGTATCGGGAAATTCGTCAGCCATGGTATGTGTGTGGACGCGGCGCAGTAGAGGAGATGGGTACGTTTGAGGAAGAGGGAGTGTTCAAGAAGGGGCCGCCGACATCGTGACTATATAAGGGCGACGTCGTGCCTCAGCGCTCATCGCAGCGCCCGACGCCAGCGCCCTGCATCAGCGTGTCGTCTGCCGCCCAGATCAAGATCCTTGGGTCTTGTGCCAACCTTATGCGCCATTTGAGCACGAATTGAACGCGCGTCGAAGTATTCTGCATCCTCTGCGCCCTCGAAATAGGCAGCGGATAGCGGCCAATGTTTCCGTGAACATACTCTTCGCCATTTGCCGAACTCGCGTGGTCAACAAAACACTTACCCGATATGGTCATATCGGCGGAGCGCGTACACAACACGCATCATAGCGCCATTATTATGTCTTGCTTGCGCTCATACTTTTTCTGCTCTTCACTTCTCACTCCTCCTTCCAGCAATTGACGGCCACAGCATCATGATAGCAATTAGCCATTAAATACTTTCCCTCGTGAACACCAAACACCCATCGTAACGGTACAAAGTACACTACAGAAGGAGAAAGCAGGCAAGGAACTCGTAAGACAGACGCATGCTCATACGACAGACACGTGCGAGCAGAGACTCGTCAAAGGAACGACGGGTAAGTAGGCTACTAATATAGCACCCCGGTCGCGAAGGAATTTGTCCGAGGCGGTGGGAATAGTAGGAGGGGATATCGGGGTCGTAGATGAGGGTAAACAAAGCCGTATGTGGCCTGGCATGGGGCGGGAAGAAGTACGAGCGACGAGAGGACGAGGCGTTTATGCCTTCTCGTTGTCGCTGGCGGACTCGCGATGCTCGAGTTGAGCCTAGGATGAGTCAGTATGATGTCGGACAAGAAACGAAGATATCTACTGACCTCGAGCGCCTGCGACTTCTGCACGACCTCGTGCACGGTCTTCTTCCCAACGCCACGGTGGATCTTCCACGCGCTGAAGACATGGCCCTGCTCGAAGATCTCCTCGACCTCCTCGAGCGAGCGGCCGACGGTCTCCGGGTACATGAAGAAAATGTGGATGCACGCGGCGGCGTTGAAAGTCGCGAAGATGAAGTACGTCTTGTACGCGATGTTCTTGAAGCCGGGCGGCACGGCGTACGCGAGGGCGAAGTTGAAGAGCCAGTTGGTCGCCGTGGAGAGGGAGACGGCCTTGCCGCGGACCTTGAGAGGGAACTGGGAGTGCGTTAGGCAGGGAAGTTGCGTAAGACAGAGGGCGTGCGTACGAGCTCGGCGGGGTATGTCCAGGAGACGGGACCCATGGTGATAGCGAAGGAGCAGACAAAGAAGTAGGACATGACAATAACGGCGTTTCGCACGGAGTCGTTGCCCTGGATAATCCATGTCCGCTCGCCATCTGCGTGAGGAGTCAGCAAGAGATCGGCTCGCTGAAGGATAATTACTCACCAAGATCCGCCCAGCCACCATATCCACCCTGGAGACCGCCGACGAGGAAGAGGAAGAGCGACATGAAGAAGGTGCCGGCGACTAACATCGGGCGGCGGCCCCAGCGGTCGATGTAGATGATGGCGGGGATGGTGAAGACGACGTTGAGGACATATTGCACCGAGTCGGCGATCAGGTTCGCGCGGCGACCGGTGAGACCAGCGCCCTCGAAGACGTAGATGATGTAGTACCTGCAGCGCGGCGTTAGCGGACAGCCCACCTGCCAAACTGTCGATCTAGCACGCACATCATGACGTTCATGCCCGACAGCTGCGACCACATCTGGAGCGCCATACCGAGGCCGACGCGGCGAGGCATACCGGGCTTGATGAGGTCGAGGTAGGACTTGGCACCCTCGGTGCGCTCGAAGATGACCTGCTGCTTGATCTCCTCGAACTCGAGGACGACGAGCTCATTCTTGGGATCCCCGCCGCCGTGCAGGTCCGCGAGAACCTCGAGCGCCTTATCATCGTGTCCGTGGTCGAGCAGCCAACGCGGGGACTCGGGGAAGTAGGTCATGCCGAGCGAGAGGATGATGCCGGGTATCATCTGCAGGCCCCAGGGGATGCGGAAGGACGCGACGCCGTTGATGTACGAGCAGCCGAACTGGATGAAGTACTGAATGAGGATGCCCCAGGTGATGGACCACTGCTGGAGCGAGACGAGGCGACCGCGGATGGCGGGCGCGGTGACCTCGGCCTGGTAGATGGGTACGACGGTCGACGCGATGCCGACCGAGAGCCCGGCGATGATGCGGCCGACGACGAGCATGCCCCGGTTGACGGACGCGCATTGGAGGATGGCGCCGATGACCCAGATGATGCCGGAGAGGATAACGGCATTCTTGCGCCCAATGCGATCCGCGAGTTGGGAGACGATGAGGGCACCGACGAAGGAACCGGCGGGCATAGACGCGGTGATGGCGCCTTGTGCGTCGGATGTGGGGTGGTGATATTGATTGAGGTAGTGGTCATTCTATACGATGTTCAGAACTGAGGGGGGAGGTGGAAAAAAGTCGCTACTCACGTTCAAGACTCCGGACATAGACGAGATGTCCAGACCTGGTTGCAGGCATGTTAGCGCGCGTCGAGGGAGTATGTGAGCGACGACGTACCGAAGAGACCACCACCGATACATGCGAAGGACCCGACGACATACTAGCACGCTATCAGTATACCCTCACAATTTTTTGACGGCGGCGATAGCGTACTGGGTTGGAGGCGAACCGCGCATTGTACTGTAGCCTCGTCAGTGATCCCCTTCATATCTCGAGACGGTGAAAAATGGCTCACCCCTTTGGCCATGGTTGCGGTCTTGGCACTGCTACTTGCTTGATAGAGAGGCTAGCGCGGGAAGGACCACAGAGGGCGGCCTCCCATCAAGTTGCTCTTATATGGCCGCTGTCGCGCTCGGGGGCCAGGTGACCCCACGGCACATGCGGGGCCCAAACCATGAACGGGGAGTGAATCTGGAGTGATCTGGGGTAGCGTCCCATCAGTCACGCGCCTGGGCGTCTGCTGGCCTCTGGTGCGGACCTGGTGCGGGCACCGTTGCTACACGAATCGTGAGTAGGTCGAGCGAGGTTTGAAAACATGAAGAGGAGTATTTTCTGGGGAGAAGAACAAGGGGAAGAGGTGCGCACTGGAGAGAGTGGGGAACTGAATCGTCGAACGCGAGGCCTTCTTTGTGGGGGGTCCTTCGCGAAGACGGGGAAGACTCGCCAAAAAGCGAGTCATCGGGCATGTTCACAGGCACCTCAAATCGTGCACACATGAGATGCCCTGGCATCAAATTCCAGCGGCCGACTTGACCGTTCGAGACGAGAACATGTCCATCACAGCGAACCCACGCGCGGACGGAAAAAAACACAAGTTGAATTCCCACGTGAGGATGTCCGACTTCCTGAAAAGGCGACCCTTTTGCCCCATCCGCCACTCGCTCCCGGTTTTCCGTGCGTCTATCGCCCCCTCATCGTCCAATCCCAGTCGCACGCAGCAGCCTTATCCCTCTATGGCGCGCCCCAACTGCCTCCGGACATTCAAAGACGTATGCGCCATTGAGTATCCAGCTCGGTAGAATGCCGCCCTAGTCCGCCCAACAAGCCTCCATCTCCTGGGCCTGAGGCAGCACACGCGTGCATGTGGAGCGCTTGAGTCCCGGGACATCTCGCCCCGCTCTGTTTGGAATCTATTGGCCTTGTCCGAGGGCTGAACATCCCGCGCGCTGCCAATATTCGCGGTCGAGGCAGCGCGCGCGCTCTCCCCAGCGCTCGGACCTGTCAGGCTGGGCCGCGGGCCTGCATTTCCTATCGCGCCCCCTAGACACGCACCCGCGCCTGGTCCTGGTCGCCCTGCACAATTTTCTGCCTGCCTTAACACCGGCGGGGCGTGGATGCAGGCGGCGGTCAGCTGAGTGATGGCGCGCAGGCTGCATTGGGAACTTCCCGTCACACCTTATGGACTTCCCGTTTCACGCCTCTCAGCTCATTTTCTGGCTTCTTCTCGTCCTCCGGTCTTCCTCTGGTCATGCGGACCGGTGCTACGCCCTGGTGCCTGGCCCGCGTATGTACATTGAGGACGTAGCCCGTCGACAATGGCCCGCCGGGGGCGCGGTGCCGGTGAGGACGGTGGCGAGGCGCACCTGAACGGATCGCAGCGCGTCTGAATGGATGGAAGCATGATTTATGCATTCCCTCGCCCTGCAGTCACCTCATTAGCTCTATCGCGCGATCTTCGAGATACGTGCCTCACTCTGGCCCGCATAGGTGCATTTGTTCGACGCTTCCCATCTGCTAGTGCTCCCCATCTTCCCGAAGTTAGACACGCATCTCTATAGCACGCAGTCTCCGATGTGGGTGTCGCGAAGGCGACGACATCGCTCGCCAGCCAGTAAGTCCGTAAGCTCACCGTTCACAGAATGCAAGGCCGTATTCTTGAGCGATGGGCCTCGATAGCTACCTGCGGAGACCCCGACGCCACCGCCGGTCACGACCAACCGCGCACGGGCACATGAGGCCTGCAGCGCGCCAGAAGTCGAACAAATACCTGTCAAGAAGCACATGGACGCGATTGCATCCTCCCTTGACGTCGTCCAACATTCCCTTGTCCTAGAATCGACGGTCCGCTATCCGAGGATCTTGACCACTCCGTGGTCTGAGGGTCGACACTCCCTTCTCCTATCAGCTCGAGGCTCCGTGGTCCGAGGGTCAGCGATATGGCGCTCGCTGTTCGTTCTTTCAATTGACGTCCATCAAAAACGGGAATTGGTGAGTATCAAAACGGGAATTCCTGAGCTCCAGAACAGGCGGAACAACGCGTGTTGCAAATGTCAAGACAGGCAAGGACAAACGTCAAGCCGCGTCCACCACCGTACTCCACCCCTCCCAGCTCACGCGGCCCTCCTGGATGTCCACCAGGCGCTCGCGCAGCGCGGCTGCGACTGGACCGAGGGCGCTGGCAGCAAGACCCTGCGCGCCGCTTGCCACAAGACCTGGTAGCGTGCCGGCGTTGGCGCTAGATGGAGTTTCCGGCCCGCCCTCCCGCGGAAGCAAATCTGCCTCCGCGCCTCCGAGTCTGGTACGCTCGTTCGCGCTATCGACCCCAAGGCTGACGTCCGCCCCGTCGAACCAGATACGCCCGACCGGGACAACGATGACCGCCGTGCCACAGCAGAAGAATTCTAGGAGTGTTCTGTCGGCGGCCCAGGCGCGGACCTGGACAGTGTGAGTGAGTACTGAGAATTTGTGGCACCAGGAAGGAGTGAGTGGATAGAGCTGGTAGTACAACGTCTGCATACAGAATTGAGGCCCTGAGACCGAGTCGAGGGACAGATAATCCGAGTCAGATCTCAAACAGAATATACGGCATGTAATTTTAAGAGAAAACAGCTCGATCCGCACCTGAGGCATCGTAACCACCTTCTCATGGGTGTGAATCTTGCGGTCCGCAGGGAGACCCGGGAGGACCGTGCGTCCCGCGGTGTGAGCGTTGGCCAGCTCGAGGATAGACAGGCGCGTAATTCCTGGGAGAATGGTCCCGTCGAGCGGCGGTGTGATGAGGTCGTAATCTGGAGCAAGAGCGTGAGTATGAGCGCAATGTACACGACTACCGCTTCCAGTCGTGCACTTATCGCGATGATACTGGGGGAGAACGGGGTAGAGACATGTCGTGAAAGGTGAATCGAAGCGTGCAATGAACGGGATATGGATGTGGCATGCCGTGAACCAGGAGAGATACGAAGGACAGCGCAACCCATACCCACCTCCGTCATCCCTGCGCAACACAACGAAGCAGTTCATGATACCCGCCTCCGTGATGCAGCGATCAGGTCCAAAGAGCCAGAGCGTCTGGTCGTACCCACGACTCTGCACCTCCGCCTGCGGGCCTACAATCTGGGCATGAATCAGCGCGTCGTGCCCTGAGTGGAGTATGATAACACATAAACTCCCGTTCCAGAGAGCAAGATAGCGCAAAAACATGGAAGCGCTGCTCTCAGGCAAAGAAAAAAGAATACAAAAAACCATGATCATCCCGTGGCACCCACGACTCACCCCCGCATAGTTGATGCCCATCTTGTACGCACCCGTGCCGCCCGGCCACGCTCGCACATTCTGCTCCTCCGCAAATAGCGATATCGGGCGTCCTGCGCCGAGGAAGGGCGCGGCGGGCGTCAAAACGATGTAGAGGATCGCATGCTCGGATGCTCCGAGGCCGATGTCTGAGCAGAGATATCAGCTCCGTTCGCCGTGTGCATTCGCCAACATTGTTTAGTGCGCAGAAGAAATGGCGGGAACGTACATGGTCGCGTGCTGATGATGGTCGGACGGATGTAGAGCGCGTAGCCGGGCTTTGCCGGCACCCAGCGCGACTCGACAGCGATGAGACGCTTCAGTAGAATGATTAGCACAGCTGGGTCGAAGCTCTGTAATCAGTTCAGCTCGAGTCCTCCTTTGGGAACCACACTCGACTGACCGGAAGCGATGCTCTCTGCGCGCTACGAGCAAGCCTCTCCATATGCCTGTCAACGCGGAAGAGCCTGGGTCGACCATCAGGACCAGCGTACGCCTGAACAGGGGTTACATGAGTATTTCTGACGATCCTCACATGACTGTTCCAGCCAAAGAGCTTGGAAGCATACCTTCAGCCCTTCGAAAGCATTGCCGCCGTACTGCAGGATGTTGGCCGTGGGCTCGAGCGTGAGGGGGCCGTACGGCCTGATCTCAGGCGCGCCCCAGCCTTTGATTGGGTCATGCTCGCAGATGAGCATGTGATCGCTCATAGTCTGACGATTATGTGTGGTGAGCGATGAGCAAGACTAGGATGGCGACGGAGATGTGTGGGTATACGCACCTGTCCAAGGACAGGTTCCTCGGGTATAGGCTTCGGAGAACTGGCAAGCGTAATAACCAAACGAGAAGGCTGCGAAGCAATGAGCAAGGAATTCAGGCGCGAAGGAAGAAGGTCCATACGTCGAGCTTGGCCAGTTCACTGCTAGTGGCGGAAGACATGATTTTGGCGATTTTTGCCGATATCGAGGTTTGTGAGGACTGATAGATGGGTTGACGACAAGTGAGGGACCCTTCAGCTTAAGACGCCCAGCGGTTATGACTCGAGCGGTTTGGAATACCTGGATTCGACTGCGAAGAAAGCGCTAGTCGGTCACAGGAATGCTCCGTATGAGCCCATACCCGGTCATCATCCAGGGCGCGATGGTAGGAGTGCGTTGAGAAGCGCGCGTCGAGTCACTTTTCATGATAGGCGCCAGGATATCTGCGCTAGAGACACGAAAGCGGTGCTCCAGCCGCTGTCGTCGGGGTCGCTCTGGATTGAAGTCAGTGGGCAGTGCACGAGCATTCGCAGTACACGTACAGTACATGGACGACTTTGAGAAGCTGTACCTCACAAGGAGCAGTGGTGAAAAGCTTTCGACCGATCATGCAGCGTGCAGCGTATCGAGGAACTCAAAGAGGCAGACATGGCATTGTACAACGATCAACATACGCAGTACAAAACACGCGCCCGTATAGAAATCTTCACGAAGGAAGAGGAGAGCAAAAGATTATGCGGATACGACGGCGTCATGCGCGAAGCTCGACACCGCCGACATCGTCGACTGCTAGCAGGGCCGGCAAGTACGACGAGCCGCTATCCACAGCATGCCAGGCAGTGGGTGGAACGAGAGCCAACCACCCATGAAGACTTTCCCTGTCACAAGCAGGATGCGCTGCCCAAGAGACGGTAAGGCCCAACTAGCTGAAACTTACCAAATCCATCGGGAAACCATCGGTCATCGTAACCTCCATTCGTCGCACAACGCATCGCGACCCCATCTGCCCTGCTTGCGCCGCGCCCCTCTAAAGCATCGGCCCGTTTGGCATGGACCCGCCCGACGAGGCATCTTCCGAAAGGCGAAACCACCATACTGAAGTTGACCGCCGATCCACCGCTCCTCCCAGCTCAACCACTGACCCCGATCATACGTCCAAGTAATCATGATAGGAGTCGCCTACCCATATCGAAGCCGCCTTCGTCTGAGGTTCGGGTCGTCACGCCAGATAATGCACGAACTGCCTAGGCGCAATACCGCCACTGACAGCCACTCAACCGCAAGGGACCTCCGCGCCCCCATGCCGGCCACGACCGACAGAGAATGTCAGCGCGCCAACGTGAGATGTAGACGCCGATAGCCAAGCGAGGCGGCGCGCATGGCCTCGTACGCCCACGACGCAGGGATCCAGCGATGAAGTGTGGGTAGCCTCGAGTGGTTCCTATCGCCCGGCGAGAGTCGCCCTCGAAGTCGGCAGTCGGCATGCACCATAGACCCCGTGTGTGAGGGCTAGCACCTCCACGGCGCCGTCGTCAGAGGCCCTAGCGTCGATGCAGCGGTAGAGGGATCGGACCTCCACATGCTGCAGCGGCGAACCCCTTCGTACGGGAACGCACACAAAGGGTCCGGTCATACCATATCGTTCTTCGCGCGGCGCTATGCATACAATCTTCAGATGACACACGGTCCTCGAGGCGCTGGCAATGTCATCCTCCACGACGTTGTTGTGGGGCAGCTTTCGGCGCCGGGAGTGTTCGCACGCTCGTTGGTTCATGTAGACCGAGGAAGATCGACCCAGCTTTCTCTGGTCGCTGCAACTCCTCCCGGTCGGCGCTTGGGACAATGCTCTGATTGGCGATGAGCCTCGAGTCGGGGGCGATGACTACGTGTCGATTCGGGACGTAAGAGATCATGATGCACTCGCAGCCGTTGCGCGAAGTACTCGTCGCCGGTGAAGGCGCACGAGCCGCTCGTCGCCAGAGTGGGCGCACGAGCAGAGTACGTCGCAGCTAGATGCGCCGGTACATAGGTATATATTGTGTTGCAGCCACGGTGTCGAGCAGACGCCCGTGATGCCGCGGCGTGAAACGAGGCAGCGAGCGACCGCCGAGCATTGAGGTGATGCGTTCGAGACTACGAGCCTCAGCTCAAGAGCTGTGGAACGCTGAGCAGTCGAGACATGGCACGTCTTCGGCGGGTCGCGCCTATTTTGCTAGGGCCAGATGCGCGAGATGGAGGACCGGAGCAAGAAGGACTCCCATCGATTGCTTCTTAAGCAGGTGATACCGGCATTTGCCGGAAATGATAGGGGCGGACCCATAAGAACAACCTGAATCTGTTCGCAACTGAACAACGTCAAGAGCTAGCTATGGTGTCTATATGTTTGTCCAAGGTGGTGTCTATGGGTTCGTCTATGTTGCTTGCAAGGTTTCTTGTCTGGTCTGGACTTCGTAGCCAGCGACGGACTACAGGCGAACGACGACGACTGAGATATCATCGCGAAGCCTTCCTGCCAGCGGCTGCACCTCCTCCAACATCTTCTCCTTGTCAGTCCCAAAGAGCACATTCCTAATCACCCGATCCGCATCGTTGTTACCTTCTTGCGGCGCAATGAGCGCGTGTCGGAACGCCTTCTCCACTGGGACGCCTCGCGCCAGAGCCGCCATGACGTTCGCCTTCTCATCCTCCTTGACGCACTTCAGGGCAGCGCGAAGTCCGTCTGACGCGAAGAGAAGGACGTCGCCAGGTTGTAGGTCGTGCCGCTGTATGGTAGGCGTGGACGAGATATACGGCGGATTCCAAGTGCTCGGGTCCTCTTCCCATGCATGGAAGGGGTAGGTAATAGCACCCACGGGTCGAGCATGCCGTATGATCGTTGGCGCGAGACAGTAGTCCGTTTTCAGGGCAAAGTCTCCTAGAGCTAGGATGCGTCAGGCAGATGAGGATGGCCACGACTGGCGCTTCGCTTACAACACGTAACTGCCAGCTGCCCGAGCGTGCGACCCTGCGAGACCGCTAATGGCTCATCAGGATGCTCCGAGCGTACGCGGGCGACCTCGCTGGCGTTGTCGCAGTTGTGCAGCTCGTTGAGAGGGATGACTTGCAACTGACCATCGACCATCCTGCCCAGAACTGCTGGCGTCAGCCCACATGACGCGCAGATCGCGAAACGAAACATACCCGCTTCCGAATCGCCTAGCGAAGCGACCCAGATGTTGCACTTGGCTCTATCGATGAACCCGATGAGCGCAGTCGAGCCAACCAAGCACCTTCGCGCGGCGCGTACACGCTCATCGCGCTTGGAGTACCCAACGACCTCGAAGGTTCCTTCGTCCTCGTTACCCCAAAACTCGTCGTTGTAGCTGCACTCCGGAAACGCCTCGAAGAGATCGCGCAGTAGGGACTCGTCGAAGTCCTTGATGCCATCCGCGAGCGCTCGCTCTACTGCCGCGGAGAAATCCGAGGGGTCCTGTGCGACGTTCTTCTCGATGCGCTCACAGAGCATCTGTGGCAGCGTCTGCGCAGCATAGTCAGAGAGGTCCCCGGAATAGTGACCTATTTCGGGAAGAAGTGCATGGGTTCAGGGAGGCGAGGAACATGCGGCGAAACGAGCTTACCGTCAAAGACAGCGATGAGTAGTCCGTGTTCGGACTCATGTACGGCCGTCCTGTCCTCGTTCTCCGGCTTCAGAGCCTGAAATGCTGCCTCGTGGACCTCTATGCCCATGCTAGGGATTCTCGTAGTGCGCTGGCGTCCCTTCGCGTTGTACGCCGCCTCGAGCTCAGCATCGCTAGGGTTGAATAGCAAGGTGGAGGTCGCGTCGAAAGGGCCTGGCATCCTCGCTGTCAATCAAGTGCGATGGAAAAGACGCCGGAGGAAGTGCACTTAGGGGAGAAAGTGGTAGGAACAAAGAGTCGTTTGCCTCATGGTGGCGGTGGTCGGAAGAAAAATGGTTGCTCGTCGTGTGAACAATGACAAGCATGACGAAACTGTGGGTCCATGGGCGCGTAAATGCTACCGGGCCATGTGGGCAATCCAAGTTCGACTCCAAGAACTCCGGAATGAAAGGATTCGGGAAACTTGCCCTCGTACTACCAGAGCCTATCTGGATTTGGCTGACTGTGCACAATGATCTAGGCTTGGAAGTCCTCTGGCAGCTACAGCGTCTCAGTTGTCGCCGTCGACAGCACGGCCGGACTAGACGTGTAGTCGCCTGCAGACCCTATGGACACCAAAATACTGATGATAAACTCACTGTGAGACCACTGCAGTGTTAGGACCGCGAAAAGAGGTTCGCTAAGTAGTAGCGTGTTTCGCATTGAATTGATTCGGAGGGACTTGATCGACGCATAGGGCCGCGGCGATGAATACTCGTTAGACGAGAAGATAATAAAAATCACCACTTATCTGAAAGGACTAGACGGGCAGTTATATCATTTAGTTCATTAGGCGCTATGCCCGCAGGTCCTAGGGAGTATACCATCTGAATCTGAGCGAGAAGCTAGTCACTAGGCCTCAGCAAGCCAAGGTAAAATCTCCTCACCTTCGAGCCAGATTTTGCAGAGCGACAATTATGCGCCACAACACCCGGCCCCGAAGCTGCCCGCAGACGCCCAGATACAGAAATTGTTCCCTGAAGCGCCGTGAACAGTTTGTATAACCGTGTACACGAACACCCGCCGAGCGCCCTCTGACTGCAGTTCACCAAATGACCGCCGAGGCAGCTCACTGGCGAGGACGAGTACACGATTGCAGTCAGAAGCACACTGCAGGACCGCGAACGGCAAGAGCATCGCTGACGAGATTCGTGCGGTTGTCAAAGGTGTGGCGCACGCCGTGTCCACCGTGGGGTCCAGGATATGGGCTTGACGGGCGCCTATGTTGCGAGAAGCCAGTGTAGAGCTCGGTGCGGCGCTGAGAGGAAGTGCGTAAGTATAGATGCACTTGTTGACCGACTTGAGCCGGTGCGAGAGGACCGCGAGTGAGAAGACGGCGGAGGGCCTCGCGTGCATATACCTTGGCCGAAAAGCTGTAAAGCTGTTAAGCTGTTGATCTGAGTCTCAATTTCGCACAGCTGTACACTAGCATCGAGACGCACTGGATGGTCTCTTCCGACGAATGTATCTAATGAAGGAGCAAAAAAGACAGCGTGAGACAACGAGTGCATTAAGGGGGAATCGAACCCCCGGCGGGTCGATGGCAACGACCCAGGTTACCACTACCCCATTAATGCGTGGTAGGGCGTAAGTCAAACGCATTTATATCGTTTGTTTTGACCTTGGTTCATCATCGCACGTAGCTGCCCTGATAATACGCAAAGAGCGGTCCTTTCTTCTGTCCCCAACCAGATTGTGCTGGGACAGGTGCAGCGATATGGCCAACCCAGCGTAAATTGGCGCCATCCTCGCCTTTCGCCGCGTGAGCATGCAGTCTTGTGACACCAGCCGGACCGCTATCTCCAGCTCTCCCTTTCATGAAGGCCCGCATGATGCATCTTGACGCCATACTTCATGCTCTGGGCCCTCCTTGTCGCGGTTCTCGTCGGCGTGAAGGATTGTGTCGTTCTCGCCGCCCCCGACCGCGGTGATCTCCCACCGGTCCGGACGTACCACGGCTTGTCCGACACATCCACCCCCCTCAGCTCAAGTGCCTACCTCGTACCCTCCAATGTGCCTCGAAGCATACCACACACAGCATCATCTTCAGCGGACTCCCCCAAACCCCTCCCATGTGCCTTCACCATCGACTTCCCCGCGCCGCCCCTCCGCTTCGACCTATGTCCCCTCCTCGGTGGCACAGACCCGCTAACGATCACATCGCACGAAGAGACGCCGCCGACGCATACGGACTACACATACACAGTGGGCCGCGGCGCGCCTGTGCAGCGCGATCGGACGATGCCTGATGAGCTGCAGTGCGCGGAAGGGACATGGGTATGCTTGCAAGGTGCGTCGAGGTCTACTTCCCTATGGTTGATAATTCCTGCTGACATTCCCCCTCCTTCGTCCAGTCATCAACTCGCGTCCAAACCATCCATCCGAACCGCCACGCGTACTGCAAGTCGTACCGGTCGCTGGCGAGCCGGGCCTACGCCCGACCGCGAAGCGCGTCCAGCGCAAACTCAGAGACTCGGACACCGAAGTAGACGCCCTCCGCGTCGTCCTCCACGGCGGTAGCTACACCTCGCGCTCCCAGAAAGCCGTCTTCGACTTCATCTGCGCGAGCGAGACAACCCCGCCCACCCTCTCCTGGACTTTTAATGGCACGCACGCCTTCGAATGGTCTTCCGAGCACGCCTGCGGGAAGGCCGTCGTGCCTACCACTCCGCCTCCATCTACCTCTGAGCCACCTTCACCCACGGGTCCGGGCGACGACGGGGATACCGAGAACCCACCCTCCGATCCCGAATCGCCAGATCAAGGGCACGGCGACATAAATCGCCCCGCGCCTTCGCCTACACACCCGCTCCTGCGTCTCGCCTTCATCGCTGGCGGCCTCTTCTTCCTCTACTACGCCTTCCGCACCTTACTGCCGAAGCTACACACCGCTATGCTCCGGAGGAAGGCAAGGCGGACGCGCGGCAGCGGGGTGCTGCCCGCGTCACGCTTCGCGGGGCTTGTGCCGGCGCAGTTCGTCCGGCGAGCTGGATACGAGCCGCTTTTCGACGCGGGCGATCTGGAAGACGAGGAAACGCGAAACATCGGCGAAGCCGCGGATCTGGAGAGTAGATCGGGGGCGAGGGCTCATGGCGGAGGTGAAGACAGGAGATTAGGACCGAGTGCATATGGCGACGCTTACCAGGACGAAGCGAGCCCTCTGAGCGCGACATTCCCGGCGAGGGGAGCATATGGAGCGGCGAGATAGTATTGAAGACTGTCGGCGCCTTCAGACACGACTTCGGAATGCCAGCCATTGTTCTTCGAATTCAGACTGCGCTCTCGTCATTGTTCTCCAACCTGCGTTCCCATCCTCGTGCCTCTCAATGACGCCGGCCATTAGGTGTGCCTTTCACAGTATGTCTGATCTCCATGACCAGTGGCTACAATGAACTACGAACCCCGATTTCCATCATGAACATCGACTTCCATCATGAAGCCCGACTTCAATCTTCCATTGTTCTCCCTTCGTCCTATAATCACCGCCTCCTCGCCATGTCACATCCCATTCACCCTCGACGGCCATCGTCAGGGCAACGCGCACGTGTCTACCTCATTCTCGCCCAAACCTGCCCAAATCGGGCAAGTCTTGACAAAAGCCCGGACATAAACCCTTTTGTGGCCATGTTAGGGCCTGCATGCAGCCCTGTTATGGTCCACCTGTGGCGCGTGCAACCCGCATGCGTTCTTTGTCGGAATGGCCCCGAAGCCACACATATAAGGCCAGTGTGTTTGCACAATTTGACCGTTCTCTTTCCCTCTTCCTTGTTGTACGCATTGACCTCGGCGTGTTGTCCTCGCTTGGGCTTCCAACACGCGCGTTATTGTGTTCGACGCGCTATTGTTCTATACTCTCCCGCTCTGCCTAGCGCTTCCCGTGATCCACAAGTTCACAAGTGATATCTATTGTCCTACGATGTCGTCGAGCCGGCTCTCCAGGTGCGTCGTCATCGCGTCTTGTTTGTCAAACGTGCGCTTACCTGTCTTTCTAGGCGAGCATCCTTGAGGAACGCGACCGCCGCATTCGACGCTGCCGACGCGCTCAATAGCATCAAGAAGACAGCTAAGCGCAGGGGCCGCCCGCCCAAGGCCAAGGCAGATCCCGCTCCCCGCGCCAACAAGAAGGTCGTCACCGCGGAAGCCAAGGCTGTCGTCGTCGCACATATCAAGGCCAATGAGTCGCTCGATACCCCACGCGGCGCAGCAGACGTTGCGGACGGCGACCCTCAGGCTCAATACGGCGAGATCGGCTATCAATGGTGGCTGGAGCCCGGATCGACGACTGAGGAAGAGGACGAGGAAGAGGAGGAGCGGCCTAGGGCCCCCGACCTCGAAGAGTGTCTACAGGACCCAATGTGGTGTACCGAGCCGTGCCATAATGGGTGTACCAATGGCGAGATATTCCGGGCGTTCAAGCGGGCGGTGAGTCAATACTTGACATCGCCGGCGGATATCTGGAACTGACTTTACATTCTCAGTACATCAAATACGGTGCAACGTGGCCGCCCGACTTTGAGCGCAAGCGCACGAGGGTGCGTAGCCGGAAGGCAATCGCGGGACTGGAGGCGGAGTGGCGCGAGAGGGAGAAGACCGAGCAGGCGAAACGGCCTCGTAAGGCTAAGAACGTCACCGCCCAGGACAGCGTGGCGTCCTTCGTCAGCTACGACTCCTACATGTCGCCTTCGGTCCCGGGGTCTACGTGCTCAGACCAAGAACCCTCGAGCGACGCGGAGGAGTTCCTCAAGGAGCATCTCGATGCGGCGGGGAGGCGCCCAGCGAGGTTCGACTTCGAGGAAGACGACGCGTGGGACGCCGAGGAAGAGGCGCCGCAAGCAGGGCCGTCGCGTCCGCGCTGGCAGCGGATGCAGGAAGACGAGGACGAAGGCGACATGTCGGGGACCCTGTGCGATGAGGACGTGATAATGGGCGAGGCAGAGGACGAGGACGAGACGATGGGCGATGACGAGAGCGAGTCCGACACTTACGATTCCGACTACGAGGACACGGACTACAAGGGCAAAGGGAAGCAGAGGGCGGAACCTGTGCATCACCTGCGGAATCACAAGGGTAAGGGCAAGGCGCGTCTTTAGAGCCTCAATTTCCTGTCGGCGCTGGAACTCCTCCGCCTGCCAGTTGCTGTTCGCGTGCCCGTTGTTTTCGTCCTTTCTTCTCAGATCTGGGTTCACTATGGTCAGTGTATTTATTACGCTCCGTGCTTCTTGGTTATGTTTCAGCAATGATTCCGATATATGCGACTGTAATCTCGTATAGGTCATGCACTAGATATGTATTATACCTTTCTATAATGAGTATGCCCCTTGTTTTTCTGTTTACCAACGCTCTGCTGACCGTGCGACAAGTTACCCCTAAACAATGTGGGTCCAATTTGATGGCAACTCGGCAGCTCCCGAAACCTGCTGATACGATCGCCCCCTGTTTCGTCTCTTGTTCTCTCACCACGACCATGCCTTCGACTTGCCCGCCCCTTCTCGCCGGTTTCTGACGGTGCTTCGCTTGACACCCGAGGACGGCAGTCTTTTGCAAGATACTAGATACTCGATCCTCGAAAGGATGCACAGACGACGATGACTTTTCTGTGCACTGTGTGGCCCGGATCGTGTGGGTTGTCGTCAAAGGAGTAGTTCGCCGCGGTCACGACGTCGAGGTCCAATCCCTCGACGCCAACGAAGGTCCGATTCCTTCGCCGTCTTGAAGGTCCGATCCCTTCATGGAGGAGGTCCAACCCTTTCACCACGGCGCCCTCACCCCTATTGGCGACGACGATCGAGGTGCCATCCCTTGACCGCGATCTCTGGTCCACGCAAGCACAACCATCGAGACACATGCTTTACACGTTGCCATTCCAGACGCACACAACGAGACGAACACGAGTTTTGGCATGACCGGATCCCGTGGCCACTGTCGCACGAGGGGGCTTCTCACCACATGTGTTGCGCCGAAGTTCTAGCCCTCGCGCGTAGGGGAGGTCCGACTCCTCCCCGTCTATCGTGGCAGCCTCCCCTATCGACGGCAGTGATCGAGGTGTATCCCTCGCTCGGGGTCTCTGGTCTTGCCTCCATGATTTTTTTATGTCCGCGAAACGCGCGCACACGGAGCCACGATGCTCAACGAGACACACGAAAGCCACGATGCTTACCGAGACGAAGCGCACATGCACGCGGTACGCCGGATTCCGTGGTGGACATCGCACGAGGGGGCTTGGTCATCGTGGTCGTTGTGAGGTCCGATCCCTCCTGCGCCCGCCTGATCGCCGTCCTTATCGACGATGGACATTGAGGCTATAACCCTCGACACGGGATCTCTGGTTTATGTGCCACTTTTACTTGGAAACACCCTTGGTCTGGGAACTCGGCGTTGATCTTTTGGATGATTTGCGTTTTTGGATGATTTTGGACAGCCGTCACAGACGACATAACGGGAACGCATACACCGATTTACATCTGCACCAGCACTTTGCTATACCCGGTCGGACGTCGTTGTTGTCTCCGCACGAGGTGGTCGCCATGACCAGTCGGCGAGGGTCTGAACCCTTGCAGGCTCGTCGTGTCGACTGTTATCGGCGGCTGGCTTTGAGGTACCATCCCTCACGCGGGGTCTCTGTTCCGGACCCAAACGAACCAGAATTTTGCCTTTGCTTGATCATTGCCGTCGAAAACTTCACAAACCTGCACACCATTGCCACACGCACATCATAACGTCCACACAACGCACAACACATAAACGCTATACCGGATGTCCGGATCCCGCGCCCTGGTCGTCGTACAGGGGGGTTTGTTCGTCGCTGGCGATGTCGCGGTCCGATCCCTCGCGTTGCTGACGACGTTGGCCTCTACTGGCGTCGACCTCGAGGTATCATCCTCGGCCGGGATCTTTGGCGCATCTATCTATGTTCACGCACATTTACGTCGCACTGCACCTCCGCGTCATTGCTAGTCATCGTCATCGTCACTCGCACACCGTCTCACGTCGAGTTCATATCTGCTTGTACCGGATCCCGTGTCGGCCGTCGTACGAGGAGGCTTGTTATGGGTGCGCGGCGCGTCGAGGTCCGAGCCCTCGCGTGTTGTGGGAGGCCGATCCCTCCTGCGTCGTTGGCGGTCCAAACCCTCCCGCCCATGGCGACAGCTCTATCGGCGACGGTCCTCGAGGTGCACTCCTCGGCTCGGGGTCTCTGGTGCATTTGCCGTCGCATGCTGTCTTTGTCTGACCATGCTTTTTGTCACAGCTCTGCATCATCTGCACCTGTCCCCTCATCACAGCTCTGCGTCTCCGCACCTGTTATGATCTTCACAGCTCTGCCGCCCGCGCACCTGTTTATACCCGTCACAGCTCTGCATGTCTGCACCTGTTTACACCCGTCACAGCTCTGCGTCCTCGCACCTGTTTATCCTCGTCGCAGTCTCCTCGGTTAGGAGCTGTTGTTCTTGGCGGTCTCCACGGTCGGAGCCGTTCGTTCTTGGCAGTCTCCTCGGTCGGAGCTGTCCGTCATTCGCAGTCTTCACGGTCGAAGCTGTCTGTCCTCTGCAGTCTTCTCGGTGAAGCTGCCTGCCCTTGCCGCGCTGTCGGTCGTCTTCACTGTTGCAGAATGCACAGTCGCTGTTCGCTCATGCAACGGACCCTGCGGCTGCTGTACGAGGGAACGAAGTACGATGGGTGCGCCACGAGGTTCGATTCCTCACGCGTAGGCGGAGGTCCGATTCCTTCGCCGCGTTCATCGTGCGCTTCTTCTATCGGCAGCAGCGCTCGAGGTGCCATCCCTCGGCGTGGGGTCTCTGGGGCATGAGAGGGCTCTTCGCAAAGGTTATTTGCCTTGCTGGTCTTACGCTTATATGATCTACGCGCATATGGGCTATCGAAATCTGCGTCGCCTAACGGGTTGGACAGATCTCGCGGGTTGGGTCGTCGTTCGAGGAGGTTTGCGCGCTGCGCTGAGGTTCAATTCCTCCGCGCGGAGGGATCATGCCTCCGCGCCTGCAATGCCCTGCCTCTATCGTCGACGACTCACGAGGTGCCATTCCTCGCCCGCGGGGTCCCACGTTCTTCTCAAGGGCATACTTGTATATTTATGGTCGGACGTCGGGCGGGGTTTCCCGTACGGCGTGGTCGCTCTGCGCGTCGGGTCCAGGACTTGCACGGCGTACGAGGCTGGCGTGAGCTGGTTGTCGGCGTCGGCGTTCCTCGTCGTTTACTGCCGTTGGTGATCTCGTCGATGACCGTGGTCATTGTCGTTGTCGTCGCCTCCGGTAGAGGTCGGCGAGGGGTTTAGGACCTCTGGCAAGCGGACGGCGGGCTAGCGCGCAGGCGCTGACGTCGAGACCTGCGCTTCCGGGCGCACATCGGTATGGCTTGCGCCGCACGCAGCGGACGGCTAACGTCGCTCGCAGAGGTTGGCGTATTTGCTCGGCGATGGAAGTCTTCGAGGATGTGGGATACCCTCGGGGATGTTGATCGTCGTCGTGGAATTGGGCGTCGCGGAAGCGCGGCCCGTGGGTCACGGTAGTGGTCGATAGACGCCAGCAGTGGTCAGTAGTGGCTGCGTGCGCGGTGGTCGTCGATGCTTGCCGTAGCTTAGGTCGTCGCCGATGCGGGACCCTCTCCGTCTCGCTTGCCCGCTGCGCTTGCGCTCGCGCTCGCGGACGTCGTTCCTTCGGGAGCATCATCCCCGGACGCCGAGCATCGTGCTCGGTGTCTGCCACGGCCCGCTTGTCGGGTCGTGGAGCGCAGCTTGCTCTCAGGCTTGCGCTGTCCGTGGCTTATTCGTTGGGCTCGCGTTGCTCGCAGTCCGTTCGTCGGACTCGCGTCATTCGCAGTCCCTCGTCAGGTCGCGGACGCGGCTCGACGTTTAGCTGGGGGAAATCGACATCGTCTGCGTCAGGCGGCGATAGTAGGCTGACTCTGGCGGCGTCGATGTCGGCAACATCGGGTGCTCTGCGCCTCGTCGTCGTATCCGCATAATTTTTTGCAACCCCCTTCTTCCTTCTGGGAGATTTTGTGTTTAGTGTACGGTGTTTGATGTATACCACGTCCGTAAGTAGCTGCTCACTGGTTCTGTTCCTTCTGCAGGCCATATGTATAGTACCCACTCCTGTATAGCCCGACGATGCCCCAGCCAGTCATTGAACTGGAAACGATGAAGGATGGGATACGATTTATGCCGAGAAACGAACCGGGGAAAGGACCTGCATACCATAGAGCATCTAGTCGGTGAGATCTGCGCGAACTATCAACCCAGCACGAGCTGTGGCCACGCGGAACATGACTTGCCGACCTCTAAGCTGCGTACTAATGCTAATCGATCCCTACAATGTATTGCCCGATAGCGACATCAAACTCATGCCCGAAGCTACACGGAGGGTAATCTTCAGGTGTGACCTTGAATAAAGCTGACCTTCGGGGCTGAAAACGCGGAGGCTCAAATCGAAGGTGCAAAAATGTGGAGAACAGGGCGAACAGACATTTCGGATACGGGGAATCGAACCCCGAGCTGCCGCGTGAGAGGCGGCAATGTTAGCCGTTACACCATATCCGAGTTGGTGGACAGCTAGTGTATGTTTATATAGAGTCCTATGTCTGTGATGAAAACATAGCAAGGACATCGTCTACCCCACCTGGTGCAACGCGCTCCTTCGGGTGCCGCGTGGGGTCAGATGGGGAACAGCGCCAAACAGACAGACAAAGGAAGCAGATCAAGAATGAACGCCCTCAGTATAGCGCGGCGTGCACGCACTTCAGAAGATGCTTCACCAGGCATATATCGCGGTCTAGTACGCGCAGAGGCAGCACCATGCGGAGACAATCAAGCAGAGAGTAGCACCTCGAGAATCTGGCTGGCATGAGAAAGCAGTTATCAGGCATCGGTAGAGGCACCATGACAGCCAACGGCAAAACGCTAGACTCAATTCGCGCGGAGATATGTGGCTGACGTCAGCAAATCCCACGCCACCGGGCAGGCTCTGCACGACCTTTGCAGGCTTCTCTGCCTTCCCCCTACAGGATGTAAGGCCTCCCGGAGATAAAGTCTGGCTCAGAATGCACACGATGCAGCATTTTTCCGCGATTGTACAACAGTATCTGTTGCTGGCGGTTGCCCGGTCCCACATGATCACATCGAATTTGTGGCAACCTCACATGAACTTCACCCACACCTCAAGATATCAGAGTCTGCAGGGGTGCAAGAGTTTCGTGCGGTTGCGTGAGGGCAAAATATGGTTCATACAAGTGTGAAAGAGGTATCGTACCCGCCGGGCAGATCCTGACGTCAGCCACGTATCTCCGCACGAATTGAGTCTAGCGTTTTGCCGTTGGCTGGAAACAGTCCAGAGACGCCAAAAAAACCACCTCTGGGATGAAAAAATGGCTGGAGTTCAAATCTCTCACATGCATTAAGGGGGAATCGAACCCCCGGCGGGTCGATGGCAACGACCCAGGTTACCACTACCCCATTAATGCTTGTAAGCGTCAGCGGGAGCGGGCAGATTAGGAGGACTGGCGAGAATGAGAGGATGGGGGTCCGAAGGTAAACCGGGCAGTAGGGAAAGTTGCGGGCGAGGGAGGAGATGATGAACATGGACGGACGCAGCATGGCAGATGAACTTGGAACTTGAAGCGCCATCGACAAATTCGCAGTGTGTTGCCACCAACGGCCGTGAATTCGGACAATATGTGTTCGTCGCATACAATGATAGTGTCTAGATAGATATATCTGTACGACAGTGAGTACGAAATCCCAGAGAAAAGGGGGAAGAGGGGGAGGAGGGAGGAAAATTCAGCATGGCTAAGATTATATCACCGTACGCGACTCATTAAGAACGCAGCGGAAAGCACATAGTTGGCATCATGCGGGGATATGTAGGAGCGGTGAAAAATCGAGGCAGTGAAGGAGAATACTCACATGTAGATAGATAGAGCTTGATCGCGTCGTTCGTCAGTGAGGACCCAGTCTCTCGCGTCAGTCCTGGGCGATCGCATTGACCGTCCAGTCGAGAAGTACCAATCGAACGTGCAATCGAGTAGTACTGTTCGATCGCGGCCTACGGCGCTTTGTCGGGTCCGCCTGCCACGATAGGAATAAAGTACAAGCTCGCGCGCATGGACGGTAAAGTCATCGTCAAAAGACGAGTTCGGGGATGATCATGGCGAGCGTCTCCCAAGTTGTCCCTACGACCGATGCGGCAGAACCGATGAGACAAAGGTTACTGAGTGTTATTCTGAACCGAAAGCATGCTGCGAGCGATAAGCTGAGGATGATGATGGTCAGGAGCAAGGCGCGTTCGCTGCTGATCATGGCGTCAATCGGTGATCAGAAGCGACGGAGGTAGCGGACCGCCACCGCCGGGATCGACGCTCACGTGCGCTGGGCGCTTATGTCCGCCTGCTTCCTTCCCCACACCTTGTTCCCGACCCCCATGTCCTGCCAATGCGCACTACGTCGCACTTGATACAACACCAGCTTCTTTCACAAACTCGTCAACACATAAACTCCACTGGATAGAGGACCGAGGATGTGCACAACATCGCCCCGATACTGACGCGTCGAATCGACTTGATCATGCCGCCTCCCCTCTCTCATCACGCGCTCTGCTTCTCTGTGCCTTCCGCATGACCAGATGGCGCGGCCCGCCCTCCCAAGTACTCCCTCCTGAGCTGCGATCGCGTGCTGAGTATGCTCGGCCAGCATGATTTCACCGTCCGGAGAACCGGCCAGTCGCCCAGCGTACATAAAGCGAAAGGTCATGAGGATGGCGCGAGCGCGAGACTGCTTCTTCACAGCTTGGGACAGGCGCGAGTGCACGGCTGCTCTTGACGCGGCCCATAGCCTCGAACGGACGCGAATACCCCACGGACTCGACTACTACGCTCGCATCCACCATGGTACTCCTCAGGTCGAAAGCCGCCACGAGCCCCAAGCCCCGCGCCTCCTCCCCCGTGCCCCTTCACTGGCTCGGATTTGCTGACGCCGACCCGTCTTCCACTTACACGTCCCCCACCCGTCTCCCCGTAGGCTCCGCGTTCGGCATCCCCTGGGCCGAGGGCGAGGTCGACAAGACCACCGCCATAAAGGCAACGACGGACGACGGGACGGACGTGCCGCTGCAGACGTGGCCAGCCGCGTAGTGAGTGTCGAGCCAACTAGCCACAGTACTGTATTGACATCCCTCCCTCCCAGCTGGCCCTCCGGCACCCTCAAATGGACCGGCCACGCCCTCCCCGCCAACATCGCCCCCTCCTCCGTCACCATCTCCCTCGGCACCCCGCCCGAGCCCGCGTCCCCCGTCTCCGTCGCGCAAGACGCCTCCGCCAACACCATCACCCTCACCACCGGCGCCTTCACCGTCGTCCTGTCGACCTCGGGGAGCACGCTGGTGCAGAGCCTCTCGCTGGACGGGCAGGCGAAGGCGAACGGGGGCAAGCTGGTGTTCCATGTGCAGGATGGACCGGACGTCGATCTGGCGGACGGGGGCGACGGGGCGGGGCCGACGGTGCAGGAGTTGGTGGGGCCGACGGTGCAGAAGCTAGTGGGCAATATCGAGAAAGCGGAGGTCGAGCAGGAAGGGCCGGTGAGGGCGGTGGTGAAGGTGCGCATATATTCGATTTTTTATGACTCCCTTCCCTCTTTTATGTCTCTCTTCCCTCTTGTATGTCTCTCTTCCCTCTTTTATGTCTCCCCTCCCTCACTTGCACGTTCCTCGCATCCTCCGCTCCTTAAACTACAGCCCCCTTAACCTACAGCCCCCCTTCAACTACAGCCCCCTTAACCTACAACCCTCCTCACCGACGCTCATCTTCCTTCCCTCCCAGTTCACCGGCACCTACGCCCCCGCCTCCACCTCCACGACCGCGACGTTCCCCTCCACGAACGCCCCCACCTCCACGACCGCGACGTTCCCCTTCACCCTGCGCGCGTATGTCTCCGCGGGCTCGCGCGCGCTCCGGCTCGTGCACTTCTTCGCGTGGGACGGGGACAAGAACAAGGATTTCGTGAAGGGCATCGTGAGTGGTCGGCTCTTCGTGTTCATCCCCTTCCATAGCCACCCTCTATTCGGATTGATACAATCATTTATAAAATATTGATACGTCTTAGGGCCTAACGTATAGTCTGCCGCTGTCGGACGAGCTCTGGGACCGGCACGTGCGCCTGGCGAGCGTAGATGGAGGCGTGTTCGGCGAGTCGGTGGGTATCTGTTTCCTCCCCTCATTCGCCACATTTCCTCTTCCCTTCTGGCAATTTGCCACGTCTTTCTCGCGCTCAGCAGCTTGCTAAAGAGACCCTTCTAGGTCCGCACCCTCTCCGGCCTTCGCCGCGATGCGGGGCCGGATGTGCTCAACGCGCAGTTCAATGGGCGGGTGAGTGCATGTACTCAATGTTCCAGCCAACATTGACAAGGTTGATAGCCCGTCCCGGACATCAGCACCTGGCCGACGACCGTGTCGGGCTCGGTGGACTCGCTGGCGGTGTGGGCGGACTGGCGGGTCGACCAGCTCTCGGCGGACCACTTTACGATCGACAAGCGGAGCACGGGCGGGGCGCAGGCGGCGTGGTTGCGGTCCAATCAGGGGTGAGCGAGGTCGACGCATAGATTCATTGATTTTTCTTTATCTTCCCCCCCCCCTCTCCCCTCCCCCCCCCCCCTACCTGCTGCACTCATCCCACCCGCTACCACACAAAGATAGAACCGTTGTTCTCATCCTCTTTGAACTCAACTAACCCCCACCCCTTTTTTCATTCTTTTCAACTCAACTAACCTCCCACCCCCCAGCTCCCGCGCCTCCGGCACCGGCTTCGTCGGCGGCGCCAAGGCGGGCGGCACGCTCTTCGCCATCCGCGACTTCTGGGAGGGCCACCCGCGCGGGGTGGACGTGCGCGGGGCGGACGGGGACGCGGCGCAGGTCAGCCTGTGGGCGTGGAGTCCGAGGGTGGGTGGGGTTTCTCTGTGTTTGATTGGAGGGTATACCCTCAAGTGGAGGATACACCTTCAAGTGGAGGGTATACCTTCAAGTGGAGGATAGACCTTCGAGTGGAGGATATACCTTCAAGTGGAGAATACACCTTCAAGTGGAGAATACACCTTTCCATGCTAACTCGGTGTTCGCAGGCGCCCGCCATGGACATGCGCCACTACGACACGGTCGCGCACGGGGTGAGTGTTCCTGCTCGAGCTGCCACTCCATCCCCTGAGCGCATGCATCTATTCTGAGCTCATGCATCCATTCCCCTAGCTCGACCTCGCCTACGAAGACGTCGGCGACCCGGACCCGGATCCCACGGGCGTCGGCCGCAGCTACGAGTTCGTCATCGAGGCCTGGGGCCCGGGCTCGTCGTCGGACGGCAACGCGGCGCCGAGCAGGGACGAGGTGGCGGCTTTTGGAAAGGATTGGGTGAGTGGGGCTGTCTTGGTTGGATGGGATGGTTGTCTTGTCTGTCGTGGGCTGAGTGGGCTGTTCCCCTCGGCTGGAGGGGTTGCTTTCTCGGCTGGTGAAGGTGTCCTCTAGGATGAGTGAGGGTCCCTCGGTCGGTCTGCGTTGACGCAGGGGGTTGCGAGACGCATATGTGTGGTCTGGATCGCATATGCGCGAGCTTGGCAGGCTATGGGCGCGGATGGGGTCGATATATCCCCTACGCCTACAACCCACCGAACCTCCTCATCTGCCTCTTGCACCACACACACCGTCGCCTCGTAGACTCTCAGACTAACCCTCCCCCTCCAGTCCATCCAGCCCCAGCTCGTCGCCGATCCCGAGTTCTATGCCGCGCACAAGCTGTTCGGTGGTCACTGGGCCCCGCCCTCGGGCGCGGCACCCGATCTGGAAGCCCGGAAGGACGCGCTGTTGGACTTCTACGTGAACGAGGTCGAGCAGAGGAGGTGGTATGGGTTCTGGGATTATGGTGCGTATGGGTGCCGAGTTCGTCTTTTCCTGCTTCATCTTGCTCCTCCTCGGGCCGGCGTGCGCGCGGATCGTCGTTTGAGGGGTCTGCGATTCTTTGTCGTCTGGGGGCTTGCGACGGTTCATAAGGACGACAGGAAGCTTATGGCACTTAATCAGGCGACGTCCAGCACACCTACGACCAGACGCGGCATGAGTGGCGCTACGACACGGGCGGGTACGCGTGGGACAACGGCGAGCTGGGCACCGACCTCTGGCTCTGGCTCTCCTTCATGCGCACGGGCCGCGCGGACGTGTTCCACAGGGCGCGCGCGCTGACGAGGCATTTGGCGGAGGTGAGTGGGATTTATGTTTTGTTTTCTAAAATACTCGGTCCTGCCTTCCAAATTACTTGGTCGTCAGCTTTGAGGCCTTGTTTCTTTATACCCTACGAGGAATACTAACATGACGCGCCTCCCTAGACCGACTTCCACCACACGGGAACCTTCGCGGGTCTCGGCAGCCGGCACAACGTGAGCCACTGGGGCGATGGTGCGAAGGAGGCGCGCGTTGGTAGCGCGTGGCTCAAGAGGCCGTTCTTCTATTTGACGAGTGCGTATGCCTTTTCTCTGCGACAAATAACTAGGCTATGGATCCCTGTCACTAAAATCACCCTCTCATCCTTCCCCCATAATACTTTTCTGTACATCGAGCTGTTGCTTCTCCCCAAAAAGAAACGAAGCATAACTGCTGACACTCCTCTTAGCCGACGAGCTCACCGGGGACCACATGCGCGCTGCGCTGCAGGCCGACGAGTCGATCGTGAAGTGGGAGCCGCTGCGGAAGATCCTCGACAAGCCGGATCCTGGTCCTGGGCGTGTTCGGTACGTGCTCGTCGTTCAGGCTAATCCATGCCTTTCATCCTCTGAAGCACATATGCGCAAAAACTGGTTGCTCCTTGCGTTTGACGGCTACATTCGCTGACGCACCTACGCAGGATCGGACCCGACTGGACCGCGCTCGCCGGCAACTGGTGGTGCGAGTGGGAGAGGGGGAACGATGAGTACTACCTGAATAGGATTAAGACGGGGATGGTGAGTGACATATCCTCGCTCTATGTCCTCCGTCTTTCCGTCTTTGTCCTGTGGGGCACTTGAGGAGGCTGGGGCGAGCCATAAGCGTTTGACAAGTGGCTCATTCCCTCATCTTATAGCACGACATCGGCCAAATGAAGTACGGGATGTGGTCCGGGTACACCGCCGCCGTGAACTGGGATCCGGCGACGGGGCATTTGCAGGATATTGGCGGGGAGTTCGAGGCAACGTGAGTACCGCTTTCTTCTCCCTTTTGCGCGAGGAATTGCCTTTCATCGCCGTGCGCCTACGTATTTTCTTATGTGCATGAAGCCTCAACTGCGCTATCCCGCGCGCACGTTCACGCTGAGCTGAAGCTAACTAACTCACCCAGCTACCATCTCTCCATGCTCTTTGGCGGCGGGGAGTTCCTCATGGAGGCCATGGACCTCATCACCGACGAGCCCGACTTTGACACCAAATGGGTCGAGTTCTGCCAGTACTTCAACGCGAGTGCGGATGAGTGAGTGTCTTCCGGGTGTGGTTTAGAACCGACCAGGGTGCTGACATGCAGCGCAGGAAGCAAGCCAAGTACGGTGTCGCGTTCAATAGCGGCGGCTTCGAGCAGCTTTACGCCAAGCTTCAAGCGTACGCAGGCGAACGGCTGGGCGATGATAGCCTGAAGCAGGCCGCGTGGCAGGTCCTCAACACGAACACGGTTGGCGTGTGGGACCCGGTGCAGCAGGTTGGCGGGAGTGATGTGTTGGTGGGGATTGATGAGGTGAGTGGTTTGAAGACTTCGGCGTGATTGGAGATGCGCTCGGGAGAGAAAGGGAGAGGTGGATGTGCTTGGGAGGATAGAGAGGGGGAGAGAAGGGAGAGGGACTGAAAGAGTCAGTTTTCTAACACGGCGCGCAGATCCCCAACCTCGCTACGAACGACGCGGCCGCGCGCTCGCTGGCGGAATACGCCGTGCTGGAGATTGCGCCCGAGTTCGCGCCGGCGAGCTTCGGTACGCGCACGTCAAAGTCCTCTGCACGAGCACGCTCAGCGACTGCGTCCCTCGCCGACTGGGATCAGGCTACCATTGCAGGCAGTGTGTGCGCGAAGGACGTGCGCGTCGACAAGGACGGGAGGGTTCACGATGAGAAGAGAGGGGGCGTGAAGGGCAGGGGTAAGGCGTGGAAGAAGTTGTTGTGCATGGCGTAGGTACATTGTTCCATTGCTACCTTGAAGCTCTTGCGTCGATTAACCTAGTGTGTGTAGTCTAGGACTTTACTGATTCCTGGGAATGCTCACAGTATGAGGCAATTTTTCTTACTTCTTCAACTTCTTCAGCCGGTGACGGGATGGAAACACAGCACCATGTGGTTTCAAGCTTGAGAGATCCAACGTTTGCGAAGTCCAAAAATGATGCTATGGAAAATGCATTTGAGTTCAGATACGGGGAATCGAACCCCGAGCTGCCGCGTGAGAGGCGGCAATGTTAGCCGTTACACCATATCCGAGTTGTAAGGGGGAAGGCCCTATTGGACTAGTGAGCAATGTTGAGCGCATCCAAGAGGCTATCTCTATCCAGACGGATTCACCAGACCTGAGATTCAATATTCACAGGTGCAAGGTGCGCGATTATTGTGAGCCGATTCGTGAATCAGCAAAGGATAAAGACGGCGCGCGGATTGGGTGGCACATTGAACGGAACCGCCTCCGATTGGCTGGGCCACGGTTTGCCCTTTCAATCGACCCGTTGTTTTTATTCTTCGCCTATTTACAAATTGGCTCACAATATTCGTACACCTTGCGCTGGGGAATATTGGGACCTAGGTGTAGTGATTGAGCCCTCTAAAGAAGTGCAAGTACGCGTTGAAGAGGAAGAGCATGACGCGTGACGTGGTGCAGGTCTTCGGCATTTGCCGGATATGGACCCACAACGAGCATTTGGGAGGGCACAGAGGGACCCTATGCGGGTGCTCTGGCTTCGGAAAAAATGGTTCTATCACGCATCTTGTCGCTTGGAAGTTTCCGCAGTGGCCGCGCTCGTGTACGCTCAGTCAGTCTAATGCGATCCGAGTCGGGCTTCGACGCTGCTTCGATGCGTGGATTAGGTTGGGCAGAGATAGTCGTAACAGTGACCAGGCTGGAACTTGAAGTCGTACGATGCAGTCACTCTGACTCTTGATCCCTGCATACGCGAAAGACATTGCGAAGTGGATGGGCGTCAAAGTCAGAGAGCGAGGGCGTGACACCGTGGCCCATTGTTCTTGCTTGCCGACTCCCATCATGAGCGAAAAAACTCCGAGCTCATCCGTCCTTCCGTGGGCGATTCGCTGACTGCTGCTCTCTCATCTCTGGCGTGTGTACAGATGACGATGCTTGCAAGATCTTTTCGCTGCAACTCACAAACGGAGCTGGAGTCTTTCCTAATTTTGGCGTCAGGTGTTATGTATGAGCACGGTCACTGCATATAAAGTGGTACTTGAACCCTCACTGACCTCTCTATCTGCCATCTCTCACCTTGCTTTGCCATGTTCCAGCTGATAGCCACTGTATTCCAATTCATCCTGCGTATCTACAAGGTATGTCGCCCTCCCATACCCTCCTCATGGCGCTTTGACACGGGCGGTTACTACGCCAGTAGGTACTCACATATCATATCCTTAGAACTTTTATCCTCCCGAGGTACCCAAAGTACCCTCTCCCATCCGCTTCGGGATCCTGGGTGCGGCAGCCATCACGCCGCCTGCGCTTGTTATCCCCGCCAAAAGTCACCCCGAGGTCGTGCTCAAGGGCGTGGCCGCTCGCGACCGTGCTCGCGCAGATGCTTTCGCGCGTAGGCACGGCGTCGAGCATGTGTACGACTCCTATGAAGGTGAGTACGCGCTTGAATTTGTAGCTGTCCCCGGATCTGTTCTCGCAGAGTGAGCTGAAGCGTTCGAACAGATCTCCTTGCCGACCCGGAGATTGACGCCATCTATAACCCTCTGCCAAACACGCTGCACTACGAATGGACGATGCGCGCGCTGGCGGCGGGCAAGCATGTCCTCTGCGAGAAGCCAATGGCGAACACGGCGGAGGAGATTAGGGAGATGTTCGCATTTGCTGAAAAGAAGGGACTCGTGCTTTTGGAGGCGTTTCATTATCGGTGAGTGGATGGAGGACTTGCGGTCGCCACTTCCGAGCACCATCTCACGCATCTACGGTAGCTTTCACCCCGCTGCCCAGCGCGCCAAGGCCATCCTGGAAAGCGGCGAGCTTGGACCCATCAAGTCCGCTGACTTCCAGTTCATGCTCCCTACCGGATTTATTCGCCAGGGTGACATACGGTCAGTGCCTTCACGCGTCCTTGTGCTCCATTTTCTGATTCGTGGCTCGCAGGTACTCCTACGCCCTCGGCGGCGGCGCCATGATGGACATCGGCTGCTACGGGATGCATCTATTCCGCTACCTCATCGGCGCCAACCCCACCTCCGTCATCGCCGTCACGAACTCGCCGCCACCCTTCCTCGCCGACCCCCTCGTCGACCACCGCACCACCGCCGCCCTCGCCTTCCCCAACAACGTCACCGCCTCTCTCAACGTCGACTACGCGCGACCCCTGCGCTGGGGCATCCTGCCGCACCTGCCGAACTTCCGCGCCATCGTGCGCTGCGAGGCAGGCATCAGCATTTTTGGGAGAACCGCATTTGTGCTCGCCGGGGATATGATGTGATGATGTGCCTGCCCACCGTCGCCACGCGCGGATGAGTGATCGCGAGGCAGGTATGAGCCTCGGGAGGCCTCGCCAACGCGCGCGCCCTTGCGCGCCGCTCGTAATGGCATGTATCGTGGCGAGGATCTAATTACACCTTTGTAATGCCTCTGTGGGCGTATGGCACGTGCATAAGTATCAAGTCGGGTCGAATCACGTTGACGCAGTCGGTGCGAGCCCCGAGCACACTCAGATTCGCTCGCGATGGGGATGCGTGGTCCTTGAAATGCGAGGTGGGTATTAGTAAATAGCGCGTCTGTGGATACGTGGAAGCGACACCCGGATGTACCAAAAATCAATACGAAGCGTAACCACTATCTTCGAAGCCGTCGGTCCCCTCCAACTCTTCCTCTGCTGCAGCCTCCGGTTCTTCGTCAGACCCACTCGCATCTTCATCCGAGTCCTCCGAATTCTCCCATTCCATGTCGGAGTCGCTCGCTGAATCATTGTCGTCGACCTCAGCAGCGTCTGGGTTGGCCATATCGACGTCACTTTGTTCGACATCGCTCATCGCGTGCGTAGATGCGCTAGCTTCGTCGTCTTCATCGTCCAAGGGACCCTCCACCTCTTCCTCCTGCTCTCCCATCTTCGCTACTTCCACTGAGGTCAAGCGCCGCTCAGCGTGTCCAACACCACCGCCCGCGAAGAAGCGCATCAACATGTCACGGTCAGCGAAGCTAGTGGGGAGGAGGTCGTATAAGCTCGCGTACTCGATGCATTTCTAGGTAGTCACTTACACATTAACATAGTAGTTCAGCCAGTCGTCCGTCTCGCCCGTTGCCCTTGCCATAGACGGTTGCTTCGTATGGAGTAGCGTATCGGTCCGTAGATCGACAAAGCTGGGGATGAGGTGGCAGCAGCGTACGACAAGTGCCGGGTCCAGGAAGCCGAAGGCGTATGAGCCTTGGCTCTCTTCGACGAAGCCGATTTTTGGAAGTTTGCAGAGGCGGCTACCGCAGCGATACCGCGGCTCAAACCCGTACCAGCGAACGAAAAGAAATTGCATTGGCTGAAAAACCTTGCTACTCGCCGGTGCGAGCGGGTGAGAAGTTGATACGTCCGCGTGGTAGATACCAAGGACGCGGGCGTACCAGTACGGATGGGCACCCTCTTCGGTCTCGGGCGACAGCATCATGATATCCGCGTTCTTTCCTACGTGGATTGTGTCCTGATCGCGTCGGCAGTCATACGTCGTATAGTTGATTCGGCAGGTGCGGCCCTCGTAGAACTTGCGGCCCTGTAAGCGTACTTGATTTCTTTCTTCGCTCGTGTATACATCGGGCTCATCCCCGTCGAATTTGCGATGAAGGAGACGGGTCAGCAGGTGATCCTGCAGCTTCGGGACGAATCCCTGTTGATATTCATGAGTAATTGGGTACTGTGCGAGCCTGAAGGCATATGGGCTTACCTCAATAGCTGGATCTCCCTGGTGAGAAGAGGGGAAAGTAGAGAGTGTGTGCCAAACATTTCTGGACTTCGTAATATGATGATGCTCATACAGGCCGTTGTCTTTGAAGGCGGCTTGATGGGCGCGACGCTTCGTATGAGCCTTGAAGCTATCATGGACCGCTTGGGCTCGACGGGCGCGTACCATGCGCCGATACGCGCGACCTATCTGCCCGGTCGCTTGCTTTTTGTTGGTCACGCCGTACAGTCGCTTGACGACGCGATGAGCAAGCTCCCCCTGCATCGAGCGTTAGTGGGAAGTCACTTGAACTAACTTGGAGCGTACCGCTTGAGTAGAATAGTTGTCCGTTGGGCCGAAAAGGCGAATCGTGCTGACGTAGTCGCCGAGAGCGTGCCACTTGTAGGTCGCGAGATTCAGCGTCTTCGGTACCTTTGAGCGTGGCTCGCGCGCCTTCCCTGTCGCTGGTTTACCAGCAGCCGCTGCCTTCTTCGCCTCCGACGCTTTGCGGCGCTCGCGCGCAGCAATCTCACTAGGTGTCTCGAAGGTCTTGTATGCACTGCAAGTGTTGTCGCGGAAGTCGCGCATGGCCTGTCCGAGTTCGCGTGTCACAACCTCAAGCCTGGCCAGCGTTTCTTCGGTGTGAAGGCGAAGCTTGGCGAGCGCGTGCCACTCAGCCAGCTTGTAGAGCACCTTGAGCAATCGCTTGTTATGGGGGTCGGGAAGCAAGCCTTCAAACGCCGGTATAGAGCACTGTTGATCTTAGCCTGAGCAATCACAATCCAAGAAACGAAAGCAATCAAGTCGAAAAGCAGCATGCTTACCTGCAAGATGTCCTCGAAGTCTCGAGCTGCCAACTTCTTCATCTCGGACACATTCTCGTGGAAGCGGCGGATTGTATCGACCCCAAAAGTAGAAATTGCTGCAAATCTTGCAACTGCGTCAAGGCGGAACGAAGAAGCGTTTTTGGAGAAGACTTACCGCTTGTCGAGCTCCTTCACAAGCGCGGAATCGATCGCGTAGAGAAGGCGGATGGAGTGCGTGAAGAAGGCCTTCCATACACCCAGCTCAAACTCGTGCATGAAGTCCACGACTAAGAAGCGCGAGACATCGATGTTGTCAAGCTCGTCGATTTTGAACGCATTCTAGCAAGGATCAGTTCGAGATCAAAGCTAAGGGTGTGAAGCGAGCATACCTTGGTTGGCACAGACGACGTAGCCTTCAGAAGGCGCTCTACCGCAGGTCCCGTGATAGGTGTGGCCATGTTGTAGATCAGATTCCGCGCGCGCTCGACCGCCCACTTGAGATAGGTCCGTGCGTGCGTCAGGCGGTATTTCATGTCGCTGACCATACCCATACGCTCGAGTTTGTCGCGCGGCATCAGACATCGTGGACAGACACAAATTCCCTTGTCCCGGATGGTGGCGAGCAGAACCCTGGCGTTCGTCAATATAATCGTCCTCAACAGGTAGACCGAGGAACCTTACTTCTCAGGATAGTCAGCAGAATAAGTGAACAGACGGGGATACACTCGGTACTCTGTCCCGTTGATCTCCATGACGAATCCATAGCGATACGCCTTGAGGAACTCGTCGTCCTCAAGTAGAATCGCCCACACAGCCTGCATGAGTTCGCGCTTGCAGTGAGTAAGTATCTGCTTCTGCTGAGTATCCCATTTCGCATGGAAAGCTGCGATCTTCCGCTTTGTTTCGGCAGAGAGAGATGGAATGTACGCAAGATGGAGACAAGCGCCAGATGTAGGCTGACACCGTATGTATTTCGAGAGGTTGCCGAGCATGAGGTATATGGGCCAAACGTGCGCATTGCCGAAGTTCGCCAGGTGCGTAGAGTCTGACCAAGCCATCAGTGCAGAGACTATGCGTGGTCGCTTGCACTCCTGCTCCTCTGGTGGCAGATGAGCAGACTGGACATCCTCGTGCGCCTCGAGCATGGCATCCGAGTTGTAGATCTCGGAATAGATGCGACTCGCTTCTGGCATGGCCGAGTTGTCAGTGGCAGCCTCCTCCGAGTCAGCACCGTTGCTATCGCCAGCTCGGCGGAAGAGTCGGAAGGGGAAGAGATGGTACTTGGGTGATAGAACGGGGTCCTGCAATGCCTCCCGGAGGACGTCCATGATGCGACGGTAGTGTAAGCCCGGGACCTCTATGCGCTCTGGAGGAACTGTCTTGTCGCCCGACGGCACATCAATCGTTACAGCCCTCTCTCTGAAGCCAGTCCCGAACGGGGTTCCCGCCTGCTTATCAGCCTCGTCGGCACGTCTGTTAGCGATCTGCGCATCGAAGCCCTTCAAGTCCTCGAAGCGGAAATGCGGGTGCCGGAGGACCTCGTGGACGAGGGTGTTGAGCTCGCTAGGCATCTTCAAGGTGTTCCCGTTGTTCAGCCACCCACAGAGCATCTCCTCGGTCTCGTTGGCGAAGTGCGACGTGCTCGTAGCTGGGTTCAACTTCAGGGGATTGATGGGTGGGGGATTCTTGGTAGACGACGCGCGGGGGACGTTCGATATGTCGTTCAGATCCATGTTATTCTCCGGATCGTACGTAGGACGTGACGGATACTCGCGATAAAGACCAAAGACACTAAGGGCTGACCGAAGATAGGTACGCAGGCGCCCGGCAGGTCTGGAAGGTGGGGTTGTAGAGTCGGAGGGAGGGGCTTCCGGGGGATGAGCAGGGGTAGCAAGCACAGTAGTGAGTGGTATCGCGTCCGGTAGAATATCTGTGTGTGGGGCAGGGATTCGTCGAGGCGCTAGACGTGCACGGGTCCGCGTAGCAGGGCCAGCGTCATCATCAAGCACAGCCTGAGCTGCATCGACATCCATGCCATGGACCTGCGATGAGGGTGGCTCCTGCTCGTCCTCTGCCGGATCGACGTCCATCGCATCAGACATCGTGGCGTCTTCGAGATCGCCGCCTTGTCCACCATGAAGGGGAGGCGCGCCTTGCGCCATACCTGAGCGATCGGCCGCTACAGGGGACTTGACGAATCTCAGAAGGGGGCTCGAGGGTGGGGCTGGACGCGCACCTTCTGTACCAAAGCCGAAGCCTGCCGTAGGCGGCTGGCTAAGTCCCCTTTCTTCTTCTTCTTCCTAGGAGGGGGAGCATCCGGCCGACTCGGTTGCTGTGCCGTATCATCCGCGCGCCTCCCGGTCTGTATCTTCGCCTGCCATGAGGAGTAAAGCTGGCACTTGTGCTTGTGTCGCGTTAGCCCACCGCGATCTGTACCGATATAATCACAGTCTGGGCAGCATGTGTTCATGACAAAGACGAGAAGCAAGGGAAGTACGGAGAGGAAAAGGGTGAGGTGTAGGTGCATGCTCGAGAGAGATCGCGCCTGCTATCCGTCGAAGAGGAGGACAAGGCGCGACACGTGCTCACCGGTCCGTCCGTGACAACGTCACGGATGGAATGCAGTGACTTTCGGTCTTCTCGATGTTCAACTTCGACATCGTACCAGATGTATTCCGTTCAACTGTCTGGTTTACCAGTTTATGCGGCAGGTCAAGGTGTACGCAAGGTAGGAATTTGTGCGAAGGAACGAGGCAGGCGGCTAGCCTTCCGAAAACAGGGCACGTTGCTGATTTTCCATAGAAACGTGCCTTTGGGGGTCAAAACCCGAAAATCACCGCTTCGTAGGTTGTCTCCTACCTCCACCTCGGGAGCGCCCTCTCCCATTTTCCCCTCGACGTTGACAGCATGGCTGCTCGTGGAGGAAACCCCTTCTCGCAACGCACCGTGCAGCCTGCCCAGGGCTCTCTCACGACGCAGGAGTCGACGTCGGTGCAGGTCTCCGCATCATCGCGCAAGCGCAAGCCGAGGTGAGCAATGTAGCACTTCTCATGGTGCAGTTAACTGATCCGTACCCAGACCGGATGCACTGAGCGACGACAGCGTCGACGAAGGGCAGGTGCGGACCCGGCAATGCGGTCGTCGCATGCCGCATTTTGTTCATCCGTACAAGAGCGCGCGTGATATTGTCGACGAGGAGTACCTTGCTCGGCAACGGCTCCGTGAGCTGGATGCTGAGGAGGCGGAAAATGACGAAGACGAGCCGACGGAGCAGGAGATCAACGACATGAGCTCGGACGAGCGGGAGGCATTGGCGGCTGAGTGGGAGCGGGAGCAGCACGAGAAGAAGCTTGCTCGTCGACCGTGAGTCCATTCCGTCCAAGTCCGCCGTTGCCCTCCGCTGAATTATCCTCAGAGCGGAACGTGCCCATGATACGTATGAGGCGTTGAGGAAGATCGTCGGCCCGGCAGTCCTGGACGAGAAGCAGCACACTCCCGGCTCGGACAGCACGAACGACTTTTACGCCGAGGTGCGTCGAGTCGTCTTCTCCTCCCCTGATCTACGCTCAATATCTGACAGCTGGATCAAGGTGCATGCGACGCTCGGTGCCACGACACCGCGAAAATGACTCCTATCGTCGGTGCACTCGTCAACGCTCTGGTCACCGACGACGACGAGAAGGTATCCGAGCAGCCTGGCGCCGCCAATCGGAGCGAGAGAGGGCTTCAGCATAACATCACCGGTTACCTCATGTCCTGCATCCAGAAGGACTTTTCGAACCCTGAGTGAGTAGGATTTCACTTCGGGGGTATCTCGCTCATTGTGCACTTGTAGGACGAAGGACGCGATGCGGCAGGGCAAGGAGGACTGGGCGGAGACCTGCTTCGTCCGCGTGCTCTACCCGCAGGATGGTTACGACGTCGACGCCGTCCGCAAGAACTTCACGCAGTCCCCTCAGATGGTCGCGGTATGTCATGTGATACCAACTTCTTGCGCATCTCATAGCAGTCTCAGGCATTCAAGACCCTCTTCTGTTCGCCCACCGAAGCGCGGGCTTACATCACTGCTGACGAGAATGGCCCGTCCCCTCGCAAGCGACGCAAGGTCGATGTGAGAGGAGGACCAAAGCGCAAGAGTCTCGCTGCGAAGATGTCCATGGAGAAGGTCGAGCCTCGCTGCATTGCGTACACCGCCTGTCAGGTGTGTCGGCCCGCCCTCGCACGGCACCATCGTACTGACGTTCCGACAGCTGCACTTCGCGCTCACCGATGCCAAGGACTGGACCACTGTTTACGACGGCTTCAACTACGCATTCTTTTACGACTTCATCGTGGATTTCTTCGAAGGCCCCCAGAAGACTGAGTCACGCCGTCAGAATGTCGAGGATATCCTCGACTGGTGGAACGAGTACGTCGTCGTCGCACATACCCACATACCTCCGATTGTTGACATTTTCCAGGCAAATCTTCCCTCGGGGCCACTGCCGTGCACGTCGCGGCGGTGACATGATCTCCAAGTCCGCCGCTCTTCTGGACGAGCAAGATTGAGCACGCCACGGTCCTTCCCCTACGATAAGCATCCTTACGAACCACCCCCACTCTCTGAGCATCGTTCCGGTACATTCTACCACACTGTCGGATCATTACATTCATTCCCACTTCGTTCTCTCCCTCATAAGTACACGTATCATGCTTTCCCTAATGCTGAATAATAACCACCATTGTTGATGCTGTATAACGTGGAGTGTCCCTCAAGAGTGTGAAGTTCGTGTGATCACATTTCTGTCTTACAATCTTGAGCATTGCAAGCAAGCCTCTCAGCTAGGCTGGATGAGGTAACTAACAGAATGCCAACGAGGGTAAGATCTTGCTCTTCTATTGGCAGCTTGAGCGGGAGCTTGCAGCTCCCTTTCCAAGGGATGGGTAAGCAATCATCACGAACACGAGACGACGACGTGATGGCGCGCAGCTTGCAAGATACGCGCGGGCGCAACGCCACTTGCCAAAAGGCGCGCGGATCACGTATTTGACATGGACTGTTTAGCGCTCGTCTGCGCGCGTAAGTCAATACATCCTCGAGACGCCTTGTAGCAGCTCGTTCACCGATACATGCCATTACAATCAATCGTGCGGATTTTTAAAATATGCTGATGGGCGAGCTCGAGATCGTGAACTTCTCCTTCGCGAGTTTGTGGCACTACATTCAGGTGCGTCCGAAGGGCAAGGCGGAGCGCACGGAGAAAGCGTACACGTTCCGGGACTCTGGCGTGGATGCTGCGGGAGAGGACTATTGGATGACGTTCTGGTATCAGCTGGAGGCGTTTGTGGATGAGATCAAGGGGAGGAAGCCGCAGACATGGATCACGAAGGAAGACTCGATCTCGAATATGGAGTGGATTGAGAATGTGTATGTCAAGGTGCGTATTGGTAGCATCGTTCTGTGACAGATGCTGAATCTTTGTCCATACAGGGAGGGTATGGCCCTCGCCCACGCAGCAGCTTCAAATTCTCGGATTAGCTATGGTCGAGTTTGGGACAGTGTCAGGATCAACTTGCTAAATGGATTGATTTATTATGGCCCTTTGTATCGACGCCTTCTTTCTAGGAATTCATCTGGCCTTGCTTCGTCTTCTCTTCTGCTCGTGAGAAGCTGGCTTCCGCGCCTCACGCAAGTCAAGCGGCAATATGCGCGTTGTGGGTCCAATACCCGGCAACCGCCGAAAACATTGATCGCCCGCGAAATTTGCCACATACGTCTTCCCTCAGCCCACCATGTCCCCCACCGCGCTGCCTTCAGCGTCGAGCTCATAGCCCCCTGCCGCTCGACAGACTATACCCAACGTCTTCAACTCCTACTCGGTAACGGCACAGCGCTGCGCAGCAAGAACAGGACGACAAGAGCCCCGTAGCTGGAACGTCATCTCGAAACTATGCAGCCCTCGGGCGCGCAGCAACTAGAAAACAAATGAAAGGTCATCAAGTCCAGCGTACCGGACTCTGCGGCTGCACTGCACGAGGGGGTTTGATCCTTGTTGACGTTGTCGAGGTCCAACCCCTCGCACGTCGGCGGCGATCGCCCCTATCGACAGTCATAACGAGGTCCTATCCCTCGTCCGCAGAGTCTCTGGCACGACGAGACGCGATGCAACTATCCCTCGAGTTAACTCTCGAGGGAGCTAGACACGGACCGTTCTTTGTACGGCGAGTGTACGACAAGATCGGATTCCGTGGTGGCCGCCATTGAGGGGGCTGTTCCCTGCGCGTGCTTGTGAGGTCCGACCCCTCGCTTGCTTTTGCAGGGTGCTTCTATCGCTGGCGCCGACGCTCGCGCGACACGGGGTCTCTGATCGACGTCAGGAAACTAGACCATAGTACTCTAACCGAGTTACTGGTTCAAGAGAAACATTTGCACTCGCAATGAGGCAAATTCTGTCAATGAACGCGAGCCCGCAAGGGTGGGCACATAACCAAATTCGTGTGCCCTCGCCATGTCAATGAAAACGAAAGAGGTCACGCCTTCTCCGGATCCCGCGGTATGTTCTCGCTCGTACGAGGGGGCCACCCCACCACCTGGGCGGCGTCGAGGTCCGAGCCCTTGCGCGGTCGTGGTGGCGGCCTCTATCGGCGTTGGCGGGCGCGGGGTGCTAGCCCCCGGTCGCGGGATCTCTGGACGAAGGAAGACATCACGTTCGACGGGACGGCGCCTCGTTTGAATATCCAAGCGAGTCGAAAGACGCGGCGAGGCGTCCCTGACGAGCGTAACAGCCTGATCACCGGGCTCTGTATTTGTGGGTGCGAGAGGCCAGCGCGAGCTGGTCATCGGCGTCTACATCCTGCGTTGGTGGTGGTACGGCAGCGTCAACCTTCCTGGTCGACGCCGCTTGCCTTCTCTGCCTGCGCAGGGTATGGAGCCTCTGGTCGTCGGGCGGCGGTCTATGGAGCGATGAAACTGCATACGGACCGTTCTACGAAGTAAACCTGACGCCAATTGTGCAGGCAACTTACACCGCGGCACACAAGCACGCCCGGTGTGCCCGACCTATCAAGCAGGGTCGGGCTGCCCGGTCCACGAAATGGGACCGGGCCGTCCCGCTGCATCAACGCTTGGGACGGCCCCGGTGCACACAACGCCCGGGGCACCTCGACGCAGCAACGCGCGAGAGGCCTCCGAGCACGAAAGCTGGAGGTACCCCGTTGCCGAAAGGCTCGGGAGGGCCCGACGCGAATGCGTCTGGGCGAAAGTCTTCACCGACGGGTCCGAGCTGCGTCCACTTGGACTGCACCGACCTGGCGGATCCTCGATGGCGGTCACCTTGGCCCAAGGCCGCCGTCATCGCCCGGCTCGAGGTATCTCGCTGGGGCGCTCGGGACATCTTGGTTGTCACATCACCAAGAACACCCGGCGCTGGATGCTGCTACCCTCGGGGCGTCTTGGTCATCACTCGGCAGGTTTCCCCGTTGCCAACCGTTTGCGACTCACGGAACGCTTGGGCAGGTCGTTTGCCCCGGTGTCCCGTTCGCCTGGCGCCGAGTTCCTCGATGCTGCACGACGTCATCAAGCCCGAGACGCCCCGGGGCTCTCCCGCCCCCGTTCTCTCAAGTAGTCGATTGCTCGAGACGTTCCGGCTCGGTCGAGGAAGTCACTCCGCCAAGGTCCCCGGCCTGGACAAAGGAACGTCGGGGCGCCTTGGGGCTTTCCTGCCCGAGTTTCCTCGAGTGGTCAATCGCTCGAGATGTCTTGGGCGGTCGAGGATAGCCTTCAACGGATAACGGATAACCACGAACGAACTTCGGGACGTACTTGCCTGCCCAAGTTTCCCCGACGCGAATCACGAGCGAGCGCGCTCCGATGTCGAGGTCAAGCCCTTCGAGATGCGAACAAACGATCAAGACGAACGAGCGAGTTTGCAAGGGCACGAAATGTCGAGTCATAGCGCCGTCGAGGTCGTGGTCGGCGGTAGGGGCGCTGGTAGTTGGGGCTTGGCAGCATGCGAGCTTTGGTGGGCTCGCGCGGCTCGGTGCTCGGTCGGGATCGGTGACGCGCGCGTCTGACGAGCTAGCTCGTCGACAGAAGCATACGACGCCATCCTCGACGATACCGATGTCGGCGGCGACGTCTCTCTCGTCCTTGTGATGGGAGGAGCGCATCACCGTCGTATCCGCATAATTTTTTTCTCCCCCTCCTTCCTTTTGGAAGTGTTGCTTTGGACGTCTTCGCCGTAGTTAGCAGTTCGAGTAGGTAGATTATTGCGAGTACATATACAATCTCTGTACTCTGCATACGTGTCCGATAAGTCCTCACGCTGGAGCATCGACAAAATGCGGACAGAATCTTCCTGCAGACAAGGGTGAAAAGGACCGGCAACTCCCGAAATGCTCAGTGGCGCGACACCGTTGTCCTTTGGTTGTCCTTGACACTGACAGTCCTACTATGGCGCATATTCCGCCGAAAAAATAATCACGGTCGCGGTTTCACGCCACGGAATCGCGGTTTGTCCTGAGGAGGTTCCGTCTATCTGTGTGGGCCTTAAAAGCTCCTCCTCGCCGATGTGCACCCTCAGATGGTCATGATAATGGCAACGAGGAGATGGAAAGCGCCGCCGACGCTGTTCGGACATTGCCGGCCAGGGCGGCAAGTCGGTCCGGAGCCTCCACCGTGTCTGCCGCTCATCCTTTCCTCCTCCTCCCATCGACATGCACGAGCCAACAGCCGCAAGAAAGCAATACTGTACTATCTTACATCGACATGAAGACTATGTAGCTTTCCCTAAGTCCCAACATGGCATGTAAATCACGGCCCTTGCGCGATTCAGAGGGTGGCTCTTTGGTGGCTCTAGCTTGAAAGTCTAGGCGCATCTGTGCGTGAACAGTGTAGAATAAGCTGTTGTAGTGCCAAGTGCTGAGCTCTGAGCATCGAATTACGAAGGTAACGCTTTGTAAAGCCCGTTATGGTCTGAAGTGAGTAGGAACATAACTTATCACAAAAATCCTATAATCTCAGGTCGACTTGTAGATAATGGATAAAGCATGAATAGACTCTCACGGGCTATATCATACGACGACGGATGGAGGAGTAAGGGATGTGGATGAGTGGCAGACACGGTGGAGGCTCCGGACCGACTTGCCGCCCTGGCCGGCAATGTCCGAACAGCGTCGGCGGCGCTTTCCATCTCCTCGTTGCCATTATCATGACCATCTGAGGGCGCACATCGGCGAGGAGGAGCTTTTAAGGCCCACACAGATAGACGGAACCTCCCCAGGACAAACCGCGATTCCGTGGCGTGAAACCGCGACCGTGATTATTTTTTCGGCGGAATATGCGCCATATCCTACGGTCTGGCTCTATAGCCCTTGGAATCAAAGTTCAATGTAAAGTTGCTGTGAATACAACTGGCGATCCACCGCTTGAGCGCTACAGCAATACTCGGCTGACAACTTGAAGACGTCTGCACGGATGACCCTTTCACGCTTGCGTCATGGCTGAGCACGAGTTGTCTTGCTGCGAGAAAAACGCGCTTCGGAATGACTGGAATGCTACGTCAAGCCGTGTGCTCAATCCTCAAGGGCGGTGTTGATGTACTCACTCGTAACCTCCGAGATATGATCTACTGGCTTTCAAAGTTCCGGATGCGCCTAATTTGCCAAACTGGATTCTTGTCCGGGCCCCGGACTGGTGTCAAGGATCTCTGTCTGCGTTGCTCTGTCTGCCGGAGGAAATGGCGAGCTTCATCGATCCTCCCTTCCATCTACGAGCTGATGAAGTCCTGCACGCGCAAGACCATGCACAACGCATGCGGTAACCCCACCGAGCTCTTTTTCTCTTGCAGAGCGACTCGACCTAACTCATCCCCATGGCACTCATTATAAACGTGGATTACGGGCGAAGCTGTGCCATAGTGACCGAGGCTCCTTGCGCGCGCAATATAGCGAAGACCGCGAAGCCAAGATGGACGCGTCACCCGACGGCAGCGACCCCAACTCGTTTTCTGCAGTCTACCGAGCGTACCAGATCACGTTTCAGAAGACACGACCACCGACGACTCTCTGCCATGTCCGACTATAAGCACGGTCCCGATCCTGGTTGCTACCCTCCTTCGCAGCACCGTCAAGGAACTTCACACTCGCATCATAAGCCTTCTCCTCGATACCCTCCAGGACCTCCGCCCCAATATCCTCCGCCGTCCCGCAAGCCGCCTCCCCGCGTGAGCAGCCAGCCCATGCCCAAGCCAGCCATGCTGGCTGTCAAAGGCGGTGGCGGCGGCAATCGCAACGCGAAGGGCATGCCTATCGGACCGGACGGCCAACGACCGTGGTCGCACGGCTTGTGTACCTGTACGGAGGATTGTGGTTTGTGTGCGTACTTCGCTCTTTTCATTCAGATTTGTGCCTCTTCGTCTGGATCAACCACCTCCATGCCCCGCAACCTCACCCTCTCATCACGCTGACCGCTCAGCAAATACACTCGCTGACCACCTTCCTCCCAGTCTGTCGCGCCTGCTGCGACCCCTGCGTCATCTACGGGCGCAACAAGCAGCGCTACGAGTACCTGCATCTGTACGGTATTCCTGATACACAAAACGGCAAGGGCGAGACGGGCGACGACGCTTGCCAGAGGCACGCGTGGATCACTTGCTTCTTTGGCTCGGGGTGGGTTTTCCAGGTCAGTTGCCCTCTGCCTGCCATTTCTCTCTGCCTGCCATTTCTCTCGGCCGGCCATTTATTCGGACCATTTCTCTCTCGTGCCATATCCTCCCTCATTCCTTCCTTTACAGTCTTCACTTTCCTGACCCCTAACTCACGCTTACCTCCTCAGATCCCCCTACGCGCAAAGCTGCGCAAACGATACGGCATCCGTGGGAGCTGCATGGGCGACTGCTGCAGTTCGTCTTTCTGCCAGCCGTGCGCGCTTGCGCAGGAGAGTCGGGAACTCGCGCTAGAAGAAGAGAGTCTGCGGGCGAGGGGTGTCGTCTGAGGGTCGCGAAGTTTCTTGTTTGACAAGGTTCTCCTTAAGCTTGTTCTTTACCCGTGCGCCCTTACTTTTTGCTACTCTATCCGACTCCCATGGTTTCCTGAGCAGTGCCAGTTACACCCGACTCCCGCTGCAATGGCCGTACGTCATGCGGCCGTAATTTGAGCATGCCTGGTACTTGAACAGGCGTCCAGCGAGGATGGAAGAGATATATTACTCAAAGGTAAGTACATAAGCATTAGTAGATGTAGAGAAGATACAACAACGTAGATCAATAGATAGGAATACTGTTGATAAACAAGACCTAAGCGCGTAGCGGAGGGAGACACAATTTGCGTGTAATCATAGAGCCGCGTACCAAAGGGCACTTGCGAAACAAGGATGGGGGAAGGTAAAAGGGATTGACGCTGGTTATGGACGTTCCTAACGGTCGCGACAGACACGCCTTTGAGAGCGATCAAGCGGCGCACCGAAGAAAGCTCAAAACTGCTCCGTGTACCGCGGATGGCACGTCTCATCGCCCTCGCATTCCGCCAGGAAGCGCTCCATCTTGTCGAGCCGGTCGGCGATGGTCTTGCCCGTCGCCTTCCAGTACGCGCCGCCGCAGTTGTAAGCTTCGATCTTGGTGCCTTTGAAGCGCCTACGCGAGGGAGGGGGGTGGTTAGCGGGGATGCCCTGATACAAGAAAAGGGAGCACCGTGTCTCTGAACAGCCTATCATTAAGGTGCGAAGGACGATGCGGGCCGTCGAGAGGGATGACTGCGAGAAGCAGATCAATGGGAAAAGCAAAACTCACATCTCCGGCCGTCTGTTATCGATCCACTGCCAGCGCGTATCCTCCGGCTCGCCCTTCTTCTTGGTGACGCGCTTGGGTTTGTAAGCTTCCGGGTAGCCGTAGGTCGGGTGGCAGGTCTCGTCGCCCTCGCATTCGGCGAGGAAACTCTCGAGCTTGTCGAGTCGGTCGGCGACGGTCTAGGGGGGGGGGGGGGGGGATGAGATGGGCTCTGGATATGCAAAGGACAAGATGCGAGGAAGTGGAGGTAAGGGCACAGAGAGTGAAAGGGACGTAAACGTGGATGGCATCGGAAGGAAGATTGAGGGGGACTGAGCTCTGCGCACAGCTTACCTTGGCCGTAGACTTGAAGAAGGTCCCACCACAGTTGAACGCCTCGATCTTAGTACCCTTGATTTCGCTGAAGGAGGAAAGGGAGAGTATATCATGGCGCGTTGGTGAAATGTCGGGATGCGTATGGAAAAGATTGACCACATTTGCATAGAGAAGATCGTCAGCAGAGCCCGAGAGTGACACAGTACGCATAGACACGCACAACTCAGGCCGCGCAAGGTCAATCCATTTCCAGCGCTCGGTCGGATCCTTCTTCTCCTCGACCTTCGCCTTATTCTCCTTCGGCGCTGCGCTCGTCTTTGTACGCTTGGCGGCAGAGGTCGGCGCGTCCAGCGACTTGCGCTTCGATCCCGCAGATGTGCTAGGCTGAGGTTTCTCAGCGCTGGCCGTAGCAACAGTCCGCTTGGAAACTCCTGTCAGCGACGCGTACTTCCTCGCCTGATCCCCTCACGCACCTTCACAACATGAGCACTCGCCCCCTTTGTTGACGCCCCCGCCCCGCTCGTAGACTGATTATCCCTCGTCCTCGTTGAGTCTACCAGTGCTGGCTTCCTGGGCTGCGCAGGCGGACCAAAAGACACGATTTCGATCGAGGGGGAACGCTGGCGTGATGACATGGTGGTGTTGGAGTAGATTTTTGGTGAACGACTATGTGCGTGTATAGTTCAATGTAAAGAATAGTCTGCTCGTCGTCCGACGTGTTTTCGAGGTCAGAAAGGGAAAGATGGAATCTCCTCGCTGAACGAGCGAGCCTCAACTGCAATGTGTGATATTCAGGTGACCGCGAGTAGTCCAATGTTCGAACCTGCGTCCCGCCATTCGTTCTGGTTTACTCCTTGCACACTTACGCAGAAGAGCTAGAAAGTAGAGCTGGGGAAGGAAGGACTGCGAGCCAAAGACCTATTAAATCTGCGACATGAGCGCTGCAATTGGGACCTTCATTATCGGTCATCAACCACTCCACGATACTAGCAACTTGTCATCCACTTTCAGCGCATTAATGGGGTAGTGGTAACCTGGGTCGTTGCCATCGACCCGCCGGGGGTTCGATTCCCCCTTACAGCATTTTGCGAAAACCTTGTCTGGTGCTCGCCGCGGAAGAAGAGAAAAGTTTGCTTGACTTAGCCATAGATGACACTGGCCAGCACATCCGCCAATCGTGACGTCACTTGGCGCGGGGCAACGCTTCGCCTACTTGAACGGCACTCATACAGTGTGAAGCGGCTTCTCGCCAGTGCTGTGATGGTGCACATTCTCTCTGGAGACACCACAAAGGCCCTGATTTGGTCTGGCAAGGATTGGGGCAGCAGAATCGGTCAACTTTGAGCGACCCATCACGCGCCAGGCTGCGCGGCAAAGTCCGGATGCGCGTCTCGCGGCTAAGTCAAGCAAACTCTTTCTTCTTTCTTTCGGCGCGGACCAGACAAGGTTTACGCAAAACGCTGTAATGCATTTAATGCATGGGGAGGGTCTGGAGTGCCTTTTTCTTTGGCAATCGGGCTTGCGGGAAAGGCAAGGGTAAGCCTTATCCAGGATGGCATTCCATCCGCGTATTTTATTCGCTAAAGTGGCAGTGTACAGTACAACATTTGCTTTGAGATTCCTAAAGTAAACAGACATTCATGTACGTTCCATTTCCAACATCCAGAACAACACTAGGCTAGTGCGCAATGCTCATGAGACTACCCACGAAGGTGAGAATCTGGACGTGGCGTGTCAGTCAACTGGATCGCACGACCACAGACAGAACACTCACCAGCCTCGGGCGCACGTCGACGATATCCTCGGGCACGAGGAAGATCAGCGCGTTCATCTTACGCGCGATGGAGATCGCGAGTTTAGCTGGAAAGACGGCCGCATCAGCGCCCAGATCTAATCAAGTGCGACTATCCGGCGTACCGTTCTGTCTCCTGTCCTCGTACGGGCCTGTCTCCGCAACAGGGATCACGAGCTCGGGGTCGACGATACCCGGCCGTATCGCGTCGAGAAGGTCGAGGAAGAAGAGGCCAGTGGTGATCGACGGGTCCTTGAACGACCGTATGGGGCGCACGCCTGGCTTCGCGGCCTGCGCAGTCGTGTTCGCCCACTTGAGCATTTCCGTGTCGCTGATTGGTCGTCCTCCTCCGGTTTTGGAGAGCGCAGTAAGCGTCTTGGTGATGTTGAGTCTACACCACCAGATATCAGCCTACAGATTCCGAGCGAGCGACGACATCGACGCACCTCATCAACTGCCATACAAGGCCGAGCACAAGCGTCTTCTTTCCATCGACAATGTCCGCACCCTGGATGCCGACCATGTGCATGCCGTTCTGCTTCGCAAGATCGACCGCGTAGTTCGTGTTCTCCACGCACTTGAAGCGCGAGAGACCAGGCGTCGGATTCACGCCAATATCCTCGCCCTCCTCCGCTTCGCCAGCGACGTAGGCACCGAGGGTGGCGCCGCGACCCTGGTTCGGCTTGGACACCCTGCGCCAGATGACGCTGCCCGGGAGCACCTTATCGAAGGCCTGCAAGATGATGAGGCCATCCTTGAGGTTCTCGAACAGGTTGAAGACGCCGGGCTCGACGCCGAGGGAGTTGAGCCAGAGCGTGAAGACGCGGGCCTCGCGCTCGCCCTCTGCGTCGAAGTCCTCGACGACACCATAGTCCTTCGCCTCCTGCTCGTCGAGGGGCTCGAGACCTGGGTGCGTGTTGAAAAGGTTGGCGACGAAGGCGAGGTTCAGGCGCGGGTTGCCGGCAAGGAGGGACGAGGGCGTGAGGTACTTCCGGCAGCCGATGTTCGCGGCGTTCTGGAGGACCTGTTCGGCACGCGTGCGAAGATCGCTGGTCTGCAGCGGGGCGAGCGAGCAGTCATCGGGCTTGAGCTGGTGGAGGAGGACGGTGTAGTTCTCGCCGTCCTGGACGTCGCGGCTGAAGTTGTTGACACGACGCTTCCAGCCGGCGGCTTTGAGGTGGTAGTTGAACCAGCGGAGGAGGATCTGGTCGGGCGTGAGGCGCAGGAGGTCGTCGATCGTCTCGCCCTCCTCGCACAGGCGGTACAGCTCCGGGTGCAGCTTGATGTCGATCTGCGCGAGCAGGCCGCGGCGGATGATCTGCCAGATGAGGCCGAGGATGAGATGCTCGCGCCCCTCTGAGATATCGGTGGAGCCGATGTTGACGACCGAGCAGCCGATGGCTTTGGCGGAGGTGATGACGATGTTGTTGTTCTCGGTGATTTGGAACGCGTTGAGCGGCTTGCGTGCGGTGGGCTTGTTGAGGACACGCATATCGATCGTCTCGGGGACGGAGTCGTTGATGAGTTTACAGAGGATGAGGCCGTCCTTAACGTCGTCAAACAGCTGCATAGTGTCGGTGGGGATGGGGAATCGCGACCCAATGTCAGGGTCATTCTCGATAACCTGGCGAAGGTCAGTGGGGAGGACGGAGGATAGCGATGAGTGCGCGCACCCCGTTGATGTGATTCGTGAACTCGCGCCGCTCATCTTCGTTGATCGTGTGGCTGACGTTCGCATTCGACCCCTGCACGGTGACCTTGCCCGCCTTCGTCTTGAGCGCGTTCTGCTGATGCGTCCGCAGCTTGACATTCAGCTGCAGCGTCCCGTCAGCAGATGTCTCATTGATCCCGAGCAACGACGCACCTCGACCCAATCGTCCAGCTCGAGCTTTCCGCTCGCGTCCACGCTGACGTGCTTGAGCGTCTCGCGCGCCACATCGTACGACTCGCCGCTCTTCTGCACAGCGTGCAGCGCCGCGGTCTTGTCGACGCGTCCCGGCGTATCCGTCGATATCGCGCTGCGCGCTCCGTCAGCATCCCCCCGCCTTCCCGACGTTCCTGAGCTCACTTGAAGCGGTTGATGAGGTCGAACATCTCCTCCCGACTGACCTCGGGGTATTTCTTTTGGAGTTTGAAGGCCTCCATCGTGTCGAGCAAGAAGTGGGATGAGAGTGGAAAGAGAAATGCTGAGATGACCGATGACGAAATCAGAAAGTGTCCGAAGGTGTTCGGGCGCCTAACGAGGTATGTATATGAGGCCTTGAGGGCCGTCGGGTATGGGGAAATGGTACTCTGAGAAGATCTCAGGTCTTATATAAAGAGGGGATAATGCAGTGCGTCCAGGGGGCGCTGACACGATATACGGTTAGCGGTACAGCCTCTACCGCAGCTAGCCAAGAACTCATGAGCTAATCTTGAGCCGAGGGCCGAGCTGCGAGCGCAGGAAGAAGAGGTGGATACGAAGTTTATTCCAGTATCACTACGAAAAGTCGGGATGAGCGCAGTTGTACGCACGATGAGAGGGTATTCCTCGATGATGAGAGTAGAAAGAAAGGACATGTTTGCCCTACTAAAGTCCTTTTTCAAGGGGAACTTCTCGGGGCATCAATATAAAGTGCGGAGAGAAAGGGTGAAGACTGCAAAGAATTTGGAAGATTGACCCAGAGTTGAGGCTCCTCAAGCTTGGGGAGGTTCGACAGAACGCGCTTGAATCGTGTGAGGATTGACAAGCGAATCTTCGTTCTGGGCAGTCCCATGGTAGTGAGGAGTATTCAGGCAGCTGTCCAAGTGAGACTTCAGCACGATCTATCCCATCTGAGAGCATCGTACGCTGCAAAGTGCCCGAAGTTCAAGGTGCGGCAAAGACCCTATGAAGTTGATTACGGCAAATGCCGGGGTCACGCGCGATTTCCGCATTTGGGTGTATCATCATGGCCTCGGGTGTGCTTGCCTGTCTCTTGACGCCAACCCCCTTGCATGTAACCCCCTCAGCAGCCATCTTCTCTAAGCCCTCGTCGAGAACAGGCCGTGATGGTACGTACGTGTCAGGATCAGTGGCTCTTTCTCTATCGTCTCTGGCCCCCCAATACGTGCCATGGCTTCCCATGGTTGGGTTGACAGCGGCGTGGGTGTACGCGCAGATCCCCTGCGTGGTCAACACTCAATGCCTGCTTCGCCAATCTATGGAAAGACAAGCTACGACCAGCAGCCGGGGGCGGGCTGCAAGGCGGCAGGACATCGGATCCGGGCGGCTGGGGCCTTCTAGCGAGTGGGCGCCACGCCTGGCAATGGCCTGAGCAGTCGACAGCGGCATGCGTTGGGCGCGGGAGACTGGCCAGGAGTGCTCTCCGATACAGTGCAGGGGATCTGGATATCGTAGTTTGGTGGGTCCACGCGTTCATGTCTCGTCATCGCTCGCTGATGTTTCTTCGCAGACTTTTGTACATCCATAGTGTTGCAATCCAGTACCACAACATTCATACCTTATCCTCCTCGAAGCCAGCTGTCGAGCATCGTCGCACGCGCAAGATTCACGAAGTGGGCTGATATCGTTCGCACCGACCACTGGGCAAGGGGCATGCAGACAATGCGAGGCATGGAACGTCAAACTCACGAGATATGATGGCTTCTGAGCTTGATCTGGGTTGAAGGTGCGTGTACTACGCCGTCGAACATCGGTCAGATACTGAAGTCGACTGGCAGGGTATCGTCATGTGTCCTGCAGATGAAGCACCGTTATGGCCGTACCGATGCGTGCCCCCTCGACCATACCCTACACACATCATCGCAATTCCGACAAACATCTGCCTGGTTTTGCACCAACGTGCGCGATTCATTTCCGGGAAGCGGCGCTGTCAGAGTCGATCGACAACACCATTGTATTCCAAACTCCTCAAGCCCAGCTCCAACGACGTCCAGCTCCTTTCCAGCCCATTGTCCCGCCGTTGTGCTAGCTTTCGATGGCCCATCCGCAAAGGCGTCATCGCGAAACCGCCACAAAAGAACAATGACCGTGTTTGTTTACGTCCAAACACGGCTTTAATCGGCGGCCCGAACTGGCCCGAGTCGTTACCACCGCCGAACGCCAGGATCGCGCGACACGAGCAGCGCACCACCCGAGGTCGCTGGTCGTCGCGAAAACCCTTTCTGACGTCCACCATGGGCTCCCGACCCTTCCACGGCGGTGCAAGTCTCCGGAAGACCCCACGAATCACGAACAAAACACGCTTGAAGATCCACCGAGATGAACTCGATCTTGACTTCATACCCGACGACGAGGAGGAATCGAACCGGCTCTCGCAGCAGACTCAAGGTGTCGACCAAGAGGACTCCAAGGCGAGTCTACACCCTCATACACGCGTCGTAGGCGCCGCTGCTGTCGTCTTTGTCGCGACGCGACGTGGCCAATTTTCATTGGCTGCCGACATTCCGCGGAATTGCTGACTCATCAAGACCACGAGGCTAACTTCCCTTTTAGGAACTCCATCTGTTGCAAGCACTGTCGCGCCATGATCCACGCTCTGGCGACCCGTCTTCCGTCCAAGCCTTCATCCCCATCCCCGATAATACTGGTCTCGTCGACAACTATGCTGAGCTATATCCGCCCAAGAAGTGGAAGGATCCCATCACCTACCTATGCACCTCGGCGACCGTAGAGGAGCACATCACGGACGCTATCGCTGAGGGGTTCACGTACTACATGGACGAGCGGGATGCTGAATGGCTCAATCGCAACAACGAGGCGGCGCGCGGGGAAGGCACCAGTGCTCAGGGTGCCATCTCCGCCAACGCACGGACGTCTGTTCGCAGCACCAAGGGCAAGGGCAAGGAGGACACGAGCGTGCAGATTACCGAGAACGAGTTCGAGCTTGTCATGGGCGCCTTCGAATGGGTAACGCAACACAATACAGAGTTCTTGCACCTTGTACGTCCCCACGTACGCTGTGTCGCTGCGATGATTGAACGTGTGTATAGGGTCTGCAAAATGGGATGCCCTTTCCTGGCTTCGCCGAGTATCAGACTTTCTTCTCATCGCCGTTACCTCGCAACATGTTCGCATCGTACATAGTCCCCGCCTGGATTCCTCCGCCTACCCAACTGCTCAAGGTCGCACGCGTCGTGTACTCGCACTGGCGTCAACGCCGCGAGGAGCGCGGAGGTCATCGTATCATCCCCGTTCTCAATGTAGGTTGCTTGCCCTCCCTATCCGTACCTCTCTCACCCTCCATAGTACGACGAGTCGGATACGGCCAATGAGTCCTACGTCTGCTTCCGCCGCCGCGATACCAAGGCCGTGCGCAAGACTCGTGCGCAGCAATCGTCGTCCTCGGAGAAGCTTGCGCGACTGCAAGCCGATCTGACCCAACCTCTCGATATCGCCCGGTTCCTCCTACAACGCGAGCAAGCCAAGCGGGACCAAGCGAAAGCCGCGCAAAGACTGTTCGCCACCCGCGTGCAGTTCATCGATTACAAGCGCCGCTTTCCAACCTTGGGCGACAAGGAGGACGAGGTCAACTACTTGGTGGACAAAGAGCGGGTCGTGCGCAAGCCGGTGGATCCCAAGTATGTTTCTCGAGTGGCACTGTCGTACGTATTTGCTAAGACCTCCGCAGTCGTTCGTCAGCTGCGAAGTCACGGACGCCCGCCGACCAGCCTGCCACCGTCACGAAGCCTGTCGATGTCTGCGTCAAACCACGAGACCGCTTCGACAGCATCATGGCGAGCGTCGAGCGCGAGCTCGCGAGGCAGAAGGACCGCGACAAGCACTGGCACGACGATGTCGATGTGAGAGATTGGCTCTATCATCACAAGTGCACATGCTCATCTCCCCGCAGACACCTTACCAGCAGCAACACGTTCCGTGGGGCCGCCGCCTGTTCAAGTTCTGTCCTAGCACCGAAGAGGCTACTCCGCGCGCTGAGCGCGCTGTGCGGACAAGAGTTGGACGTGGCGGGCGGATGCTCGTCGACCGTCGGACGGCAGCCCCGCGGCGCGTCGACGCGTCTGCCTCTCGATCTGCTATCTATCCCGACCTTGGCAAGGCGGAGCTGGCGCAGGCGTCGCAGTCGAGTCTCTTTGGGCCCGCCAAGGATGTGGACGAGCAGACGGAGTTCGACGATACCGTCGAGCCAGAGGTGGCCGACGAGAGGCGCTCTGCCACCCTCGTGCACTCACAAGTTTTGGAGCAGCAGAAGGTCACGCAGGCTAAGGCAGCGAAGGAAGTTGTCGCGCCGAAGGCCGAAGGAGCAGATGACAACGCGATGAACGTGGACACGAAGGATGCAGGCCTCGTCGTTCCGAAGCAGGAAGAGGGGTCGGCGTCGATCTCTCCGCTCTCACTTCCGGTCGCTGTCGAAGATCCAGACAAGCGTCTTGAAGCTCAGTGGGCATTCGATGCTGATGACATGCCCTCGATCGGGCCCGAGGGTTCGGAGGAGCAGGATCGTGTCTTGATGGACGATTACAACGTTCGGTATGTTGTCTCGCCCAACCTCGATGATTCTTCACTCACCACCTCTTCCAGCCATCTGAAGTACACCAGCGCCATCTTCCACCACAACGACATGTCAAGCCTGGGACCGTGGCCTACCTGGCGCTACACCAACGCCGATGGCCGCGATATCGAACGGCCTTTGCAATACCTGCCCACGCCCGCCATGCGTCCCCAGATCCGCGACCCGCGGATGCTGCACCAGGCGATGCTAGCGCAGCGCGCCAATGCGGCGCACGCCCAGCACGGCGCAGTCCAGCCCATCGTCACCGCGCAGCCCGTAGGCGTGCCCACCATAGGCACGATCGCGCAGCCGCGTCCAGCGCTGGCGGTGGCCGCGGGTGGCGCGCAGCAGATCATGCCACAACAGGGCGGCCCTGCGCCCTCCGTAGCGCATCACCAGCGCGTCCGCCCGCCGCCCATCCAGCTCCCCAGCAACGTCCTCGCCCAGCCGCGTCCTGCTACCACTCAGGTCCCGCAGCAGCAGCACTCGCCGCCGAACGCGAATGCGGCAATCGCGGCGCCGCGGCCTCAGACCATACCGATACCACATGTCGACAACCACGTAGGGGGTGGTGCGCCGGCCGTTCAGAGGATACCCAGTCAGCAGCAGTTACAGCAGGCGCAGCCTCAGCAGCAGCACGCGTCCCCGCCCAACGGGGCAGTTGCTCGTCCGCCTTCGCAGCAGCCCGTCCACGCTCAGCAGGGCACCGTGTCGCACGGTGCGCAGCCCCATGCAAACGGGGTTCAGCCTCATACGAATGGTACCCAGCATCAGGCGAATGGGGTGCAACTTCCGAACGGCCTCACGCCTGACATGGTGGCTACGTACGCGTCGATGTACAACAACGCGCAGTACAACGGTCAGCATGCGCAGGCGGTGAAGACCGCGTATGCGGCCGCGGCGCCCAGCGGTCGCCTTCCACCGTCGTACATGCATCTCGCCGCCGGGAATTTCCAGAAGATGACGCCGGCGCAGTGGCAGCAGCAGGTCAACGCGGTGAACGCGGCACGGCCGGCCCAGCAGCCCGTCGCGAATGGGCAGGCGCAGCACGCTTCCCCGCCCCGTCCGGCAGCGTCGACCTCGCAGCCGCAGCCGGTCACCGTTCATCATGGGCAGGCGCAGAATGGGTATTGAGGCCGAGAAGGTGGAGGATCGAAGACGTGCCACTTATTTATGATGACGACCACGGTTGTCGTGCGAAGGGCGACGATGGGGGATGTCCCGCTTATATTCTTGATAATCATACTACCATAACGCTGTGTATCATAGTATATCGCTGTGTATGTCGCCAGGCTTGGGAAGAGGGAGGAGGATGGGTCCGTAGAGGCTGGTTTTACTGCAGAATCATAGGGACTACGTATGCATCTAGATATGACAGCTCCATGCGATCTATGCTCTCTTCTCTGCCTATTGCCTTGTGATGATGAGGATTGGAAGCTCCCATGCATCAAGTAGCCTTCGCGAGGAGAAGAATATTTGTCTTTGTGTACCAGCTCCCCTTCGGCAATTGCCGTGCCACGTCTTATCAAGCATCAGCCGCATTTCCTCCTTCTCCCGATCCGTCATGTTCCCCTCCCATGTCCTATGAAAGGACGCTCAACCAGGCCCGCGCGCTCCTCCGATGGTTTTGTATCCCGTAGATCGCCCGATGGTCTCGCCAAGAGACGTCAGTACAGCCTCTAACGAGGTTGAGGTGATCCCGAACAGGATCCCGACTCGGTATCAAGTGGTATCCACCACCCGGGAAGTCCTGGATGCGTATCCAGGCCGCAGCGGAGGGGTTGGCGGCGCTGCTGCTCGACATCACTCTCCATAGGCTGCGAATACCAGCTCTGCTGGGCGGGTTTGGGCGGATGGCTGGTAGGGTGCGGGATGGGAGGGACGGTGGTGCGTAGTCGTTTGCAGGCTTGGCGGGGTCCGACTCCTCGTTTCTGTCTGCTCTGTGGCTGCGCACCATTCCCTCGCCATCCAGCGCCTGGCGGGCATGGTGGCGGGTCCAATTCCCGCTATCGATGTCGCCCTAGTCGTCCCTGTCCCCTTCCTCAGCGTAATTGCTACGATACAGCAAGGGCGAGAGGAGAAGTACGCAAACGCGGACTATCTCAGAAGCTACAAGAGTCCTACTCCGGGTCTTACAAACGGCGGGCGCGACGAGGCTGGTGCAAGCTGGTTATCGGCGCCCGCCTTCTACGTGTCGGCGACGATGCGGAGATGTGGGGCCTCTGGGGTTTGGCTCGAACAAGGGAGCACCATCCAGTGCGAGAGGACAGAAGGTGCCAAATGACGGCACGCGCGCACCAGCCACCAGGGCCGCTTCTGCAGAATGCCGCTATCAACGTCGGGCGGCGGATCCTGTCCAGCCAGCACGGCTCGGACATCGCGCTCTGCACCGCGCAGACAACACGTCATGCATCGCGCAGACACATGTCCCCCATCGCCCTGCATCCTGCACTGGCACGGACAACCCGGCTTGGTGAACGCCAGCCGGAAAGGTTGACCCCGCGGGGGTGCACCTCGAGCAGACCCGCTGATGCGGGCTCGCTCAGCTCTTCGTATGCTGACGTATGCGAGAGCGCTCGCCGTTGCGCTAACGTGCGCGGGAGCAGGCCTGACGGCCAGGACCGCAACGTCGGTCGGACCTCATCGCTGGGTCCAGGCTATTCGGATAGCCAAAGGACGAACCGGTCCTCGGGACGATCAGGTCCCCAGGGTGATCAGACCCTCGGGCTTTCGCGTGGCGAAGCCCATGCTCCTGCTGCAGGAGCCCCCGCACGGGGATGCTCATGATGAGCAGGCCATGCACGGCCATCGGGCGCATGCCCACTTCTCGCTGTCGCACGACGGCAACGGCGAGCAGGTCTCGCCGCTGTGCTTCGGCCGCTGTCGGGCGATCGATGTCTCGGGCGCATGTCCACTTGGCGAGCTTCCGCCTCGGTGATCTTCACCACCTTGATGTGGGAGCAGACGTACGATGCCGTCTGCTCTGCACGCTCGACGACGCGTCCGAGCCATCATGCTCGGGGCGCAGCGGACTCCCAGCACTCGCGCCACGCATCGTGGCCGGGCTGTCATCACACGGGTTACGCAGCAGGTCGTCCACTTCACGTCGTATGCCCGTCCTGCATCAGGCGGCATAGCTCTCCTCGCCGCATGCTCGTGCATTCACGACATGCTCATATCTCATAGCGAAGGGCTAGGGCCTACCCCTGCGACCGTGGCATCTGCCTGCTCCGTACTGGGACGTTCTGCTCTCGCTGTCGTTTAGTGGGGTCGGGCGCTTCGCGTGCGTCGTCTGTCTCCTACATCGCGCGACCGGCGGACATGAATTGTCGCGACTCATGTTCTCGTCGGCTTTGCAATGACGGATCGGGAGGCTCGTCTTCTCCTTCTGTCGGTCCTGGGCATCGGGCTTCGGCTCGATGCTCGTCCGCTTTTCTCCTTGGGTTGCGGCTGGCGGCTCGACATTCGTGTCGATGTCGGCGGCGCTGAGCTTTGTACTCAGCATCGCCGTATCCGCCCAATTTTTTTTCTTCCCCTTCTTCCTTCGTGAAGATTGTTTCGACTATTGGGCTATGTGGAGTAATGGAACAGCTACGTACGTATGAGATGTAAGTCGTATAGCTCGGGAAGCGAACAAGGTGGTTTTGCTGCTGAAAAAGTTAGGGACTTCTGAAGTTTAGAACTTCCAAGTACAGTGGCGCGGTTTCGAAGGCTGGACTCCACTCGCGGTCACCTGAACGTCATTTTCGCACGGCGCGCGACGGCATATAATATATTCGAGGCGGGGCGCGGTCGTCCGTCCAGAATATTCCCCACTATTGAACTCGAGCTCGACAACGAGCATACACTGCACACTGACCAATCTACGCACCCTACACGCGACCAACACCATGGCATCTCACCAGCGCTCTCCCTCGATCGAAGTCGTGTCCGGCGGCGCGCCTGCCCACACTAGGAAGACGGCGCTTATGGAGTCGACACGGACGACGAATAACCAGTCTCCCAGTGGGACGGGGGCGTGGACGAAGGGGCTCAATGCGCCTTTGATGAAGGAGCCCAAGGAGCATGCCCATACGACCGCAACATCGATCCAGGCGAAGGTGCGTGAGGGATTGAGCTGGGGAAATGTGTCGCTGATTGGGTTTCCTTTCTCAGCCTGCCGCTGCGATGGCGAGCGCGGAGAGGCGTGTGCCCAACACCTCTGCAGGATCGAAGCGCAAGCTGGACGCGCCGACGTTTACTGCGAAGCGCGCGAAGACGGGTGCTGCAGCGAAGCTGGGCGCTGTACCGAAGACAAAGGAGAACAAGGTGAAGGTTGAGCAGGGTAACATGAAGGCCGAGCAGGGTAACGCGAAGGTTGAGCAGGGCAAGGCGAAGGCTGAGCAGAGTAACACAAAGGCCGAGGAGAAGGAGGACACTGCGGAGCGCTGGAAGTGGATTGACCGTAGGCGGCCTGAGATGTGCGTATGAACGCTTATGGTGCTCAGTGCTTTTCTGACGGTATCTTTCTACGAATCCGTCGCGATATCCTTTGCCGTATGCATCTCGCCGCGACTGCGTTAACTTGCTTTCGGACATGTCCCTACCCTTCCTGTTCCAGTGAAATCAAGGGCACGAGCATCGAGGCCTTCAATTGTGGGGGGACCTTCTTCAAGTCCTCGGCCAAGGTACGCTGCGTCCTGCACTCTCGCACCCATTCATCATACATCTCTGCACCTCATTCTTCCCCATACCCCTCTCCCCTCAACGACATTCCGACTGACCCGCCTACAGCACGTCGCCGACCGCCTTGACAAGCTCGAGGCCTTCCTCGCCGAATGCGATGGCGACGAGCGCTACCACCCTATGTACGGCGACTGGGAATCCTACAAGGCCAAGCGCGTCACGAGGAAGAAGGGCGAGCCAGAGGATACGCGGTGGCAGTGGATTGATAGGCGGAAGCCGGAGATGTGAGTGCAGCTCCAGCTCGCCTTTCTCTTCCTCATCCCCCTTCGTCGTTCCTATGCCCTCTTCCTCGAGGGCTGATCTCGTTCGTTATCGTACCCATGGTCCTCCTCCCATGGAATGGATGCTAACCACCTTCCCTGCAGACGCTTCAAAGGCACGAAGATCGAGGCGTACAACTGCGGCGGCGCGTTCTGGAAGGCGACGGGGAAGACCATTGCCGAGCGGCTTGACAAGATGGAGCGCTTTCTCGCGGAGTGTGAGGGTGACGAGAGGTACCATCCGCGGTACTGTGAGGATTTCTGAGTTGCTGCCTCGACCGGCGAGGGGACTCTAGGATGTCGTCCCGAAATGAAGAAACAAATCTAATGTACGAACCCTTGTACTTGTGCTTCTACTATCTTGCTTGACCGATGTTCTTGACTGCAGTATGTACTATACTTTACACGCTCTTCTACGCTGTACCTAACTTACTAATGGATTTGTACTTATCTCCCAGTAAGCAAAAGACACATGCTGAACTTGTCACTACGCAGGCATGCGCTTCGCTCTCTCGGTAGAGATCCTGGGGACCTTTGAGGTATAAAATCTCTTGCTCCGACCGGTATTCACTCAATTCTTGCCCTCGCAAACCTTGAGACCTTGAGAGGGGGAAATGTGTGACCAAGTGTGACATTTGTCCATTTTTGTCCTTGCTCCTCCGGTCATGGCAAGCGTGATCGCGCGCGCCTCCGTACGCCTAGCGCTGCGTACTGCGCCCATAGTTCCCCGGCGGACTCTGCACGTCTCTGCACCTGGTGCGTATACAATGTACGAACGTCGAGTGTCAACTGAACCAGGCCCTAGCCCTCAAGAAGAAGAGCAAGGGCAAAACCACCGTCTTCGAGGATGAATTCTCCTTCGAAGAGTCCGGCGAGTCCCTCTTCGCTGACGCGGGCGCAGAGAGCGCCATGGAGGGTCTGAAGGATGAGGCGTCCACTACCCCAGCGGAGGACAAGCGGAACGAGCACGTCGCGAACTCGAATAAGCTCTCCCCGGACGCGCGCCAGCAGCGATTCGACGAGCTCTACAACTTCGTGAAGCCGAGAATAGGGCGGCGGCCGATTCACAGCAAGGAGCAGGTCCGCCGGTCGGCGTGGAACCACCTCATCCAGCTTGCGACGAAGCCAGAGCAGCTAGAGCAGGTCGTCGAGCTGCTCCCGGCGTGGAAGGACAGCGGGCGCGAGATCAACGCGACTATCAGCGAGCTGTTCATCCGTGCGTCTGCTACCCATCCCTTCAAGCTTCTCATACTAATGCGCTACCCACAGGCCGGTGCCACGAGCTGCAATCCCCCGCCCTCGCTGTCAAGGTCTTCGGTGACTTCGGCCGCTACGGCGTCCCCCTCACCCTCGAGGGCGGCCGCACGCTCCTCTACTCCCTCCTCCTCTACGACTCCATCCCCAACATCGTCGCCGTCACTACACTTTACAAGGTGTACGACCTCCCGCCCCTCGCCTCCGACCTCGTCTCCTGCAGCATCCTGGTCGCCGCGTGTCATAAGCACGGCGATGCGGATGCGCAGGTCGTCGCGGAGACGCTCACGCCGTTCTTGAAGGACCTTGTGGCGAAGGGCGACGAGGCGGGAAGGGGGAGGCACCCGGAGGAGCAGTACGAGAAGTGGCTAAGTTGGGCGCTGTTCCAGGTGCATCAGGCGCGGGTGCAGGCGGCGCAGCCGTCGTACCCGTGGTTGGAGAAGTGGAGGAGTGTATGGGAGACGAAGGGTATTGTGGATCCTGTGACGAAGGAGCCGGTACAGACCGCTGCATAACTTACCTTCTGCTCAATGCTACTCACCCCATTCATGCCTTGTCGCACTGAATACACATCTCCTTTCAAGATCGCCTCGTCACCCAGCAGCACTGATCATTTCGGATCAGGCATATCTTGTCAAGTCGAGGCAGAACAAGGGAGCCACGCCGGCAATCACTCTGGGGGATCTGACTGTGTCATCCTCTGCTATTGTACCCAACTGGTAGTATATTCCGCCATCTGCCTTTCATCCATGCTCAGTCAGTTCATCACAATCCCGCCGTTCACGTCGATCTGCTCAAGGTCAGCTCCCTTGTTCTCTGACGATGATGCAACAGACATACCCCCGAGCCTGTATAGCGGCGTGAGCGTTAGGTGTGCGTGCAGAGGTTAAATGCGTGCGTGCAAGTCCAGGTGCGTGTATGCAAGTCCAGTTGAGTGTGCGCAAAGACGGCCAACGGAGGCTTACCGGTGATAAAGTCGGCCTCGCGAGAAGCAAGGAAGGAAACCACGTTCGCGATGTCTTCTGGTTGACCAAGGCGCCCGACGGGTGTCCTCGCTTTTGCCTGGAAGCGGCTATGAGCCCAGCCTTCGCGGCACTATAGACGATGCTTACAGTTCCATATAGTGCGTCTACGTCACCAGACTTTTCTGCGACAGCGCGTACTGAACGCGACCGTCAGCGCGAATGAAAGTGTATTCAGATTCAGCCTCGTACCCACGTCGGTGTCTACCCAACCTGGTACGAACCGGTCAGGTGGGGCTCGTACAGAGCTCAGGCTGATTGGCGACTCACCCGGACAATAGCAATTCACAGTGATCCCTGTCGAAGCCAGCTCTGCTGCTGAGGCGCACGTCAATGCTTTCTGTTGCAAAGTGAAGCAGACTATTCCGACTTACCAAAGGCGTGCGTCAATCCACGAACGCCGAACTTCGTCTGGCTATACACGCCGGTCATTGGATGGCCTGGAACGGCGAATGTCAGCTCGATGCCCTGAGCCATGCCTCTTTCACGATGACGTACCTACTCGACCAGCACCCGACGAAGCACCGATGATACGGCCGCTCTTGTTCCCAAGCTCCTGCATCTTCAGCGCGGCATGTTGATAGCACAGGAAGAGCCCGAGACTGTTGACGCTGTGCAAACGGTGATAGTCCTCGACGGTGGCTCAAGGGAAGGTGAGCATCCAATTACAAGTACGACATAGGCAAGACGCACTATCCACGCATTTCTTGTAGATCAGGACTCCGGCATTGGCGACCATCTGATGGTATGGTGAGCGTCTCGATGACCATCACAGGGGACAGCCGCCAAACAGACTCCCGAAATGCACCGCCGTATCATCAACCATGCGCTTGACATCAGGCTCGGACGATACATCGGCGAGAACAGTGAACGCCTTCCTTCCTCTCTCTTCGATGTCACCCCGCACGCCCTCCAGCCGCTCCATCGCAGACGGAAGGTCGTTCAGGGCGATGTTGAGGCCGTCGTCAGCGAGCCTAAGAGCGATGGCGCGACCTATGCTGCGGGAGGCGCCGGTGACGAGGGCAACGCGGGCGAAGGACATGATTGGTCCAGACGCGTCAAGAGGGGGATGGAGAAGGGGACTGTAAGGCGGGCGGCGTGGGGCGTACTGATACAGCCGCCGCATTGTCGCCCTAGCTGACAGCGGCGCTCTCCCTGTCTGCTAGTCCGCGGATATGACCCACCTACTTGATGCAAGATGGACCGTGGTCCTGTGGATAACGGAGCAGCGATCTAGGCGAGCACTCACCTTGGGTCACATCTGCTCTTGGGAAATTATGACTGACTCCTCCAAGCAGGTACAGTGATCAAGCACTCGATGAGCAGACCAAATTTTGTGCGGCCTCGGAATATTTACCATCGAGCCATGACATCGACTTAAGTACACCGATCTAACCGTATACTATGTGGCTCTCGACCTATGATCTTTTCGGAGCTCAGAATCGCGCAGGTCCAGCACAAAGGGGGGATCAAGGCGGAGATGAGCAAACGGCACCGAAATCACTCGATGAGCAGCGTCACATCACGCCGGTCCGTTGAGGCGGATCCAAATTTGGAACAGAATCCGGACGTCCTCTGGGCTACTAAAGTACCCCTACGCTAATTCTGTTCCCTCTACACTTGCTTGTGAAGCGGAGGGAGTCATTACGAGCAAAGTCTGCTCGCCATTTTTGGTTTCTCGCCGCTATTTACGCCCTACACCTGAAAAGCACTGGCATGACGGGCCCGATTGCCGATGTGATTTCGTGACTACTCACGCTGCCCATTTCGACGGACTCGCAGCCTTTCTACGTTTCCATGAGCATGGTAGCGTGTGCGCGCCTTCGTAGCAGCTCAATATCATTCTTTTGGATCATAGCTACCTTCATGAATATTTTCGAAACAAGCAAAGGGCGGGGGCGCTCTGAGCAATATTTCCTAATTGTGCTTGAGCTGCTCAAATGCTGCTCAGCCGCGTTCGCAAGCCCACTGTGCTCGATGTCGCACTCTTCACAGCTCGCAAATATTACAGTATATGCACAGTGCACTCCTCTTGAATAAGTCAATTTCTCCGGGCGATGCGGCGACATTGTGATGCTTCCCGACGCCGACTGCTCATCGAGTGATGGCTGCTCATCGAATGCTTGATCACTGTACATACACCTCATTCCTTGAACATTTATATATCGGCGAGTAATAATCACGACTCCGGCAGTCAGTTCATCACCATTCCCCCGTTCACATCGATCTGCTCGTGGTCAGCTCTTGGGTTGTGACAGGCGACTTTAAGAACCCGACTCACCCCTTGGCCTTCGAAGAGCCATCCGCGTTGAGTACATATATGACGAAGGAGCATAGGTGAATCTCACCAGTAATGAAGTGCGCTTGCGGAGAAGCAAGGAAGGACACCGCGGATGCGGTGTCGTCTGGTTGACCCAAATGTCCCGTCGGCGTCTGCGCCGTAATCTAGAGGAGTTGACCGGGTTCATGACCCGCCATAGACGCAACACGTGATACTCACAGCAGCGTAGAATGCATTTACGTCCCCGCTGCCCTCAGCGACGTCTCGTACTGCAGCCGAAAAATTCTAAGGGCTAACCATGGGAGTATGGCCAGAAGCGCTCACGCACTCATCTCTGTATCCGTCCAGCCTTCGCGGAAGGAGTAGAATGTGATGGTCAGTACGTACGCGCGCCGTACGCTGAATCACGACTGACCTGGGCAATAGGAATTCACTGTAATTCCAGTCGTGGCCAGCTCTTGCGCTGAGAAGCACATAAATGCTCAAGGACTTCCTCCCGGACATGGCATCCAGCGTACCAAGCGCCTGAGTCAGTCCGCGCACTCCAAACTTCGTCTGGCAGTACACGCCGGCTTTCGGGGTCCCTGGCGGCATGCGTCAACTCAAACCTCCAGCGAGCACGAACGCATGGTATCCTAGTCTAGCCGTCACCATACCTGTGCGTCCTAGTGCCGACGACGCGCCGATGATGCAACCGCTATTGTTGCCGAGCTCTTGCATCTTCAGCGCGGCGTACTTGTAGCACAGGAAGATCCCGAGACCGTTCACGCCATGCGCCTTGTGCCAGTCCTCGACGGTGGCTGTATCAGAGGTCATCCCGGGCCTCTTGCGTGATATAGCAGACGGTAGAGGGACGCACTGTCCACAAGGTTCTTATAGACGGCGACCCCGGCATTGGCGACCATCTATCGGGACTGTAAGCGAATACTTGCAATCACCTCATTTCACTGAGCAGACTTACGACATCCAGCCTTCCGAAATGGGCTGCAGTCTGGTCAACCATGCGCTCAACGTCGGGCGCAGAGGTCACGTCGGCGGGGACCATGAGAGCACGACGACCCCTGTCTTCCACTTCGCTTTTCACACCCTCAAGGCGCGCGTGAGCAGACGGCAGGTCGTTCACCGCGACGTCATGTCCATCGTCGGCGAGACGCAGTGCAATGGCCCGTCCGATGCCGCGGGCGGCGCCGGTGACGACAGCGATTCGGCGGGTGAGAGACATGGGCGGTATGTGGTGGAAGTGCGGAGAGGGGAATAGATGCGAATGCGGAGAAAGATACGATGTGAAGGAAAGATGTGAGAGTGGGGAAAGTACGAGGGCGAAGGGAAAGTTGCGAGAACAAGCGCGTTCCAAGTTGCGCGCTTTATAGTGGCAGTCACCGCCTGCTTTACGGTATAGCGCTGGCGCCACTCAGTGTAATGCGCGGATATGACACGAAACAGCTGGACGGGTAGCATCTGTGGATGGTTAGATGGGAAGGTCAGGTTCTACCTTGGAATGCGACGTGGCACTCTCCTTCATGAGGTCTGTCACGACATCCGCGCTGGCCCTTTGTTCGATGCGATTCGACATACACAGACGCGAAGGACCATAAAGGACATGTTCCTGCCATACGCCCGCCTTCTCTATTCCATGAATCGGCCGCCATTCACGTTGATCTGCGCCCCGCCGTCAGCATGGCTTCTTAATTACACATCGCAAGACACTCACCGATTGGCCTTGCATGCAAATCCAAGTTCAGCCCCGGTTAATCGACGACAAGACGGCTCAACTCACCGGTAATAAAATGAGATGCGGGGGATGCCAGGAAGGACACCACGTTCGCGACATCCTCGGGTACACCGAGATATCCCACCCTGGACTTCGTGCTTTCCTATGCATTTGCGTTAGCCCATCTGCCTCGTAGGACACAGACAATAACACGCACGATGGCATAGAAAGGTTCCACACCGCCGGCCCCATAGGCCAGTTCGCGCACTACGGATGAGGGGTCAGGGATGTGATAGACCAGTCAATTCCATTGCGGGTCTTACGCATGACGGTATCGACGGCGCCTGGACAATAGCAGTTCACGGTGATGCCGGTATGCGATATTTCACATGCTGGACCTGGTACTAAGTCCTGAAGATGAGACGATAACTACGCCACCTACCGAGCGCCTGCGTCAAGCCACGTATACCAAACTTGGTCTGACAGTATATGCTCGCAAAGGGTTCACCTGCAATAAATACCACTGAGCATCTGCTCTGCACGCCATGGAAGATTCTACACACCCATCTTGCCCGCGACTGAGGATGCGCCGATGATGCGTCCGCTTTTGTTGCCAAGCTGCCGCATCTTTATGGCGGCATGCTTGTAGCAGAGGAAGGTGCCTAGGCCGTTGACATTGTGGGCCTTGTGCCAATCTTCGACCGATGCTGAGCAATGTGTAAGCTCGCGGTGAGTAGGAAAAGGCGGAAGTCAACTTGCTATCAATGACCGGCTTGACGACCATGACTCCGGCGTTTGCGACCATCTAGAGAATAAATCAGTATCTCAGGCAATTGGAGTAAGGTAGACTATGAGACTTACGACATCCAATCTCCCGAAATAGTCTGCAGTCTCGTCCACAATGCGTTGAACATCCGGCTCGGAGGACACATCGCCAGTGACGACGATAGCTCGTCTGCCCTTCGCCTCGACCTCGGCGCGTACTTGGTCCAGTTGGTCCTTATTAGAAGGCAAATCATTCAACGCGATGTCGAGGCCATCGGCTGCGAGTTGCAGGGCGATAGCACGGCCGATGCCCCGAGCAGCTCCTGTCACAATAGCGGCTCGCACGGAGGACATAGAGATTCGATGGTGGCTTCGGGGAGCACTCTATGGCGCGCTGGCGAGGTAGGACAGAAGGATACGCAAGGTAGCCACAATATATATGTCCCCCACCTTACTGGGGGTGTCGGCAATCGCGCAGGTCGTAGCCGGAAGCGCCATGCACGAACATCACGGCCAAGGGGTTTTGAGTCAATCTCTCAGACCATGTCGTCCTTGGGCCCTGTCAGCGCTTCATAATTAGCCACTCGGAGCGTCTATGCAACTCGACGATGAATTTGGACAGGGTCGCGGTAAGAGTGAAAGCGGATAGCGCACCGAAGGGTCATTTGTGGCGTACGTGTACGCTGTTCCGCGTCCAGTTGTCCCACTAGGGGCCTCAACGCGTCTAAGAAAGACGGACCAGCCACAGCAACGTATAAATCCACCCTTTGAAGCCTGAAGTGTGGTTTCGCATATAGCAGAGTGCGCATCCCTCTGATGAAGTGGTGGCACCTTGGTCACCGACGCGGTACCTCCGCCAGCCCGACGGCACGAGTCACGCAACACCCAATGTCCGATCCAGTATAGGCGCTAGAGGACGTCGGAGTGCTGCGCCACATTACCCCTGTGGCCGGGAGTGTGCGGTATATACGCCATCTCACGTGCGCGGACATCAAGTGTATACCATTGTCAACCAATAACTCACTTCAAATCTCATTAGCGTTCACATAAAGTGTCAAGCTTCGACCACTCTTTCTCGCCGAATCCCTCATCAAACCGTCGAAAACTCGTACTTCACTTCCCAGAAGAAGTCTTTGCCAGGTTCGTCTGGCGCTGTCGTCAGCATCGCGACCATTCTGGGAAGGAGGATACACACGAATCTGGTCGATGTTCCACTCCGGGGTGTTGATGGCGTCCATGTACCCCTGCTGCTCAATTGCTACGGCCGACCACTTCGTGTAATTCACGTCGGGTCCGCCATGCACCACCTTGCGTGGGATATCAAGCCAGTTGGACGTGTAGACTTGAGTGGCGGGCTGGTTGGAGGATATGTCGACTCTGACGGGCGGCGTAAGCACCTCACCGAAGCTAACATCAAGTTCGTAGGCGTACCGAATGCCGGACGCATCGCTCCAGAGGCTAGTCCTCGCGCCACGATCCGTAGCGTTGGTAAAGATCCAGCAGTTGTCGTATCCCTGGCATTCTAAGTATTGCATCCGTCAGTCGACTGCCATCGTAAACGCCCAGCCTACGCACCCGGCCCGCAAAGGTCGAACGTATCGTTCCACTTCACGTTGATGGGCTGCTCCTGGGTGAAGTCGAGCGGCGTCCCCGTCACGTTGATGAATCCGCCCGTCGGCACCTGATTACTATCGATCTCGATGACCTTGTCGGCGGCGATCTGGAGATGGTGCGACAATATGTCGCTGCTGTTGTTCTGAAAGGCGTCGAGGTTCCTGGGAGCGGGGGCAAACTCGAGCCATGCAAGCACTTCGGTTCGGAAGGTGGCTTACCAGTACACGTGCTGCGTAGTCATGATGGGTGTCTTCTCCGTGGCGTTCGCCCACAGCTTTGACTCCAGGATACCGCCTTTGTGGACAGTATGCGTGGCCTGCGCGACACCTTCAGTAGCTCCCCGATGGACTTCGAAAGATGGGGACTCACGATGGTAGTCACATTTCCTGGGAAGCCTTCGTCTGCGGGATCGAAATGAAGGTAGGAGACGTGCGTCGGAGACTTGTCGATGACTGTCCAGTTACGCCGGTCCCAGCCTAGTTTCCCGCCATGCAGAGCATTCGGCTATGGAAGGTCAGATGAGACACTATACTAGGCCCGCTAGATACGCAATTACCTGACCTACAAAAACTCATGAGTACAACGCAGTGGACAAGAGACGTGAACGGACCGTTCGTAGGAATATGGTATACATTGGGACCATCTGGCTGAGCGTCCTTCGTGATTGGTATAGAGAAGGTGCCATTCTTGATGCCTGAAGCGATGTTAGCTAACGGCGCCAGCCATTGAGTATGCACGCGTACGGTTGGCATAACTGTGCGGTACCGTTGAGCACGAGACCCACTATACAAGTTGAGGCCACTCACCGTCCGATGATGGGATTGAATGACGGGTGGTTCGGATCGGTCAGGAGTTTCGACTGAGATGAAGAGTCAATGAAGGCCAGGTCGAAGAGGCTTCGCTTCGCTTACATTGTCGTCGTAACCCAGGACGACATCCCGGGGATTGCCATCACGATCCTTGACCCATAGCTCGGTCAAGGTCGCACCTAGGGACACGAATTTCGCAGTCACAGAACCGTCAGGCGCCGTTAGAGTCGTAACGTCAAAGGGCTAGTACCATGATCAGTAAAAGGATGGTCGAGCGAGCGATCATGCTTACCCATTTCTCGTCCTGCGCGCTGACGCTTGCGCACACGACTCCCAATGCAAGGAGGGCTTTGATGAACATCGTAAAGGTCGTGCTGCTGCCGTGGGGGACGGAAGAGTTCAGCAGCAAGCATCCGAGAGGCGGCTGGCTTATATGGGCGCCGCGAGCACAGCGCGGTCAAATTTGGAATAGGATCATCGGCGCAGACTCCAGAGAACCACATGAGCATCATCTTCCGCACATGCATATCGAGCGGACAAGGCCTGCCATTCTCAGTGGCGTAAAGCGGGAAGAACGTCGGGGAGAAGGCCATAATGAATGCGGATTGCCCGTTATCGTCCACGCCGGTTCGAAGGGCTGAGCATCAGCTGCGAGGGACGGCGAGGAACAGCTTGAGGTAGAGCTGGACGTGCATGACGAGATCGCCATGATGGACTTTCGCTTGAACTATGCGACGGAGAAATGGGTCGCAAACGTCATTTCTACCCGCGCGAGCCATGCGTCCCGACTTCCGACGCTCGCGCTGCGCTCGAGAGCGCTTGTGGGGAGGTCGGGGTCAGCGAAAGGCCTCATCGACGAGGAGAAGCGGTAGAAAGGCCTGCCTGGACTCGGCCGTATGTTGCTTCGTCCGCGAGGTGCCCGCAAGCGTTCTGCCGGGGCTCTTCGAACCGACGAATCGTCCGACTGCGTTCCAGCGAGTGGGAATGTTCTATGGTCATCTTAGGGCATATCTAGATGGGCTATTCATGCGCAGCGGCGCGACCAGACGAGTCTCACGAGCGTTCAGGACAAGTTGGGTTTGAGTTCAAAAGACACGTGGTAATTTGATCATCATTCCATGCAACCATCTCCTTCCGGAAATCATTGTTTTCCTCTTACCGCCATGTGGTACAACGACGCCGCCTCTCTTTCTGTCGCCTTCGTATAGAAAATCCTAACAATCCCCGATGAGAACAAGAGCAGATCGATCGTCGGATTTCTCGGTAAACTTCTTCCATTAACTCCATGAAACGCTCAGCCAGCCTATTGAATGGATTTCGGACCCCTTCTTCGCTCGGTATCCTTCTGAGCGCGATCCACACCCAGCTATCGAAGACTAACTTCACAAAGTGAACATTAAAGCCTATTTGTCTCCGTCGTCCTTGTAGTCGTTTCTCTTTCCTCCCTCTCGCCGGGCGATTTCCCACCAGGATGGTTGAAAGCTTACAGTCTCAGGCATCTCATTCACGACACCATGTTTACGGAGAGGATGCTTACGAGCCTCTTTGGTCTGCTTATAAGGCGAGCACATCTACGGAACTACATGATGAAGAGATCTTGACGCTATCCTCAGGTCGAAGCTACGACCACGGACGAACTGCCTATGGTTGAACTCCCCTCGCGCACACCTTCCCAAGCCTCAGTCCCATCTCTTCCGATACTAAAGCAACCAACGTCCACGCTCGACATGTCGATATCCTCCGAACGAAGCGATTCGGACGACTCCGCTTCGGATGCGAACAACGAACGACGATGGTCTAATGGCATATGCAGCGTCTCCGGTAACTGCAAGACTTGTAAGTGGAGCGAATTGCCACCGCCTTGAACTTTAATGACGGCTCGTAGTATGTCTCGCGTGTTGCTGCCCGTGCATCGTCTACGGGCATAATCAGCGTCGTTTTCACCACTTAAGACGACATGGCACGTCCGATCTCGAGAGCAGCGCATCTTGCGGGGGACGCGCTTGTTGGATACATTGCTTGCTCACCTCCTTCATTGGCTGCGGGTGGATTCTTCAGGCGCGTCCGTCCCTATCGTTGCGACTCAAAGGCTGATGCTCGCTCTAGATTCCCTTTCGGAGACGTGTGCGGAGGCGGTACTCAATCCGCGGAAGCCTTCTCGGGGACTGCTGTGCCTCATTTTGGTGTAATCCTTGCGCACTTACGCAGGAGGCCTTAGAGCTCGGGCTAGAAGAGCAGGGCGCACTCGCCGCTGTGCGCCGTCCGAACCTGGCGTAATTGGTACCCAAACTCGACCACAGTCCGTGCTCAGCCTATTATCATCAGCGACGCAGAGCTATCCTGCGACTCATTTTTGGTATACTTCTACACGTTCGACAGCTTCGAATACCACCGCGGTTTACTATCCGCTTGTCTTCCTTGGGTCCTCGAGCCGTGTGGGATACTGTGTTGATCTCCATTGCGTTGATCCTGAATGGGAATGCGCGAGGTCCAGTCTGTATTCAGACCTCGATGCATAGCCTTCCGACAGAATATGTGGCGGTGAGTGCTGTTGAATGTTCAACAACTTCCCTCCTTGGCGTTCAGCCACCGATAGCTTTACACATCTCCTCTCCTGCTTTTTGAGCGCGACTCGCCCTTGGCGCAGGTGTACATCCTGGCGAAATTTTCAGAGTCGACTGTTTCAGGTTTCTTTGACGCAGATCGTCGGCGCCACACGTTGTGGGGTCTTCTACACCTTTCGCACAGGTCAGCCGCATCCCAACCTCACTCATATGCAGTCGGGGAGAATGGTTGTTGAATTCGGTGTGACTTTCTTGGCTTTGTCGTGAAAGGTGTTCACGAGCACAACGCGTCCTCCTCAAGATATATAGCCTCGCTGATCGGGCAGACCTGCTCCTGCCCCTACGCTCACGACTATTACACGCCAGTTACGATACGCGACAACTCTTTCCTATGACTGACCTGAAGTCTACCGACGGTCTCTCTCACCCCAAGGCCGGTACTCCTCCACCAGCGTACCCTCCGCCCGTCAACACGCAACCTGCGCTCACGCCAGGCATGTCGACGACTCTAGGCGCCGGCGGTAATCGCAACGTCAAGAATATCCCAATCGGACCCGACGGTCAACGAGCGTGGTCGCACGGATTGTGCTCAGCATGCTTCGGGGACTGTGGTACTTGTGAGCTATCTCGTCCCTCATGCACGAGAATGACGCTCACCCCGACGCTTCTCAGTCTGCACGGCGTGGTGGTGCCCCTGCATCGTCTTCGGGCGCAACAAGGAGCGCTACCAATACCTGTCCGAGCAAGGCATCCCCGACCCCGAGGCCGGGAAGGGCTACAATCGGGAGTCCTGCGAGAAGCACGGCTTCCATACCATTGTGACCGGTTTTGGGTGGGTGTATCAGGTACGTAGAGCTTCTGTCACTCTCAGTGCTTGCTCGGCGATGACTCACAAGGATCAAGGTCGCCCTTCGCACGAAGCTGCGCGAGCGATATGGAATCCGGGGCAGCGACACGAGCGACTACTGTCTGTCATTTTGGTGCAACCCGTGCGCGCTCACGCAAGAGAGTCGAGAGTTGGAGCTGGAGGAGCGTGACCTGCGGTCCAAGGATTTATAAGGCTCACTGGTTTGTCGCGCTGCTCAGGCCATATCTCAGGCCATAGCCGGCTATGAAGGAATACAGGTCAACAGGAATCTCATCCAGAATCTTCCCTACGCGGCAAAATAAAATATGTGTGATTTGTCGAAAAGGTATCCTCGATAGGCTCGGCATCATCTATTCGCAAGGCAAAGTCATATCCAATGATCTGTTCGCGATCTTCTTTCCACGGACTCGGGACTAGATACTTCGATCTCAAAGCCCGCCATCGTAGTCCTCAAATTCGACCCAGGGGCCGTTTTTGATGCTTTGGTACCAGCGCAGCTTCTTCGATACACGAGACCAAGCCCTCGCGCGGTCCCTTGCGGTCCATCTACCGTGCAACACCTCCTCTTCAGCTGCCCGATATTCCACTTGCCGCAGAAGAGGAAATATCGCAGCAAGAATGTCCGCCACCTCGTCAGCCGCCTCGATGCGTCCGTCGTTTATGTCCAAGTTTTCGAGGACAGGGGGCCCTACTTTGGCCTCCGCCACCTCGTCGGCCGGCAAGTCTATCGACCGCGCATCCAGCTTCAGTGTGAGTGTCCGCAGCTGTTTTAGATGTTTGGCGAACATGGAAAGGCTTTGCAGCGTACACGATGATCCCATCATGTTCGGTATCTGCAGATGGACAAGCTTGGGCCACCAGTGCGCGAGCTCGCCATATTCGGACTCGGTCAGGCTTACGCCTCCACCCACCTCGCCGAGGGAGACATCCTGCAGATTGCGGTGCCGCGAGAGCGGACGAAAGAAGTCAAGGGGAGCTAAGAGTGGGCTAGATAGCTGGTCCATCAAGCGATTGGCTGGGAGCCCATTCGCTCGTATGCGCAGGTGCGTCAACGTTGTCGGGGAGCAATGCTCGGTGACTGCGTCGAGGAGTATCTTCATCTGGTCGTAAGAGGTGAACTGCGTTATCGGCATATCCAGCGTGTCTATCTCGCACGGTGAGTCGCCTAGATATTGTACCAGTGTCATCGCGAATGCCGGGCATACTGGGGGAAGGTGCAGGTGGCGAAGGTTGAGAAGTCCTCTGTGGGATATGCGTTTCATCGCAAGCGCACTATCCGGGTGCCTCAGTACGCGCGCGGGATCCAGTACCCGCAAACGAGAGAGTGGTGAGCTTTGACCCAGAAGGACGACGAGAACGTCCACGATATACATCTCCAGGGAAAGTGAGAGGTGCGTGACAGATGGAGCGCATGCTATGGCGCAGCCTAGTTGCAACGCATCGCCAAGGTCATGGTTCATGATTTCACGCACTGGAATCAGTTCCAAGCGCAGATGCGTCAGCTGGGGACATATGCGCGATATCTCAGCTAGGCTGGGGACATTGGCGCATCGGATGCAGATCTGTAGGTCCCTGATCATTGGCGAGCACAGAAAGAATAGAAACCTGTTGTCCATCGCGGTGTAGATGGTCAATTGCAACCGCTCGATTTGGGGCAGAATGGGCGAGTTTGGCGGCGATGTGAGGATGACGGGGAGTACGGAGGGTGAGAGCAGCTGGCTATCAAAGCGGAGGACTTTGACGTGGCGCGAGAGTCGCATGACGGGCTCCCAGTCCTCTGCTTTCAATGTTCTGGTGATACGCTGGGCAGGAATCAGCACCCTTCACACTGTAGCCAATGATACGCACATATTTTGGTCTATCTGCGGCCGAAAGCAGAAGCAAGCTTGAGAGGTACGCCGAACGAGGATTTCCATCGTCAATAGACCACGCGTCGTCAGGGATGAGCTTCAGTAACGGCAGTTGGTCGGGAAGTATCTCCCATAGTAAAGGTGTGGTGCACGCATTCCAGAACCTCGAGACAAGTGCATATTTTGCGAGTAACAGTGCTGATCGACATAGCTGCCTCATCTCAGGCATATGATGGTCGACGTACCCCGGACGATCGCCGGCAGCATGGAGGACAGCAAGCAGTATCTCTGGTATGTCGATAGGTCGCGCTGCGGAAGGTTCCATTGCCGATGTCCGTTTTTGGGAGAGAGTTCGATATAAGCAGAGTTATTGAGAAGAAGACGAGGTCAATCGACGGAAACACTGGCAGAACGACAGAGGCTAGCCGCAGGCGATTTCAGCGTTGTTGATCGGCAGACGCCGAGAGTCAGCACGTGCAAGTTCCTGTTCAACAATTATAGAGCACTCAGACAGCAAGAGGAAGGCCCATGAATATCTTCCAAGTGAACCCGAAAAGATTTACAGAGTGGAGAGTCAACCGGTGTCCTTGATTCAAGCCTCGAACCACCCACTCATGACCCCACCCCCCACCCACTCCGACTACTCGACCGCGCCTTCCCCTTCCCCGGCATCCGCAAGATCTCTCGATACATCTTCTTCATCTTGCTCACCCGCTTCTCCTCCAGCCCCTGCACCTCGCGCTCGATCGCCTCGCGCGCCTGCTTCGCGGAGTGGTACGTCTCCATCGCGCGCTGGAACTCGCCGAGCGCGACGCTCTCCTTCATGCGCGCGACCTCGAGGCGGCGGCGGATGTTCTTCAGCTCGCCCTCTTCCTCGCTGAGGTCCTCGGACTCGACGGTCACGCGGTCGGCGTGGTCGGGGTCGGAGCCGGACGAGCCGCCTGCGTCGGCGGTGTCGTGCCCCGTGTCGTCGGAGCGGGGAGCGTGCGGCGTGTTCGTGCGCACGTAGAGGTATGATGAGGATCGTGGTTGACTAGCGGATGCAGCGGTAGACCTAGATGCATGTCAGCGATGAATGAGAGACACTTCCAACGTTCACTCACGCTAGCGACACCGCCGTTGGGCTACCCGAAACGATATCCGCCGTGGCGGCGCGTCTTGCCATGTGCGATGCTGACCGGGCTTCTGGCCTCACTATGGGTATCCGCATCGGCGCCGTGCCCTCCCCAGAACGGCCCTCAGCAGCATCCGGCCTCACGTGTGACGGCCTTCTGCTAGACGGCCGTCCTGGATAGTCCCCATCGAACTCGTCGAACGCGAACACATCGTACTCGTCCTCGTTGATGACAGTGAACGAGGGGTTCGCGTTTGCCGACGAGGACACCGCAGACGACGACATGGACGCTGTACGTGCACGTGGCTGCCCTACGGACGGGGGTGGGGCGGAGCGCCCCGTGGACGAGGCCTTGGCGGTGGAGGAAGCGGAAACGGTGCGCCCATTGGGCTGGAGGGAACGCGCGAACGGCTGATAGGGCGTGCTGCTGCGTGAGGCGGTAGAGTTGGCGCGTGGGCGGCCCAGGCGACGCTGCTGTTCCAAGAAGTAGTCTTGCTCGGGGGAGATGGATGGCGTCCAGATCTTGTGGTCGACGGATGATCGGCTTTCTGGGCGGTGCGATGGTCGGGGGGAGTCTGCGTCACCGATCGTGGCGTCGATCAGTACGGCGAAACACGCGGCGGGCACCACTCACGATAGTTCTGAGCACCGTGCCGCTCCGAGTAGCTGATCCCCCGCCGATGGTGGGTGCCGCTCGCGCTCTGCAGGCTGCCGTGCGCGTGCGCGCCCTCGACGCGCATCCTCTCGCGCTCCTTCTGGATCTCGGTCTCGATCTGCTCCTCGCGGATGTAGCGCAGATGCGCGATGCTGTCGTCGAACGCCTCCTGCACGAGCTTGCGCTCGATGTCCGACTCGGCGTTCTTGAGCCCCACTTCGCGGTCGCGGAAGGCCTCCTGCGCGAGCGAGTCGAGGTCCTTCTGTACCCGCTCGCGAACCTCGGCCTTCCACGCATCGTCCGGTTCGATCAGCGGATCCATGCTATTCGGCTGCTGCGTCTTCGCGTCCGGCGGCTCGATGGCGTGCGTTACGTCCGATAAGAGGGAAGAAAGGGGAGGGGGCGCGCGCTGGCGGGGGGAATGGGGTGGGAGGGTGCCAGCGGGCTGTCGTGACTACCTGGCTAGCTCTGCGATGGCGCCTATTAGACCCCGGCGAGCTTCGTGACCAGCATGCGGTCGTTCGTGACCGACTGGCTGCAACCTGGCGGTCTGACGGAAGTCGGACGAACGCCGATAGCACGGTTTTCCGCACACGTGTCCGCGTCGTGTTGGTCCGGCGCGCGAAGGAGAAGGTGGTGAATGAAGGGCATTGACTGCTGATAGATGCACGGAAGCAGCGGCTATGTTGGCAGTGGCGCAGATTCTTTCCGATGGGAGCATTTAGGAGCGCGAGCGTGGCTCTTGTCCGTTTCGCAGCAGCATGTCCGAAGAACGGAGGACATGCGTCTGCTCGCGAGTCGTCATTTCCTTGCTGAAGGTCAGGCGACGTCTGTTTCAGCGCTCTTATGGCGGTGAAGAGGGTAAGAACCAACACTCGATGAGTCCTGGTTGGATGAATCGCCGACGACGGCGAGCGCCCGGCGCAACGTGCCAGGTTGGTCACGAGATGAATGCCCACAGGGACCTACAAGGGTGAGTTGGGGGAAGAGAGACCTTGAGAGATGGTTCATATCACTCTCATACGCAGGGAAGGGGTGCCTTGATAGGTAAAGATGAGCTATAAAGGCATATCAAATGTTTGGAGGAAGGGAGGGGATGGTAGGGTGTGCTATCGTAAGAAGACCATGGGTAGAGGTACTCACTTTGCTGGGAGGCTGTTCTCACTGGCAATGAAATGCGCATGATGGGCGGAAGAGATGCATGTTCGGCGCAACACGACTCGGTAATCGTTACTTGACAAACGATGACAAACATGATTGCCACAATGAAGTGGCATATACGGGCCTCTTCCCGTAAGCGGACACCGACATCGAAGAGTGACATTTAGCATTATTAGAGCACAGTATATACAGCACTACTAACGTAGTCTAGATCTGTCAAGTAATGCGTTGACAATGGCAAGGGTGGCATAGGTGAGAAAAGAGCTAGGGCATGATACAGTAGCATCACAGCATATACAGAGCGCGCGAGACATAGTACAACAAACAGGGATGCAAACAACAGGACGGACCAATAGTAGACGAAGTACACACGCTTAGCTCAAAATCAAGCGACGCCCAAGTCAGGCTCGGTCTTCTGGCGCTGCAGCGGGAATGCCTTCGCGCGCGCCCATTCTGGTGGGAGCGTGCAATACGGAAGCAGGCCCGTCTCTCGCGCCTCGTCGAGGTTGACCCATCCCTTCCACTTGGGGTACTGAGTGGTGCGCCGTTCCTCGTCGGCATTCGTGCGACCCTCGTCATTGTCGGGCTCGGTTCGTGCGCCGTCGTCAGGTTCGGTGGGCACGTCGGCGGCGGGATCGGTGCCATTGGGCCCGGGGCGCGCATCGTCCTCGGGTTCGGTCGGCACGTCGCCGTTGTCGGGCCTGGTGTCCATCGCGTTGACGTCAGCAGCCTGGGTATTTGCGGCGTGAGCTTCCGCACGGGCGGCCTGCGCGGCGCGGAGGCCGGGACCCGCGAAACGACCAGCAGGAGCGGGAGGAGCGGACGCGGGAGGGGCGGCAGGCGCAGCGGGAGCAGCGGCCATAAAACGCTTCCTGTCCTCCTCTACCTGGCGCGCGACCTCATCCTCAGAGGTGAGCGGAGAGTCGAGGCCGTCCTCGTCGACGACCATAGCATCATCAACGAACGAAGCAGTAGTCTCCATCGTCCCGATCGAGTTGCTCGAGCTCCCGCTGCTTTCCCACCTGCACTTCAGGCGCGTGTCATATCCGTGGTTCGGCGGAGGACGCTTCGGCGTTCTCGCCAGCCTCTTGAGCTCGCGCTCCTTCGCCTCCTTCGCCTTGCGTTCCGCCTCCTCAGGCGAAAGCGCCTTGACCTTCCTCTTTCCCCCCTTCGCCTTGACCTTGAGTGCCTTCTCCTGCTCCTTTTTCAGCTTCTCCTCCTTCTCCTTGAGCGCCTTCAACCGGGCCTGCTCCAAAACCGACGCCTCGAAGCTCTTCGCCTTCACGTGCCGTTGCTCGTTCTCCAGCACGTACTTGTACAGCGTCCGATGGCTCTCCTCGATCTCGCGTTGCTCGCGCTCCTTGCGCAGGCGCTCGAGCTCGATCTCGGCGTCGTTGCCATTCTGAAGGAGCGCGGGGTTCTGGCAGACGCGGAGGGCCTCGAAGTGCGCGCGGGGCCCGACGCCGAGGGGGCGGCCGCGGCGGCGAAGGGAGTTGGGGGCAGCGTTGGCATTAGAAGGGGTGGGGACAGCGTTGGCATTAGGAACGGTGGGGGCAGGCTGGGCTGTGGGTTGATGGGCGGTGGGCTGGTGGACAGACTGTTGAGCAGAGAAGGCGTCATCGGAGGTGATCTCGGTCGCCTCGGCTGCGAGGGGATGGGTAGTAGCGACGCCGTCGGTGGTAGAGGGAGTAGCGGAAGGGATGACGGGGACAGGTGCAGCAGAGACAGAAGGGCCGGCATGAGTGAAGAAGACGTCATGGGTGGCAGTATCACCGTGAGTGGCAAGGGGATGCGAGGAAGTAAGAATGCCACCGCCTCGTGTATCGCCCAGCTGTGGCGTAGCAGGCATATAACTCACAGAGGCAGGGTAGTGTGAGACGTCCATGTCCATAGCAGAGAGTTTAGGTTGCAAGGTGCTTTGGGAAAATTCACAACACAAAGAGGGCGGTCGGCGCGAAAGAGATGGAGCGGCGCCAGCTTATATACCCCAGCGCTCGGCTCGTGTCCCGAGTCCTCGAGGCATTGAGGGGTGTTTGTTCTCGAAGCCCATACAAAGCCCTTTGTGCTGTATCATAAAGGCGGCGCCATCATTTCGAAATAATCAATTTTGTCGTCAGCTGGTGCATTCTCGATGCGATTTCGATGCATCTTCCGGGGTTAGGTTGCCTGAGACTTCATCTCGGGAGCACAGCGCAGCAGGGGGAATGAGCTGAAGCACGGGGCGGCCGAAAGTAAAGAACCCTCGACGGACAATGGGCGCAGGGGGAAAGGGTGTTCGGTCACCGGATCCAAATTTCCATCACATATCGGATATCGCCGGTCACACACGTGACCGTAGTTCAACTTCACGGTCGGCAGTCATGCGAGTAGTTTGCGGGTCATGCACCCCAGGTGCCATCCCTTTCGTCTCTCCCTAGATGACCCCAAATTGACTTACTTAGTTTCTCTCTTCTATTCACCGTCCCATCGCGAAGAGGCAACCTATCTACCCTCATACCTTGATCCGCGAAGTCGATCGCCCGCCCCCACACTCCATTCCATATCTTCCTCTGTGAAATCAGCACTCTCTGAGCCCAGAAATATGCATGTACCCTCCGACAAGACTTTTCCCCAGTTAGATAAGTCAGGAAAAGCCTGAAGAGGCAACTTGGGGTTATTGTAAGCGCGTTTAGTCATCTGCCGCCCGCGGGCCGCGGATTTGCGGCTGGCATCTTCAAGTCGATAACATTCATCTCGAACCCCCTTACTTCATGTTCGAACTTACCAAGAAACTGACCAAGACAGGAGCAAGAACCCACTCTGGTTGCCAGTATAAGTCGCCCTTGTCGATGCCAATGTACTGCAATCACCACCCTCTCCCCGACAAGCGCCATCCGTTTTCCCTTACAGGCTGACACGCGACCGAGAGATGCCTCTCCTTCAGCCACTCGTTCCAAAGCTTCCCGCATCGCTCGATCTGAGCGGGAAGACAGCCATCGTGACGGGAGGTAATGCTGGCATAGGCTTAGAGGTGGCACGGCATTTCCTCCATCTCAATCTCTCGCACCTCATCCTCGCCGTCCGCACGCCAGCCAAAGGCGAGGACGCGAAGCGCCAGCTGCTCGCGGACCCAATTGTGGCAAAGCGCACTCCCGCGCCCACCATCTCTGTTTTCCGCCTCGACCTCACCTCGCATGCCTCCCTCGTCGACTTCGCCACCCGCATCGAGCGTGAGACGCAGCGGCTCGACATCCTCGTCCTTAATGCCGGTGTGTACCCCATGAAGTTTGAGCTGGCCCCCGAGACGAAGAATGAGGTCGGCTTCCAGGTCAACCACCTTTCGAACGCGCTTCTCGCCATTCTCCTTCTACCCGCCCTCCAGCGCACCGGCGGCCCCGCGCACATCACCGTCCTCGGCTCGCGCATGGCGACGCGGCACACGTTCGCCAAGCGCCCCCTCGACATGACGAAGCCCGTCGCCGCTCACTTTAACGATCCCGCGCACTTCAGCTGGGGTACGCACTACGGGGACACGAAGTACGTCGTGCAGGCGTTCTGGCATGCGATGGCCTCGCGGATGGATGCCACGCGAGTCATCGTCAACGCTATATGCCCCGGGCAGGTCAGCACGGGTCTTGGGGCGGATGGGCAGCCCAAATGGGTCTCGCTCATCAGGCCGCTTGTCAATCTGCGGGGACGTACTCCCGAGGAAGGCGCACGCTGTGTTGTATACGCGGCTGCCGCTGCGGGGTTGGATAGCCATGGGGCACTCGTTGCAGACATGGAGGTTTTCCCGTACGTCTTTCGTCTGAATTCCCTCGCAGACCCTTATCTGACATCCATCAGGCCCTTCCCATACTCAGAGACCCCCACTGGCCGTGCGCTGGAGCAGAAAATATGGAAGGAAACGCTCGAAGCGGCAGAGAGTTTGGTTCCTGGTTCCACGAGCAAGGCAGGATTGGTCCGAGGGTATACATAAAGGGTCTGTACCGAGTGTCACCTCATATAATTTGGAGTATCATGTTGCGAGCCGAATTGGTGGTGTTTGTACAAAATCGAGTGCTCTGAATCGAACCCGCATTAGTCGTCTTGGGTCCAGGCTCATCGGCGTCTGCCGTAGTAAATGCTTTTTTTTTTTTTTTTTTTTAAACTCTGCACTTCTATACCGCTACAAGCTAAGGTGAAGCTAAGACGCGGTCCTCCGCCAGAACTCCCTCCATCCGGAAGCCCGGCAGGGCCCTTCGCATACCCGTGGTGATAATCTACAAGTCCCGAGGCTGCTGCTCGTACTGCTGTCCGTCGCGATACTGTGGTTGAGCTGAATGGTGATATAATAGGTAAAAGCACTCTGTGCGTGTGTCGTGTGTCTCGGGGTATCGCAAACGAACAAGAAAAAGGGTGATAAGGGACGGGGAAAGGTACCTAAGCACGGGGTTGGGCTGCCGGGCCTCCTATCCATCCTCGCCGTTCTCGTCGTCCTGTCGTACCTCGGGTTCCTGCTCCCAGGTAGGGAGTGATGGAGGTGCACGGGGTGCACCGGTTTTGGTGAATGCGCCGGACGCCGCTATGAATTCCGTGAGGGCTGCGATCCCCTTCTTCGTTCCCAATAGAACCGGGAGCGAGAGGCCGCGGGATGCGTCACGGAGTAGGTAGCGGTGCTCCTCGTATTTTGGGCATTCTGCCAGGATATGTTGTCGTGTCTGTAGGAGTTCCCCGCAGGGGCAGTCACTGTCGACATCACGAAGGAAATCGTTGTAAAACTCGCCCGTGTATCCGTGTCCGGTACGTGTCTGTAAGACGCGACCAAACACCTCGCGGGGTGTCTCTTTGAAGCGTTTTGTAGGGTTGAGGGAGGGGGGGAGGCGATTGGCTGCAGCGAAGTGCCCACCGTGTCGCTTCCTCTCCCACTCGCTCTTCCACTCGCGAGCTGCGCGGCCCTTCGCGCGTCGAATTGCGTTTGCACGCGATCCAGGGAGGGTGCTGCCTAGCTCGACGGCGGCTTTGGCGAGTTCATCGGCTTCGTCGTTCCCGCGAACGTCCTGGTGCCCGGGTACCCAGGCGATGTTCAGCGTGCGTGTAGGGCCGCCGTCGAGGAACTCGCAGGCCTGCTTGTGGAATTCGATGCAGTGCATCTGGCCACTCTTTGGGAGCGGGTCGAAGATGGCACTTATGGCGGAGGTATTGTCGGCGAAGAGGTGTATGTGCTTGGTGTTAGGGTGGGTCTCAACGAAATGCAGGGCAGCCTGTAGTCCCCAGCGTAGGCCAACCATCTCCGCGTCGTAGACCTCTGCGTGCGACCCCAGCCCGATCTTCTGGGTGAACACACGAGTGCCGCCGGTAGCGCCCCCTCTAAAGCCCACTGCGCCCGCGCCAACTCGCCGGACACGGTGTAGGGGCCGCATTGACCCATCCGTGTAGACGAGTAGCGACTCCTCGGATGCGAGGAGCTTTCGGGCTTCGATTTTGTGTATTTTAGCAGCAGCCTTCTTCTCTTGCTTGTCGTCTGATGCCTTCGCCGCAATCACGAGTCGTCCACCGAAGCTCGGGACATCGCGGCGCCATGGGGGCGTGGCGAACGGCAGGATTCGCTCCTCCCGCGGGCTGGTCCATTTCGCCAGCTCGTGTAGCTTCGTAGTCTTCTCCAAGACCTTCTTATTGCGTGAGTTTGGGTGCTTCGGCAGAGGGGGAGGGGAGACGTAGCCGGTTGGGTCTCGCCATTCCTCCGGTAAGCGTTGTATGAGGGGGTGTCGTTGATCGAGCTTGTTCAGCCGTATGCCTGCCCGGCGCACTTCGTAGTCGAGCGCTATCCCGATCGGTGGGATGGACGCCTCGATTTCGAGCGCTTGGATCGGCGTAGTCCTGAAGGCCGCGCATATAAGCCGTAGTGCCCGCCGTTGGACCTTCTCGAGGGCATTGACGTGGCATTTCTTTCCTGTCCACCATACTGCAGCTCCGTAGAACATGACTGGTATGACACATGCCTTGTATAAGTGTCGCATATGCATTTGGTGCAGCCCGCGCACGGTGTTCGCGAGCATTGTGAGCCCCTGCACTGTGTTTTCGGCGCGAGCCGCTAGCGTTTGGACGTGTCTGTTGAAAAGCAGTTTACGGTCAAAGAATATGCCCAGCCATCGCACCGTGGAGCTCGTCGTTACAGTCGAGAAGCTTCCATCCCCATTCGAGAGGCGTGCGGAGGGGGACTGCTCGTCGCATTTGCGCCGGGTGTAGTGCATCAGCTCTCGCTTGACACGGTCTACATCCAGGCCTGCACGGCGTAGCCAGTCTCGGGTGATATCGTATGCGCGCTCGAGGATGTGCGTGTTCTTCATCAACGACGCAGACGACACGTAGAGCTTGCCATCGTCCACGTACATGAACGCGCCGAGGGGCGAGACCTCGTGCTGCCCGTGGTCGAACTTGTGCAGCGTCTCGAGTAGGTCTGCGGCGTAGTATGCGGCCAGGATTGGCGAGAGGGGTGATCCTTGTGGGATGCCGTTGAGCACCGGCTCCATCGTGCTCCGCTTCCCATCCAGGCAGACGGCGGCCTCTCGGTCTTCAAGGAAGCTCGCGATGAAGCGTACGATTTCGATTGGCACCCGACGAGTTTTCAGCTCGCTGAGAAGTCTGTCGTGGTTGACGAAGTCGAAGTAGCCCTTAATGTCGAAGGTTAGCGCCGATGTCACCCATCCGTGATTCCACGCCGAGTGCACGTCGTTGACGAAGGCCAATATCGCATCGGTTGCCGACGCGTTCGAGACACCTCCGAATTGTGTTGCGGGGACCAGGCCATGTTTCCCGGCCAGGTATGTGAGACGTCGTGCCACAATCCGCTCGAGTACCTTCCCCATGCACTCGAGCAGCGTGATGAGTCGGTATGCTCTTGGCTGCGAGTAGTCGTCCTTCCTGGGTTTGCGAAGTGCCACGGCGACCGCCTTCCGCCACTGCTTCGGGTGGTACCCGCTGGACAGGCATCGTCTGTACAGGGCCGTCAAATGGGGACGTATTATCTCCCACGACCACCGCAGGATCTTGTATGAGACCTGAGAGCTTCCGGGTGCCGAGTTCCCCTTCTGCGAGAACAGCGCTTCGTAAATCTCGGTTTCGGTGACATCTTCGTATGGCAGCTCGTTCTCGAGTCGGGTCGTGAGGTCCGCCTCGAAAATTTCGTCAAGAGGTGGCGGCGGCTGGTATAGCTCTTCTCGGAGCGCATCACACTTGTCTTGATGAGAGACGGCCGGTTCCCGTCCTCCCGAACGCGCTATTGCTGGGGATGGGTACTGGCGCACGCCCTGCGACCACTTGCGGTAGCCGTAGATGTCCTCTGTTTGTGCATTCTCGACCTGTTCGTTCGCCCACTGGGCTTTGGTCGCCTTGACGAGTCTATTGAAGTAGTTGTTGGACTTCTTGACTGCCTTTGCGAGCTCTGGGTCCCCTTGGCCGTGTACAGCTCGGTACGCTCTTTGCTGGGCCTGAAGGTCGCGCGTGCGCGAGGTTGCTGCGTCGACCGCTGCTCCCCACCATGGCTTGGCCGATACTGATGGGTTCCGTATCTTCGCGACCCTTCGCAGAGTCGCCTGAATAGCGTCGGTGATGGCGGTGGTGGCATCTTCAAGGTCGTCCGTCGACACCTCCTGGCCTAAGTCCATCAACTTCTCGAGTGCGCCTTGCCGTCGGTGAATCTCCTCTTGCAACGCGGCTCGGAATTCTTTGGGCTTGACTTCCTTCACGTTGTAGCGCTCTCCCGTGAGATTCTCAATGGGGGTGACGCCGTAGTCCAGGCTAAAGGTGATACCTATATGGTCGGAGCTGTACTGGTACTGTGGTGCCAGAGCCCACCCCTTTGCCGCGTCTAGCTGCTGTGCCGGGCCGTTCGCGAATGTTAGATCGAGAACGGACGGTGCAGCAGCCGTGCGTCGCGGGAAGTGGGTCGGGCAGCCTTTCTTGTTCAGAAGAGCATACCCGTTGTCTGACATCCAGTCCACCAGTTCGTCGGCCCCAGCCGACGTGCGAGAGGGCTCCGTCGACCAGAGAGGGTGGTCGAGGTTGAAGTCGCCTAGGATGAGCACGGGGTGGTGGGTTGGGAGAGTAAGGTCTGCTATGAGATGGGAAGCCTGTTGCGCGGCCGGGAGGCGGCGGTCGTTGTAAATGTGTACTATAGTGGTGATGTCGTCGCCCTGCGTTACGTCGAGAATCATGATGTCTCGATGGGTGACTATGTCCGACCGCAGAGTGATCTCGACGTCGTCTCGAGGGTGGTAGTACGCTAGAACATGTGGTGGCGGGTCGTCGGGACCAATAGTCGGTACGGGTAGAATGTTTGTCCAGGTCCCGCAGCTGATTGGGCCTCGGATGTCTTCGCCGTCGCGCGCACCAATGCGTCCCCATTGCGGCTCTTGCACGAGGATTAGTTCTAAGTCATGGGTATGTTTATTCAGAAGAGTGGTGATCAGGCCTCCCTGTTTGAAGCAGTTCAGTTGGAGGACGCGTATGGGTTTGGTCGTGTTGTGTCGCTGTCGGGTTTCTCTGTTCATAGGGCTCCGACGGGGTTGGTGGTGGCGTTTGGTGTGTTGCCCGCGCCCTCAATCGGGAGGGTCGTGAAGCGGTTGTGGTGAGGGGGAGGGTCCTTCGCGGATGTACCGGACGACGCGCCTTCCCCTGCTCCACCCGACTTCGGCTGCGCCGCCTTCTTGGCCCGTGCCTTCTTTTTCTTCGTGACCTCGGTGAAGCCGTCGGCGTCGGTCGTCGTCTTTGCCGCCGTTCGGGGTTCCCTGTCGTTGGCGCGCGCGTTACCGTACTGCTCTAGCCGCTTCGGGCACCTCCTATCATCCGAGGGGTGGTCGCCGCTGCAGCCGCGGCACTTCCTGTTGTGCGTGCATTCCCCGGCCATCTCGTCCCCTCTGCACGTCTCGCACGCGGCGGCGTGTTCATTGGTGGCGTGATCGCTGCCGCAGAGTCGGCACTTAGCCTTCGTCTTGCAGGCGCGGGCATTGTGTCCATAGCCCCAGCAGTTGTGGCATTGCACGACCGGTGGTTTGTCTGCGAAGGGCATTACACGGCAATCCCGACCGTACACCCATAAGATCTTGGCCTTGAGTAACTTCTTGTATTCCTCCTCGCTCGTTACTGCGAAGATAATCGTCGACCTGGGCGTCACAATGTCCTGTGGTCGGCGTAGCCAGCGCGGTTCCTCAGCGAGCGACTTGAGGGTGCTGAATACGGGGTTCGATAGGAGCTCCGACTTAATCTGGTCGGGGGTGTGAAGGCCCGGCATGAACTCGTCGAAGAGCCCCGTGCGGACATCGTGTATCATGAGCCGGCGCCACTTTGCGGTGAGTCGAGGGATGACCTCCATTCCCTGGCCGACGAGCTCTGCGAATTTCGGGACATGTTCGATCAGGTCGCTCGCTAGCTGGTCCTGGCGCGTCACGACAATGCAGTTCCCTTGCGGGTTCCACTTCGTACCTGCGACCTGGACCTTCGCCGGATCGACGATGTCACGCAGGACGCTGTTGATACGGTCGCGAAGCGCGAGCTCGTCCATCCGCTTTTCCTTGGGTAGGCCCCCGGGCCGAATCTCTAGGGCTAGGCGGCTGGGGTGGTCCGCCTCCAGCGTGTTGTTGGAGGGTGCTTTTGGCGTCGTCGCTGCCTTTCGCGTCTTCGACTGAGTCGTCGGCGGCGGAGGCGTGCTGGCGGCATGTGGTTGTGGTTGGGGGGTAGGGGGGAGTGGCTTGTTCTTGATGTCGTCTAGGGCTCGCTCGAGGCGGTCGAGCCGTTCCTCGTTCTTCCGGGCTTGAGAGGTTGCCTCTTTCCTGGCTTCGCGCGTCAGTTTTACGATGGTCTCGAAGCCGTTGTTCATCATCTGGTGCTGTGCGCCTAATGTCCTGTAGATCGAAGTCCATGGCGAGCAGATGTTAGCAATTTGGGTGACGGCGCTGGAGAGGCTCTTCGGTATCTCGGGGAGTGGTGTGTCTTGCTCGCTGGCGCTAGCCAGCGCGCTTGACACCATGTTGAGGGCCTGTAGGACTTCGTGTGATGTGAGGGCTTGCGCGAGTGACTGGTATGCATCCGCGACCGCGTCGGACCCGTACGCGACCTCTCCGTCGGAGAAGAGCGATTCGACCGGGTATTGCGTCTGCACGCTCTCCATCGAGGGAGCCGCGGCCTGCTGCCTGGGCGGACCCCAGTAGGTGCTGCTGACGTCCTTCCACAGTTCCGGGCGATCCGTGGTCGGTCTCTGGGCAGAGGTGGTCGACCTCCGTACCGGGGTGGTCGGTTCGAGAACGCTGGTGTCTTCTCGGTGCCCTTGCGGCTCGTTAGACACGCGTTTACGGGCCCCGCGTTTAGGCGATGTGGTTAGCATGTCCGCTGTGCGGTTGTACGCGTTTTTTAGGGTTGTTTTCAACTTCGCCGACTTCCTCGACGGTGTCGACGGGGTGCTCCTAGCGTCTTCCTCCATTGCCAGCTCTCTCGAGCTGCCTCTGGGGCTTGCCCGTTGACGCGGGGTCTCCATTCTGTGCCTACTCGACGCTGTATCCTCTCCGGCAACCGTGGGAAACCGAGGGTGATGACAGTTGAAGATCAAGAAGGGCTTTTTTTTTGGTAGTAAATGCTTGTGGCGCCGATCTCTCTTGCCTCCTGCGCTCATCCGGCGCAGAGCTCGTGCCAACATATTGGTAGTTACTCGATCACGTATCAGTGGCACTGTGGCGCGCCTATTGCGCTCTCTCGAACTCGATTATATCCAGCGATGGATCCACCCGCAGCGCGACCCATCGACATACCGGAAATACTTTCCGCTATTCTCGAAGCCGCTGCCGATCGTCCGGAGTACATTGAACATTGCATCCCTACCAGCGAGCGGATACGTGCGTCAGCGCGACTGCTCTGCAAGTATGCACTTGTTTCGAAGCTTTGGAACGACTGCGCCACGCCTTGGCTATGGGAGATGCTGCCGGACCAGCTCGCCCTGCTGAAGCTCCTACCTGACGACGCATGGACTATGATCGATGGAGATTCTCCGTCGCAGGCTTCCTTGACCTCGTCCCTGCTGACGGGTGCCGAGAATCGGAAGTTTGTGCGTAGACTGGGCTATGCAGATAACTTTGGGCTAATCCCATACCAGGATATGGCCAGAGAGTTTAATCAAGATGACTTGAAGGGCATCCAGCGACTCGGCCGACACGTCAGAATCCTCCGTCATGACGATCATCTTTGTACCCCCACCGTCCATCGTCTCATACTCACTGCCTCCTCGCTGCTCATGTGCAAGCTCGAGCGACTTCATGTCACCATGCACGGCTCGGTCGAGGCTTTCCAGCTATACTCATCGACAATCTGGGACCTTCAGATCTGGGTTCGAGGCGCTGATGTCCCAATCTTGACGGATGTGATCTGTCCCAAGCTCACCCACCTACTCTTGGACCTCCCCCTTCATAGGTTCGACAACAACTTTACGGAGGCACAGCAACTAGGATTACACTTAATAGGCCTTTCCTCGGTCACCCACCTTTCTGTTCTCGTCGGCCTCGATCTTGCGGGCATCCTCGTCATGCTTCTCGGCCAGAGTGTGTCCGTTACACACCTGCGGCTGATGGACCCCACCTACGCGCTGAAAGACCCGTCCAGCGCGCTCGCGATGCAGCACATAGGCAAAACAGGCTTTAAGAACCTACGTCGCCTGCAGCTTCCGCGAGTGTGCCCGGAATTCGCCATGGCGCTTCTACAGTATCTAGGGGACACGCCGCGCGAGATCGAGATGCTCAAGATGCCAATAACGCGCTTTGCCACCCGCGACGAGATGAAGACGCTTATTGTCGCCGTAGCCGAGCATTGTTCCCCGACAACGTTGACCCACCTCGACATTCTGGCAGGCGTGCCACCGACTCCTATGTTCAATGACCCGCCTACCCCACTGCTGGTACCCCTCGACTTCCTTCGACCGCTGTCTCAGCACCGTCTGCTAGAGGAGATCTCCATCGGAGAGACGGAGGGTGCCGTAGGCCTCACCGATGACGCCTATAGCGAGCTCGCGCAGTGGTGGCCCAATCTCGTGCGCCTGCGCGTACCGAACGCGACAGGGACATCGTGCACGCTGAGAACTCTTCTCGCGTTTGCTACGCACTGCAAGCAGCTACGGACGCTCACCCTCAAGTTGGACGTCCGGTCTGCATACTTGCCGAACGAGGAGGTGGCGGTAGCTAAAACCCCAGCCCCTGCTCTCGAGCGCTTGGAGATCAACGACGGACGCATCGTAGTCGCTGACGAGGTCGCAGACTGCCTGACTGCGCTGTTTCCCGCCCTCACGGAGGTGGCCTATCGTGCCGATGAAGAACTGATGTTTTACGACGAGGCTGCCGTGATTTATCGCGAAGAGGCCTGGGATCGGGTCTCGAGGATGTTGCGCTGGTATCGCAGCGTCAAGAGCGGGCCTTGGACGGACTTCGAAGACTTTGAGGACGCAGTCGATCATCAGTATGCATCTTCCCGTGGTATGCCGTTTTTCTAGCCTCAAAAGTGGTATTCCATGGTCCCCAATCAACGTCTCTGATATTACCACCTACGGTACTATTTATTGAAGGAAGGATATCAGCGCTGCGGATTTTTGGGAGCCAGACTCGCTCGTTCTGATTGTCACAGAGCACTGTAGACCTCGCTGCCACTATAGCCGCCTCATGCATACAGCAGAGCCGACAGATGCAACAATGCAAAGGAGTAAACCCTCACGACGACTTTCCTCGACGTCGGGACTCATTCAAGCCTTCTGCGCCTCTTCACTAGAGGAGAGCCTTCCCCTGTACCCGAACGAAGCGCCCAGTAGGCATGATGGTCGGGGTTTGTTCCAAGTTCCCTCGGCAGGAGCCGAACTCCTTCGGGCTGGGCCAACGACCGCGCCGGCGCTTGTCACATCTTCCCTTCGTCTCCCCGTGTCATGACGGGCCACAGACCGCCGCCCGTTGCGGGCTCGCCGACGCCAACGATCGCTTGCTCATAGTGCTTGGCGAGCTGCCTGTTCGCCGGAGTTGGCATGCGGGGATGACTAAAACCGACGAAATGCGTTATCTAGTGCGCGAGATTGCGCATTCTCTATCGTTCCCACCCTTGCCCTCAAACCTCTCCTTCGTATCCAGACTGTAGTGCAGGAGCGGGCGGTCCACGATGAGTACCGAAAGATCCCCCTTGCTGTCCTCTGCACAGGAGGAGAGGTTGTACACCGATCCTGCTCACGCGCACTCTACGGCGGAGGATGTGGAGAACGCCGCCCCCGAAGAGGTCAAGAAGCCGGCTATGGTCACTATAGTACGTGCGCTGGCCTACTGAGCATCCGAGTCTCTGACCTCGGCTTCTACGTGCAGATAGTACCTCTTGTCCTCGGGATATTCCTAGCAGCTCTGGACGCCACGATCGTCGTCTCTTGTGCGGCTTATCACGCCTCTCGTTACTTCCTTCACTGACATTGACTTGAATAGCGTACACGGTCATTGGCAGCGAGCTCAATCAACTCCAGAGCACCAGCTGGATCGCTACGGCATACATGCTCACAGCCACCAGCTTCCAGTACGCCCGATCACTCATCTCCGCTTCTGAAGCTGATCCCCTTCCAAGAGCACTCTATGGCAAACTCAGTGATATCTTCGGTCGCAAGACATGCTTGCTCTTTGCCTATACCGTCTTCGCGCTGGGCTGTCTATTCTGCGGTATCGCGAGGAACATGACGGAGCTCATTGCCGCTCGGGCGCTTGCTGGCGCGGGAGGTGGGGGAATGTCTACGTGCGTGCCATCATCCTTCGTTGTGCTCAAGTGGCTGACGTGCGCCATAGGGTCGTCAGCATCATTCTGTCCGATGTCGTCCCCCTACGATCTCGCGGCACCTGGCAGGGCATTCTCAATGTGATATTTGCGACCGGCTCCGTAACGGGCGCTCCCCTCGGTGGCATCCTCGCCGACAGCATCGGCTGGCGATGGTCGGTCCCCATCCACCTGACCCAGGCATCATCTCATCCTTCGCAGGGCCTTCCTCATCCAAGTCCCCATCGCCACGCTCGCCATCGTCGCCGTCATCATTTTCCTCCACCTCCCGCACACCGACCACTCCCACTTCCGCGCCAAGCTCCGCCGCGTCGACTTTCCGGGCGCCGTCCTCCTCATACTCACCATCTTCTCCATGCTTTTCGCCCTTGACCGCGGTGGGAACGTCTCTTGGACGGACCGCGCCACGATCGCCTCCACCCTCGTCTTCCTCGTCTCCTTCCCCGTCTTCCTTTTCGTAGAGTTCCGCGTCGCCGCTGAGCCCTTCGTGCCCCTGCGCCTGGTTGGCAACCGCGACCTGATGGCGAGCCTGATGACGAACTTCTGGCAGTTCTTCACTGCGACGCCCGTGCTGTTCAATCTGGCGCTGTACTACCAGGCCGTGATGAACCTAAGCGCCGGGCAGGCGGGCGCGTACCTCATCCCGAGCGTCATCGCGGGGACGACAGGCAGTCTGGGCGGCGGGCTCATCATGCAGAAGACGGGGAAGTACTACCGGCTGACGGTCGCAGCGTACGTGCTGTTCGCGGCGGGCGTGGCGGGGACCGCGCTGAATACCGGGACGGCAAAGCATGCGCTGGTCTGGTTCGTCGTCGCGCTGCTGGTGCAGGGGATTGGTGGGGGCACCGGTGTGACGACGAGCCTGATATCGCTCATTGCTAATGCGGGGCCGGAGGATCAGGCAATCGCGACAGCAGGTGAGTGGCGGGCATCTTTGTTGATGGACGCGTTTGGACTGACGACCTGTAGGCTCGTACCTCTTCCGCTCTCTGGGCCAGGTCACCGGCCTTGCGATCGCGAGCACCATCCTGCAGGATGTGCTCCGTAAGACGCTGCACCATAGGCTGCACGGGCAGGACGTCGACGAGGTATGTATTTTCGCTTTGTATATCAACGCCTCGCTCAGACGACTGACGCGGTTCCCTCCGTCCCGCAGATCGTCAAGCGCGTCCGCGAGTCGCTCGCCTACCTCGAAGAGCTCGATCCTGAGTCAAGGGGCATCGTTCGCTACTCCTACGAGCACGCACTGAACACGGTATTCTGGTTCACCGCGGGGACGGCGGCGCTGGCGCTTGTCTCTTCGATCTTCATCAGGGAGACGGAGCTGGGGAAGAGGTAGTGACGCATGGGCTCTACAGAACTGAGCAAAAGCATCATCCATCTTACAAACCATGTAGACTACCCATAGATATTAGGGCAATCAAATTATCGGGACATATCGTTGCTGAATTTCGGAGAGCGAGTCGGCGATCTATGAGTTGATAACACCCTCAGCGCCCTTGCGAAGATCCGTAAGCAGGTCCTTCAATCGTTGGCGAAGCTTCTTGACGAGCTCGTCATCGTCGGGCGAGGGAGGGGGCTGGCAGATGTGAGCGTTGTGTGCGTGACAACTTGGGCTGACAGAAGTGATTGCCAGCGCAGGGGTACGTACGAGCTGGTCTAGTAGATACTATGCAAGCCTGTGAGTTGGTCGATTATATCCTACATCAAATAACGAACCTCTGCTTCATCTATGGTCTGCGCGAGGGGGATTCGGTCAGGAAATGCCAGCGGTGCATGTAGCGGAATTGACGAACCAGGATCAGAGGGCCTCTGCAAATCGGGCGGGAACATCAGACTTTGGCCAACCAGATATGATCTCTGGCGACGGACCTATTCATCTTGTCTATGTAAGAGGGTCGTAGGAACGCCTAGATGAGGGTACGGGAAGCGATGTTGAAGTGTCTAAGCGCGTGACGGAGTGCGTAACAATGCGCACCGGCATTTGCCGGTGTACCTTGTTCCCGACGTTCAACTCCCAAGGCAACTTCGAGACGCTGCGCTGCTGTGGCTTCCTTTCTTCTATACAAAATAACAAGACACTCAAGAGAATAATGTCTTTAGGCTACAGGTGCCTTCACAAGCAACACTCAGCTCTGATAGGCCTGTCACACTGTTTCTGGGGTTCCTTTAGCACGATGCGCGCTCATCCTGGACGGAAGGGAAGTATTGGATATCACTCCGCGATTAATTTTCCTATCATGCGGTCCTGACTCTCTACAATCGGAAGTTAGAGCTCGTGCATCAACTTCGCTTGCTTTGTCTGCTTGTCATGTGTTTGAAGCCGTACTTCCTGAGAGGGGACGGCCAGCGCGTTTGGCACCTGCCCTCTCTGCCTCCTCAGGTTCAGTGGCGTGAGTGAACGGTTATCTTCTCAAGACATGGCCTATGTAGTAGACGAGTGCGTACTCGCCGGCTTCAGCAAATTGAATGAAGAACGGAACACCTGCGATTTTTCAACAGCCCGCTCGCATCACACACGCCCCCCCTCGTCCCCTGCCCAGGTCTGCCGGAAATGCCTCCGTACCCAGCGACACCGCTCACCTGGCGTGCAGTGCGGTGGCGCAACAAAGCGCCTCCCTCCACGCTCCCCGCCGTCGGGTCCCACGGCTATCACGATGCCTTTATACTCTTTCTCTCGACAGCGCCAGCCATCTCCTCATGTTCGGCGTCATGTACCCCCATGCCCGGCAGCACGCGCCGCGGCGGCCCCCGTAGGTTTGCCCCCGAACACGATGCGCTGGACAAAGGCGCCTGTGCGTATATATGCGAGGGCGCGGTGGGCGCTCGTCCTTACTTCCTGGCGTCGTCCCGTACCCGCATTCCTTGCGCTCACTCACCGCCATTCTCATCGCCATTGCCGTCGCCGTCGCCATGCCCTCCTACCTCCACCCTGCATCCATGCATTGCGCCCCGCACGCCCAAGACCGCGGCGCCAATGTCCCTGCCCATCCCAACTCGCGCGAGCTCGCTGCGCCCACCCACATCTACTTCTGCACGGAATCCCAGTCCTGCATCCCTCCTCAATCCCGGGCCTACCACCTCGACTCTCTCCCCTACACCCGCTCCCGCGACCCGCGCAGCATGACCACGTCGGAGCTGCCCGCCTACACAAAGGCATGGGAGGAGCGCGAGCGCCGCGGATCGGTCGACAGCATGCGCTCGGATACGTCAGAAGACGGTCCTCGCGAGCCGGGCTCCAGCTCCGTACCGTGGCTGGCGTACCAGCCGCCGCAACACGCGGCCGACGAGCCGCTGAAGAGCGCTCCTGCTTACGATGGGTGGTACCGCGATGTCGTTGAGCGCCTGGCTGCTGGAGGATCATTGGACGCCCCCGAGTTCGCGGCCATACTGGCGAAGGAGGTCGACGCTACGCATGCGCTGGTGCCGGTGGGCGAGAGGAATTGAGGACATCCGGACTATGCTTCTTTGTGGACGGTCTTTGTATTCGCACGAGAGGCGTGCATTGTTGTATGGTTTACCTATGTTGTACTTCCCCTTCGTCTTTCTCAGTAGCTAGGTCTACTTGTAAATCACTTTCTATGTTCTGCCCTCTCCCTGTACTATGCCTCACAATCTACCATGACATTCACGACTACGAGCTTGGATTTATCTCGTAGGTTTTCCGGGAACTCTTCACGTCGATTACGCCTAAGGCTCGGACGACCAAGTCAATCCAACTTCAAGGAAGTCTATATATCCGTTATATTTGTACCCAACCAGAGAGATCCGATACAGTAGATCGACGTCCTACAGCCACGATATGTATAGACAGTTGACAAAAGAACGACGACGTGTGCGAGAATTAGTATGTACATATTTACAACCGTAGGAAGTGTCCAACGCATATGCGCAATAGAAAACGAATCGTGCACCAGTCTTCGGCGTATTCGACGCTTCTTATGAACATCGTTAGCCTAGTAGCCGGTGCACCCGTCGTCGGCCCCGCAGCGGCAGGCGCGCGGAAGGAGGACACAGAGCTCCTGGGAATGTAAAATGTGCAGGGAAGGGGGGTAGGGTATGCCGAAGGAAGTCTGACGAAAAGAGAAGCCAGCATTACGAGACCGAGGACCGCAGATATGGTACAGCGAAGGTGACGAAGGAGGGTGGAAGCAGGTGGGATACGAATAAGCATAAACACAACGGAGAACGAAAGCGGGAGCACGGATACCGAGACGATGCATATACAGGGTCGATCAATCAATAAAGATGAGAGGTGTAGATGGATAATCGTGGGCGGTCTATCATGACCACACAGAGCTCTTGTTGTTGCGGCCGATTTTGCGCAGGCTGGATAGCCAGTTTTTCTGATCATCGTCGTCCGCGTACCACTGGGAGGATACCTGAAGGGTTCGTATGTGAGAAAAAAAAGTATGTAGCGAGGCAGGTAATTGACGTACAGGATCCTTCGCGCTCTTCGGCGGCGGAGGCAGATCTCCTGGGAGCTTCATGGTGTCGTTAGCGCTCGCGATGAGCGAGCGCTTCCGCGCGCGGACGGCGTTCTTAAACTTCTCCAGCGTGTTGCTACGCTCGCGTGTCTTCGGGCGTTCGCCGTGGTCCTCGAAGATCGAGTGCGGCGTAGACGGCCCGGACGAGCGGCTGGCTAGCGAAGTCGTAATCGAGAAGGGCGACGGCGGGATGGAGTGGGAGGCCGCTGATGGCACGTATGAGATCGCTGGTGATACTGGCGGCTCACCGCGGTTCTTGCTGGAAGCGGTCGATGGGCGTGAGTTGAGGCGGGAGGGAGGCAGGGGTGCCACGTAGTCCTCGGCGTCCTGGTCGAAGATGGGAGGGGACATGGGTTTCTTTGCCAGTGTCTGGCGCGGCCCCTTCACGAGCTTCGAAGTCGACGCACGTGGGCGCATTGAAGGGCGAGTCACGGAGGAGGTCTTCATGTCGCTGAGGGAGAACGTATTGCGCACGCTCCTCGACGAGGGCGGCGGCTGTTCCGGCTGCGTTGGCTGCGATGCAAGACGGTGGTGGTGATTCGAGTATGAGGTCGAGGGTGACGGGAGCTCGTCATCGTTCCACCGCGAGGGAAACGACCGCAACGAGTCGGAGTGCCCCTGCGCCGACCTCTGAGCACTCCTTGCCATCGACTGCCTGCTGGACTTTCTCGAGATTGCCGGACTATGCATAGGTGAATGCATCGGCGAATCAAAGTACGAGTCCCCAATCTCATCCATGTAATCCCCCTCCGTTGACGCGGCCGCCTCCGCAGGAAACTCGATGTGCTCTTCCTGCTCCTCCTCTTGCGGCGGCAAGCCCAGCGGCGAGGGCAGCGGCTGAATTGGAATCGGGATAGGCGCGTGCGCATCAGCCTCATCATCCTCCGCGAGCGACTCGGGGCGGAAATGTCGGCCTGTCGCCCTGCTCGCGAACTCAAACGGGTCGACGGGATCAGCGGAGTAGCATGAGGGAGTTGGCTCCCGGCTACCGAGGCGGGGGCTACCGAGGCGAGGGCTTTCGCGTAACGGCGCGAGCTGCGAGGGTGTGCTCGGCTCGCTAGGCCTGCCCGACTGCCTTCGCAGAGCGGCGCGTGGGGTAGACGCGAAGGTCGGTGTGGATAGCTTGATCGACGGAGAGTCCATGCGCCGCAGAGCAGGGGATAGAGTCAGGACATCCTTGTCTATAAGGCTGTCGTCTATCTTCAGAGTCTGCGGACGAGGAGGGCGCGCCGGAGCACGTTGCGCAGGAGGTTGCGCAGAAGCGAGAGGGGCTGAAGGTGGCGGCAGGGGCCAGTTCAGCTCTGCAGCCTGCAGGGGTGGCGATACCTGCGCGTGCGCCGGCCTCGGGGAAGTTGGCAGCCCACGGCTGTTCCCAGCGCGGGGTGACTGCGTCATCCGTCGAGGGGAGGACGCCGGATCGTCGGAGTCAAGGCTCTGACGTGGGGTATCATCCTCTGGCACTGCACGAGGCCTCGTAGGCCATTCCACGGGCTCCTCATCCAGGTCATACACGTTGCGCAGGACCGACGAGGGCGTACCCTTGTGCGGCTGCGGCTCACCAGCATCCGTCACATTCGTCATCGTGTCCCCGGCACCCATCACGTAGACGGCGTTGCGGAAGCTCGAGCTCCTGCTGCGGGGAGTTACAATGGACGAGGAGACGGAGGGGCTGGGTGAGTGCGATGAGAGCGACGGAGGCACGATGGACGAGATGGACGGAGAGATGGAGTGCGTCTTCGCTGACCGTGGCGATGTTTTGTACGAAGAGCGCGCGTCGGAATCACTAGACAGTCTCTTTATCCTGCTGTTGTAGGGCAGGTTGGGGCTTCGCGTGTCCACCTTCGGGAGCGGCAGGTTATAGGTCTGCAGACTCTTACGCGCGGGAGTACGCGTCGGCGTCGCATCTTCAGCAGGTGAGGCAGGCGTGGAGAGATGCGAGGAGGAGGAAGACGCGCCCTGGCGCAGCGGGTGGGGAGAGGGCAGCGCGGAGTCCGGAGGCGTGTCGGTTGAGACGGCCGAGATGGAGGATATCGACGACGCTGGCGAGTGTCCAGAGCCTGCGCGACGCGTCTGGAGGGCGTCAGTTCATCGGCGCGGTGCGCAGGGCAAGTCACTCACTGCGCTCGCGTGCTTCGTCGTAAGGTAGCGCGAGGGGTTGTACAGCGCGTCCATCGCGCCCGACGCGTGACTATCACCCGCGCGCGGTGGGCAGGGCTCATCCTGAAGGCCGAGGAGAGGAGAGTCTGCCCGCGCCATGGTCGATGATGAGGGGAAAGGAAGAGAGGGCCTTGCGGTATGCACAGGGCTACCGACGGCAACAAATCAGTGATGTATGTATTTCCGCCCTCGCGCGTCGCAACATCTTTTTACGCCGACGTGATCTGATCGACTTGATCGCCGAAAGCCTCTCTCTCCGGTTATCGGTATGACAGGCCGCTCTCATGCGCCCAGAAAGGCAGGATTTGAACGAATGGGGGTTGCCCTTCGCGCTCGACGAGCAGGCAACCGGAACCCACCTGGGTCCCCTCCTTCCCAATCACCTCTGGCGCGACTGATTTTTCCGGATAACGCGCGCTGAAACTGCGTTCGTGCGAGCGGATTATACCATCTTTTCCCCACACCCAATACAACGCTTCCCGCTGCCCACTCGACGAGAATTCCCGTGTGCAGAGTGTATTCGAGGCAGCGGCTTCCATCAATTCGAACTGTGGTTTGCTCACCGGGCACCCTCGTTCCTCATGGAACCCTATGGCGGTCCCGGTGGGGAATTAGGAAACTTCGGCATCTGCACCCATGTGGCAAGAGAGCCAGAAGACAAGCTTTGTGCTTCGCACGGCATCGTCAGGGACAGCCTCCTCGAAGTCGCTTGTCCTCGACCGCGAAAATACGCTCGTATTTTCGCTGCACAGTCGAGGTGGGGAGTTAGCGCTGGGCAGGGCCGCAGATCCACGGCAACGTACCCTATTGCCAAACGAGTGGCCCTCATACGCCCCCTCCAGAAGGCCTCGATCGGTGTGCAGCGGAAAAGCTCCCGAAAGGAGGGCGAAAAACAAGGTCTCGACGCTCGTGTGCTCAACTCGAACTTCTTACCCTTCACGTGCTGCGGATTGTTGGCAAGGCAAATATGCCGCGACGTGAAGTGTTCAGGCAGCAGTTGCGAAGCGGCGCTCCGCGCGTACGTCCCTCCTAACGTCTCCGGCAAGTCTTTCTATACGGAAAGAGGGAATTCCTTCGAGGACCAGAGAGCGAAGACGGGATATGAAAGCTCCTGGTGTATCGGAAGAGCAGAAGGGGTTGCGTGGGCTTTCTGGTCCGCGTTCCCCTTATTTGGGACCAATGTTCTTTGCAGACGCTGATATGCATCGATGAGACGACTTGGGAGGTTCATGCGTTCACAGGTTATCATCGCACATGGACTTGGGAAGAGAAAGAGACGCGCCTTTGCCCGTGTTTGCGTGCGTCGTGCGCGCCGTCGGCGTGGCGCCCTTCCCACGTGTCGCATTCATCCGAAGCGGGACCATTCAGACGCCAGTCGAACTCGCATTCCAGACCCGCGGCTGCGAAGAATGTGGAAGTGGAGAAGGTCAGAGGACGGCTCCGACGCTCGGAAGGACGGTAGCGGGAAGAAGAGCCCGTGTCCATAGGGACGATGTGAGTGTGAAAGGTCATAAAATTCGTCAAGAGGTCGTAATCTAAAGTGTACGTGAGGGTCATCGTCTAGTAGCGCAAGCGACAAGAATTACTACTCCTACAGGTAGAGATACTTTCGAATCCATCGGATGAAATAGTCGCAATAAGTTAGCGTCTATGGTGCTCGAAAGCGGGGAATCAAGGAAGATAGGTATGAAGGGCACAAATATATACACACAAGAGAGAGGGAGAAGGAGAAACAGAGACGAAAAGAGAGACTTGGATAGGTAGTATGACGCCATAAACAAGCGGAGAGACCGATGGAGAAAAAGAGAAAAGAAATGTACAAGATATACAAGGATTCAGACACACGTCGTGCTCGAAAGCGGAATAAAAAGTGATGACGGAGCTCGAAAGCAGAACAGCAATAGCGATACAGATAGCATGCACTTCGCAGCACGTACCAAAGCACAGCCGGCCCATCCTCGGGGACGTTGGGCCCGGCGAATTAGTGTTACACCGCGGATGCGCTGCATCGCGCGCGCACACATCTCCTGCGCGTTCCTCTTCCTCTCCTCCTCACGTACACTTCCACATACATCTTCAAAGTCGCTGGACCCCGCCCGCCTCCGCGCGGCGTGCCAGGACGTTCGTCTAGACGGCAGACGGCGGCTTGTTCCGCGTCTGCTTGAGGTTCTCGATAGCCTCTACCGCAATGCGCTGGAGGTCGTCGCCGTGCTTCTGCCCCGCGCCCTGCTTCTCCGCCCCCGTTGCCGGCATGCTCGCCCGCGCGCGGATGGGCGGGCGCCCCGGCGCCTGCTTGCCCGGCACCGGGCGGACATCCGCGCCAGAGGGCCCCTCCGCCTGGCCCGCGTTCGTCCCCGACACACTCGGCGTCCACCGCACATGCTTCGCCTTGTCGTTCTTGCCACTGCTAGCCGCCTTCGCGTTCATTGCCGCACTATCGCCGGCCTTGTTCGAGCTCGAGCCCTGGGAGGATGACGTCTGCGCACCCGACGCGCTGGGCTCGTCGTAGTCGAAGATATGATTGAAGGCGTGGGGCGGGGCGCTGGGCCGCGGCGCGACGGTGATGGGCTCGAGAAGCGAGCGCGCGTCCGAGGGAAGCACGTTGAGGGGCTCACCCTCGTTGTCGGGGATGACCTCGACCTGGATGGCGCGCGGCTTCTTCGAGGTCGTGGCGAGCTTCGCGTTCGTGGTAATGGGCTTCGCAGGAATCTGCTCCTTGACCTTCTTCAGGATACCCTGCACCGGGGCGTGGACGGCATCGTCGACAACCGGAGCCGGCATGCGATCGAACATACGCGGAGACGGAGAGATGGGGTCGGACATCCGACGAGGGCGAGAACCGGCGAGAAGAGGCGTCGGTTGGGCGATGGCGGGAAGGGTAGCGCTATGTTCGAGTGCGGGGGAGCCGGGAACGGTGAGGCCGTGAGGCTGGTTGCGATGGTTAGGGACGTTGGAGGGAAGCCAGATCTGGTGCTTGACGTCCGCCTGAGCGGGCGCCTTGGCAGCAGTGGGAGCGGAGACCTTGACGTGGGGAGCCGGCGCAGCAGCAGGCTTGGAAGATGAGGAAGCAGAGTTCATGACCGGCGCCTTAGGGAGCGCCGTCTTCGACGACGACGTCGCGACCTTCTGCGGAGCAACGTTCGCAACGGGCTGAGCCCTCGCAAGCTGCGGGCCCGACACCTTGGGCTTCGCCTCCACCTTCGGCGTGGGCTTCACCTCCGGGGCCTTGGGCAGGACCTTCGCCGCCGACTTGACCTCAGGCTGCTTCTGCTTGGGCGGTTCCGGCTGCCTGAACACGCTTTTGACCTCGAGCTTGCTCGCGGGCTTCGCCTCAGGCTGCTTCGGCGCGACCTTGACCTCGGCGTGCTTCACCGCGTGATGAGCGTCGGCGCGCTTCACCTCCTTTGCCGGCTCGGGCTTCGGCAGCCAGATCTCGTGCGAAGCTGGCTGGGGCGGGCTGAAGGACCCAACGGGCACCTGCGGCGGGCTGTAGCGCCCCGGCTGTGAGTTGTTGTACTGCGCTGGAGCGTAGTGGCCCTGAGCGAAGGTTGAGGGAACGTGATTGAGCGCTGGCTGCGATTGCGCGGCGTACGGCGAGGCGTAGATATGCTGCTGAGGCGGGCTGTAGTGACCCGGGACGTGCGCCGGGCTATGGTGGCCGGCGCTGTGCGCGGGGCTAATGCCACCGGGCATGTACGACGGGCTGACGTGTCCGGGGCCGCGCGACGTTGACACTTGCGCTGGCGCCTGGGCAGGCGGTGTGTCCATCTGGAAACCCTGCTGCAGCGCGCGCGCAGCCAGCTGCTCAAGCGACCACCCATCGTTCTGCAGCTCAGCCTTCGCCTGTAATGATAGATTAGCGAGAACTGTTACTCGCGAGTGAATCCCAGTGACGTACCTCTCCCCACGAGCTGCCAGATGGCCGCCACATGCCCGGCTGCTGGACATGCTGATACCCAGTGGGCACGCCAACCTCCGAACCCTCCTCAGCCGGGAACTCCTTCAACATCCTCTCCACGTGCGCGCGCGTGTCCGCGGGGAAGCCCGCGAGCGTCTCCTGCGCCTGCGCGCGGAGGTCGGCAACGAGGGCCTCGCGCGACTTGCCTGCATCCTCTACCTCCCTCTCCTTGCCCTTGCCCTTCTCCTGCTGAGCCGGTGCGGGCTGCTGCTCGCCGAGCAGAGCGGTCGTCAGCGAGCCCAGCGCGTCGCCCCAGCCCCAGGACGCCTGCGCAGCCTTCTCCTTCTCGGCTGCGCGCTCATCAGCCTCGACCGTCGGCGAGAAGGCGACGCGCTTGCCTGCCGGCTTCCCCTGGTTTGGATTAGTCTGCCGCGTGAGGTCCTCCGTAGAGTCCTGGCGCGACTGCGCCGGCGTGGTCAGCGTTGTGGACGTCGATGAGGACAGCGCGGACGACGTCGACGAAGAAACCGACAAAGATGGGGATGAGAGGGATGGAGAAGGCGGCGGGGCCTTGGTGGGTGTCGCGGTGGTCGAAGTGGTGGTGGCTGCCTTCTTCGCTGCCTTCTTCCCTTTCTTCGTCACGGGTTCCTTCTTCTGGAGGGGCGCGGGCGCAGGCGCGTGGGCCGGAGCTGGCGCAGGCTCGGTCTTCTTCGCGGGGACGGGCTCGACCTTCTTGGTCGGTGGAGGCGGCGGCGACGAGTCAGCCTTCTTGACCGGCTCAACCCGCTTCAGGGCACTGGGTGCCTTCGCGGGCGCCGACGGTGAAAGAGGGAGACCGCCAGGCATGTCGACAACATCAACCTGCGGCTGCTTGTTGGCGGTCGCCGGCTGCATCGCCGCCCGACGACGCTGCGCCGCCTCCTCCATCCGACGGCCCTCCTCCTCAGCACGCCGAAGCATCTCCTGCAGGTGCGCGTCTTGGGCAGGCTCCGACGCACGAGCCGCCTCCACCCCACGCGGCGCCTCATGAGCCGAGCCTTGGAGCTCCACCAGGCGCATGTTCGCCGGACGACCTCCCTCGCCTGCGACCCGCCTCTTCTCCTCGACTCCCTCCATCGCCTTGCGGATCGTCTCCGGCGTCGGCGTCGCCAGATGCGCGCGGCTCTCGAGCGTGCGGCCCTTCAGGACGTGCTGCAGCTCGGTGCGCCGCTCGATCTCCGCACGCCGCTTCTCGCGCTCCTCGGCGACCATCCGGTGCCGCTCCTCCTCCTTGTCGCGCTGCAGGTTGAGCATGTTCGTCTCGTGCTGGGCGACGAGCGCGCGCTCCTGCTCTCTCGCCACGCTGCGCTCCGTGCCGTGCGCCCGGTGCTCCTTGCGCAACTTCAAGAGCTCGACGGCGAGGCGAATGTCCTCCTGCGCCGCGGCTTCGTGGAACTCGCAGATCTTGGCAATGCGAACCTGCACCTTGAACTCCTCGAACTCGGCCTCCTCCTCGCTGTGCGCCTCTTCGCAGAGGACAGGCCCGATGTAGCGGAGGGACCTGTGCTTGCGGGGATTGGGGGATGCGGTGGCGGCGGCGGAAGCGGAGGCAGAAGCCACGCCGGGAGTGGGTGTGTGGAAGGAGAAGCTCGGGGGAAGAGGAACGTGTCCCGCGGACGGAGATGTGCGGGCGGATGACGGGGTGGATGAATGCGCCGATGACGGGGTCGGAAGGGAGGAAAGGGAAACAGCAGACGACGCTGCAGAGTCGATGCCCCATGCGGCATAGCCCAGCGCCCCGCGGTTCCAGAACGCGGGGTCATCGGACGGATGGTGAAGGTGAGCGTTTGGTCTTTCCTGAAGCTTGCCCGCTGCGCCCTGGGAGATGTGCTGGTTAGGGATGTGTGCGCTGGCGACGCCGTAGACTACGCACCTTCTTCGCCTCGTCCCCTTCGTCATCAGACAGCGCCTTCGGATCTACGAGGACAAAACCGCCACGAGGGCTACCCGCTGCCGCCGGTGCCGGCGCAGCCAGCGGCGTCGTATCCTCGTAGCGGTCGCCGAGGAGCTTCTCGACCGCCCGCGTCTCCGCGACGGACATGTCGTCCCAGTCCTCCGCGCGCAGGTTGTTCTCGCTCAGCCGCCGCATCCACTCGTCGCGCGCGCTGTGGACGAGCTCGGTCTCGATCTCCCGCGCCTTCTGCTCCTTCGCCTTCTCGTGCTCGGCCTTGCTGGCCTTATTCTTTTTGTTGGATTTGTGGCTCTTGTCGAGGGTCTTGTACGCCTCGACACGCTTCGCGTCGGCCGCGCCCTTAGCCTGGGCGTGCCATTGCTCGAAGCCCGCCCAGAGCTCGCGGATGCGGCTCTGGCGGGTTGGTGGGGGTGGGGCCGGTATTCTAGCGGCCGATGTAGATGGTGGGGCCTTCGCTGCTCCCCAGGACGAAAACATGGTGATTTGAGTGCTGGATATGGGCTTGTCTCCGGTGTCGCTGCTCCCCGCGAGCGGGGGGATAGTTTAGAGATAAAGTAAGAAGCAGGGGAATCGCTGTGTCGCGCGTCGGGGGCGCTTCAAGTGGACTCGTGAGATGAAAGTTCTGGTCAACAGGTGTACGGGCTTCTAAAAATTTCGTCAATGAGGTATAGACCGAGATTGGCATTAGGACCAGCCTCGTGTGGGCGACGCCGCCTCGTGCACCGGAAACCGTTGATGCCTTCTCCGTGCAATCGATTGGGGATCTCACTGCTCCAGACGAGCTGCCGCGAGCTCAATGCTGTTTATACGCGCGCCGGACAGCGAGGACGGGGGCGGGAGTCAAGTTTTGCTGGCATTAATTGTACTGATGCCACGAGATAAGGACCGCCATCATTCGTCGGAATCCCCTCTGCCCAGCTGGTCGCTGATGGCGGGCAAGCGGTCCCCTCTGCCCTGCCGTCGCATTCCGCGTTGACCCTCCCCCCAGCAGCTGACGCCCTTTGCCCAGGTCCGAGTCCTACGCCCCAGGTGCCTCTTTGCGATGGTCTCCCGCGCCGAAACACATGATTCTGCTATTATGTGTAGCTGATTCGAGCCTGATTCGCATAGCCCCAAAGATATTCTCGTGCGAGCGCACTCTCCCCCGCCACGAAACGTGCGAATGCAAGCCGGCCAGACAGCGCATACAACGCCATTTCGTGGCACCGAAAGGCATGGTTGAACTTGCACGTGACGCATTGTTCAACTTGATGGCTGCCGTACACCGACCGGTACGCCCATTAACGCGCATCTGAGGTCAATCCGACAGCTCACTTCGCTTAGCAAGGTCCCCTGCACCGCTTGCATGCGCACCTATTGGTAAGAACGCCAGCAGAGCGGGCCGCGCTAGAGATTTGTGAGCCGGGCTGGGCGTGAACATTAGCACGGCCCGGCTTCACAAGCGTCGCGCACCTCCCACGGGATTTCCAGCTATAATTGCTCGGGATCCATCGCGGAACGTTTGCATATTGGCCGCGCGTTATTACGTCCAGCGTACGTTCCGCGGATGCTTTGCAGCCCAAAAAGGAAGGTCTTGTGTCCCCCTGCGGCGAGACGCCCAACGTCGGGGAAACCGCGCGTGCGGGAATAACGCGGGAGACGAGGATCGTTGACCTAAGGAGTATGAATCCCGACCGCCAGATGACCTAGGGACAGAATGCTGTGGATGATCGCAGAAAAGGGGGACCACTCGCGGACAGCACGGGTAAGAGTCGGGTCCCTAGGCGCAGCGAACTGGCAGTATCGGGATTAAGTCCAGTAATCTCGCAGAAAATTACCGTCGATGATCTGGAGGGCGATAATCGCGGTGGCTTTTGCGCGCATACGTTCGCGGTGCGCGTAGTGCGGCGCAGGCGCGGCGACACTGACCGCGCGACCCGCCGCCCTCGACGAAAGACCGTTGTCTGCTTCATTTCCGAGCCGCACGATCGTCTGGCGTTTGGCGAAGGCGAGATGGCGGCTCAGTTGGCTGTCTATAGCACAGACGATCGGTGGTGCGGTTTCTTGGCAGTAAATGCATACTCCGGTAGTCCAGAACCAAGCCGTTGGTGAGCAAAGTGCAGCAGCGAACGCCTGTCAAGATAGCGTTGTCGCGGTGGCGCATTCGCCTTGCCACGGCTAAGTCGAAGCAGTGTATGGGACTGCCACACGCAGTATATAGACCTCCTTCAGTAGTCGGGACCGACCGGGAGACGTCGCAGCAGCGTTCTGAATGATCCAGAGGTCTTCTGGATAGCGCAGGAGTCCCGAGACGTATAACCATCTCCGCAACCGTCCGAAAAATAGAAAAAGGCTCCATAAGGCGGGGGGAAGTATTCAGTACCCCAGGAAAAAAAGATAGCGTGAGGAAAAGACTTCAGCGTCCGATAGAAAGGCTTTAGAATCCGCCGTCAATGCGCTCCTAGACGAATCCAGGTAAGGAAGATCGCGCCAATCAGTGCGCGAAGGCTTACGGCTAAGCGCGAGAAGACTTACGGACTGCTCACCAAACATACAATGACGACAATGGTCTCGTGCCACCAGCGTTGACTGCGTGCCGCGTACCATCAGCGTTGAGTATGTGCCGCGAGGGTTGAGTACTCCAATATCGCTGAATCCGGGCCGCCCCTCCTGGCACTCAATCCACCAGCACTTGCGCGCGATTGTCGATAACACTGCCTTTCAATGGCATGTAGGCACGGTCGATCAGTGGAGGAGTATACAGGCGGCGGAGGGGCACACGAGCAGTGGAGGGGCACACGAGCCGGAGCGGTGAAGAGGCTTCGGTGGACCTATCGGATGAATTCATGGCGTTGCGCGCTGAATGCATGGCGCCGTGCGTCGAACTCACGGATTTGCGGTGTTGAATGCGCGCCACAGCGCACATGCCTTTCGAAACCGTATCGCGCGGGGTGAGCCGAGCTACAGCAGTATATCAGGGTATATCCAAGTCTATCGCTGTGGGAGCTGTCAACGACGCCGTGTTGCTGAATCAACAGCGCCGTAGTCTAGCAGCGCGGCGCCCAGACCGCAGTGGCGAGGAAGCGGAGACCCCAATAGCGAGGAAGCGGAGCGCCTAGTATTGCATCATAGAAAACCGTACCTCCAGAAGGCCGCTGCATCGTCCCTGTGTCGTTGCGAGGAGACGTCATCTTCTGTAAGGTCAGTCATCACATCCACAAGCGAGATGAACAAGAAGAACATGAACCTTAGACCCTGGAGACGACGAGCGTCGTATTGCTCGTCGGAGAGATGAGAGTCCATTAGACGACCAGGCCTATTGTTCGCACGCCGAGGGCGGGACTCAGGGCTCCGACGACGCGCTATATGAAGGCCAGAAGGACTTCGCTATCGGCTTGGTAGGTACGTTGCTATCAAGGTACGTCCGCCGGCAGAGAGCTATGACGTTGAGCAGCTTCTGTAGGTTCAGTTGTATCACGACGAAGGCTACCCGTATCACGATGAAGTACCTCCGTATCACGATAAACGGAGTGACGCAGGACGATCGAGCGGTGTGTCGGGGATGACAGAAGGAAATGACGAGCGACGAAGCGCCTCGAAGCGCGCATCGAGGCGATCGAGAAGCCAGAAGGCGGACGCGCGGCTAGGCGCGCATTGCCCAGTCGAGCTTCGTGGATATCGGTTGCCGTCAGCTGTTCAATGGACTCCGCAGACATTGAATGCTCCCGATAGCTATTCAGTGGGTGGTGGATTCTCGACGAAATCGTGGCTTTTGTGGCAAAAATAGTCGAGAGCGAGATTTTTTGCGATACGGTTGGCGGGGACGAGCCAGGCGGTGTTCAGCGATGCGTCTCGGAGTAGGGAGACGCGCGGCTAGGTTTGAGGGTACGCGTGTCGCCAAGGCGCCGAGCACTACGGATATAGACGAGGCAGCGCTTGCTGTGATTTAATGTCCATCAGCGCCTGGCGTAGGTGAGGCGGACCAGGCGGTGTTCAAGACGGCGTGAGCGAGGAAGTCAATGTGACCGGCAACTGTCAAATATGCGTAGCGATGAGGCAGTATATGCAGGGCTGTCCGATGCAAAAGATGCGACTGTTTTCATGGATCGAGTTCGACGGGCGCAGCACGACTTGGTAAGCGAGATGAAAGGTCCAGGGTCAATCCTGAGCATAGCATGGGCATGGGAAGAGGAGAGGCTGCAAATACATGAGTACGATGACGAGTTTGCCTGCAAGAGCCTCTCATACTAACCCTTACATGAACAGCCATACCAGGTGATGATGCGTAAGTGAGACGCCAACAACCTATTTCATCATCTTCGAACGTAGACAGAGGTGATTGAGGCAAATTGCTAGCGAGATGGCACAGCCAAAGGGACTGAACAGAACGACGGGTGCGAACGGCGTGATGGTTAGGAATAAGGTGGGAAGGACGCGTGAGACAATGCGAAAATCGTGGGAACAAACCGGACCATGGTCCCAAAAAGGCAGCCGTTGTGTAAAAAATGTCCATTAAGCTGCGACGAGCTTTCCTCTCAAGGTGCCTAAGCCTCCAAATACAGTACGACGCAGAAAGTGCAAAAATGTGACGAGAGTGGGATTCGAACCCACGCCCCGGAGGACCAGATACGAGTTCGAATCTCGCAGATGTGCCTGCGCTTAGCAGGCTGATCCTTAGTCTGGCGCCTTAGACCGCTCAGCCATCTCGCCTTCACGTGGTAAACGTAGCAGAAAATGCCAATGTGGGGCAGAGCTGGCAGATCCTTACAATCCTGCAAGGAAGGGACCATACCAAACCCATCAGTGCTCGACACAAAGCCTAGAAGACAAGTAGATTCCTAAATGAGTGTGCAGCCACGGTATAAAGAGGACATGTAGCAGTAAAGGTATAAAGGTTACAATGGATAGCGCGATGCATATATGGAGCCAGACCCCAATCCAGGAGATAGAACATACAAAACCAAGAAAGTCCTCTAACAAATCAATCGCCCGAGTTCAACCTCGTCAAGCACTCATTCAATGCCCGTACCACCGCGCCAGCGCCCTCCTTCACTCGCTCCCTCTCCTCCTCTGCCACCAGCGGCAGAAGCTTCGTCTCGAACCGATCCGGATGCCACTTCCTCAACAGCTCGCGCACGCGATCCCGCGCCGTACGCCCCTCGTCCGGCGACCTCACATACGCTTCCACCCCGCCCGCCGTAATGTCGTCCGGCCCCGCCGGTGCTCGCAACAACGGCCACGGCAGCGTCGTCCAGTCTAGGCAGTTACTTGGCGTCAGCGTCTGCCACGCCGAATCGTGCTTTGCGATGAGCGCGATCGCATCCGCCTTTGAGATCTGTGGCACGGCGCGGGCGCGAGCGAGGCGCTCCTGCTCTCTGCGGAAAGCCTCCTGCTGGGTGCGCACAAATTCCTGTTGGCGGCGAGCCCAGTCCGCCCATTGTTGTGGCGGTGGCGGTGGAGGAGGTGGAGGCGGAGCTGTACGGGTCGTACCTGATGTCGAAGGGCCTGCGCGGGGGATGCTTGATGATCTGCTCGCCGGCTGACTCGCAGACTGACGAGGCGCGCTCGCTGAAGCACTACTCCAGGTCCCACTCCAACCTTGCGGTGGTCTGGCGGTTCTTGCTGAAGCAGCCTGGCTCGCTGATGTATATTTAGGTGGCTGAGCAGCGGCGGCGCTGGCGGAGGAGTAGGTAGGCGTAGCCTTGCCCGCTGCAGCAGCGCTCGCGCTCGAGACACGCACCGATGCCGTCGTTGCAGTCGTTGAGGTACTCGCAGATGAGAAGCCGCTCCAAGCAGACGACGCGGACGCGCCAGAAGAAGCCGAGGAATTCGACGACGTCGACGACGTGCCCCAGCTGCCGCCACTTAGCGTCCGCGCGCGCCTCGGATCCCGACCCTGCGCCCGCGCCCTCCTCACCTCATCTTCCTGCAACTGACGCGCAAGCAGCTCATCCCTCCGGCGCACCTCCTCCTGATAGTACCGCCCCACCCCGTTATCGGTCCTCCCCCTCAGTGTCTCCTCCCTCCTCGACACCTCCGCCTCCCTCCTCCTCAAATCCTCCGCGAGCGCCTTCAGCTCCAGCTGCTGCCTCCGCAGCTCCTCCTGCTGCCGCAAAAGCAGGTCGATCTTATCCCCCGCATGCATATCGCGCCCGATCTGCACGCGATTATCATCCGATGCCATTGCGGGCCGCCGCGCCACGTCCTGCGTATCACTGGGGGCGGGCGGCGCCTGCAAAAACGCAAGGCTGCTATCCGATCGTGTCTCGACGGGCCAGTGGGAGAGCACCTCCGTCCGCGCGCGCACCTCCTCCGCCATGCGCTCGTTGACCGCGCGCTCTTCCCTGATCTTGCGCTCTTCCTCGCGCCGCGCCTCGTCGTCGCGCTTGCGCTGGTTAGAGTCGGGCACGGAAGCGGGCGCCTCACGCGAGGCGTAGCGGGACGCGCTCGAGAGAGGCTTGAGGTGGTTCGCAAGCTGCCCCGCGCTAGACGAGCCGCGGAGATGGTGGAAGCCGGACTGCGCCACACGCGCGGTTGCGGAGGCGCTCGCGCTGGTGTACTTCGGCGCGTAATCCTCAACGCGAGGGAATAGCGGAGGGGACTGCGAGTCGGGGCGATCGACAGGTTCCCGTGGCGGAGGTCGACTGAGATTGTTCATGATATTCTGTTGTTCTTTGAGCAGATAGTTGGGTGGCGTGGCATTGCCAGCAGCCGACCGGCGCAGGTCGCGCTCGTACTGGCACTTCTCCTGGTATTGCTCCTCCGAGTATTTGCGAAGTTGCCGCTCAGTCTGCTTGTACTCATTGACGAACTCCGCCTTGCGCGACATATCCGACCGGCATTGTTCCTCCAGGCGGACCTTCGCCTCCGTGAGCATCTCCTGAAAGTTGCGCTCGATTTCGGTGCGTAGTTTCCGTTTCCACTCGTCGTCCGGTTCGGATGAGGGCGGCGGCGGAGGTTGGGTGGTGAAATGTCGGGAGGGAATAGTGCTGCCCCAGGGGCCGTAATTTCGTGGCGGGGCCGCGAACTGCATGTTGGCGGCAAGCGTGGGTATAGACTAATGCGAGCTGAGGGAAGCGGTGAGCAATGAAAGCGGGGTCGACGAGGTCTGTGGTAGACAGAACACGGAGGAGCGCATGAGGGTTGCAGGAGGCTCGACTGTATGATCAGCCTCGTGTTCGTCGGCAGTTTAGGCGCCACACACGCGGACTTTGCCGATGACGTCGAACACCAACGTGACGATGATAGTTGAACAGTGGCAACTCACTGTAAGTATACGAGCGACGATTGCTGAACTTGAACTCTGTCTGCGACCAGCCACAGCAGATGATTGTTGGTTCTCGGTTGAAAGAGCGAGTCGATGGCTTCAAGTGCCTGGTAAAAATGACAACTTTCTGGACGAAAAATTGGTGAGGATCTGTGAGCAGTCGCGTATCTGTGGAAAGGCCCACCCCTCGAACGTTGTCGCAGGAAGAGAGAGACGATGGGAACAAAGCGAACGATGCGGGCAGCTAACAAGGCTCACGTGGCTGTATACCAAGCATGACCAAATACGGACCGCTATACCATAAAAGCACAAAGCTCAAAGTGTTATTGTACTATGCACAGTGCAAGTTCTGACAAAAGCATCTTTTGTTCGAATGTACTACCCTTCTTCAAACCAGTCCTTTGTTCCGACTTCACGATGTTTCATGGAAGGGCGTTCAGGAGTCGGACCTAGAGGCGTGCCACATTGGTAGGACCCACCTGCCAGACGGCGTAGAAAGTACGTGTCTTTCGAGTATCCTCACCCTCAAGCGCACGCATCGCTCAACACGAGGCCGTAATTTTACGAAAATGTCCGTCCGACACACCTGGTGGCGACCGTTTGAGTCACAGAAATGACAAGCGATTTATGTGGCGACTGACACGCAATACATAAATATCCATCCTTAAGTCATCAGAGCCAAGCAGAAGCAAGCATCGTTTGGGCCCGTGTATCCTGTGGCGGAGGTGAGTCAAACCTGATCGTTGGGTGGCGGCCTCTTGACGCTGTCCGTGACGAGCAGAAGTGCGCAATCAATCGCATGTCGATCATGCATCGCGGTGGAGGCGAGGAGATCGGCGCGAAGGCCGTGCATAAGGTGAATGAAAGCTGATGAAAGGTTGCGAGTCTATCTCGCAAATGAGAACATGTGGGCGTGACGGGACGGAGCACGTCTACGTGAAGGGGAGGCGAACAATAGGGTGGGCTGTACTTACGGACCAGGTACGGCGTGGGAAATGAAGGTGCGCGAGGGACGCTCAAGGCTGCTATAGCCCAACGTAGTCGTAGTTGCAGGAAGGCACCGATATCGAGGGCATCGGAGCTCTACCTTCCTGAGGTTGCGGAGCCGGTACGACAACAGCTAGTGTGACTGCGCAAGTCCCTGAGGGATAGATGGATGCCGCTGTCACTCATTTCATGAATGAAAACATGCTCCGCGCCATTGAGAGCCATATGGATGAGATTTGGCAAAATTTGCCTAACATATGGGCGCTGCGATATATTGCCTGCTCGCGGATGGCTTGAACGCTGGATGAACACGGCACGTATGTCATGAGCACCTTTCATTGTAAGAGAGGACAATAGGGTCAAAGGTGCGGAGATGATGGGGGTTCAGCAGAGGACAGAGGATTGATATCGCTGGCTTGCAAACTTTGCTCATGAAAGTCAGGTTCAAGGTGAGCTTGGCGTGACGCCCGCGATCCGTCACGGACAGTAACAATGTGTCACGTCACGTCCGCGCCTTGCTCCGGACCCCCATCTCGCCGTCGGAAGTAAAACACGCAGCGGGCGTTTCGGGGAATGTATATGTCTTCGCGGCGTCTAAACTTCTTCGGCGCTTACCACAACTTCTCTTTCGAAAGCTTGGTAGATGAACCTACTTTCCCATTCCTCTGGTCGCCGGGAGCTATGTTCTCATAGGCCTAACGACATAAAGACCATGAAGCAATGATACATTGGCCTCCAATAGGTAGCATCTCTGCTTCATGTCGCGCATCCATCGATGTCTGTCATCTTCCAAGAGACGCGCAGAACCGAACAGGACGGCATGCAGCGCGTGCTTCGCTAGACAGAATACCGACCATTCTAACATGATGCCAACCTTCTTCGACAGCCCCCGCTCGCCGATACCAAGTCTATATTCGTGCAACGCTCTTACGACAAATGTGCCTATGTGCCCCCCGCGATAGTCACCGGAGCCGTCTATATAAGCAGTGCTCAGCCTCCGTATCGTCGTCGGTATTCCCCACCTCCTACGCTCCCTCTGTATAACTAATTCGCGACTCGACACACGCGCTACTATAATGGACGCACCACACTCCTCTCCTTGTGTCTCTCTGCCTGTCCAGAGCCTCCAGCCGGTGTCGCGCTTTTCCCTCCTCCCCGCGCTCCCTAGCCCGCGATCCTTGCTCGTTTCATTCGGTACGTCCATCCTTGCAGGTTCATGCCCGCTGCTGACTTCTGTCTCCCAGCTCGCAGCTCCATCCTCTCTGTCCTTTCAGATGCTATCACCATAGGCCACCTCACCGTCACCGACGCGAACGGCTCATCTCGATACGGCGTGTTCCAGCCCGGCTGCAACAACATTCACTTGCGCATAGTGGACGACAACTTCTGGCTTCGCCTTCTCACGTACGCATCTACCCTCCCCTCATCCCCCGCCGATGCTGATCCCATACATCTCGCAGCTCTGCCGATCTAGGATGTAAGCTTGCTTGCGCCGTCCTCGATCACCATAGAAGACTCATCGGAATTCTCCCTTCCAGTCAGCGAGGCATACATGATAGGTGACATCGAAGTTAGCAGCGTACAGGGCGCAATGAAGGTGAGCTAATGAATGCCGAGCCGCATGGTACGAGTTGCGATGGCTGATGATGGCTGCTCATAGCTGTGGTTGGACAATCAGTCCGCTATGGAAGCGACCCTCTCATCAACGATATCCCGCATCTCGTCCACGCTATCCGGCATCTACAATAATATCCTCGGCCAGTCTCGCACCAATGCGCGCCTTAACGCGATCGCCAGCTACGACCAGTCCAATGAGCTGTTCAAGGTCCGCTCTTTCCCCTCAATGATGCCCGGATCTCATGTTCATCTCCTCTTCATAGGCATTCCTTAGTAAGGAGATGATGTACTCCTGCGCGCTTTGGAGCGACGCGGAGGGCGGCGTCCGCGGCGACCTCGTCTCCGGGCCCACACCAGGCGACCTCGAAGCCGCGCAGCGCCGCAAGATTCACCACGTCCTGCGCCGCGCGCGCGTGCAGCCCGGACACCGCATTCTCGAATTCGGGAGTGGCTGGGGCGGGCTTGCTATTGAGGCCGCGCGCGCCTTTGGCTGCGAGGTCGACACGCTGACGCTCTCGAAAGAGCAGAAGGCGCTCGCCGAGGAGCGCGTCCGTGCCGCCGGCCTCGAAGGCCGCATCCGCGTCCACCTACTCGACTACCGCGAGATCCCCGCCGAGTTCGAGGCCGCCTTTGACGCATTCGTCAGCATCGAGATGATTGAGGTGAGTTCCGGAGCCGCCTTCATGTATCACTCTCACGGCAGACGCTAATGATCGCCCACCCAGCACGTCGGCACGAAGTACTACGAGACGTACTTCAAGCTCGTTGACTTCGCGCTGAAGCCGCAAAACGCCACCGCGGTCATCACGTCGTCGACGTTCCCCGAGTGTCGGTACAGCAGCTACCAGGCCGAGGACTTCATGCGGCGATACATGTGGCCGAACTCGTCCCTGCCCAGCGCGACAGTCCTCATTGATGCCGCGAGCACGGCCTCGCAAGGCCGCTTCACGTTGGACGGCGTAGAGAACCATTCGGCACGTAAGTCATTCAGAGCGGCCTGCCGCGACCCACACTCGTACTCACCACATCCCGCCTCCAGACTACCCGCGGACGCTCCGCGAATGGGGCCGTCGGCTGGAAGCTAACCTCGCCCAAGACCTCGTCACCCAGGACATCCCGGAGCTCGCGTCTCCCGAGCAGTACGCCATCTTCAAGCGCAAGTGGCAATACCTCTTCGCCTACGCCGGCGCCGGCTTCGCAAAGGGCTACATAACATGCCACATGCTCACCTTCATTCGTGGGGTGCGCATCGACTTCACTGTATCGGTATGCCGTGTTACTGACGTTCATCTGCAGAACGACTGCCCCGAGCGCTGCGATTAGACCGCTATACATCACTTTGCTTCATCACACCTGCGATCCTTCAACCCACTTTGATCCTCCGACCTCGAAACTTCCTTCATTCGCGCCGACTGTATGTCGATGCCATAATTACCTACCGTACTCGCATCAGCGCATAATTGCGCGTTGTAACACCTCAGGAATACTCTCTGCATAGTAAGAAGCATACACTCGTTGTCTATAATCAGTACAGTCGTTGCCAATGGATAAACCGTCCAGTCTTCCTATCTTCGCTTGCCAGTCCTCCGTCGTTCAATCGCCTCAACCTTCCGCGTTGGAATTCGCCCTTCACAGCACTGTCGACTCGTCTGCGTTCAGGATGAGCGTGGCGAAGAAAAGCATCTCCTCAACATAGGCGTCGAGCTCGAGGACTGTGAAGAGTTATCAGCATCGATAAGCGAGACGGTTATGGGCGCGTGTGGGTGCCCTTCAGCGACTGTCGACGGAGGCCTTACTGTATCTGCCTCCAGCAGCCTTGGTCCCCTTCTAGCGATCGTGCACGCATCTCCCTTACTCTCTACCATCCTCGCCAACCCCGTCCGCAACGTCTCCCCATTCCACTCAGAAAGTGCTTAGCACTCACACTCATCGACCGTATGCACGCCATTGACCAGCTTCGTCGGCGTCGCCTTGTGGTTGTACCGGAAGATGTGCGGCGTGAGGTCCCAGTAGTACTTTGTGTCCGTGTTGCCGGAGGACATGCCAGGAGCGACGATGATGTTGTCGCTACCCTCCTCGAGCTCGTGGTGCGTGTTGTAGGTCGCCTTGATGGTGCCGTGGAGGAAGCGGTAGGGGTCGGCATCTAGGGAAAGCGGACAAGTGTCAGCTACTCAGCTTCCCCACGACGAAAAGCGCCTGCCAGAGCATCGACAAAGTTCACTCACCCTCGCCGTACAACGGCGTCCGCGGCGCTGGGTTCAGGCTATGCCCAAATGCAGCCTCTAGGATCAGCTTGCCGCTGCTGGACGGCGCATCCGGGTCGGAGATCAGGTTGCCAAACGCCTCGAAGGTGAGGTTGAACTGCTCGGCGAGCGCCTTGACCGTGGCGGTGTCGTGCGCTTGCGTTTCGGCGACGGAGCTGGAAGGGAGGTAAGCAGGTGCTGTAAAGAGGAGAGAAATGTATGGCGTATGCACAACGTACCTCGTAATCGAGATCCTATGGTTCACAATCGCCCAAGCCTCCTCGGGCAGCGCGTTCGACTTCACGCCACCATTGATCATGTCCGCGGCCTGTTCCAGCGAGCGTCAGCACCATACTCCAGTTGTCGACGCATCCACTCACCTGCGTCGTCGTGATGATCGACCTCGACTTCTTGTCCTGGACCACGAAGTCCTCCACCTTGCGCAGCGCGTCCTCGGCGCCCTGGCTGGCAATCGACATCTCATTGCCTACCGCGTCGACGGCGACACCCTCCGCGCTCGAGTAGATGAGCTTGCGGATTTCCTCGGGGAGGTCCGGCGCGTGCTCGGCGTGGCACTGATAGGTAAGATAGACGGGGTTGTTGCGGGTCTGGCTGGTATGTTAACACGATTTATGTTGGACAGCAATGTGATTGAAGTGAGAACAGCAAAGATTCCCTCTGCGGGAGAAATATGTCCTTCCACGGAATGGCTATACGCACCAGCCTTATATCATATGGATTCTTCTCGTACTCGGTCAGCAGGCGCGCGAGGATGCCGATCGTAGTGTGCGCGGGGGGAACGCTGGAGTGACCTGGCGAGGCAAGAGTCAGCCAATGCGCGTGATACCGACGCAAGCCCGCTGTCGTGATCAAAACAAGAGCACATACCTCCCGGCGAGTGTACCTCCACCTTCGTATCCATGTACCCCTTCTCCGCAATGCCAGGCGTGCTGCGGGTATCCTTTAGCACACCGTTTCCTTCAAAGCTTCGTTATGCAACTCACGCGACGACTGCACCGTACTCCTCCTGGTAGCCTCCTGAAGATATGATGAGCAACGCCTCGTAGACAATAACAACAAGGGCTGCACGAGCCATGATGGATACCAACCTCCCTCATCCACGACGATCGCAAAGGCGTTTTTGCCAAACGTCTTCAGTAGATAGGGCCCAATCGCGGCCGCGCCCTACAGCGAGAGTGAGTAAAACATATTTGGCTCGAATTGACGATACCCACATGCGTCCCGCTCGCCTCCTCATCGAACCCGAACGCCAGCACGACGCCCCTCACCGGCGTCCAGCCCTTCCCGATGAGCGTCTCCAGCACGTTCATGATGCTGATAAGCCCGCTTTTGTCGTCCGACGCGCCGCGGCCCCAGATGCGCTCGCCGTCGAAGAAGCCGGAGTACGGTGGGTGCGTCCAAGAGGGGATGGTGTTGGCGGGCACGGGAACGACGTCTGGGATGAAGGTCAGAGGGGTCTTGAGAGGGGACGGACGGAGACGAAGCGGAGAAGGAGTTGGGAGCAGGGATAAGGCGGGACGTGAAGGGGAGAGCTCACCCTGATGCGCGGTGAGAAGGATCGGCTTGAGGGAGGGGTCGCTTCCGGGCCAGGAGTAGACGAGACCGAAGGTGTTCACAGTCGCGCGGGAGAACTTCGAGTGTCTGCGTCGCGTTAATGCCATCCTATAGGTCGATTTCGTAGCCCACTCACACCATTGGATACTCCTTCTGCAAGTACTCGTGGAACTCGTAGAAGATCTCCCAGCGCTCGTCCTCCCCCGGCTCGCCCATCGCGTCGAACACCTCCGTCCTGAACGGCTCGTCAGCAACTCTCCCTCGCCGCTGCACGCAAACACGCACGGAATCTGAATCGCCCCCCGCATCCAGTCCAGCGCCTTGTTCTGGAACGCCTCCGTGTTGAGCTCCGCGGAGACCTCGTCCCAGAGAGCCTTGTTGACCTTCGGGTACAAAACATCCGCCTGCGGGCAGATCGACTGTACGCGCTGCGCAGGGCGTCCCATCAAGCTGTCCAGGAAGCGATCTTGCGAGTACATATAGAAGCCATCCAGGCTGTCCCGGTACGCGACCTTCAGCGCAAATCGCGCCGTCCCCAGACCCAGCGCAGCGTAAACCAGCGCCTTCTTCCATGTCGCGGTCCGGGGAGGAGTGGTTGAGATCGGGAGCGGGGGATGGGGAGGGGCGAGATCGAGCGGCTGCTGTTCCTTTTCCATCACGGCTGAGCCTTTCGACGCTTGAAGAGTGCAAAGGCAAGTGGCGAAGGTCGTCCGCGTGCATATATAGCTTCGAGGGAGTGATAAGCTGGCCGAGGGCTTCGATATTCATGCCGCTCAATAGCGAAGATTAGGTGAGAAGAAGGGCATCATTGCGTGCTCGCGGACGAGTGACATGAGTGCGGTGGACAGGAGCGTTACATAGACATTGATATTGACACTGGATGGTGACCAGAGACGCAGTCACTGGGGGAAGTCGAGTCGCGCGGCCGAGCTCGTCGGCGACTGCCGAAGTCCGATGTACGGGACTTGGCTCTCACCACCACTTCAATATCCGGATGTCGTCCCATGCGGGCAATGCGCGCGAATAAACGTATCCTCGTTTTCTTTATTCATCGCTGTGCTACGACAAATCAACCAGAATCATCTATCTTGTAAGCGGTGAAAGCCGACATGCGCCAATGCTCGCCACAGGCCCGTGTCCCCTCGAGGTCGAATCGCATCGGCTGTTGACGAGGGTACATGAAGCAAGGCGTGAGCATTATTCTTCGGAGCCATTTTCTGTCATCAGCCTAGACGTGCATGCCATTCACTACGTCGCGCGCCTTATGCCTGCAGGAGGCTGCATGGCATACTGGGCAAGGACGACCAGGGCCAAAGTCGGCGGAATGAGTGTTGCATGCTAGATAAGTAAGTCTCTCCTAGCTGCTGCCATGCTGGCTGATAGCCAGACATGTAGGTTGCAGTATTCCCGCTCCAAATTCATTGTGGTCCTAGTTCGCCATCGTCCCTTTACCGTCGTCCTCACATCAATTATTATACCTTTCACCCACGGCAAAGCTTGTCGACCGACTATTCTCAGGCTCTTCATCTCTTCAGAACTACTACGCTTCGTCGCTCACCCTGATTCCCATGGCTGCGCGTCGACAGTCCAAGTCTAGCAGCGGTTTTCTCCCGCCGTCTTTAATCTCATGATCATAGTATCCATCAATACGCACTGGCCGTTTCCCCGAATATGACAAGCCACTCCATGCAATTATCATTCCAGCTCGAAAAAAAACACTGAATGTACACGTATCTCTCGAATCATCTAACCCCTCTTGTCGACGCGCGCGCTAGTAGGCATCTGCTCCTCTTTCCATGAGTCCTTGTAATACTCGGGGGCAAGTTCCATCGCTCGAAGATGAATCTTTTCAAGAACCGCTTGTCCTCCTGGAGTTCTCGCGTCCACAAATCGCATGCCATTCTTGAAAACTTTGAACAACTCGATACCGAGTGGTGAAGTCGCTCTGGCACGAATCTCCTTCTCTTCGTCCTTCTCGTGTGCGTCTTGTTCACTCTCTTCTTTGCGGCTCCTATAGCCCTGTCCACCATGATCGGTGAACGCGCGTTCGACAGCGGCCTCGTTTCGCGTAACCTCACAGTAAGTGAACCATGACCCGAAGGCCACCAACCCGCCGATAATGTCTGTATCCTTGTAGCTCACAAAGGAGTGATGAGCCTGGTTCTTCAGTTGAGTCAAGGCCTTTCCAATACGATTCATGTCCTTCGGTGTGGGCTTGCCGTCATCGCCGGAGAATGTAGGCTTGATCTCCGCTAGGAGGGTGCAGCGAAACTTCAGCAGATGAAATTTGCCCTCCGGCATCGGTCCCATCTGTGTGGTCCGATACCAATCCCAGAAATTCATGTCCGGGGGGATACATGCGTCCGGCTTGCTGAGCACCGATATCTGCGACCAGTCGGGCACTCGGATGGATTTGGCGTAAAGATACGCTTTAGTCGAGGCTTTATGGCTGTCGAGAAGTTCCAAAGTGCCTCCAGCGGGATATTGAGATATAGGCACCGCCGACACTACGCACTTACGCGATAGCAGGATTCGCCCCTTGCCAAAATAATAATAAGAGATGAGACCCCAGGGGCCATAGTGCGCCGCTTCCAAATTGGGCTGCGCGAAGGTGATCAACTCTGCACCTACTCCGAGCACCGGGCAAAGAAAAGGCGCTCTGGGAATATCGATATGCCCGCAATCTTGGGCCACCTCGGGCGGGACGTCCAAAGTTGGCAGGATAGGCTGCACGTCCATAGCATCGTCGTGCTCGCTGGTTGTTGGCGAAGCCATGGTCATGTCGTTGTCGTGCTGACTTCCCCATGCATCCTCCTCCTCAAGCGCCTGATCCTGCATGATGATATCGTCGTCATGCGACGAGACCTCCTCCAGACGGAGTACTAGGTCCTCGCCCAATCTCTGATCTTCCGTGTTGACGCTACTTTCGACGGGGATTGAGGGGCTTGGTACAAAACGACCTTGCGGGGGCACTTGAAGGCTTGTGGATACAGTGACCATCGAGTTTAGCGGCGGCTGATCGTCGTTACGACCTTTTGTGTCCGCCGGGCCTCTACTATGCTCCCTACTTACTGCCGCGGTTGCGGCAGGAGTTGGTGCCCGTGTGCGCATGACCGGGAAGATCACGATGTCTTGTTTGACTTTTCGAGGCCTTGGTGCATTTCGATGGTACTCGAGCTTCTGGAGCTTCGCAGCCCTGTCTGACATGGTGAACTCAGGGGAGAGTGATGCCTAGTAGCGAGTGGGTTCACCCTAATATATACTAACGATGTTCGTTCCTCCCACGCCGCATATCGCTCTGTATACTCATTGCTAACAAACTAACAAAAGAGAAATTCCATTCAAACGGTACAGCCTGTTTCCTTTGCAGCAAGGAAATAGAAGCGCAATCTACGTTTGCGGTCAAACACACTGAAAGGGTCATTACAATCAGACTGCTGATTCGTCTCGTATTACAGAAAAAGAAGTACTACGAGCCTAAAATGACAATAACGACGCACCAATAGGGTCCCTCAAAGCTCGTTTCGGGTCTTCGTATTTTTCCTGTGCGCAAAGGGAAAAATCTGAAAAAGGTACCGTTTGGCGGGAAAACGGGCGAGAATCCTGTTCGACACAGCCACATGTCCTTCCTCTGTGTTCAAACCTCTGTTCAGAATAATCGAATTCTTCTCGCGAAAAATCACTCGAAAAGGCCGAATCGAAAGAGCCGAATTTTTCCTTTTCGCGAAATTCCCCCAGGTTTGAACGACCCTAATGAATGGACTGGGACAAACGCCTTGATATCCCCAGGTCACGTGACTGTGACCGTCGCAGGGTTTATAAAGACCGCAAGCTCGACACGATGCTCCTAAGCACTGTAGCTCTCTTCTTCCCTTTCTTCTCTCTATCTGCTACCATGTCATTCGAGCAAGAAATTGCCGATAGAAGGATGGGCAGTGCAGTACAAGGTACCGACATGCAGTCCTCGCAGGTGAGCGAGCAGGCTGCGCAAGCAGATGAGCCTGCTAAACACACTGCTGAACATGCCACAAAGTCCCTCGAACATCCTACGGCGGCGGGTCACTCGTCTGCACAAGTCCGTAATACACTCCCGGTATCTATCAGCACAAACTAAACATCTTCGCTGCGTACTTACATGAACTCGCAGCGTATCAACGAGCGGCACGCGGACATACCTGCCTTTCCAGAGCAGTACTCCGAGTCCTCGGAGTACTACTGGTACTATGGTTTTGCGGCATCCATACAGGAGATCCGTGCCATTGTTCAGCACTACAGTCCAGAGTCCCTCATAACCCCCGATGGCAGCGTCGCGCCAGACCTGACTTATCTCACAAGTCTCCACCAATTCTGCATGGCGGCAAGCAGATGGTGGTACATGCTCTCGGTGCTTGTCCAACCAGTACCGGAAAACGCGGATAACGTGCAGACCTTATACCCCGCGCCGAACGGTCAGCCCACGGTCTTCTTCTTCTCGGTCGTGGCGACGCAGGAGGATTTCCTCGCCATGCGCCCGGACCAGGAACAGATGAATAGGCTGGTAAAGATATTCCAGAAGGAGCCCGAGTGGCGGGAGGATGCGATCCCGAAGTCGGAGTGGGCGGAGTACTATGACTTATAACTGTGTAGATTCCTGTACTTTGTGGATGTATGGGACTCCCGTCGATAGCAAGGACGCGGCTGGTCGGTGTACGTACCGATCGGACAACACAGACCTGACTCGAGTATATGCACGCTGCCGCCAGGAAGCCACGATCGAGCCTCATGCTCCAGGTGCGCGCGCGAGTCTTGCCCAAGCACTCGTCTCATCCCGTCATCATCATGAATGTCTTGGAGAACGACGTCGGTTATTTAGCAGCGAGCACCAACGCTACCCCCCGGCCTGGATACCTCGCAGTCAGCCCACCCGTGCCACATTCTCGGTCGACCACGCTCACCTTCACCAGCGCATCCATCCCGAACACGCTGAGATCCCTGCCTTGCCCACGCAATACTCCCCCACCTCCGACTATTACTGGCACTTCGGCTTCCCGGTCTCCATCGCCGAGGTTCGTGCCATCCTTGAGGAATGGGCACCCTCGCGCGTCCGTATGTCTCCCATGGACGACCAGGACATGATGCGGGAGCTCCTCGTCATGGCCAACCAGATCTGGCCCTTGACGAAGGTATTCGACGTCCAGCCAGAGGAGGGAAGCGCGGACAATGTGCAGACGATCTATGAGACCTTGGACGACCGGCGCGCGGTCTCCTTCTACTCATTTATGTCGACGGAGAAGGAGCACTTCATCTCGCGGCCGGGGCCGAAGGAAGTGAAGACACTGACGACCCTCTTCGGGAAGCAGCCGGTGTGGAGGGAGGATGCGATCGAGAAGAATATATGGGCGGATTATTATGACGAGCATTACGACTCGGATGATTACGAATAGTCGCTGCAGCCGCTGTGGCGCGTTGACCCGTAGACTGTGAATGCATCAGACGCCTGTTCGACTTGAGTGTGAAGCTTTGCGACGCGTGTACGTACCCTTGAGACATGCGCAAGCCCGATGAGTATGTTCGCGCTAGCCCGGCGAATATGTTCGCGCCCACACGCCATCCTCATGGGGCCAATGTGTGCGCCGTTCGAAACCCGCTTCGACCAGACCGCCACAATTCCCCACTTGCGTGACAAACAACGAAGATCCTGATAAGTCAGGCAGGATTACCGCTGCTTACCTCGCGCCTCATAGTGAGATTAGCGTTGGCGGTGACCAAAGTCATTACTGGCGATCACGGCGTACCTAAAGTACTGGCCCGCCGACGTGCTAGTCAATATGTTTTGCGGAATAGCCTCCAAGAGGCGCAACAGCCCCGAGAACGGACGACAAGGCCATGGAAGTACGAAGCAAGCCCATTGGAGTTTGATTGTTGCTGTTTGTCCCCGCTGACACCTACATTCACAAACATGCGCATACAAATGCGGACGCACCACTCGCAGGACACCCAAGCAGACACGCAACAACAGCCACATGTACAAGTCCGCGACCCAAGGATTCAAAGCGTAAGTTGTCGTTCAATGCAGTTCGTATTCTACGAAGTACAAGTCTAAAGGGAACCATGCCATGCGTAACGTCAGCTTTAATGAGACCCTCAGCCTCCCGCGTCTATGACCTGCCCGTATCAAGCGGCCACAGCGCCCGCATCGAGAGAACACCAATGCGTAGCTTGTCAATGCCACACCACCCATCCAACGACGAACACCAGACCAGGGCATCTAGAAGCCCGCCTCCGAGCTGGAGCCGCTCGAGCTCAGCTCGTTGTACCGAGCGATCTTCAAGCGCTGCGAGGGAGGGATCTACGGAAGAGGTCAGCGCGTGCTCCAACCTTCACGGCTGCATGTCGTCTTACCTTCTTCTCATCTGCCAGGTCCAGAATATGCGGGGCACCACCGTGGAGGACGCCGACGCGCTTCATCGCGAGCAGGTTGTGCGCCGCGTTGGAGTGGTCGTAGACGCCGCCGAAGAACGCGGTCGTCGCGTCCTTGCCAATGAACTTGATGATGAGGTGCGCGCCGCCGGGGTGCTCGTCGATGAACGTCGAGACGTCGTGGATGAAGCCGGCGATGAGGATAAGCGGGCGGCTTGCGGCCTGCTCCTGGACTGAAAGGATGGTCAGCAAAGATGAAGGTGCAGTGATATGAAGGCGACTCACAGGACTCCCAGGTGATGACCGGCAGGTCGTTGCTGTCCGACGGCCAAGCCAGGCGCTCCTGAGTCTCGCGCAGGCGCTTGAGCTGCATCGTGAGCTGGCCCTTGCGGACCTCGTTGTCGGGGAACACCTTGAGGTGGCTCGCAAGACCGAACGAGCGGCAAGTCGCGATGAACCACTTCGTCGGGTCGTACTGGTACCACTTGATCGCATTGCGGTAGTCCATCGGGAACTGGTGGTGGAAATTGTGGTACCCCTCGCCGATCGTAGCAAGCGCGGTCACGAAGTGGTCGCGCGGCGTGTGCTTGTCGTCGAACGGCGTCTCGCCGAGCCAGTGTGCGAGCGAGTTCACGCAGAAGGTTGAGTGGTGGACGAAGCAGAGGCGGATGACGCCGGCGTAGATGTAGCCGCCGCGCGCGTCGCCCCAGCCGAGCCAGGCGACGAGGGTGGGGAGGATGAAGGCCATAAAGACCATGAGCTTGACGTAGTGCGTGTGCTGGAAGCGCACGACAGGGTTCTTGGAGAGGTCAGAGACGTCCGCGACACCAGGGCGGCGGCGGGGCTTGACCAACATCCAGCCGATGTGCGAGTAGAAGAAGCCTGTGCGGAGGTGAGATACAGTACAGTAGTAGCGGAGGTATGCACGCACCCTTGTGAGCGTTGTACGGGTCGAGTTCAGTGTCAGTGTAGCGGTGGTGGGCACGATGACCACGGCTCCACCACTTGATGCTACCCTCGGCCGCGCCAGCACCCGCAAGAGCGAGAGCATACTGCAGCGGAATAGACGCATTGTACGCGCGGTGAGACCACAGGCGATGGTACCCGGCCGTGATCCCTGCACAAATATTAGCGCCCGTCGATCATGATTCTGCGCGCCACCACTCACCCAGGCCGGTCACAAAGTACCAAAAGACCGCAAACGCCGCCGTCTCCCAACGCAGCTCCGTCGTGAAAGCGCCCCAGGCGCCGATGATCGGCGTCGCCGTCAGCAGCGTAAAGCTGATCCAGTTGATGTTCTGCAGCAGGTTCGCCCAGGTGACGGGCGGGAGCGGCTTCGTCGTCTTGAGCGTGTGCTGGACGTAGTTGTCCGGGATGTTCAGGTCGGACGGCTGCTCGTCCGCGGTGCGCATTTTGACGCCGACGTCGGACATGGCGACGTTGCGGGGGAGGGGGAGGAGGAGGTGGAGGAAGGGAAGGGGGATGCGGGACTGCCCGCGCCCCAGCGCTTATATGGATGCGTGCCCAAAACTTTGGGGCAGCATTCGGGGTGGAGCCGATTACGCGCCTCTGCCGTCGTTTTCCGGCCCCATTTTTCCAGGATTTTCGGTCGGCGGGTATGCAGCAGTTTCTGCGCGCCCAGGACACCGCGCCATGGACGTTGAGGACAACCTGGCCCGCGCGCCAAACTCAAAGGCACTTCGCATTTTGCGACTTGGCATGCAACTTTGGGGATGCCGGGATCACCGGGACGCCGGAGTCAATTTTGATGACGTCGCATGAGCCTGATGGCTTTGGGAAGTTCAACCTTTCACGTGAACGGGCAGCCTTCATACCCGCCCCAGTCTTCGCCGCATCGCTGGGCTATGCAGCGCAGCTTCCTTGGCTTCAGCGAGGTCCCCAGTGCATCTTCCAAGCGAGACAAGGGTGACCCCAGCTCTCCGTGGAATCACATCGAAGGAGGGATATACCCGGTGGCGTGGGATACTTCCTCGGGGATTGCCGACTTCGGTGTCAATCGTCTTTCACTTTTCTTCATAAACTACCGTCGCTGGCAATGCGGGCTATGTTGCTGTGGTTCTCTTTCTGCTCCTTAGGTCTGCTGAAACACACTTAGCTTCCTCTGAGCCAAATGCGCTCAATCTCTGGGCCAGTATCGAGCACGACACGCTGGCCTCACTAGACGGATACGGACGAGCCAAGAGCCTCTTCCAACAGCATATGGACGCTGACATGGCCATTATAGACCTCTGAGATCTTGAGACTATCTTTCATTATCCCCCAAGCTATCTTCCGACGATAGTTCGCATAAGGCCAGGGCAGCTCGGCGGCGTGGAGATTGGACGCGTGACTAGTGCACTGATCAGAAGCATCTGCCCTCTTCGTGGTCTTCAGTGGCGCACGGCATCCGTACTGGACTTCTCGGGCTACGCTTTGCATGGTCCTAATCCAAAGAATGGCTTGCTCGACGCCGCCTCCAGTCGGGTCGTCTCCTCTCCGAGAATTAGACTCGAAATCTCGGCCTACTTGACCTCCCGTCCCACGGTACTTCATCTTGTCCGCGGACCCGCACCACCCTCATGCCTACCTGCCAACGACGCATGCCAAGGAACAGCGAACTGCAGGTCCATGCGCGAATCTCTATGCATCTAGCACGCCCACACGCATGTCTCTATACCCATGCGCCAGTCGCTATACCCACGCGCACGTTCCCTCCTTATCTCAATGCGGCACAATGCGCATCGGGGGTTATAAGTAACCAAGCAGCGAGGACTGTTCTCTAGCGTCGTCCTCGCCCCTCGCCCACCCACCGGTCTTCGGCTCAGCCCACTCTTCGGCTGGCCCACCGTAGCGCTTCCCCTTCCCGTCGCACGTCGCTCGGCACTTACATCACCACAATGCGTTTCGCCTTCGTCTCCGTCGCGCTCTTCGCCGCGTCCGCCAGCGCCCTCGTCACGCCTCTCACGCCTCGCGCCTGGCCCTCTGGCACCGTGACTTGCGGTAGCGCGTCCTACTCGCTGAGCGCAGTCAAGGCGGCCGTCTCGCAGGGCGTGAGCCACCTGAGCAACCCGATCGGGTCGAACAGCTACCCGCATACGTGAGTGGGGGTATTCTCTACATCTACGTCTACCTCGCGAATCCTCCCTCCCCTGTCGTTACCCGCTGACTAGGGAAAGCGTTCGCTTGGTCATCGCGGTGACAGGGCGCTAACCTCCCCCTGCCAGCTTCAACAACCGCGAGGGCCTCAGCATGTGGTGCACGGGCGAGACGGACTACAACGAGTTCCCGATCCTCTCTTCGGGAAGCCTCTACACTGGCGGCTCGCCTGGCGCGGACCGCGTCGTGTTCTCGGATAATGGGGTGTACTGCGCGTGAGTTACCCTCTGTGGCGTTATATCTGAACAAATTTAACGGCGAACACAGCGTGATCACGCACACCGGCGCATCGGGCAACAACTTCGTCTCTTGCCAGGGCGATTAGGGGATTGAATAATGATTTTGGATGTATACAGGCTGTATACTAGGTCTATGGGCTCCTGATTGTGAAATGTACTGTTTGAACTGGATTTTGTGACCGAAATAAGTTCGAAGCCAAATGCATCACGTGATGCGGATTCGCCACTGTCGAAGTTCAACTCGGCAAATGCCGCACTCTTTCTCTACTTCGCTTCTTGCTTTGTGCGTGCAGCGTCCCCTTTCCCTCGAGCTACATTATTCAGCAATAGATGGGTACTTCCCTCTTCTTGCCATATCCTTCTTCCCGTTTACAAAGTGTGTACGCCCTTGTAAGGCAGTTTGTGTAAAGTGGTGGCTTACGCTGCCTACAGACAGATGTCTCAAAAGAATCACTCGTTCATCCTCGTCCGTCTCAACCATATGGTCGACGTCACCTCTCGGTGTGTATCGACGCTTCACGTACGTTCTTGAAGTATCTCCCGACTGAATACATCATCCTTTCTTCCTACCTTCCCCTATTCAGTAAACAGCCTCCCACGTATCTTTTCTAATCTCACCTTGACATGACGCTGAACCATCCACGCCACTCTCCGACGCTTTGAAACCTTGCCAAGATTTGCGCTGACCACAAGCTCTTCATCTTCCACTTGTCAAAGCGCTGACGGCCATGGGAAAAGACGACCAAAAGAGGGAAGACGCTGACGCGAAATTCAACACGAGAGTTCTCGAAGCTTACAGCTCGTTTGTCACCGATTATTTTCATCTCCTTCGGCGAGCATGGTCCATGGACGCAGATTCCAAGGCAGGACGGTTCTTCCCACCAGGACCCAGGCGGGGATCGAATAAAAGCGCGCCCAGACGCTGTTTCCAGCCGCACATTCCCCTCAGACCCCCTTAATCTTCTGACTTTCGCGGCCCCCGCGCTTGTCCTTCACCTCCTCCTACCCCTCGCACCCCCCTCGCAAGCCCAGTATCGCCATGTGTTTCCGGTGCTTTAGCAGCAAGAAACAGGGGAAGAACTTTGAAGACGGTTCCGCGCCTAAACAAAACAAGCCGGCAGAGGATAAAAAGGCGGCGCCAGCGGTCGATCCGTCCCCAGCATCCTCATCCACAGCCAAGTCAGCCACCATGTCTTCGCCCAAGGTCGCCATCGTTATCTACTCCATGTACGGGCACATCGCCAAGAGTGAGTGCGGTCGCGCATCGTGTTAGGAGGGCGGGCGCTTATCTGTGTTCGCAGTGGCCGAGACGGTCAAGGCGGGTGTCGAGTCTGCGGGTGGGCAGGCGACGATCTTCCAGTGCGTAGACATCGTCGAGGAGTGACCATCGCGCTAACCCACCCCGCAGGATCCCCGAGACGCTCCCCGAGAACGTCCTTCAGCTCCTCCACGCCCCGCCCAAGCCCGACTACCCCATCATCGACGCCGCCACCCTCGCCACCTTCGATGCCTTCCTCTTCGGCATCCCCACCCGCTACGGCAACTTCCCCGGCCAGTGGAAGGTACGTACTTCCTAATTCACCTCACCCGAGCTTTGCCCCTAATCGCCCGATCGCAGGCCTTCTGGGACACGACCGGCCAGCTCTGGGCGTCCGGCGCGCTCTCGGGCAAGTTCGTCAGCGTCTTCGTGTCCACGGGCACCCCCGGCGGCGGGCAGGAGGTCACCGTCGCGAACGCCATGTCGACCTTCGTCCACCACGGCATGATCTTCGTGCCCCTCGGCTACGCGCAGACCTTCGCGCAGCTCACCAACCTCAACGAGGTCCACGGCGGCTCCCCCTGGGGCGCCGGTACCTACGCTGGCGGCGACGGCTCGCGCCAGCCCTCCGCGCTCGAGCTCGAGATCGCCAAGATCCAGGGCAAGCAGTTCTGGGAGATCGTCTCCAAGTACAAGTTCTAGACGTGCTTGAACTCCTCGTACTTGCATGAACTCTTCGTCACGTATGGATTTTGTATATAATAGGATGTACGCTGTATGTACGTTAATAACTCTCTGATGATCCTCTCAGCATCCTCGGACACCGTCGGCCTGGAAAACGCATCGTCGTCAGGAGATGTTCCAATTGCCTTCAAGCCTGTCTATCGCGAAGCATCTCGATTACCGTGTCAGTAAGTGCCTTGCAGCGTCGGTGGGTACCTTTACAGTATAGCCCAGGGCTCCCCCGATGCTGGCTAGGCAACATATACATTTGACGGTCGTCTGCTGCGCACTCGGTGATACGCTCCATGAGCGCTGCATCGTCGGGCCCGACCCTATGCTGCAATAAGTCCAAGGGGCACTACAAGGGTGCTCGATGACGACGCGGGGCCTTGCCAGCGCTTCACATTCGTAGTCTGTTTGTCCGAGCGACCCCTCGACTTTGGCGCCGAGCCTATCGCCGAGCACCTCTGATCCCGAACCCTCGCCTGATCGACCGAAGAACGCGCCTGCAATCAACTGTCAAGCCTCGGGAAGCATGCTGGGAACACACAACTTTCTCCGACGTTTTATTCTCCGACATCCTCCCCGTATCCACCTGACAGCCCGCCCCCAGCCCGACATGCTCAGGCGGCGGCGAGATCCCCCCAGCCGCAACGGGCTCATAAACTTCGGGGAATGCGCTCAGGGTCCAGAGGCGGGGTATATAAAGGCAGGCGCGGCGCCGTCGAGAGCCGCAGCGAACGCAGCATACCCCAAGTTTCAAGCATACCCACCGCATAGTCGACCTCAAACTATCGATGCGGTCTTATCTCACGATTGTCGCCCCTCTGGCGGCGGCGCTCGGCGTCTCTGCCCAGCAGAGCGGCCAGACGACGCGCTACTGGGACTGCTGCAAGCCGTCTTGTGCTTGGAGCGGTAAAGTGCGTACCTTCCTCCCCTTCCTGTGGATCCAGGCGCTCATCACCTACTCGCAGGCCTCCGTCAGCGCGCCCGTCAAGACCTGCGACAACAACAACAACCCGCTGAGCGACCCGGACATCAAGTCCGGCTGCGACGGCGGGACCGCGTTCACCTGCGCGAACAACCAGCCGTGGGCGGTCGACGACAACACCGCGTACGGCTTCGCGGCCGTCGCGATCTCGGGGCAGACCGAGGCGGACTGGTGCTGCCAATGCTACGAGCTCACTTTCACGAGCACGTCCATCTCGGGAAAGAAGCTGGTGAGTCGACAGCCTACTGAGATGCAAGGCGGCAGGGTATGGAGGAAGAGGGACTAACGCGGCTGCATGCAGATCGTCCAAGCCACGAACACCGGTGGCGACCTCGGCTCGAACCACTTCGATCTCCTGATTCCGGGCGGTGGCGTCGGTACGTCCTTCCTTCCCGCCTCATTGGTTCCCTGTCGGCTCACCTCCTTATTCCCAGGCGCCTTCACCCAGGGCTGCCCCGCCCAGTACGGCAGCTGGAACGGCGGCCAAACCTACGGCGGTGTCGGCTCGCGCGAGGAGTGCGACAACCTCCCGAGTGGTGAGTCGCTCCCTCTACTTGACCTCGACAACCATCCGGTCTATGACGAATATGAACCTTTGACTAACCTCCTCTCCCAGCCGTCCGCGAGGGCTGCTACTTCCGCTTCGACTGGTTCGAGGGCGCCGACAACCCTGCGGTTACCTGGCAGCAGGTCAGCTGCCCGAGCGAGCTCACGTCGATTTCTGGGTGCTCTCGTCAGTAAATTATGGCGGGCGTCAAGGAATGAGGCGCGCATCCGTAATTTAAGGCGTATCGGTCGAAGAGAACGAGGAGAAGGAAGGCGGGAAGAGAAGAGAAAGACTATGTTATGGTATCTACCGGTGATATACTTCGCTGAGGCTTCTACGCTGTATCAATCGTCCTGCTCGATAACTCTTTTCAACAAAGCCTTCCGCTTTCGGATTCAGACGTAACGTGCCTCTCGGCATCTTTCGAGGCCATACTTCCTGGTCGTCCTTGTACCTCCGTTACCTCTCCTTAAAGAATCTCACAATCATGATGACTTCGATGCATATCATTACCAAGTACCATCTCCTAGAACTACTCTAAATAAGACAAAGGGTGAACAAGCAGGACAAGGAGGGCCTACGTCGAGGTGGCCACATAATTAGCTACTGAGCATCAGTCCGACCTTCCTTCCATCCCCTCCGCAATCGTACACTCCGTCCATTACACCGCGACGCGACTCGTAGGAAGGTGAGTACATAGTATGAGTCGCGCAGCTACAGACACGCAGAAGTCTCAAAAACGATCGAAAGCAGAGCCACACTCATACACCGAGGTGCAAAGGCGCTCATGCCGTCGACGTCTTCTCCCCACTGTGCTCTGAGTCCGGCGAGTGGTGGTGATGCGGCTCCCGCCCGCCAGACACCGCGCCCCTCGACAGATCGATCGGGTGCCCAATCTCCTGCTCGAGGCCGACGTAGTCGTACGCGAACTCGCCCATCTCCGCGTCGTCCATGCCGAGGATCTCGGACTCCTCGTCTGTGCGGAGGCGGCAGTAGGGGATGAAGTGCAGGATCCAGCAGATGACGGTCTGAAGGGGGATGATCAACATGAGCGGGAGTTCCGACACAAGCCAATGTATATAGCATACCGTCATGCCGAAGGAGTACGCAAAGCCAGCGACGGAGTCGGCGAGCTGGTACCCGAGCTGAATGTAGTTGTGGTCGAGCCAACCGCCCGGGATCTCGGTCGTGCCGTCGAAGCCGGCGACGCTCGCCTGCGCGAAGAGGGCGGTGAGGACGTTGCCCACGATGCCGCCAATGCCGTGGGAGGCGAAGATCTGGGGGATTGCTGGTTAGACAAGCCGTCCACAAGACGAAGGGAAACCGCTTCAATATGGGGAGACGACACGCACATCAAGGGTATCATCGTAGCCAAAGACATACTTCAGCTGCGTGGCGAAGTTGCAGCAGGTGCCGGCCATGAAGCCAAACAGGACCGCAGCGGCTGTGCAAGGTTCAATATACGACGCCACATCACCACGAGAGTCGAACTTACGAGAGCCAACGAAACCAGAGCCTGGCGTGATAGCGACCAGGCCAGCGATCGCGCCGGAGCAGAACCCGACCGCGGACCACTTCCTCTCGAGGCGGTAGTCCCAGAACATCCAGGTCAGCCCACCCACAGACGCAGCAAGGTTGGTGACGATGCATGCTTGGACAGCGCGCAGGTTCGCAGAAAGCGCAGAGCCGCCGTTGAACCCGAACCAGCCGAACCAGAGGAAGACCGTGCCCAGGATGACATAGGTCACGTTGTGCGGCTTGTACGCGAGGCGCTCAGTGCCGTAGCCACGACGCTTGCCAAGCTGTTTCGGGGCGCGGTTAGCGCGCTGTTATCGTGACGAGCTCAATGACAAACGCACGTAGATGGAGATCGCGAGCGCCGCGGTTCCAGAAGAGATGTGGACGGGCGTGCCACCCGCGAAGTCGAGGCCGCCCATGGTGAAGGACCAGCCGTTGGCGTTCCATGTCCAGTAGGCGAGCGGGTTGTACACGATCGTCGTCCAGATGAAGGTGAAGAGCATGACGGGACCGAGACGCGCGCGCTCGGCGATGGCACCCATCGCGAGAACGGGGCTATGGGGGCATCAGATGGGCTGATCAGCGCGGAGGGTGAATGGGGACGGACGTGATGGCGGCGAACATGCCCTGGTACAGGCAGAAGAGCAAGGAGGGTATGCGGGTGCTGCCGATGGACGGCTTTTCGAGAACACCCTTGAGGCCAAAGTACCCTGCGCGCGAAGGTCAGAAGGGTGAGGCTGAATTCGGTAGAAGTACGCACTGAGGTTGCCGATGTATGCATTGGTGCTGGTCTCGCTGAATGCGAGAGAGAAGCCCCAGAAGAACCACTACGCGCAAGGTAAGACGGGGGAGGGGATGACGCGTTGACAGCACGCACCTCAAACGAGACGACCGCGATCAGGACCATTGCCATCCACATCATTGACAGCGCGTTCTTGCGCCGCAAGAGGCCCGCGTAGAGGAAACCAACGCCGGGAATCATGAGCCATACCAAAGCTGTTGCAGTGATGACCCAGGCCATGTCGCCCAGGTTGTAGATGTACTCCTCGCCCGCATCGGGGTCATACCAGGTGAGGTCGGAGGCTGGCGATTGGATGAGCAGTAGCTCGCTAGCAAACGCGTTCGCACGCACAGGACTCGGTATACGACACGTTGACCATGGTGTCTTGTCGACGAGTGCGACGACGACGGCGGGGCTTGCGGGACGGCGAGTGGAAGAAGCGAAGATAAGGCGCGCATGGAGGCTATATAGCGCGGGCTTGTTAGCATTTGTTATGCCCGAGCTGTCAACCACCCACGGCACATTACATTTTTCCCACGCCTTATCGCCCAATGAACGCATGTAAGCGCCCTCTTATCGTCGCCTCTGCACAAGGCACAGGGGCTCCGCTTGGCGCTTGGGCGACGGCTGCGACCGGGTGGCATTCGAGAGCACAGAAAACGATGTCGGCCGACAGCTGGGGCGGGCGGAAACGAGAGATTGTGGCACGCCGACGCCGACTCTGAGGCCCCGATAGCATTATTTAGCGACCACGACCAGCAACATCCGTCTCCGTCGCGAACATTGCAGTCAGATAGCGCGCAAGAAAACCCAGCCGGCAGAGAGGACGAGAACGACTTGGCTGCGATGTTTACTCCACAAAGTGGCGCCTCGAGAGTGCGATAGGCGGAGGCATGTTGGGGGCGTGAATGGGGAGGCACTGCAGGTGATGCGTACGACGACACCAGGGGCTTGAGCGAGATATGCTCTCCATCGTATTGGGCTGTCGTGTTAAATTGCTTGACAGGCCGACAGAGACGTCGACCTTACCAGAAAAACTCGTGTTGAGCGCGTAAGAAAGCGTGTTTCGGAGAGCGCGTCGAATCAACTTCCGCAGGACGTATGAACCTCCGCACTCGACGGAAGACGGATGAACAGAGTGGCAGCGTCGTCGCCCGAGACATGTTCCACAGCGTCGACGCCGGGGAGCTTACCGGAGCGCCGCTGTGGACCAGGCTTCCGTTGAGGATATGGTATTCCGGGGATCATCAAGCGTCCCGAGACAATGGAGGTCATCGCAAGCCAGGTACCGAGGGAGTTGAGCTCAGCGGGATGTGTAAGCGCTTGCGCGGGGAGAATGGACTTTTGAAGCCGTTGGGGATAACGAGTTGAGAATAATCAAGCCCCTACGACAAGCCACGGGATGCCGCTAGAACAGTCGTCGGGAAGGTTACTGCGCCGAGTAGGACCTGCATCAACTTGCTTGAGAGTGGTATACTACACCACATACTCGCATCCAGCGAAGATGATGTCCTGCCGTAGCGCTGATTCCGCGGCCAAATCGTTCGCAGAGGATCAGTGCTTGTGGTCGCAGTGATCACTCAAGAGGCGCAAACTCATTTGAGGTCATGAGTGAATTGATCGCCAACATGAACGGCGGGTGGCAGATCCGCCCTTATACAGCAGACCTTGAAGAGCGAATCGCTGGCCGTGATGAACGCGAGGGCATCAGACGATCGCATTGAAGCGTCAGGAGTGAGAAGTTGACGAGAAGGTATGAGTTGATTTTCTGCCTCACGGACGACGCTCGAGATGAGAATACATGTCGTGCATTTTGAGGCGCAGCCGTCAGTGATAAGAGATCCAGAAGGTCATTTGGGACGGGAGGAACCAATGGAATCGACCAGAGGAAATCCAGCAATCGAAGAATCCATGAGATTCCCTGCAATCCGCAACAGAAGCAGCCATCAAGAGTAAGCAGAAGAACAATGGGAGGAGGAGACAAGAGATGGACAATGGCGCGATCTGTTTGTTCAAGCTTGATGTGATCGTGGATCAGCGAGCCGACCGGCGCGTATGTTCGAACCGCGGGCCCGCGGCTCGTTGCCAATGGTTCTTGACCTCAACTATCACGACAGTTCTTCTGCTTTGCAGGCTGGTCCTTGTTCAGCAGTGAGAGTGGGCAGGCTCCTCAAATGCTGCGCTCAGGGGCAACCGTCAAGCATACAAAGTAATGAATCACTCAGCAACAGCAGAAACCCGCCACCTGGAGTATCCGACCAGCTTATGTCACTGGCTAGAAGCGCACCAATTAAATTTTTTCAGTCTCTCTGGAGAACCCTGCTTGCATACGAATTTTTGGACAAGGTGCTCATAGTACCCATCAAATTCAGCCTTGTTGACGACAACCTCCCTCCAACATGGCTCCTCGCCGACCAACTCTACGAGTTCCTCCATGTGTGTTCTCAACGGACGAACAATCATGGACAGGCTTGGCCTCACGCCTTCCTGGCCCCACTGATGCGCGCAGCGAACTTCTCCTTATACTTCTCCTACAGCACAATCAGCCAGCAGCATCGACCACATTCACATTCCACTCACCTCATCCCATGTCTTCTTGAAGCTCTCGCGCTCCTTCAAATTCGCAAAATACTCCCTCCACCGCGCGAACCGCGCATCCTCCGTCAGCACCTTATACGCCTTCGGCCCCTCCCCCTCCGCAAACCCGCCCACATCCTCCCTCAGCGCGACCTCCAACCGCGCAAAGAACGGCGCCGCAGCGACGTCCGCTAGCGTATACTCGTCCCCCACCGCGTACTTCCCGCTAGCGTACTTCCCACTCGTGGTACCCGACTTCGAATTCGGCAACAACGCCTGCAGCCCCTCGAGCGCGTCGTACAGCTTGTCGAACCCCTCGCCCTTGAGGACGGACGCGTACCACTGCGGGAAGAAGCGGCTGGAGAAGGCCTCGATGAAGAAGCGCGCCTTGGCGCGGAGGACGGGATCGGAGGGGAGGAGCGGGTGGTTGGGCGCGAGCTCGTTGAAGAAGTCGATTATGACGAGGGATTCGGCGATCTTGGTGGACTCGGGGGAGGGCTGGTCGGGCGGGACGTCGGGGCCGCCGTAGGTGATTGCTGGGACCTGAGGAATGGGGATGAGACAGAAAGGCGAGGCGAATAAAAGGTGGCGGCGCACCTGGCCTACGGGATTGACGCTCGGGTACCACTCGGGCTTGTTGCTCAGGTCGATCTCGAAGCGCTTATAGGGGAGTCCCGTCTCCTCGAGTGCAATCTCGGCCTACAGCAGTATCATCAGTTGATCGTTGTGCACCCATGAATGGTACGTACGCGATGCGCGAACGGGCAGATCTGGTGCAGGTAAGTCAGTTGCTGCGACGAAGTCAAGCGCTAACTACTCACAACTGAGGTGTACAGTGTGATTTGTTGGGTCATTGCGACGAAGGGTACAAGGGCGAAGAACGACGCGCATATAAGCGGGCAACGCCCATATATACGCGAAGCTACCCTGTATCTGTAAGCAGTAAGCCCTGCACCATTATGTCAGTAGGAGGGGCGCCTGACCACCGTCGTCACCGCGAATGCACTAGAAAGCATGCTACTAAACTGCAGAAAACATACAAAATCCCTTCTGACCTCTGATAGAGGCGCAGTATTGACTACTGGCCATACACTAGCGTTGTCAGCTGAAGGCAACGATGACGCTTGCAGGGATAGAAGCCTCTTAAGAGTGAGAAGGAAGTCCTGTGGCGACATCATGCATGCCAGCGAAGGTGGCATCAGCATGGGAATACGTCGGTGGAAGGTGGCGCTGGGATGGGAAGGACGGCGCGCATCGACAAGGCCGGAACCGACGAGGCGAGGGAAGTGGTCAAACACATCTATAGGCTGTCTAAAACGCACGACGTGGTACATCACGGCTTCCGGAAGTCAGCCACACGCAGCGCATACGCCTGCTTGAACGCGGCCTGCAACACCGTCAGCCAAGCACACCAACCCTCAATGAACCTCCGCACCTCATCAAAGCTCTTCTTGAAACTCTCCCTCGCCTTCAAATTCGAAAAGTACTCCCTCCACCTCGCAAACCTCTCCTCCGTCATCAATGCCTCATACGCCTTTTCGCCCGGCGCCCCCTCCTTAAAATTCCCCAACCCATCCCTCAAACAGACCTCCAGCCTCGCCAAGATCGGCGTCGCAGCCACATCCGCGATACTATACTCCTCCCCCACAGCGTACTTGCCCCTCACCAAGCTACCCAAATACTCGATCCCCTCGAAGAGCTTGTCGAACGGCTCCCCGCGCAGGACGGTCGCGTACCACTGCGGCGTGACGCGCGAGGAGAGGGCCTCGACGAAGAAGCGGGCGCGCGCGCGGAGGATGGGGTCGGTGGGGAGGAGGGGGTGGGCGCGCGCGAGGTCGTTGGCGAATTCGACGAGGACCATGGATTCGATCAGCTTCGTCGATTCGGGGGAGGGCTGGTCCGGCGGGACGTCGGGGCCGCCGTAGGTGAGGGCGGGGACCTGCGAGCGTGTGGGGCGAGGTGAGTTCAGGGGGACGGGGATGTGAAGGGGGAGAGGGGCACGCACCTGCCCGCCGGCGCTGACTTGGGTGTACCACTCGGGCTTGGCTCTGAGGTTGATCTCGCAGCGCTTGTAGGGCAGGCCGGTCTCCAAGAGTGCCATCTCCGCCTATATATGCACGGGGTTCATGAGATATTCGCTTAGCAGGGATATCCACGTACGCGGTGCGCGTACGGGCACATCTGCGACCACAATCAGCCAACTGCAGACACTCTCCCGAGCTGGCTACACACCTTCGACGCGTACAGAGTAATCTGGCCAACCATCTTGCTATGAGGTTACGTCAAGAGAGCAGTGTATATGCGGGCGCTTGTGGGCGGCGCTTCGTGCGCTCGGGTCTTCGCTAGCTAGATCGGACGACTCCTTCGTTCAGCCTCCTTTTATACAGCAGCCGCAGTGTGAGGTGGCGATGGCTGAGTAAGACGGGCCTCGAGTGTTCATGATCATGCTTAGGACGGTTCATGATCACGCTCAGGGCGTGTATTCGGAATTCGAGTAGATAGCGGACCAGGGTTGCTACGCGTCGCAGACTCGAGATGCTGGCACCGTCGACCATGTTACGTGGCATGCAACAGAGATGTCCATTAGCGTCGGGCCCTGGGATGAAGAGGGAACCGGTGTGAACGGCTACATGACGGTAAGAAAGAGAGGGCGAGAATAATGGGATTGCCTAATCTGGAATATCGGCAATTGCCGTCCCATTGTACTATGACGTCGCTGTGTCACTGTCGATGAACGAGCAAGTCTCGACCATCAGGCTCCCTTCTGAGGTACAGGTTCCAAGAGGTGATTCGTTGAGGGGTATTGTACAGTGCTTTCCTAACTATTCGCTACAGAGTTCATGTTCGTTTACTTCTTGCCGGCCTTCTTAGCAGCGACCCGTGCGCGGGTAATCTGCTTCTTCCAGCCGTAGCATTGGTTGCAGGCTTATGGACGGTTAGCACCGTCACGACAGACAGGATAGCAGGAGCATACAGGCAGAACCGTGCTTCTTGCACTGGTAGGTGCCGTCCTTCGTGGTGCTGGAGGCGGGGGCTTCTAGTCCCTCGCGGTTCATGGGGTCGAACTGGCACGCGCAACGTCAGCAGGTCTCACGAGGGAAGGGAAAGAGACTGCGCACCCCAAAAAACCCGTCATTCTCTTCCCGGAAGTCCACATCGCATTCCGTGCACTGCGGTGCTGGTCAGCGACGATGCCCACCTCGACAGGGGGACCAGCGACACTCACGACCTCCTTGAAGTGCTGCGCGCAGAAGATGGCGTCGTTGAGCTCGATGGACTTCTCGACCTCGGCCATGTTCAGTTGAGGATGCGAGGGGGACGACTCAAAAGGCGAGAGCGGAAGTAGAACGCTGCGTTCAGGCGGATGACCAGAGTACGAGACCAAGTGCGCTTGGGGGGCGGTCAAGCGACTTGCGCAGCTTATATAGGTGGGAGAATCGGCCTGTCTAGGTGTTTGCGGGTATTAGGTGCGGGGTAGCAGGCAGCGGAGGTCAGACGACCGCGGTTGAGGGAGCAGGTGGTCTGCGCGATTCAGTCACGGTGACGCGAGCGCGGGGATTCGCGCCCCAGGTCGCAGACCACGGTGGGCAAGTCCAGTTCATGAGCGAGTTGTTGCGGAGGTCGTCGCGCGCTGAGATCCTCGGAGTGCCCCGCCTACAGTTCCCCAGAGCGCGAGACTGGGCGGCGCGAGACATAGTCCAGACGTCCAGGGCCCCGGCACAAGTCGAACAACCAGGTGACCGTTTGGGAAAAGGAAGTATGTGGCGCAGCCGTGGGAAGAAAGTCACGTCACCAGTCACAGGTGCGAACACGTGCGCTCCGAATGTTGAACGCGTCCACCATCCAAGACGCGACGAGAGTGCTCTCGCAGGCTGAAAACATACGTCTGTCGCAAAATCGCTGCTTTTTGATATATCTCTGACTGTCTCAGAACATCTTTCAAATAGTCAGGACAGCGACTCTCATATTTATTCAGACTCGCCACCTTTTCCTACTTCTTCCGCTGTGCGCAGGACCATCTTCTGTACACTTGTGATTGTAAGTTAATTTACCGAAAATATTGGACTCACCCTCACTGATCTACTCAGTAGCTTGACAACCTGTACAATCATGGACGACGGTCCCACCGCTCTGGCCTTGCCCTCGGAAATTTGGAACCAAATCTTCGACCTAGCGTCGGATGAGGATGTTATCTTTCAGTATGGGCTGCCAACTGTCATGGCCGAGTCCGCGTGGTTCAAAAACCCATTTGGTGAATGGACGCTTCGGTCGCCGCAGGAAGCCATCAATTTGGTCCAGCGACGGGCCTACTTCACCAAGAAGGTATGCTTTTTCGTGTTCGAGTCATGCACCGCGCAGAGAGATACTGATGTTGACCTTGAAAAATTCAGTCCATTAGGTCGACTTGTCGAGCATTCCGTCAGATAGGCGCCGAGTTCATGTACCGCTGCCTGTTCTTCAACGACCCGGCTCGTCTGCAGAAACTCAGCGACGCCCTCGACGCATCCGCCACCATCGCCACCACCAAAACGAAGTCCATCGGCTGGTGGAGCCGTCGCTTGCATCTTACACGCTACTATGCGAACACGAATCGCGGGCTCACCATGATGGACATGGAGCGCGCACTCATCAACGTGATCAAGCACTGTCCAAATCTCGAGATTTTCATCATCGACTGGTCCCTCGGCGACACCTTCGGCCCCGTCGCGGACGCGTTGGCGACGTACGCGTGCCGCTCGCTGCGCACGGTGCGCTGGATAGTGCCGAGCAGCGAGATGCACAAGGTGATCTGGGCGCTGGACTGCCTGCCCAACATCATTGCCGCGCACATCGAGTTCGAGCCGCCGACGGAGGAGGACTCGGATAACGTAGTCGTCCTGGGCTCGGCGTCGGATATAAACCTGACGCTCCCGTGCCTGCAGCAGCTCGTCGTGCGGGGGAACATCCAGGAGTTCCTCGAGCAGGCAACTGGCTGGACCTTGCCCAGCCTGCGCAGCCTCTCCATCGACTGCGGCAACAACCGCACCGACCAGCCGGACGTGGTGCAGTTCCTCACCCGCCACGGCGCGCGCCTCCTCTTCCTCGACCTGCAGTGCATCCCGCCGCTCGACATGCCGCGCATCCTGCACCTCGCGCCCGCGCTCAAGACGCTGTGCTTCAACGGCGACTGGCGCCTCCCCTACGAGCACGGCCTCGCGGACACGCCGACCAGCACGCTCGTCCTGCGCCCGCACGAGAACATCGAGACGGTCGGGCTGCACGGGCTCATGTACGCGTTCGGCGTCGGCTACGCGGCGGCGTACGCGAGCGTGGAGCCCCTGCGCGCGCACCTTGTGCGGAGGTCGAACGACATGAACGTCGCGGCGCTCAACAAGCTGTACTTCCCGCGCCTGCAGCGCGTGCGCGCGCTCAGCCGCTCCATGCTCATCGACCTCAACCGCGAGGACGGGCCGAGTGTGGAAGAGGGCGGCATCGAGCGCTGGGAGAAGTGGTACGGCACGCTCGAGCGCATCGGCGTGCGGCTGGAGGACTGCACGGGGCAGCTGTTGGGCACGCTGCCGCAAGACGAGGACGAGGCGGAGGATGAGGAGGAGAGCGAAGGGAGCTCGAGCGACGAGGAAGAGGAAATTAGTTGGGAATACCAGGTGCCGCCAATCGAGGAGGAGGAGGATGAAGACGAAGAGGATGCTCCGAGCGGTGGCGTAGCGGAGCTGCGCAAGTTGCTGGACGAGTGCCGGGCAATGGGAGAGACACGCGAGCCCCCGATGTTTGCCGGCATCATGGCAGATTTTGCGGCCATGTATCCTGGCCTTCCGGCCGCCTCACCGAGTGGCGAGCAGGCTGCAACGGCCGCCAGCCCTGCAGCTGAAGGTGCGGCTCCCGCTGTCGCTGCCGATCCAGGACCAGTGGCTGCAGCGCCTGAGTCTGCTCCTTCGCAGTAAACGATTCTACCATATGTACGATTCCAGATTGACACCATATATACTCGATGCTCAAGTAAATGGTCCCATAGATACCACCGCACGTACAATATTCATACAATCACCGAGTCACTTCCTCTGGTGCAACTATATTGCCTTCCATGACTTCGCATACGCTTCCGCCGAGCTGAATGCTCTCGATTTCACCACTGTCGGCAATCTTGACGTTCACCTCAATCTCGCTGCGACGCCCCATCTCTACGCCCTGAGTGATGCGGATGTTCCAGCTGGCGGGCTCGTTAGTAAGTGACGGCTCGATAAATCTTTTCCTCTCACCTCCCAGGCCCCTTCTGCTTGCCCAGCCATCCAGCGAGAGTCGATGCCGCAGATCCAGTAGCTGACGAACCTGTCAGACTGAAATGAAGAAAAAGCTGAGTGCACAACATACCAGGGTCTTCCGAAGGTCCAATCATCATGCGTGTCCTGAGCTTGATTGTGTTCCCTTCTTCTCCGAGTCGTACGAAGGCGTAAACGCCCACCAACCCTTCCCAATCCCCAAGCGCCCCATGCGCCGGTCGCACACGCGTGGGGAACACATTCATCCTCCCCAGCGCATCCACGGACGCTAACTCCAGCAGCACAAAGGTCATCCCCTTCACAATCGACGCCGTCGGGTAGATATCCACCTCCGCATCGCTGCCCTTCGCCGTCCGCTGGACGTAGTCGTCTGCAGTGAGATCGGGCTGCAGCTCGGCGAGCCGCGGCGTCTCGAGGGGCCCGTGGTCCATAAAGTCAACGGCGACGCCCACCCGGGTGCCGGTAAGATTCCCGTTGGCGTCGAGGATGCGGGTGACGGGCATGTCGCCAGCGAGTGTACGCAGGACGATTTCCCGGCCGGGGAAGCGACGTGCGTTGTAGTAGCCCCCGCCCACGGTCGGATGTCCTGCGAAAGGTATCTCCCCACCACCTCTGAGGTGAATGTTGATGGGTACAATGACTACTAGAGTGATTCGGCGTGAGTAAGGCAGCAGATGGGACGACTACAGATGCAGATGATTTAATGGTGTTAACAGCACTTACCAGATCCATCACCTGCATCTACTGGTTCATTCACAAAGATAGTCTCAGAGAGATTGAATTCTCGTGCAATGGCTGCTCTTTGAACCTGTGAGAGGGATGTATCTGCTGGCACTCGGACAACGCCGAGCTGGTTGCCGATAAAGGGGCGATTCGTAAAGACATCGAGAGTGCTGAAGGGTATCTTCCTAGTCATCATCCTGATATGCCGCGGACAAGGTAGCTGGTCCTAGTTGCGATGGGTGTTGAATCCAAGGGAGAGAATAGTGACTCAAACCGATGTTGAACTCATGACTCGCGCAATGATTTCTCCCACGATGAAATGTTACAGCCAAGAGCGCGACGTCAAGACGCGGTCATGACAACATCCATGGCGAGCTAAAGGGGCTAGGTCACCCATTGACGCCCGCGCGCAGCGACAGGATGTACATCGGGCAACGAGGGACGCTCGGCGGTGAGGAGCAAGAGAAGTGATTTGCGCGCTCGGCATTTGCCGGTTCATCATCCATAACGACAAAATTGGACCCACAACGTTTACCCTGAAGTTCACCCAAGCCGTGCATTCGCCCAAAAGAATTCAGAGAGAAGAAAGGATGAAGATCTACAGCACGTATCGGAACTCCTTGTTCTCCTGGTCTGTCTTGTCCAATAGCCCAGCCTTCGCGCCCTGGAAAGTCAAGTCTGTGGACCCGGTCACCTTCCCGTACTTGTGGTCCCGGTGCACGTTGAAGCGGGCCATGTATAGGCGCATGAAGACACCGATGGCAAACTGCGCGCAGACTTGGGGAGCGCGATTCAGAGTTGCAGAAGTCAAGACGGGTAGGATGACTCACACATGCACAAGATGATGGTGAGCGCCTTCGTGTATCGCGGCGCATCGCTGTCCGGGAACATGAAGGGGCCTACGAGCAGCTTGAGAGGCTAAGCGCAATCGGAGAAAAGCAGCGTACCCGATATGTTACCCGCCGCATTGCAGCACATTAGGATCGCGTACACGACGGCACGCTTGGTGTGACCCGCGAAGTTCTGACCGAGTACAGTCAAAGTAAAGGGCCACGTAACGGCGTAGCTATGCAACTTCGGTGAGTGACTAGGTATAGAATATGAAGATAGTGCCGCACCTGTTAATCAGCCAGTATGCGACGACGCGACCCCACTTGCTGTAGTTGCCGTCTTCAGTTGCGTATACAGTCGCGATACCTGGTAGGCTGGTCAGAACGGCCCCATTTACCCTCGAAAACCTCACGAACCAGCGATAGCGGGGATGAGAGGCAAGCTCAACCCAAGCGTCCGCAAGTTGCCGTACTTGATGGAGAGTAGTCTGCACAATGCTCAGAATAAACCTGAGCGCAAGACTCGAAAGACGGACTCACGACCATACGACCATACTTCCCGAAGAGACAATGCTCTGCGGCATGCCCACGAGGAGCGTTTGGAACGTTGTGAAGCCAAAGCCCTTGATGACCAACTGGTTGAAGCTCGTCAAGCCGCCGTTCGGGACCTGTAGACCGTCAGCGAAAGCAATGCGATCATGGGAGGATATGATCTTACCATAGCAATGAAGCAGTAGATCCAGATGGTCCATGCCATCGGGTCCGTGAACGCATGCTTGATTTGGTAGTTTTGCCCTGCTCTCGCATTAGCATCGTTTAGCATACACCGACCCGGTACACGCACAGGTATGCCCCTTCGTCCCCGTCATATTCTCCGCAACGCGGCGAACAGCAATAATCTTCTGCTCCTCCGTCAAGAACTTCGCCTTCGTCGGCACCTCCGGCATGAACATCCACCCGATGCCCGTGAGGATCGACAGCAGGCCGAGGACGAGGAAGATGTACGCCCAGGACTCGATCTTGGTGCCGGTGATGTGGCCCACTGGAAGGGTAGCCGTTAGTCAAGAGGAAGGAGAGGATAATAAGACCGACGCACGTCCGTACGATGCGAGCGTGAAGATGATGTAGAACGAGCCCTGCATCGCGCCCCAAATGAGCGAGCGGAAGACCTGCTCCTTCCGCGTGTACCACACGGACGTGTAGTTGACGAAGGTCGGGACAATTGGAGCCTCAGCGACACCTGGGTATATGGTTCGTCAGCGCATCAGCGCAGCGAAGTGGAAGTCGAGGCTTACCGAGTAGGAAGCGGACGGTGATGAGCGCGCCGTACGATCTGCAGCCGATATGGGCGATCATAAGTGAGCCCCAGCATATAGTGGCGCAAGCGATGAGTTTCGCGGTTGGGAAGCGTGCATTCAGCCATGCCGCAGGATATTGCCCGCCAAGGTAGCCGCTAGAGTTCAGGGAAGCTTTGAGTTACTGAAGGAAAAGGGGCATCGCAGGCAACGCACAAGTCTAGATTGCGTCGGTCAGCACCAGATGCACTTGAAGGGGGAAAGGTACTGACAGAATATCGAGCTCGCCCACGAGTAATCATCCCCCTTCAACTTCAGGTCCTCCCGAAAGTTGAACAACACCGCCCAGCTCATGGCCGTCTTATCGACATAGCAAAGACCGTACAGCACGCACACTGTCGCTCTGATCAGCATCCATTCCTTCATCCGAAATTCATGTCATCGTATGAAGAGAAACTCAGATAACTCACTCAACGGCAACAACCGCCAATCCAGCATCCGCGCAATGCGCTTGCTCTCCTCCTCGTCCACCGGGACCGTGTCCGCCGTCGTCACATACGTCTGATACCCTTCGTCCGCGTGCGACAGGTCCGAGCCCTTCAGCTCGTCGACTACCGGGGACGCAGGGTAATCGAACTTCTCGTCGTTGGGCGTGGTCGACATCGTCGGAATCGTAGGCGACTTCGTAAACGTAGCCGGCATCGGGATCGTTGACAGTGTCAGGCTCGTTGGCGGCGTTGGGATTATCAACGGCGCCGTGATCGTCAAGCGTGAGAGGCGCGGTAGAGGGCGCACCGCATGTGCACGTTAGCGCGCGACTTTTATAGAGCCTGCGATCCAGGTGACGCGGGCGGGCCAGCGCTTGATCTGCGCGTAGGCAACAACACCGACTGCATCCAGAGATAAGGCGCCCGTCGATAGACCGAATCGTATCGGGAACGGGCCGCATGTTGGTGAGTCTACTCTGGCAGGCTGGGGTAGTTGGTAAGTCTTGACATCCTGAAGCGCGCGTCGGCCCAGAGAGTAGAAAGGGACCGATCACAACCACGGGCAACCGACAACTAGCCCGAGCCTCATCCTGCACCTCCACTGCAGCGGGAATTCGAACTTCGTCCGTGTGATATGTGTGATCCGACGATCCCGCTGATAAGGTTGGCCTGCCCCGCCCTGGGGCTGCAAACTCAAGCTTCGTCCGCGCCCCACCCTGCGGCTGGCGGCCACATCCCGACAGCGTCCAGCGCTTATCGCGCGTCAAATCCGCCAATCCTCAGCTAGCCGTTCGCAGGATTGGAACCCGGAATACACTCTCCTCCACCGTCCACCAGCATCCCCACCTTCCACTAGCACCCCACCCCCGCTCTCCACTATGCAACTCACCTTCCCCTCGATCGACGAGGCCGAGTGCCTCCGGACACTACAGGACATCGTCCGCATCAAGTCCTACTCGCAAACGCAGGGCGAGATTGACGTGACGAACCATGTCGCGAGGGTGATGAAGGAGATGGGCGTCGAAGGCGGGGTGTACCCATTCGATGGCGGTGCGCGGCAGAACGCGATAGGCAGATGGAGAGGGAGCGGCGGTGGGAAGACGCTGCTGTTTAATGGGTGCGTTGAGTGATCGGCGATGCATGGATGGGGGATGGGTGGGTGAACCAAGCTGACGCCTTGCCCACAGGCACATGGACACGAACCCAGTAGGCGAGGGCTGGACGGTCGACCCGTGGGGCGGTATCGTGAAGGACGACAACTGCATATACGGCATCGGCGTCTCAAACATGAAGGCGGGATGCGCGGCGTACCTCTGCGCGGTGCGGACACTCGTGAAGGCGGGATGGAAGTTGAAGGGGGATGTTATCCGTGCGTTTGCTGTACTCCCGGTCGCGACTCCGCGCTTGACTGAGTCTATGCGCTATACTGAGTATATGCGCCAGTGACCTTCGTCGTCGGCGAGCTGCAAGGAGGGCCCGGTACTGTCGCCGCAATCGAGCAAGGTCACTGCGACGCCGATTACTTCGTCAACTGCGAGCCCAGCGATGTGCGCGCCATCACCATGCACGCCGAAAGCGAAATCTTCGAGATTGCGCTGACTGGCGTGACACGACAGTGAGTATATGCGTATGAGAACGCGCAAGATATGCTCACCTTCGCCGCAGCATGAGCAAGCGAGAAGAGGCCACGGATGTCATCCTCGCCGCGTCCGACCTTGTGCCCCGTCTGACTGACCTCACCTTCCCCAACGCGCCATCCCCCGTACACGCGAGCATCAACCGGTGCCATGTCGGTGTCATACGCGCGGGCTTGGGCAAGGAGATGGCAGAATGGCGACCGCCTCAAGTCGCGGACTATGCTGTCATCAAAGGCGCTGCGTTAGTGTTCCCTCTCGATCATCCGTCTTCACAGTTACTCATCGTCCCCCAGTCGCATAGCTCCCGGTCAGACTGGAACTGACGTACGCGAAGCACTCACAACGGCATGCAATGCGACGGTCACGAAGTTCCCAGAGCTGAAGTACGAGATTATCCCCGTTGAGGCGCACGGAATGCCCTCCTTCGAGGTCAACCCCGGCTCGCGCATCGTCCGGTCGCTCAACACCGCCTATGCTGCTGTCCGGGGAGTCGCCCAACCGACAGGAGCTATCAAGCCGATATGCTTTTACGGGTCGGACGCGGGGCATCTGTATCGAAAGCTTGGGATGGAGGGCGTCGTTTGCGGGCCAGGAGGGAAGTATAACACGATGCCGGTGAGTGAGAGTGATCAAAACCTTTCCTGTGTTGGACTGATATCCCATGCCTTGCAGGATGAGAGGGTGGAATTAGAGGACTACTACGACTGCATCCGCATCTTTGTGCGCCTAATTGTCGATATCTGCGGTGTCGATCAGGTACCGCGTTGAGCACAGGGAGGGGCAACGCACCAAATACCACTACAAACGAGATTCCTTCAAAGAGGCCGGCACCAACACGCCCCCCTCGAGCAGGTACTGTGGTCGTGATGGTGGTCAAGAGCAAGAGTGGGATATGCATCGTGCGTCGCAAACGCATCTCGTCACGAGTGTCACGGATCCGTCACGGCGCCAACTTACGCGCCATCCCCCCTCCTCTAGCACCCCTAGGGAACGATGCAGACAGTTCTCCCTTGGTTCTCCCCTCCTAATGTCACACAGATATTCTTCGTTGTACCGCATGAAATGGTAGCATACAATCAACATCATCATAATAGAGCTCAAATCCTACAGTACGAAGAGGGGACGAGACCGCGAGACCGCCTCTCGAAGGCGCTGCTGCGACTTCCAACCCCAATAGAGCCATCATATCGGGAAGAATACGTATATAGGAAGGAGCGAGACGCGACGTAGAAGACATGACTGCGATTCGAACGCACAAGGGCTCCCGACTGAGCCGTCACACCGAGGAGGACCGGTGAGCGAAGACGGGCGAACCGACGGCGGAGATAACTGCGTTGACAGAAGTCGGTGGCATAGCACAAGAAAGAAAGATAGCGACGTACAGATAATGACGGCGAAGAGGCTGGCCTTGAAGGCCGTCATTGGGGCGGGGTCAAGTCGCGGCGTATGCGCTGACCAACGCCCAAAGCGCCCAGAGTCGGGGGTGTCGGAGGTGCCGCGCGTCGCCCGTGCATGCACGCGCTCGACAGCGCGGACCTGGGTGACATACGAGACAGAGTCCCACCTGCCTCTTGAGGGCGGGGACCGGCGCAGGAGGCACCCAGCGCAGATGATCCGCCCCGCGCCCATCGTGACCTTTAACCACAAGTGGGGTCACGACGCACCCGAGGAGGCAAGAGTCCGCGCCCGCTCGCATGCCATGCTCGCTGTCGAAGCCATTTGGCGGCGGCGATGGCGATGGCGACTGGAGGCGATGATGTCAGTTGAGAGACGAAGGACGCAAGATCGGCGACGTACCCTGGAGGTGTTGCTGGAGACGGAGGGGAAGTACGAGACAGCGTCCCACCAGCCTGTTGAGGGCGGGGACTGGCGCAGGGGGCACCCGACGCAGATGATCCCGCTCGACGCCCATCGTGCCCTTTAACCCTATGAGTGGGAACACGACGCACTCGACGCGGCGGGGTCTGCGTCCGCTCGCATTCCATACTTGCTGGTCGATGTCGCCGCCCCGTCGAAGTCGTCCGTCGTCCTTATCGATGCCTATGGGGGGAAGGGTTGAGGAGTGAGTTATCCGGCGATGGACGCTTCTCTTATATAGTGGGCCCGCCGAAATGCTGTGCAGAGTTGTTTTGTTGATGTATGCATGAAACGAAGGGGTAGAACAGTCAGCGGAAGGAACTGGGGACGGAGGATTCAGCAGATCATAGGCGGAGGTATAGACGATCACGCACCTCCGCCGTCGCTCTCTACTTCGAACCCTTCTGCTGCTTCGCGATGCGCTATTGCTCAGCCGGCTACATCCTAAGGGAGCAATTGCACTGGCGGGTGCGGATATTTTGCAGAAGCACATGTCAGAGAGCGAACATGGACTAGCGGGATGAGGGTAGGAGGCAAGGGCGAGTTGATGGGAGACCGATCAGATCACCGCGGTTTGCCTCCTCCTTTTTGCTACTTCCTACCACCATGTCCTTCGACCTCATCGTGCCTCGCTGTCGCTACGCCCTCAGTCAGAGTTCTCGCCCATCTGATAATATATGACCCTGTTCTGCACTCTCCTGACCCCAATACCTCCATAATGGGCCAAAATTTACTCTCTTCACGACCAACCACGGTGAACTCAGACTAGGATTGGCGTGCTTGATTACACTTCAATTCTCGTTACATTGAAATTAGGGCTGATCATAGATAGGCACGAGCGCTTCGCTACGCCTTCCTGCGTTGGTCTCCGAAGCGGGAAATATAGTCCTTCCTCAGATTCTCCTGCAGGCACAGATATCAGCGATAAAATCATTGATTGCCCCAACTATGCTCTCACCTCGTCGAAGGTCTTCTTCACGCTGTCACGCGCCTTCAGATTCGCCCAGTACTCACGGTAGCGCGCAAACCGTGGCTCCGTCTGCAGGATATTCCACGCCTTCGGGCCCTCTCCCTCTGCGAACGAGCCCACATCGTCCCTCAGCGCTACCTCCAACCTCGCGAAGAACGGCGCGATCGCAATATCTGCGATCGTGAACTGGTCCCCGACGACGTACTTGTTTCCCGCCGGCAGAAGCGTCTGCAGGAACTCGAGGCCGGCATAGAGCTTCTCGAAGCCCTCGCCTTGCCTGTAAGAGGCAACCCAGCCGGGGACGAGCCGGCTGCTGACGGCTTCGACGAAGAAGCGGGCGCGGGCGCGCAGGACGGGGTCTGTGGGGAGGAGGGGGTGGTCGGGATGGAGGTCATTGAAGAAGTCGACGAGGACGAGGGATTCAGCGAGCTTGACTGCGTCTGGAGAAGGTGCTTCGGGAGGGTGCTCAGTACCGCCGTAGGTGATGGCAGGAACCTACGATTGGGTGTTATGGTCGAGTGCGCAGGACGGAGTAAGCTGATGACGCGCCTGGCCTCTGGGATTGACGTTGGGATACCACTGGGGCTTGTTCCTCAAATCGATCTCTACTCTCCTGAAGGGAAGACCTGTCTCCGCAAGCGCGATCTCAGCCTACAGAACTGTCAGTCCCTCTTATCGACGATCGTGAGTACAACACACATACGCGATGCGCGTAAGGGCAGACCTGTGACCGCAGTCAGTACGGCCCTCCAACGAGAAGACTTAGCGACGCACCTTCGCAGTATAAAGAGTAATCTGACCAACCATGATAGACGCGAGAAGCTGGGTTATCTCTCCGTAGACGATGTTAAGTTAGTCCTTATATACCCCTCCAAGATACGCCATAGCGCTTCGCTATGATGTCGAGGGGGAGTATATAGATCGCCTGAGTAAGCCGCCCATCAGCTGTCAGCCTAGCAGACCGTCAGCTGGCTTCCGCGGGAAGCTACCGCTGGTGGAGGAGAAGGACGAGTCGGAGGTATGGCCGAGAGTCACTGAGACTTGAATGGCATCCCCAGATCCCATCCGTACCGATGGGAACTGGTAGCAGGCGTGCTATATGAGACGAGAAGCCCTCTTCTGGCGCCCGAGGTGGTATAAGCAGCTTGTGAATGCTTCAGGCGAGAGTATGATTCCTTCGTTACGCCTCAAGGGTTATATTCGGGGATCCATGGCTGTCGAAAGCAAGTTGAAGATTGGCGGCGGACAACGTCGCCGGCGAAGTCGCAATTTGTGGCGTAGTCACGTCACATGGACCCACGCGAGCCCATGATGTTGAACTTGGCAGCTTGCTGGCCATGTAAGTCTGTCAGCGTGCGAAGTCCTAACTGCGTCGCATATCGACCCGCTCATTCATCGGAAGAGCCCCGTCCGTTGCTTACTGACATGACTATCTTACAAACATGAAACCGCTGCACTGCTATCGTACAATGTTGGACTCCGACCAAAACAGGTATATGGTATCTACGACTTGCGAAGGTCAGCAAAGCGAGCAGAGAAAGACTTCTTGATGAATTCCTGTGAAACAGACCGTCAGAGACATGTGCGCAAGGTAACACGACGATGCTCACTTCGTCGAAGGTCTTCTTGAAACTATCCCGCTCTTTCAGGTTGGAATAGTACTCCCTCCAGCGCGCAAAACGCGGTTCCGTCTGCAACGCGCTCCACGCCTTCTGACCTTCGCCCTTCGCGAAGACGCCAATATCGTTGCGGAAGGTAAGCTCCGCCCTCGCGAAGAATGGCGTCGCAGCAATGTCCGCGATCGTATACTGGTCGCCCACCGCATACTTGCCGTTTGGCGGAAGCAATGATTGCAAGAACTCGACCGCCTCGAAAAACTTCTCGAATCCCTCGCCACGCATTACTGCGGCGGCCCAGCCACTGGTGAGGCGGCTGCCGACTGCCTCAACGAAGTAGCGCGCCTTCGCGCGGAGGATGGGGTCGGTGGGGAGAAGCGGGTGGTCGGGGTGGAGGTCGTTGAAGAAGTCGACGAGGACGAGGGACTCGGCAATCTTCTCAGACTCGGGCGAGGGCTGCTCGACCGGATGCTCCGGGCCACCGTAGGTGATAGCGGGGACCTGGGAATGTGTGAGTGCGAGGTGATATGAGGTTGGTGCGCTACTCACCTGGCCTCTGGGGTTCACGTTCGGGTACCACTCAGGCTTGTTCTTCAAGTCGATCTCGACCCGCCTGAAGGGCAAGCCCGTCTCTGCGAGCGCAATTTCTGCCTAGTCGTGGGTCAGTTGATCGCGTTCGTCGCGCGGCAAGTTGGGGACGCACGCGCTGAGCATAGGGGCAGATCTTTCGAGAACTTCGTCAGTTCCAAATGGCAGGCTAGAGACAAGCCACGTACCTTGGCGGTGTAGAGGGTAATCTGGCCGACCATGGTGGACGCGGAATGAGAGCTAGGGCGAGCAGATGACGCCGCGTTGTTTATATACCGCCGCGGCACGCCATAGCCGAACGCTATGACAGGAGTGGCGGAAGAATCGAACGCCTGAGTAAGCTTGAACTTGCGGGTGGGTACTAGCGTGGCGAAGCCCCTCGGTCTGAGAAGATGACTAAAGGATGACACCCAGTCAAAACGTGTTCTGACGCGGTCAAGCCAGATAGGGCCAGATGTGACAGATGTAACGGGGATATTACCTAGTATGACCACCGTCACACCCGCGCGCCTTCCGTCTTACCATAACTTACTGCATTGTACTGGCACCCCACGCCTTGGAACTGATTAATCTAAGCGCGACACTTGGCTTGTTTCCGAATGCGAAAAGTGCTCGTGTGATTTGTCTCGAAAGTTCTCACGTACCCAAGGCACTGGCGACTCGAGAACTTCCCGAATAAGCACGAAATCGACAACAATCGTGCTTTCCTACTATGTCGGTGAAGGAGGTCTGCCACTGCTCGCTCAGATGTGGTGGACCCGACGGTCCTGGGCGTGCATATACAAGGAAAGTCGTAAACCGACATCGCAAACGAGAGCGAGAGCATCAAGCTCGCCTTCTCCTCGCCTCTACTAGCCAGTACAATGAGCAGCTACTTCGGGTCACCCACGCAGGCTCGACACACAAGCGACGGGCTGACTCCACGTCGGAGAGTGCAAGGAAGCGCACACGGACCGACATCTCAGGCAACAAATTCCCGGGAGCTAACGAAGATGCGAATGCGCCCAATGGCGATCCGGGAGAAGACGATGGCGATCCCCTCGAGACAGAGGAGCATGCAGAGGTGAGAGAATCCGATGAATTCCACCCCATCGAGTTTAGTAACCTGGACAGGACGAAGACGAGGCCTTTGCGAGAACTGCACAAGCAGAGGACTCGGTGTCTCGAGAAGATGTCCCTCAAGAAGGCCCTCGCCCTCTGCAAGATCGAGAGCCGTCCTCGCCACCCCGAGACTCCCCGGTAGTGACTGAGAGCCTCGAACTCGAGGACGAGGACGACGCGCGAGCAGGGGCGGGAAGAGAGGATTCACGCGATATCGACCCTCCTGACGAGCTTCAGGACGCAGATACTCCCGCCCCCCGCTTTAACCCTGTGCTCGACGACCTCAAAATCTCGCAGAACTTCATTGAACTGCTTCAGCAGGCGGCACTCGATAGCGATGTGGAGCCCCTACCTGAGGATGTCATACAGCAGCTTCGAAATCCTCCAATGCACACTCTGACGGTGGACGATCCCGACCACAGATACTCACTGGACCTCTTCTTTGCGCTCACTGACGCCTCTGTGGACGCATACAACAACTCTCGTGCTGCTTACCTGCGCCGCCATCCTGGGAGCAATATTCTCTCCTTTCACGAGGTATGTTGGTGATTCTCTGTGTTTACCTGATGATGCTAACTCTGAGGATTCAGGTGAAGAAGCTGGTCCGAGAGTTGAGCGGCATCATCGAGGTCAAGCGCGATATGTGCAATAACTTGTGCATTGGGTATACGGGCCCCTATCGCGATCTCGAGTTCTGCCCGTACTGTGGGGAGCGGCGCTACGAGCTCACTCCGGCAAGCGGCAAAGGATCGCGCACAAAGCGTCCTCGGAAACAGTTCACAACAATTCTTCTCGGCCCTCAGCTTCAGGCGCAGCGACGTGGCCCGGAGACCTCGCGGCTGATGCAGTATCGCGAGCGTTGTACGGCTGCTGTCCTCGATGAGCTGAACGCGAACAACGGCATCAAAGTCTCTCCCTTCAGCGACTACATCGACGGCGCGGAATACCTCGAGGCAGTACAGGACGGACGGATAACGCCTGACGACAGCGTGGTTGTCTTATCCATGGACGGTGCTATGCTCTACCGTAACAAGGCGTCAGATTGCTGGATTTACATCTGGCTTCTTATGAACCTCGACGTCGATGTGCGGTACAAGAAGCGCTTCGTCTGCATTGGCGGCACAATTCCAGGGCCTAACAAGATTCGGAATGCGGACAGCTTCCTCTTCACGGGGCTGTACCACCTGGCTGCTATTCAGAAGGAGGGTCTCGTCGTATGGGATGCAGCGACAGGACGCGTCTTCCGAGACCATCCGTTCCTGTATTTGGCGACTGCCGACGGGCCTGCGATGGCTTACCTGAACGGCTTCGTTGGACATCACGGGCGCATCCACTGCCGCTTTTATTGTCCAATAATCGGGCGGCACAAAATCGGCGGTCCCCATTACTATCCAGCACGCCTTCGTCCGCACGATTATCGCGTTCCTGGCTGTGACCATCCCGATGTCGATATCCGAGAGCTGCTCGACGAGCATACAACAGAGCACGCCACTGCGCGTTATCTCAAAAATCTCGAGACCGTCATCAACTCCCCCAACATGACGCGCTACGAACGGAACCGTCTCGAGACTGGCATTGTCAAGCCCTCGATCTTCAGCGGCTTGCCTCCCAAGCATAACTTGGGCGTTCCAGCTATGTTTGGTGGCGATGCGATGCATCTCGCGACTCTCAACATCCCCGACCTGTACATTTCGTTGTGGCGCGCCACAATCGAGTGCGACACACGAACCGACAACAAGGCGACCTGGCCTTTTGCGATTTTCCGCAGCCCAGCGAAGTGGAAGGCGCACGGGCAGATGGTTGCAGACGCCATCCCATACACTCCGGGATCCTTCGACCGCCCTTCACGCAACATTGCGGAGAAACTTACCAGTGGCTACAAGTCCTGGGAGTTTCTGCTGTACTTCTACGGCCATTGCCCTTGCTTGCTCTTTGGGGATCTTCCGGAGGCCTACTACGTTCAGTTTTGCAAGCTGGTTCGCGCCACTCGGGTCGACATTGAGGTCAATATATCGGTCGAACTACTGTGCGAGTCTGACGAGCTCATGTGTGAGCAATCAGATGGATACGAGAATCTGTACGTCCAGCGTCGCGCAGATCGCCTGCACTTCGTCCGTGCTAGCGTGCACACACCATCGCACATGCCGCGCGAGACGGAGCGCTTGGGTCCCAGCATGCTCTATTCCCAGTACACGATGGAGCGGACAATCGGGAACCTCGGGGAGGAAATCAAGCAGCATTCGAATCCGTATGCAAACCTCTCCGAGCGCGCAATCCGAAGGTGCCAAATCAACGCCATTAAGGCCCTAATTCCCGACATCGAGCCCGCCCAGCCAAGATTCCCTCGACGAGCGCACGTACTTCACGAAGGGAAGTATGCACTTCTCCCTCGACGTGATAGGCTTGCCAGGTCGGTCACGCGCACAGAGGCTCGCGCTCTGCAGCGCTTTCTCGAAGCGCAAGGAGACCGTACACCTGTAGGTGACGGTCTGAAAGTGCGTCGCTGGGCAAGGCTTCGACTTCCCAATGGGCAAACTGCACGCTCGCGGTGGAAGGAGGAGGCGATGGATCCCGAGCACATCCGAATTTCGCGCAATGTCAAGGTGCGTCTTGGAATATGGCTCGGGTATGTATGGTTCTGACCCACATCTTGCGCAGTTTGCTGCTAGCGAAGGCCAGCGCTTTGCTGAAGTTCACTATTTTGCGCTTATTCCAGTGCACGGTGAGCTGCGTGGTGTGGCAATATGCTCGCTGTATGGTCTCCCTCATCAGGGGATATACAATCTATCGTCCAAGACGTACGTTACGATGCAGCATCATAGGGATACTGACGTTGTTGCCATCGATGCTCGAAGTATTCTTTCTGTTGTTCTGCTTGCCCCTGACCAGCGCTACCCTTTGTTCTTCCAGGACGAAACAGCAAAGGATCGATACTACCTAGTGGAAAGACCTGGTCTTGGTATTTTGGAGAAGATTGGCTACATATACAGTGACTCTCGTGATTCCGACGACGAGGACGATAATGAAGCCTGAGAATATATACCTCCTACCATTCTGCCCCTTCTGCAGTAGCTTATTCTTCTACCACAATTAGGATCGAACCATAGCATCATATAGTATCATTGTTGAGCCTCAAATAAGCGGGAGCTGTCCCAGATGAAGAACCCCAGCGTTGACCCAAGAAATTGAACCGTTGTCACGTGGGTCTCAGCGCGAGCACGTGATGCGCGCCTCCGACCGCGCAAGGAAATTTCTCGACTTTCCGTTTCCTCCCATACCTCGACCACGCCCACGACAACGCATACAAGCACCGGCACTGTAAACTCTAGTGTGTATAACTCATCGGAATGTAAGTTCCTAACAAGTCGAGTCGAATACCACGTCCAAGTCGCGCGCCGCAGAGAGCTTACGCGTCTCCAGGATGTTCACGAACCCTACCCTTCGCTCAGATACACCCATGTCCAGTGCCTCCTCCGACTACACTGATGCGCTGACTGGTGATACGCCCTGCGGCTGAAAAACGCGGAAAAACATACATAAACAAGCGATATATAGTCGACTTGGTCTAGATTGTATGGGCGGATCCGTATATACTGCACCGACGTCGCGACTGTACAACGGGCGCGTCGGGGGTATTTTATGACATAGAAAACCAGGAGCGCCACGCTTCCTAACCTTCAATACAACTAGTCCGCAGCATTATCCGTCTGCAATGACTGACCAAGGATAGCAGCGAGCTCTTCGGCGCCTGATCACGAGTCTGCGCGTCGTCGATGACATCCTGCGAGTCCTTTGGCGGGCCCTACTTGATCAAGTAGCCGCGCTATACGCGCCTCAAGCCTTCAGTCCTCTTGCCCTGCTGTGTCAAGAGACTCTAGATTATTGTTGGGGCTCGGACAAGCCTTCCTGCTGCTCGCCGTCATGCGGAGACACGCAGAGCACCGCGCAAGCGGAACTCGAACCATCAACGTGACTACACGTGACTTCGGGTCCGAGACCGGAACTTCGGGTCCGAGCTCGTGATCTCGGACATCGCCGAGTTGAACTCCGAACCGAGCGTCGGCGCCGCCAAGCGCTGTCCGCCCCGGCAAGGGCTTCACTCCCCGCGTATCGACAGTCTAGGCTGTACGCTCCCCGCCGCGCAGGCCTCTGAGCCGCGTCGCGCACAAGGGAACGGGTGGAAACCAGGCCGGCCTTGCCTTGGTAAACATCAACAAGTGTGGAATCGCGCCCGGCATCGCGGCGCAGGAGGATACCCGACCAGTCAACCGCTCTACCGCCAGGAACCGCAGTCATTGCGCGATTATTCGGACAGGAGAACGCGCGGATAGGCGTTATAGATGGATTTTGACTCAGAGATAGGCATTGTGTGTTACCGCGCGGTCTGGACGGCCGAGACGACGCGTTCAAGTTATATACCGAGACCTACATACGATTCGGGGACTTTTTCCCGCCCGCGCAGAGAAGCCCTAGTACCTACACACCACACCAAATAAACACAACCGCGTTAACCCGCACTTTACACATCATAAAAGCCTGAACTTCCGAGCGCATTAAACCGCCTTGTGAACTTCAATCAAACCCGAAAGCGCTCGTAAGAACGCCGAGACGTCCGATTGCCCCACTCGACTTCTCGCTTCAGTCCAGCTCGTCTGGAACTGGCATAAACAACACAATCTATCCCCTAGTAATATAAATACTCGGACTCGCCCGCTCTCGTAGCGCCTCCAGTCTAGCGTGTTCATTGCTATCGTGGTTGTTGGTGTTTGGTTGTGTGGATCGTCTAGCTAGACTGTACTTCGCGTCTTTCGTGAGCGTACGATCCCATCACTGGCTCAGGTAGGAGTCAGTAACACCTCACAAGCGAGGAAGGCATCTCACATACCTCCCAACAGACTTGCAGAGCGCCGACCGTTGGGACACCACGCTGCCCCCCTTCCATTCACCCAACCCGCTTCACTCAGGGGGCCTTCAGTTCGAGCTGGCCATGCAACATTCCTCGTCGTCACAGGCTCTGCACTCCGGCATCTCAACATCTGGTTACGATGTGAGGTTGTTGCTGCAGCGCATCAGGGAGCTGGAGGGGCAACATGCCCTACTCACGCAGAGAGTGTACGAGCTGCAGGGTGAACTCGCCGGGTCCAAGTAAGTTGTACGCTACCAACGTGATTTCTTCCGAGCTTACCAATAACAGAGCGGCATACAATGCGCTGCTCGAACGCTTGCCCTCGGACGGCTCCTCCCTCACGTCGGGCGAAAACACTACGCACGTTCGTGCCGCACCGCCATCTACACTAGCCGAAGCCGCTCTTCAGGCTGTCCGAAACCCGCCCCGCATCGTCACTCTGCATCGCAAGGACTATCGGCGCATCCGGTTCTGGTTTTGGTCCGAATTCTCGGGCTGGATGAGAGGAGAGCAAGATGTCACGCTGCTGGGGCCAGAAGAGGAGGAGGTCAAGCCGTCGAAGCTGGCATACAGATTCCTCGAAGATGAGGTCGGCGGGTGCATCGAGCACAGGAAGGGTGTTATGCTCGAGATGCTATACTCCATATGGCGTAGTCTGCTGCATGTCCCTGGGCTGCTCCCAGCGAAGTGGGGGAAGGCTAGCTTCGAAGTGCAGATGTATGTCTGGGCTACGATGGAGGAGGCGTTCGTGGAGTTGCGGTTCTGCGACGCGCATTGGAAGGTGCAGAGGCTGGCGACTTTGAACTACCCTTGGTGGTATGGCAAGCACGTGCGTTCACGCACCAGCATCGACAACGAGAGTGGTTGCCAGACGGGAGAAGGAGGGGGGCGCATTCACAAGACCGACGGCAAGCGTAGCGCTGCAGATGCGGCACTCGAGTCTCGTCAGACTACGAAGAAGCCGAAGAACAAGGTCTACGCATGTTATTCCCTCGGTCGCTCACTGTACTGATCCTTCCGAAGGTCATGTCAATCTTCCCCTCATCCTCGAGCAAGAAGACGCCTGCCCGCTCACCTCTCTCGACCGTCACAACCGCCGTGACGTCGACGGCGACGATCGGCGCCACGGCATCATCTCAACCTACGACTACGACGATCTCCACAGACACGGCTCCCCCTCATACTCCTACCACCTCCAGCAATTCGCATGGCAATTCCAGCGCGTCTTCCACCCCTGCAACACCTGAAGCGACCGCTATCGGAAGCACTGAAGAGCAGGCCCAACAGCACGCGACCGGCACAGTCAGGGATTTGGCTCAGGGGGCTTCATCCGAAGCGAGCGGGCAGCTAGAGAGGATGCATTCGGTGCGTGAACGACCTTCCTAACGATGTACTACATCTCAGTCTCATGGTATAGGAGTTGGAACCCTCACTTCAAGACGAGGTGCAAGCCGATCGCGCGGCCAATACGATCACGACGCGTCTCTCTACACCCCTCGTGGAAGAGACGCTCAATCCCCCATCCGCGCTGACAACCGCCCCCACCTCCCGTGATTCAAACGACACATCTTCCTTGGCTCCCGCCCCCTCTTCGTTTGCCTACCCATCGGCCACCATTCCCGCTACAGGAAACAAGTCAGACCCCATATCCACGGCCAAATCCACCCTGACCGCCCCGCCCAGCACAACGTTGGTCGCCCCCAGCACCCCTCGGGATACGGCTCTCTCTCCGAGCGACGCAGGGACGACTGCAATGATCTCCGCGACCCCGGCAGAGGCGAGCCGCGATTCCAAGACAAGTACTTCTCGTCCTGTCGGAACCAGTACGGGTAAAACAGTGACCCCATAGTAAGTCCCTTGTCCCCCAAGCTTGCCATCCGCTTACGCGCCTCCATTAGTATGCTCTGCCGTCAGGACTTCGAGCGCGCGCATCCAGGAGTCGACAAGAAGCGCATGACCGTGTTATTCAAGGCACACTGGAAGCAGATAGGCAAGAATGAGCGAGAAGTACGACTACTGTTGTAACTCATATATGTCTTCTGACCTGCCCATTGCAGGAGTGGCAGAAGCGGGCGCGTTTGGCGAACGAGTCGCATGTTCAGGTACGTCGTATTTCGTCTTCCGTGGCAGTGTTGTCTCACCGCTTTTCGTAGGCTGCTCAAGCAATTACAACCGCTTGAAGCGCTGTTTTGCTGTCCAGCCCGATGCCTAGAGGTGGTCGATGCACGTCGTACCGGACGCGTCAAATATTTGTTCGATGGGGTCATATTCAGTTCTAGATATGGCTCAAAGTGGTAGTATATAGCTATATAGTGTCATAAATTTCTCGAACTACATCGTGCATAAAATCACCAAATCGAGCTGAAAAGGAACAGAATGAAACCTAGTGCATTTTGTGGCAATGTAATGAAGGTACGATTCAGTCATAGTCGGCTCGTTCACGTTCGAAAAGAAATCGCCAGAGGGCACGTTTGCTCGAGCTAGATAGTACCACGTCGCACACTTGAGTTCCGTCACATCTGGCTCGACCGCGTCAGAACACGTTTTGACTGGGGATGACATCTGGTATACTTATAGCGAGTCGGGCAAAAGGGACCTCGTGGGATGGCGGGGATGATGGAGGGAAGGAACGAGTGTATGACGAGCCTATATAGGGTTCTGTGCACGCGTGCTGCGATGTCGATGAACCGCGAGCGGTTACTAAGAGCGGTAGGTAATGTGCTTTGGAACAAGATGGCAAGATGGTCAGGAGAATACCGGCGCGTGTCGGATATGCAACCGGATCTCAGACTAAATGGCGCCCTTACTCTGTATGGTAATTTCCGAAGACGCCCACAGATCAGGCATATATATGGACCTACGCGATAGAAGAAATAAGCTCTCAGGGGAGATGCCGCATCGTACAATCACGCACCTGAGAGTCATTCATGTCGTCGGTTCAGAATGGGCGACGGTTCAGCGTTGACATTGCCCACTTCTCTTCGCTATCTGGTGAGTCTAGCTTTCATCGTGCATGCTCTGCGCGACCGCTGGATCAATGAATTGGCCTGACGGAAAGTCGTCGTCGGCGACACCCACAGGCCCACCATCGAGATTCAGGGTAGTCGTCTTCAAGAGTCCGCGCCACCCATTGAAGCAGCCATCGAGAGCATTTCGAGGGCAGTATGTACACCAAGTTTCCGGCGGGTTGATGCATAGTAAATGTCGTCCGGATCGTGCACTTTTATGGCAGTTCCAGCGCGGAATGGAAAGATGAAATCCACATGTTGACGTTTCTCCCACACGTCGCGCTTCGTAGCCGCGGTAGAGAGATGCATGGTCTATCCTTCGCGAGACCGACGATTGGGAACACATGTATCACCTCCAAGAGGGAAGAGGTCGACAAAAGACGGTAAAGTCCTTGTCTGTCGATATGAGGGTGGTAACAGTGGTCATATATTGCAACATGAGTAAGCTCGTGCACATCGTTGGTCTCCCGGATGGGGCAGTTTATGACCGCCAATTTGCGAACAGAGCGAAGATCACCGGTGAACAGGATTGGCGTCTGCCAGGAGTCGATTGAGCTCCTAAAGACATAGATAGCTCAACTTTTCAGGGAGACAGGCGTGTCAATCCCAAAAACTGGCAGAACTTGGCAAAACGTACGGGCCGGTCAACGGTTATGTGCAGCCCTGTCAGACGCGAGAGATGGCGCCCAAAGATCTCCCTAAGTACTGGAGAGTTGACTCCTTCTCTGCTGAAAGGATTCGTCGAGTAGAGAGCCGTAAGAAGTTGAGTGCCAGAGCGCGCGAGGATGGCGATCCCCGCTTCCGTGGGCGGATGTCGACAAAGATCGATGGTAGTCCACAGCGCAGGATACGAGACAGCGATGGCACGCCTTCGCTTGCAGACGTGCGTCACTTTGCGCGTCCAGTCCAGCGCGCCGAGCGTCGGCCATTGAGGTACGAAGTCTGCGTAGACAGGCTGGGTGTAGAGGAACACACGCTCGAGGATCTCCGCGGGCAGCTTGTTCGCGGCCACACGAGAGTTGCGGACACAGTTCACAGCGGCGAGAATGCCTTTAACTCTGTCTTGCATCGTGAGGAGCGGAGAGGTAAGGCTCATGAGAAGTTGAGTAAGGAGAACGTGAGCTACGAACCTCGTCGTCGGTCAAGTCGGGACCGTATTGCAACGCAAATGACCTTCAAGGTTACCGAGTTGCTCTTGAGATCCCATGCCGCCTAAGAAGTGGTTGAGGGGTGCAGAGCGCAATTTTCAGAGAGCTGTTATCCGTCCGTGCGGTAGGAGGCAAGACGAAGGCGTGAGCCGCCTGGCTCAAACTCCGACGCGGGCACGTCGGATGATTCCGGTGGCGTCCCAATCTAACAGCGACCTTTTCGTCGTTCCTGTCTTCGCAGCTTCCAGCGACACCGCATCAAAAGCCTTGAAGAAATGATATTGTGTCGACTCGTTCTCAGCAAGAAATCAAGGTGGAGCTCGCTCGTGGTCGACTCAATGGGAGGCCCAGACTCAGACTTGCATTCTTCTCAGGCGTGATGGAGCGGACATAGCAAGGCCACTCGAGGTCTACTCCTACTCCCACTGTCTCTGGACTCGTGACCTACCGAGCTTGAATCGCACCAGCAGCATCTCCAGCAATGGGCTCCCAGCATGAGTTCTACCTCATCGCCAAGATCAGGCCACACGGCGGCGGCAAGGCCACCTACCGCTGCATAGGCGCCCTCTGCGCGCAGTGGTACCACGGGTCGATGCCCGTATCCGCCGCACGGCGCGCCATCCAGCTCTTCCGCGTCCCCGACAACGCGCAGATCGTGCAGGAAGAGCTGCGCGCGATCGATGGGAAGTACGGCCCTCACGGCAGAGAGGAGCCCGTCATCCCACATCGGCCATGCCCCTACACGCTCTTCCTGCTCAATCTCGCCGTACACTCGAGTTTTGAACCAGGGGACTACTTCATCGCGATCTCGGGCTCGCACCGGGCGGCTGGATCCGCACGCGAGGGCATCTCCAGATTGGGCTGTACCGTGTTCGATGTGACGGAGGCGGGGAATCCGGCATGTTCCCAGAACCTCGGAAGCCCGCTTCGATATCTGAAGGAAACGGAGCGCCGAGTGTATAGGAGCCTCCAAGGGAAGAACGAGAGTGAGCTGGACGAATACGCATTGTACGTCAAGAAATTGGCGGACTTTGTCAGCGACGTGCCGGTGATTGAGGAAGAGCATCTCCAGGAGACATGGTCCAAGTCGTCGAACGGGGATCCGAGTGCGGATGGTAGACTGGGTGCAGTCGAAGGAAGTGTCGTGGCGCCGAGCATCCCCTCCCTCACCGATCTCACACTCGGGCCGTCCGTCAAGCAGGCCCTGGAGGCAGGTGATCTCGACAGCATCGCACCCATCCTCGATCAAGGCGAAAAGAGACCTCGCATTCTGGACATCGTTCGCGGCTTGTCCCCTTTCCTCGACGCCGCCATCCCAGTTTTGAAGGAGCTTCTCACTCAAATGCAGTCTGACATCGCAGGGCTGCAACTCACGGGCGCGCAGCTCGTGAAGTACCTTGGCAGCGGACCTGTCGATGTGCTGGATCTTTCAGGGAATGCCGCACTGGACGACGACGGTCTGCAAGAGCTACTCATCCACATCCGCCCCATCCGCCGCCTTGTCCTCTTCCGAACAGCGGTATCCTCGGACGGGCTGCTCGCGCTCTTGTCGGACGCGCCCACCCTCTTTTACCACGTCTCCGAGCTTGTGCACCCCGCGCTCCTGGACTGGCCGAAAGAGCCCTACGATTCCATCAGTCCCGCCTTCACTCTCGAGGCGCATACCGCGGGCACCGCCCTCCCCGGCATCGGCGCAGTCTGCATTCCCATGCTCTCCCCCGACCTCCTCCTGCGCGGCATCACGCACTTCGTCCGCGCCTGCCTCCGGAAGGGCAGCGAGCTGCAGACTGGCGCGGGCGACGCAGCACTCGAGGCGGCCATCACCGCGGGCGCGTGCGAGGACTGGGCGACGCGCAGCGTGTGGTGCACGCCTGCCCCCGTGAAGTATCGCGGCGAGGGCACATGGGGTCTGGCGCTGTACTGGAAGCCGCGGACTTCCGCAGACATTCCTGGTCTGGATACGTCCAACGGTCGCAGGCCTACAGACCAGGAGTTTACCGATGCGTACAACGCCAATCCGGAGATCCTCATCAGCGTGCCGACGTATGGCTTCTTGAACGAAGACTGGCTGCAGGAGGGCATAACGGACGAAATTTGGGATGCGCGAACATTCTTGCGCGAGCTGATGAAAGACGGGAAGGTTGGACCAGGAGGTGCGGAGCTCAAAGCTGAGGGCGGGAGACCTGCTTTGTCCGAGGATATTACCCGCGAATTCCTGGAAGTCTTCGACGAACTGGAGAGAAAGGCAGGTGTCCTGAGCATGGAGGAGTTCAACGAGATGGCCATGCAGAAGGTTATGTATCAGTCAATCAGGGAATTCCACTGATCGGGAGTGTTCTTGACTGCCTTGTCGGTCGTCTATAGCGTAGTATCTTGCTCAGTAACATATCTACATCTTCTAGTCTCAGCTGTCTCGAGATAGCGGGAAGGTTTCTTCACAAAGCTCACCTCCATGACAAGCGCTCGCCGCTGCGGACCTGCCGGGCCGAACGTCCGGTCAAGGAAGCTGTGACCGTGCCCGTGACTACATAACATTCCGACTTTGACATCGACGACGACGACGACGACGACGACCAATTTCTATGTGGCTTTGACGCGCGATATACGCGTCGCCTCTACTTCCTTTTGCGATAGATAACTTAAGCTACCGTCTACGCACTATCCAAAGCTCTCAGCGACATCACGTCCTTGTCAGTGGCATCGAAACCAACCCAGCCTTTACCCCGCTCTATCACACGCCGACTCGATTTGATCAGCCTCTTGCCTCTTCCCCGACCATCTAGAGTGCTCTATCTACAGAAACATGTTAAGCTACATGCGATCTGGCGCATCACTAGCGTTGGCGCACAAATCCTTCTGTGGCGTCTTCCTCATTCTCGTTTGCTTTGGCCCTCTGTACAGCGCAATCGCCGCGTTCATCTGCATAGCGCTCAAACTCGCTGAATATCTACACTGGACAGGTGGGCATCTAGCGGAAGGCGTCGATACATTGTAGCTCATGGTCCATCACATCACAGATCCATTTTGGCACTACCTCCCCAAGGTCGCCCGTTGGGTCCTCCCCAAGCGCGTTTTCGATTACTTTTGGCCGCCGCTCAGGGCTGCTCCTGCCTATCTCGTCTACGACCCCGTTACACGCCGATACGTCCTCGTCGTGGTCGATAAACCCGGCCCAGAGCACTTCGGACCCAATGTCGGACACGCGCGCTTTGAGCGCGCTCCGCGGACTCACAGCTCTCGCAACGGCGCAGGAGCACGGCCTTTCTACGACGAGGACGACGAAGAAGAGTACGAGGAGGAGGAGCCAACGATCGTTTGTACGCGCTGCAAGCGGAAGAACCCCGATCAGCGCAGGAAGCCATCATACTGCGCGCAGTGTAGCGCTCCTTATTGCGGTGCCAAGGTACGTGCGCTGGTTCGCCTCGAAACTCTGCGCAGTTGATTCTTGGCTCTTTCCAGTGCCGAAAGGCCGACGCGCGCGTACACAAGCGCAGATGCCGAACTTGAGTGGCTTAGTCGCATCGATCAACTCTTACCTTTTCTTGCGAAATTTCCCGCTATATCTTGTTCTCCATCTCCGCTGTATCTTCTCGTCTTGCTCTTTCGTATCACCGCACTAGTCATGCTCTTATTCCATGATTTTGTTCTGCTGTCGCCTATCCTCCCTCGCCACTATAGATGATTTGCTTCGCTTCGCGCTTCATCCCCGATTCGCGTCGCGCGCTGGGGCTTTCTCCGAGCATCGATGTGAATGCCAGGTAAAACCGCCCTCGCATAGGCCCCTTCCTCCTTTGCATGTTCGCCCCTTCTACTACTAACGCTAATATTTTTACTTCCGAAGAGTCAGATCGCTGGCGGAAAATACCGCACGTGGATAGCTGGGGGCAGATATGGCGGGCGATCGAAGGTGAGACTTCGACACTCTCCCTATTCGTTATCCCTATTCACCTGGTTTCCCTTGACCTTTCCCCTCATCAGAGTATCAGCACGAATATCTTATCACATTCTTGAGTGGAGGCCAACTTGCTTCTCGAGCTCGTCGTCATGCGCTTGATGTGGATGTTGGGCATCCTCATCGTCGTTGCGCTATCCCTCGCAGGTGAATGGCTACTCGCTACAGCTGCATTGACGGTCGGAATACTGGATCACTTGTACGGTACGTTCGGCACGCGTCACTCGCCTGGTACTCGCATGCTCAACCAACCGATATAGAATGGCATTTGATCAGCGTACCTGCGCAGGGAGACCTGGCGCTTCGGGGTGAATCAGAAAAGGAGAAGCGGGAGCAAAACGCGGCAGCGCAGAGGGAGCGCGAACAAGCACAGAAGGCGTACGAGGAAGCCCACCAGCGCGCCCATGCAGCAGAGGACGACGAGGACGACGACAGCGCGCCGATTGAGTTCTTCGGCGGACCGATGTTCGAGGGGAGGGGGCTTCCGACGCGGGAAGATGCGATGGCAAAGGTGATGCGGAGGGCCAAACGCCAGGAAGAGAGGGAGAAAGCGGCGGCGGCGAAGCAGAGGGACGCGGCGAAGAGCGAGGAAAAGGGGGAAGGGTCGAAGACGTCCGGGAGCCATTGCGCTGAGGTTGATCAATGCGACTGTGAAGAGGTGCGTTCCCCTGATTGCTCGTGCGTTGTTGTGACTGAAGCTTTCGGTCGTCAGGGTCATTATGCGAATTATCCTACGTATCGGCGTACGGGACCGGGGGTGTGGTAGACTGGACATTCCGATTTCGCCGTTGAATATGGTACGCAGCACGCAGCATTTGACCGACCTTGAGCCCTCTCATACTTATGCGCAAGCTACAGATTGTTTCGTACTCTCTGCCCGGATATTATCTGGCTGCACCATCCTACCATCGCGTGTTGTTACTCAACTGCTCTTCTGGCACACGATGTTTGTTCGCGCCATGTCGTTTACGGATACATCTCTTGCTTTGCCACCCTCTGCGATCTGTGGCGGCTGGAGCAACATTCACGTGTACAAAGAATTTCGCGGCCATTGAGCGCGTTGGGACTGAATAGTGAAGGATGCCGGCACGGGTGAGGCTTGACGACGCTCACGTTTCCTGTACTAGGATCGCAGCTCGGGTGTCTAAGCGCCCCGTCCATTCCTTGTCTCTCGCGTCCATCTAGTTTCCCTGGGCCGACTTTTCGCTCGTCTGTCCGCTTGGCTGCTCCGCCACTGGCCTCCCATGCACTAAATCATTTCAGTCGGTGCGCTTGGCCTCGTTTACCACCTATATGGCGCACAGCGCAGTGCACTGGCGGCACTGTCATATCTCCTCTATCGAGTCGCGGACTACATCGGCCTCATGGGTGCGGCACCCGCCATCTGTACGCCATAACATATCTGACCTCAAGCATTAGCCCTTCTTTCTTGCTTCCTGGAAGACATTGCCTGGTGCATTCTACCGGGGAGCGTGCACCGTTACATCTGGCCGCCTTACAATATCGCCGTCATCGCTTTCAGAAATAGGGATCACAGTCGACACGGTCTGCTCGTGTTCGAGAGAGTCGACGACGACCTGAACGTGACCATGATTGAAGTGGAAAGGGGCAGAGGTCGGCCCCGGTGTGCTAGATGCCCACGAGAAGATCCACAGCGCAGTGGGCATCATGAGTTTTGTGCACGGTGCGGAGTGTGCTATTGCAGCCAAAAGGTGCGGCGTCTAGTTCTATGCTCAGAGACTGATACGAGATTGATCTACCTTTAGTGTCGCAAAGCCGATGCACGTAAGCATCGTCGTACTTGCCCTCCTGCTTGATAGCAGCTCTCCGTACAGTAGATATTCCTGTCGCATTGGTGCTGCCGTTTCTCATCATTCCTGCGTACGTTCCTCGACGCCCTCGTCGTAAATATCCTGTTACTTCACACACTCTTCAATTTCGAGGATAATGGGCGCATGAAAGGCCAAGAGCGCATTGGCTTGAACATCAGCGATGCCCCATAGACCGTCAAAGCATAGGCGCGCAACAGGTGTAGTTTTGTCTCGGACGCACACCGTTGTTGCTGTGCATGGCCGCTTGTGGGCGCCGATCACGTGGCCTAATCCCAGGCCGCAGCCGGCCGATGCCGACAATTCCACCTTGAACCCAGCCCTCATCGTACACCCAGCGCCGCGGTCTACTCTACATGCCAGCCCTTGCTACGAGATCCGATGCTCTAGTACCGTTCTATCTTTCTGGGCAAGCCGCGCCCTCTCACCCTGAACATCCCGAACCTGACCCCGACTGATTAAAAGGACCCCGGCCTCTGCATACTTCACGGAACCATTTTTCTGCGCACTGAATAGGGGGACCGCTTGCATCCGTCAACGATTTGTCTCGACGGGCACCTTGTACTCTCTTGACGACACTCACCTCGAACCAGCCGTCCAGCTCAAGACTCAGTCATGGTTCCTCCTACGAACACCCACGATACTGAGCCCGAGCCCGAAATCGAATGGGGCCCTCCTTCGGCCTGGCTTCCCGACCCTCGCACGGGCAGGATGCGCGAGTACACACACGCTGAGGTCCTTGCTGCGCTACTTGCAGGAGATCCCGAGGAGGAACGGAGGGAACGAGAGGAGGCCGAGTGGCTGGAGAGCGAGGAGGTCGCACGGATGGAGCGCGAGGAAGCTCAGCGTCGGGAACGCGAGTCAGCCGAGCGGGAAGCGCGCGAGCAAGAGCAGCGGTCCAGTTCGGGAACACGCAGGAAGCGCGGGCACACGCATGCGGCCCAGATGTTGGCTGCGCTCCTCGGCGACTCTGAGCGGGAAGCAAGGGAGCCCAAGCAGGAGCAGTCTAAGGGGCGCGATCATGCTCAGCGAGGAGACCACACCACAGCCAAGCCGAGGGCACGCGAGCGTGGGCAGCAGCCCAATGATCCGCCGCCGGGAGCGAAGAAGAAGCGCGGACGCACGCACGCGCACATGCTGGCTGCGCTTCTCGGCGACCCCGACGAGGAACGAAGGGATCGAGAGCAGGCCGAGCGCAGGGAGCGCGAACAGGCTCAGCGTCGGGAGCACGAGAACGGCGAGCGGAGGGCCCGCGAACAAGCGCAGGAGGACCAGAATTACGCCACCGACACTGATGACGACTGTGGGCCGATCTCCTTCGCCGGCGGACCAATGCTCGAAGGGATGGGTCTCCCGACGCTGGACGAGGCTATGGAGAAGCTGGAGTTGCGGGCGAAGAGGCAGGAGGAGAAAGATGCGGCGAAGAAGAGGGAGGAGGAAGAAGCCGCCCGAGTCAAACAGAAGGGCACGGCCGCAAAACAAGAGGCGGAGGTGGCGAAGCAGGGAATGAAAGCGGCGAAGGAGGAGGCGGTGAAGAAGGAGGGAACCGCGAAGGAGAAGGCATCGTCGGTGAATCATGCGAGGGATCACGAGGATATGGGGGAAAAACGTAGGATGCCTGACTGCCGTTGCGCTCGGTGCGATCCCTGCGATTGTAAAGACGTGCGTGCCCTTGAACACTAGTACGTTCTCATGTCTGACGTTCTCTTTGCTCAGTGCCATCATGCGCATTACCCTACGTATCGTCGTAAAGGTCTAGGGAAGTAGTAGCTGCGAATAACTCTCCCAAATGTACTTGTACGTCGCCGCCTTGCAATCGCTGAGGGTATCCGCAGTTCTTGTTGTTGACTGTCAAGCCGCGTCTTCTGTCCTTTCAAGCTTCGCATCAATATTCGGCAACCCTCTGTCGAACAACGAACAAGCTCCTCCAGTCCAACACATACCTTATCGGCGAGACTTTCCCCTATAATGCTTCCGCCTCCAGGCAATTACTGCGCATCCTGGAACGAGCATTTTTTTTTTGCTTCCGATAGGCTTCACAGACCCCTCACCGAAGCCCAGCGTGTCATATATAAATCGCAACGAGATCGGCGGGAGCTTCTTCTTCCTCTTCTCCTCAAAGTTGACTTTCGTTCGATGGGTGCGTGCTCGAGTATGTATCGTCTTCGATGTATTGATGGCCTCCATAGGGTCCTACGCATCTACTCCTCTACCGGAAGGACTAACCCTTCGCGATCCGAGCACGGGCGACTTCGTCCACTACTCCTATGCGGACCTGGTCGCCGAGTTTGCCCGTCCGCTGGACTACAGCCTCCTCGAGGAAGACGTCAAGCCGAAGATCATCGGAAAGAAGATTGTTGAGCTACGAGATCCAAGGACGGGCGACATGCGAGAGTACTCATTCATCGAGCTTCACTACGAGCTGCAGTGCCGGTACCAGATCGAGATGAAGCAGCAGGGGCGTTGGAAGTCAGACGAGGAAGTCACGGAAGAGGGTATGTTCACCGCGACAATTCGACAACGGCTCGAGCATGCTAACGCCTCCATAGCAGAGAACAGCTACTACTCTCCTGAGGCCTCGGCGCTTATGGATGCCAACATGGAGGACTACAGCATTTTCACCGATCCCGAGGCGGAGTGCGTCAGACGCGTCGCCAATTTCTGGACCGCGATCAGCATGGTCCCCTATATGAGGGCACAGAGGGCAGCGGAGGAGAGAGTTGCGCGAGAGGGCGGGCATATTAAGGACTACATCGCCATCGAACGCGAGCGCCAGGGTGTATGATTCCAGGATATGCAATACTTTTCAACGCTTCCCTGCTCCGTCCGATTCTCTGGGCTGGAGGTCAACCGACCACATTCGTTGTCGTGTCAAGCAGGCTGAAAACCGACGTGGGCGCCCTCATTGGCCTCTTTCACTGATCTGGTCCAGAGCTCCTTTTCGGCGACGCGCATGTCTCACTTCTGCATGCCCGAGCTCTTAGGACCCCGCCTGTCGAATAACCTCCTCCGACGCAACGCATGTCTCGTCGGCGAGACCTTCGACCGTGTTCCCTTATCTTCAGTCGCTTTCCATCGCATTCGAGAGGATATATATTCTGGTTCCGTCTGCACCCTTATATGCAGCCGAGCGCAAGAGTCGACTTCCTTATCTCTTCTTCTCCCCACCCTCCACACCAGGATGAACGCCTTCGGTACGCTGACAAGTGTTGCTTCTGCTTGCTCGTCACTCACAATTGCTCAGAAGAATACTTACTCCGTCTTCTAGACGAGGATGGCGGTGTCCCGGCGCATCTCAACGAAGCGGCCCTCAAAGCCCTGGAAGAGGCGCCCGTCCCCGACGTTCCTGGGACCGGTGGTGACGAAGACCTGGAGACAAAGTGGAGGGAGACCCACCCTCTCCTCCCGAACCCGAAGACCGGAGTCTGGGAGGGATATAGGCTGAAGGACGTCATGGACGAGTTCGAGCGAGCGGTGGATTATGCCCTCCTTGGTCCGGGATACCGGTGGCCCTCGCAAGGCATCTACAGAGGACGGATCTCCCTGTACCTTCGCGACCCAAGGACAAAGAAGATACGCCCTTACACAGATGCCGAAATTGGGGACGAGTTCCGTCGCAGGAGGCTGATCGAGCAGGCGATCCAGAGGAGGACGCCGAAGAAGATCGATGGTATGTACGCAGCCTATCCACTTCTTACAATCTCGCTCACGTGTGCACAGTACGTGCTCTTCTGGAATCTACCTACCAGAAGATACACGCTTACGACCACGCCGACTCTGACGAGGAATCCGGGAGCGAGTCGTCTGCGAAATCCTACGCCTCGCACCCCGAGAAGAGCTGGACGACCAAGGAGCTGTTGAACGTAGTCCGAACAGAGATCTTGGAGGAGATAGATCGACAGTCCTACGACGATGGCAGCTACTCTAACCCTGCCTTTGAAGATGTAGATATCCCCGCCGTCTTGGATGTTATTGAGGACGCCGTCAAACGGGGCACAAAGAAGAAGTCGAAATGAGCGGCGCGAGTGCTTGTGTATCTTACCGAGCTCCTACAATGTAGCCTAAATGAATCTGTAACCATCCTTTATTGCCTGAACTACTTCTGCTCTGCCATACCCTCTTGCCTCTCGAAGGAGACCTGCCTAGGATTCGAACTTGCACCCCGCCATACTGTGACGCAGATATCTCCGATAGGCAGCGCATGAGAACTTTCCGGCGGGCGCTTATTTCTAGCGATCACTATCTTGACTTGCACCATGACCGCCGCGTTTGCACAGGATATCCAGAGCACCGAAGGTGCAACGCCTGAGACTGCACCGGGAACTTCCCAGTTAGCCAACGTTTCCCCTTCTCACGCGCGTGAGCTGAGATGCTGGCAGGACGTCAGCGGTCGTCAGAGTAGCCGCGAAGAGCAAGGACGAGCCCGACTCGGACGAGGAGCCAGCAGAGGAGGAGACAGAGGCCATCAACGATGAGGAGTTAGATCTGCTGGAGGACTTTCCCGACGAGACATACGTGCGTGGCACGCGTACTGCTGTGAAGCCAGCCCTGACGCGCGCCACACCTTCAGGAACTCGAGCTCATCCATTCCCGCATCGCCAACCTCGCCCCCCTGCGCCTCCCACGATTCGGGCCGTACCTGCAGAAGCTATGCCTGCGGCAGAACCAGATCGCGCACCTCGAACCCGACATCTTCCACCACCTCACGAACTTGGACGAGCTAGACTTCTACGACAACAAGATCAAGCACGTCGGCCGGGCGCTCGATAAGTTGGACAAGCTGACGTGCGTCGCGCACTCCCTATGTTAATACCGCGTGCTGACTCGCGTAGAGTGCTTGACCTCTCCTTCAACAACATCCGCACCATCCCCGACGCGCTGCAGACCCTCCCTTCCCTCAAGACCGTGTACTTCGTACAGAACCGCATCTCCAAGATCTCCGGCTTGGAGAACCTCACTAATTTGACGAGCATCGAGCTCGGGGGGAATAAGATTCGCGTGCGTTTCCTATTCAGGCTCATGACGTCTGACTGATTGTTCGCCTACAGAAAATCGAGAACCTCGACGCCCTGGTGAACCTCGAGGAGCTATGGCTCGGGAAGAACAAGATCTCGCGGCTGGAGAACCTCGGCAGTCTGAAGAAGCTGCGCATCCTCTCCATTCAGTCGAACAGGATCACAAAGCTGGAAGGCCTGGAGGAGCTAGAGAGTCTCGAGGAGCTCTACATCAGCCACAACGGTATACAGAAAATAGAGGGGTTAGAGAAGAATGTGGGTGCCCTTCATATGCTTTATGCTTTGTCTCTATGCCTCATACGTTCCCTCTGCGCGCCTCCCGGTACCGCAACTCGTAACTGACAACCTGCGCAGACTAAGCTCACGACCCTCGACATCGGCAACAACTTCATCAAAGACCTAGAGAATGTATCGCATCTGACGTCGCTCGAGGAGCTTTGGGTACGTCTTATCAACCTCAATATGTCGTTCCCCGCACTGACTCGCACCACGCCAGATGAGCAACAACGAAATTCCCGACCTACGCGGGCTCGAACCGCAGCTTAAGCACATCAAGACGCTCACGACGCTCTACCTCGAGGGGAACCCGTGCCAGAAGACGGACATGGCGAACTACAGGCGGAAGATCCAGCTCGCGCTGCCCCAACTCAAGCAGATCGATGCGACGTTCACGAGGGCGGGGGCGTTGCCGTGAACGCTCGATGCATAACTTGCGACTATGGACTTTGTAATGATCATGCTTGTCATCTCATATAGGCGTGTCACCTCAAAGGCTCGACGTTCCTTAGCAAAGTCGCGGACTCGACACGTGCTCCGTATCATCTCCATTTGGACGTGGGAGTGTCAGGGTTTGATTCCTCAACGGTGACTGAGAGGATGTCGCGCGTCCTAGCACAGCTCGTGAGTCTTGCTCCACCAATCCGAATCCCCCCTTTGGCGGTATCTGATCTAGATGATGTGCCGTGCAATGGTTGTAGGCCATCAGCGGTATTACCGCTATAAGAGGCCACGGCTCGGCTGCTCGGGATTCTTACCAGCGCCGTCAGCCCCGCCAACGTTATAAGGGGATGTAGGGTCGACGCATGGGGACGCTCACGACCTGCTTCCTGATCTCATGGTCCTCGACACGCGCACTCGGCTTTACTTCATAAGCTTCGCCGTGCAGACCTTGCTTCTGGGAATCTTCCTCTCCACAACTTCCGTCTCGCTATATCTCACTTTCTGTGGACCATCCCATCGAGCCTTTCGGGACAAGTTCGTACTCGCCGGAATCAGCGTCGTGATTATTAGCGCGATATCGGTATGTCTCCTCATGTCCTCGCGTGCCTTGACTCACCGGACGTCCAATGCCAGCATTGTGGGATTTTGTTCGCCGCTATTCACAACGCGCTTCTTATGCAGCGGAAGACTCGGAGGTGCCTCTTTCTCGATGCGCGCTCCTCATATTGACTGTTCAGCCTTCATCTGAACGCACTAGTAGACGGGCTTGATAATACTGGTCGATAGTGCTGGCGCCTACCTGTACATCACCGGCCTTACTTGGCTCCTCTTTGCGATACTCACACTAGTACTCCTGTAGCGCGTACATGATCGTCTTGCTGGTACTATACACCGCACGGCAGCCGACCTTCTTCGTCTTCATAGACTGCAATATCTTCTTCGCGGCTCTGGCGTACATGCTCATCAAGGTCCGCGTCGCGCTCGGTACAGCGGATCAGCAGGCGCCAACGCAATCAAGCGCACTGCGATGGGCAACTGCGAGTCAGCCAGCGAACTTGAGGGCAAGGTTGCGGACCGTGCAGTAGCGGACATGACCTGTGATGCAGATGTCACCGGCTGAATGTCTACACCTTCTTTATCTTCTAATTCACATGCCGCCGATGAACGTGTATACTTGAATCTGCGATTGGCGACCAAAAACCAAACGCCCGCGTCAGCAGGATATTACAATCTACATTAACCCTGGAGCGACGTCGCATCTTCGGCGACAAATTGTATCGAAGGCAGGAAGCTGCTCTGGTTCGCCATCATCGACTTGACTGTGAGATGTTGCTGCGTCGTGACCAAAAGGATAACGAGGGTAGGATACGCGGTCTGCCGTGACGGCCAAAGATCAGTCAGATGCTAGAAGGAGCAGATATCTGATAACATACCGCGAATAAATGAAGTGCTCCGCTGACGAGGATGTTCGTGCTCCAGGGCATGCTTCCGACACCGACCTCGAGAACAAAGATAGTGACCTATGCCAGAGATGTATGAAGCCTCGGCCCCGGGCGAAGCGCAGGCACCTACCCATATAGCGCAATATAGAAGCCCAGATTCGAGCAGCAACATGAGTAGGCTCCCGACCCGATTTCCGAAGGTTACGGGCCCGAGTGCCGCGGCTATGTCGCGTCGGTATGTCCTAATTGGCATGGGTAAAAGACATTGAAAGGCAAAGGAAGTTTAACCGCACCAGACTCGGACGCCGACAAGCGCGGTGGCCACCGCATTCGTGAGCAGCATCGCGACAATCATGGGAGCGTTGAGCGCCTTGTCGTCCAGCCACGATTTGAGGTCCACGACGAGGTCAACGGAGAGCCCAGCTGCGGGACCGCGAACGATATGAGTTGGCGACTCGGACGGTGGGAGGCGTGTATGTGCTTGCCTAACGTGCAAAACATGCAGGCAATGAGAATGCCGCGGACAAGCTTGCTTTCGGACCAGATCACCCAAGCTCTCCAAACGACGAGGGCGTCACCAAGGAGGTACTACGATCGAGTGAGCATTAGTTGCAGTACACGGGCTTCGAAAGAGCTCACACTGATATGGTAGCTTGTGTCGGAGAGAATCTCTATGACATCGAGGGCAGTGGTGGATTCATCGCCGTGCCCGCCACCTACTCCGGGCATCTGCAGCCAGTAAGTTGTGATAGAGCTGGCTGCCTGTGTACTCGAGCAAAGGAAGACGGTGATGACAGAGACCACGAGGATCCAAATTCTTCCCTCCTTCCGGCTTGAACCATATGTCGGTAATCAAGAAGAATGAGCGATATGAAACGCACGAAATGGCCGCAGCGGCGCCCACGAAAAGTGCTACTTGTATTCCTGACAAGCGATGTCGGCAGTGAGCGTGCTTCCGCAATCAGTATCCTTACGCACTCACCGTAGAGAGCCAGCGATAGGCTGACATCCTTCAGACTGTACTTCAGCTCGTCAACGACGAAGGATGGCAATCGTCCCGGCGTTAATGCAGCAGTCGACATAGCGAAAGGTGGGCAGGATATGTGCGACGCGATACCATTTGAAGACTCAGAACGGTCTCATTTATACTTCGTCAAGACATAGGGTACCAGTGATGGAAGAGAAAATGGCATCTCACAGCCATGCGATAGGCTTCCTGATCATTGTATGTGCACGGGGCGCTCGAATCTCGGGCGCGAAACGTGGAATTGGGCGAAAGCACTGCAACCTACTCGAACGGAGCGCCCGTTGGAGCAGGTTGAATGCTACTGAAACGGCGTGCTGAAATTTTCTGGGCGTGTATCTTCCCGCGCAGAGCTTCATGATGGAAGTTGGAGACAAGGCGCGAACGCCACTCCGACCGGCGCTTTCCGAGATTTGCACGTGAAAGTTGAGCTTGATGGCTGTGGACTTTATTTGGTATGCTTTGTACTGAGGATCCTGACGTACTTCCTTTACTTGTATTTCTGGATTATCCGCGAGAGAAGCGCAGGCTCGCTCTTCTCTTCCGACCACCATCATGACCGAACCCATCACCGTCATCCCCCCCGCACCCGAAAAGTGTCAAGTGTACGGCGCGCGAGCTGGGATACAGCTACTGCGCTGTTCTACCTGCAAGAATAGGTCCTACTGCGTGCGTAGCGTTTTCCAGACGTATCGACCAAGGATCGCGCTCTGATACCTATACCATGCGCATATATGCACCTCAATCCCACCGAACATGGTTGGACGGCATTCCAGTCTGCTGTCTGTCAGAAAAAGGACTGGAAATGGGGTCACAAGCTGCGCTGCTCGCTCCTACCTGTACCGCTCGCGCCACTGCCTATCCATCCAAGCGAAAAGTTGAGCTTTGAGGTCAGGCGCGCGGCAGCAGCGCTAGAGCCTATATATGAAGTGTGGCAGGTACGACCAGCAGGGTATGGGTGTGCGCGCCCTCGACGCTCACTAACTTTGCAGTACATCGACGAGACGGTAGAGCCGGAGAAGAAGAACGAAGCCAAGAAGAGGGACGAATCATACGTTTCGCTTCTAGGTGCGTCCATATCTAGCGTGACACGAACGAATGATGATAAATGCAGCCTATGCAGCGCACACCCTACCTCACCCTTTCGCCTGGTCCGACACCTGGGAGTATCGCCTGGGGAAGGACGGGACGTCTCTCCCGGAGACCACTCTCTTCGCCTTCCGGCACCTCTTCTGGATTGACACCGTCTCGCACCTCGACACGCCCGCGCAGCGCACCGAGTGGCTCGAGATGCTCGGCAACCCGGCGTTCACGGCGCATACCACGGGCATCGTTCCAGAGAAGGCGCTCGCGCGGCCGGGCGAGCTGAGTCCGGGCGAGTACGAGACGATCGAGCAAGTGGTGGTCATGTCGTCCTTCATACGGCGTATACGGAGGGGGTCGATGGAGCGACGGAGGAGGATAGACGGTGGCAGCGCTTGGCGGCGATCTGCAGGCAGGCGCAGGGGCCGTGGGCATTGGATTTTCTGTAGGGAACAGCCGACGGTGTTGAGCACCGTCAAACGGCATCGTAGGAACGGAGAAGCTACAGGAGAGATCGGCAACTCTTCCGTTGAAAATCCATAGCATAAGTCGGAGCAGCGTCAAAGAAGGAGAGGAGAAGTGTCTCCATCGCCGTCGCTTGCAATGCTCCACAAGTGGGTCCGAATTTCGCAATATGCGACGAATTGACGCGGTTTTCTCAGTTTCGTAGTACTTGCCAACCGATGAGATCGTTCAGACCGTCTGCATGGCCCTTTGAAGGATCCAGATCGATGTAAAAGGTGCGAAGGAATGAGGCGACTGTCGAGGTACGGATAGAATGGATAGGCGCCTCAATGATATGATGCGGCGTGATCGTGATTCTCGCCGAGATGCAATCATGCATGTGTTTGGCGCGAGGCGGAGGCGCTCGTTGACCTCACCCTCCGTCTCCGCTGATCGTGATAATCCCTGGATTTTTCATGGCACAAAGAGAGCCCTGCGTACAAAGAACGTGCCGCCGGCCGCATCGAGCGTCTAGTCCGCAACACGGAGCCCAGCGGTCGGAAAACAACGGCAGTAGAAGGGACGCCGCGCGGCAGTTATCGGATGGATCAGGACACATCGTTGCGGTGGCTGGGCTGCGAGGTGATTCGGAGAAGTTGGGTTGCGCTGGTTCCTCGAGTCCCGGGATCGCAATTGAACACGCTGAGCGGGCGAGATGAGCGCGAAGGTCGGGGGAGATGCACCCGTGACCGACAGGGTCGGCAGTCGCATGTATCGATTCTAGTCAGGGTGCAGGGGATGCCATCTCGCCGTCAGAACAGTGATAGTCGTCCAGTTCTCGCGATAGACGCGGGACGCGCAGGGCGACGACGCCGTTGGGCATGGCACCATGTCTAGATGAGCCCATTTTTGAACCAGAAAAATACCAAATCGGGCAAAAAGCTAACCAAAAGAAGTAAGTTGCGGCGTGGGAACATTGGGCGTATCGGGCACTTTGGGGCGCATGGTCGGGCGCGAGGCGCCGACCAATATAAAAAGGCGCTCGACGCTGTCTTCCTCGTCGCGCTTGCGTTTTCCCCCACCCTTTCCTTCAAAACTACCACCGGGATGTCGTCGAAGCGTACGTTGACAGTGATCACTAGCGATCAGCACAAAAACTAACGAGAGGTCTACAGCGATCCGTGAGTTCGACGCGAAGCTTTTGCTGAGCTACTGGCTGCCGCGCGCCCCAGCGCCCACCAAGAGCTACCCCCCTCTCAGTGATGCATACACCCCGAATGCGTTCCCTGTTGCACAGGCTGCGCAGATCTCCTGGGATGAGCAGGCGGGCAAGATCGTCCCCGACAAGAGCGCGCTGCCGGCATGGGCTCAGACCTCCAAGCTCGTCGCAAAGCCCGACATGCTCATCAAGCGTCGCGGAAAGGCGGGCCTCCTCTCCCTGAACAAGGGCATCGATGAGTCGATCCAGTGGATCAACGAGCGCGCGGGGAAGCCGTGCAAGGTGCGTCGCGTGTTTTCGCGCGATCCGAACATCGGAACATTGACGCGTCGTCCCCGCAGGTCGAGTCGACCACTGGCCTTCTCACCAACTTCATCATCGAGCCCTTCCTCCCCCATCCCTCCGAGAACGAGTTCTACGTCTGCATCACGTCCGGGCGCGACGCGGACACCATTCTCTTCACCCACGAAGGTGGTGTGGATATTGGCGATGCGGACGCCAAGTCCCTCAAGCTCGACATTCCCGTCCTTGCGGTCGGCGAGTACGGCCAACCGTTCCCCACTCGGGAGGAGATCCAGAAGACTCTCCTTCCCAATGTTGCTGCCGACAAGAAGGACGTGCTGGTAAGTGCATTTTCTCCGCATATATGCACTTAGATTGGGGTCTCCGGGTATTTGGGCGGGTCGGAGGGAAGAGCGGGTTGCCCGAGAGAAAAAGACCGCGGGCAACGCTGAAGTGTTTGAACGCGTCTGCGTCCAAGCTATAATGTCGCCGCCTCGCAGAAACTGACTCGCCCCTTCAGACGGACTTCGTCCTCCGCCTCTACGCCGTCTACGTCGACTTGCACTTCGCCTACCTTGAGATCAACCCTCTCGTGGTCCTCGACCCGAAGGAGCCCGGAGGCACCCCGACCGTGCACTTCCTCGACACCGCCGCGAAGCTTGACCAGACCGCCGAGTCAATCGTCGGTCAGAAGTGGGCGATCGCGCGTGACGAGAGCGTCATCCTTGGCCAGGAGTCCAAGCCTGTCGTCGGCGGCAAGGTTCAGGCTGACCGCGGCCCTCCTATGGTGAGTTGCGCCTCGCATTCGCGCATACATGTGGCCAACTTTGCCTAGGTCTTCCCGGCGCCCTTCGGCCGCCAGCTGACGAAGGAGGAGGCGTACATCCAGAAGCTCGACGCGAGCACGGGCGCCAGTTTGAAGCTCACCGTTCTCAACGCTGAGGGCCGCGTGTGGACGATGGTCGCCGGTGGTGGTGCGTCCGTCGTGTACTCCGACGCGATCGCTGCGCACGGCTTCGCGCACGAACTCGCGAACTACGGCGAGTACTCCGGTGCGCCGTCCGAGGGGCAGACGTACGAGTACGCGAAGACGATCCTCGACTTGATGACCCGCGGCACGCCGCGCGAGGACGGCAAGATCCTCATCATTGGTGGTGGTATCGCCAACTTCACGAACGTTGCCGCGACCTTCAAGGGTGAGTCCAAGCCCATCAGTACGAGGAAAGCGGGGGAAGGGAGGTCGAGGGCGTTGTGGTTAGCATGAAAGGACCGCCTTATATGCCAGCGCGGCCGCGCGGGTTTCCGGCGGTGTCCCGCATGGAGGCTTTTTCTCTGATGCCCCGCCTATCGCGCGCACCGTGGTGTGATCGACCCCTGTACCCGCTGATGCGCCCACGACATGACTGCTGACATGCGCCCAGGCATCATCCGCGCGCTCAAGGAGTTCAAGGCGCCGCTCATTGCGCATAAGGTCAAGATCTTCGTGCGCCGCGGTGGCCCGAACTACCAGGAGGGCCTCAAGGCCATGCGCCTCCTCGGCGAGAGCCTTGGCGTTCCCATCAAGGTAAGGCAACCTCGTTGACAGTTGAATAATCAAAGCAGGAAGCTAACGTACTTGAAGGTCTACGGCCCGGACACGCACATCACTGAGATCGTTCCCCTCGCTCTCGGTGTGCAGTCTGGCCAGAAGTCGACGCTGCAGCCGGCGAAGAGCATCAGCGCGTCGACGCCGCCGAGCCCGCCGGCCATCGACGTTGACATGAACTCGGCGGAGAACTCGGCCAGCGTCGGCGAGGTCAAGTCGAGCGGGGAGCGCACGCAGGCGGGTGACAACATCGTCCACTTCGAGGGCGGCAAGGCGGGCACGCGCCCGTGGTACCGCCCCTTCGATGAGAAGACGCGCAGCTTCGTCTACGGCTTGCAGCCGCGTGCCATTCAGGGCATGCTCGACTTCGACTACAGCTGCGGTCGCGACACGCCTTCCGTCGCCGCCATGATCTACCCCTTCGGTGGCCACCACATCCAGAAGTTCTACTGGGGCACCAAGGAGACCCTTCTCCCTGTCTACACCAGCGTCGAGGAGGCCGTCAAGAAGGTGAGCCTCTTGAGTCTACCTTTGAAAACAAACTGATGATCTCGCAGCACCCCGATGTCGACGTCGTTGTCAACTTCGCCTCGTCGCGTTCCGTCTACAGCTCGACGCTCGAGTGCTTCAAGTACGCCGACACGCTCAAGGCGATCGCACTCATCGCTGAGGGTGTCCCCGAGCGCCACGCTCGCGAGATTCTGCACCTCGCGCGCCAGAAGGGCGTCCTCATCATCGGCCCCGCGACGGTCGGTGGTATCAAGCCTGGCTGCTTCCGTATCGGCAACTCTGGTGGTATGATGGACAACATCATCGCGTCCAAGCTCTACCGCCCGGGCTCCGTCGGCTATGTCTCGAAGTCCGGAGGCATGTCGAACGAGCTGAACAACATGCTTAGCCTGTTTACGAACGGCACGTACGAGGGTATCGCCATCGGTGGTGACCGCTACCCGGGCTCGACGTTCATTGACCACCTGATGCGCTACGAGAAGGATGAAAACTGCAAGATGCTGGTGCTGCTCGGTGAGGTCGGCGGTGTCGAGGAGTACCGCGTCGTCGAGGCCGTCAAGCAGGGCAAGATCACCAAGCCCATCGTCGCTTGGGCCATTGGTACCTGCGCGAAGATGTTCACGACGGAGGTGCAGTTCGGTCACGCCGGTTCCATGGCGAACTCGGAGCTCGAGACCGCCGACACGAAGAACCGCATCATGCGCGAAGCGGGCTTCCTCGTTCCGGACACCTTCGAGGAGCTCCCGCAGCTGCTCAAGTCGACGTACGAGACGCTCGTCAAGAAGGGCGCGATCACCCCGAAGATGGAGCGCGACCCGCCCGTCATCCCGATGGACTACAAGTGGGCGCAGGAGCTCGGGCTCATCCGCAAGCCGGCCGCGTTCATCTCTACGATCTCCGACGAGCGCGGGCAGGAGCTGCTGTACGCGGGCATGCGCATCTCGGACGTGTTCAAGGAGGACATTGGCGTCGGCGGTGTCGTCAGCTTGCTGTGGTTCAAGCGCCGCTTGCCGCCGTGGGCGACGAAGTTCATCGAGATGGTGCTGATGCTCACTGCCGACCACGGTCCTGCCGTCTCCGGCGCGATGAACACCATCGTCGCGTCGCGTGCTGGCAAGGACTTGATCTCGTCGTTGGCGTCTGGTCTCTTGACCATCGGCTCCCGCTTCGGTGGTGCGCTTGATGAGGCGGCGGCGATGTTCTCGAACGCGCGCGACACTGGTCTCACCCCACGCGAGTTCGTCGACAACTCGAGGAAGGCAAACAAGCTGAGTGAGTGCAGTCACTCCCAAAGTGCTCGATTCCGTGCTGATGAGCTGTAGTCTCGGGTATCGGCCACAAGATCAAGAGCGTCAACAACCCCGACTTGCGTGTTGAGCTCGTCAAGGAGTACGTGCGCAAGAACTTCCCTAGCCACTCCCTCCTCGATTACGCTCTCGCTGTCGAGAAGGTCACGACGTCGAAGAAGGACACTGTGAGTCTTTGGTACGATTTTTCGTGATCAAGGACTGACGTCCGCTCAGCTCATCCTCAACGTCGATGGCTGCATCGCCGTCTGCTTCGTCGACCTGCTGCGCGACTCCGGCGCCTTCACGCCCGAGGAGGCTGACGAGTACATCAAGATCGGCACCTTGAACGGCCTCTTCGTCCTCGGTCGCTCCATCGGCTTCATCGGCCACCACCTCGACCAGAAGCGCCTGCGTGCACCGCTCTATCGCCACCCCGCAGACGACATCTTCATCAACATGGCCGACGTCAGCCAGCCGCGCGTGCTGGGCAAGATGTCCTCGTAAGCGTGCGGCGATTCCCTCGAAGGCGTACAGCGCGTCGTTGTTTCGGACTGGACTGCGTCTTTTTTCCTCTCATAATTAGAGCTACCTCTCACGACATTTACTCCTGGCGTATAATCGACACACTACGTACGAATAACTCATGTGAAAGGATATTGTACCTGCTGTAACATAAAAATACATTAGAATGTTCTCTCTCGTTTGTGTGAGTGACCCCTTCGAGCCTCGTATTGACGATGGTTCATGAAGCAGAAGAGCGTACCTACGAGCTAGGTAGGCAAGACAGTCGAAGCCAAGTGCTATGCTACAGTCCCCGAGCTCGTCGCGGAACGGGAAGCAGAGCTCATGCGCGTGCTCTCCCGGGGCGAGAGCCATGACGCTCCCACATCCTTTCCCTCACCAGTTGCGGTGTCCCTCAACTCCAGATCCAGAACGGTTGACTGCTGGGTCAGGGGACCGGTGGCGAAGTTCAGTCCGCTAGGTTCGGTGGGGATGCCCTCGTGCGCGACGCCAAGGGCTACGCGGACGTTGATGAACATATACGCCAGGCCAGCGATAACGGTAGCGAGGTCAACCAAGAGGAAGATGACCGGGCTTCCCGCCAAGTACACGACGACGACCGCAACGGAGAAGAGCCTGAGTGGAGTTAGTCTGGCAGCGTCAACGGAGAGAAAGCTCTGCGGGACGGACAGGTAAAAACCGGCACTCTCGATGAAGATGACAAAGCTTTGCTGCACGGTTGTGTCACTGGCAGCTGAAGAACCGGGAGCGATGCAGACACATACAGACAGGCTGGGGCCGCCATAGCGCACAGCGCACCGTCCCGCTTTCCAGATCCTCCACGAGATAAGGGCTTGGTACGGACATCAACTTCAACGGCAGACGACCAGACTGATCAGCATCCTCACTCGTGCAGTACATGTTAAGGCTGTACCAGCGGTCAGGGATAGGTCAAGAGAGACAACTAGGCAGCTTACCATATATTGAGGATCGCCGAGACGATGACTCGTGGGCTGTATGCCACGTCATAGATGTTGGTGTTGTCCTTCGGGTGCGTCAAGGATCAGAATGAGTTCGGTTCAGGGAGGCCAAAGACTCAGTACCGCCGCCTGAGCTAGCCACGTGGTCGCCGACGTAGCTGTGGGATCTGAGAACCGCTGAACATCTTCCTTTCACCTAAACGCACCGATGGAGAATGAGCTTGCAATCACTAGAAGAGGAGGAAGGACAACACAACGCCGATCCCGCCAGACCACGTATAGGCGGTAGATCTGTGTCGGGTGAGCATGTCAGCGTGGAATCGGTTGTGCTACTTACAAAAAGCAGGTCCGCGACCCCAGTAAAGATGAAGAGCAGGTATATCTTCGTTAGAAATAGAGGGTTGCGGAGATCCGAAAGATACACGGTCGGGCTCTGGTTTCCTGGCTGGAAAATCGCATTATAGAGCTGAGCAAATGATAAGGACCAATACTGCGCGATGCGGTGAGCTAAAATGGACGCCGGCACATTATGCGGACGTACCGATATCGCGCCGCCTGTAATGAGAGCGGCGCCCACCAGGCCGACGTCCAAGACAAAGGGAGTTCGAGATCGCCTACAGAGTATAACGTATACAAAAAGAGCAGAGGTGCAAAATAGGACTCCTTGCAGGGCTGTTTGAACGACGAAGCTGATGAAGTAGATCAGAAGTAGATCATCGTTCGCCATGAGTATTGAGAATGTCGGGGAGAGTCAGATGAAGGAGCTCGAATCGGAGGGCGCACTTCTCGTTGTGGCACTTTATGCACTTACTCGTACAGCTGGCGCTCTGACAAACATTGTCCATCTTCACGTTCCCGCGAGCAAAAATGATGTCGCGGAGAGTTGTCCATTATAGGGATCAGGTTTTCGTGACAATCATCGCGTAGCCCGTGTAGTTCGGTCGATTGGGTATGTCAGAGCATTGTAGGGCGATGGCGGCGCTTCATCAGAGACATGCAATCCAAATGAAGCTCGTGAGGCGGTGTGATTTTACAGACATGCTTGAGCGGCCCCATGCAGAATACCTAGTTCATAGCTCATCGCCTGCTTTGCCGCGCTCCGGATAGGCGCCCGTTGAGCTCAAAGTCGAACGTTTTGCGTTCGGGGGAGCGGATAGAGCAAGTGATTGTAGAAAGATCCCAAATCTTGCGAAAGGTATCTGACGAAGGCCACAGGAGCAGTTTCACCGTCCATGATGGCGGCAGTAGCCAAGAGGCGGTCATTGTTTGTGGCGTCGTGTATCACACTGTTTGCCATCAATCCGGGATCAACAGATCATAGCAAGCGGCGTTTGCCGCCCTTCCGCAATAGTCATCTGTATCCGAAACGTCGACTACTCGCACGCAGCGATGAGGGAAATGGCAGATTTCCTCCTCAGAGACTAACGTAAAGACTCGTGCGCGTCGTTACTCCAGCATTTCTCAGGCCAAATCATGCCTCGACCCCATGGTGTCAGGCTCTTCATTCTCCTCGCGAGCAGGGGGCTCCTTGCGCTTCTTTGGCGCAGCCTTCTTGGGTTTAGGCTTGGGAGCAGGCTTAGGTTTGTCCTTGAAGACTAGGGTTGTCGCATCCTCTACTCCAAGAGAGGCGAGGAGGGCTTTGTTCTGCGCTTGGGTTAGGGTCTTGAGTCAGAGGGGAGAGCTTCGCTGGCTTACCCTCTCGATGTTCGCAGCCTTCTGCTTCTCATACGCGGTCGGCATCTCGAACCTGCACGCGCTGCTGTGATGGCGGAACCAAACAGGTCGCGTCGCGGCAACAACGCGTCCAGTCACGCGTGACACACGCAGACGATCGCGACGCGTGACGAACCCTGACACCGGTCGAGAACGTCGACACGGACATTATCTGCGCCAGAACCTCGTACCCCCCGGGCTCAACTCATCCGGCCGTGCGAGCGCCTTCTCCGGGATGACGCGCATGAGGTGCTTCGACCTCTCCGTGGTGCGAAGTATGGACAGCAGCTCGTCGTACTGCGACGCCGTCTGGATGCGAGAGACTGTGTCAAGCCAGAAGAGGCGTCGGAAGGCGTACAGGGTGAGCTCCGGGAGGGGCGTTCCGTCTTTCATGAGGCGATACTCCCAGGTATCCGACCAGAAGAATTCAGCGGGGAGGTTGTGCACTGTCGATGGGATCATCGCAATCGGTCGGTTGTTATAGGTAAGGGAAGGGAAGGTGCACTCATGAGCATAAGATACGATGCATGACGCGTCTTGTGGGGTTCTTCAGCTCTGGTTCGACTGTCTCGTCGATTTGCTGAGAGTGCGTCAGCAAGCCAAATCGGGCGCATATATGAGAGTATACTCACCTGCCACTCTTCTAGGATATCCGTCAACGCTGTACCCGCTCGCCTGACCTCCGCGCTTAGCGCTGCGCTGGGCAAGATTGAGGCAGGTGACAGCGGCACGGGAAGAAGCGAGCAGCACAGCTTGTGCTCATCCTTCCAGACTCCCTTCTGGCAGGCTGGCGACTTCGAGTATAATGTTGGATAGCATAGTCGCATGGTATGGCGAGCCAGTCGATTTGGCCATTATCAGAAATGGATGTATGCGCCGTTGGAAGGTATTGGTGAGCACAGCTTTAGCAGTATGACTGAAAGTGTACACGCACGCAATAGAATCTGTCTTTACACGTCGAGCACCGGAGAAGCAGCTCCTCAGCTTGCGCCTCGCAAACCTCACACTTCCCTGGCACTGGCAGGATGAGGGTGATGGGTTCCGGTTTGAAAGTGCGCGGTTCGGACATGATGATGGTAGGGAGAAAGGAATGTGTTGGTCATGTTTGGAGAAAGAGAAGCGCGCGTCAGGTCTGTCACAAAACACTGCAATACACTGGAAGGAAGCGCATCAGGATCCTCAGTGCAAAGAGAGCCAAACAAGATCGACGTCATGATCAAGTTCAACTTGCACGTGATGGTGGAAATATCGGAAGGTGCCGGTCTGTTTGTTGTGGCGTTCGCTCTTGTCCCGAGCGATCATCCTTTCCTCTCCTGCTTTGTCTTCTGTATGAAGACGTGATAAAATTCTGCTCAGTGGGCGCCTAGATGAAACATCCAATCAGAAAAATACTCAGTGCGGAAATGCGGTCCACTGCGCTTGATGAGCGCTCATCAGCCTACCCTCTCGCTGCGATTTTTGCCCTGCACGCTGGTCAAGGCTCATACCACTTGGGCTCTGCGCTCAATATGCACAGCCTACACAGCTGTAATCCGAAGGTCCTGCGCTCGAACGGCAGCGCAGCGCTCGACGGGGTCTTCGTTGCGGCCGTGGTAGGTTGTCGTACCAAGTGCGCTAAGTGCGGGACCTGCGTTGATGCGTCGTTGGGATCGACGCCTGCAATCAGCCGCCGACTATCAATCTTTCTAAGATCATCTCCGAGGCCGATCTCTCCTACTGATATAGCGCCGGCGAACCTTTAGTTCCATGGTTCTCCCCTGTACTGACCTCCATCGCTCCTTTTCTTTTTCTGCGAGGCCTGCAGGGGACAGCCTCTATTATGGCTTCCGCTTCGACCTCAGAAAAGTCTTACCCAATGGCGCCGTCCGACGTTGCCCAGCTCCGATACATCCTGATCAACGTAGGCACGATATGCTCATGCTACGGTACGCGCGACTCTGCTTCCTTCGCCCCCCAGCTGAAGAGTGTATAGGTCTTCAGTTCACCCTCTTTCTAGCGACTCTACCGGTCCTCGTGTACGCCCGCTCTGCTCTGCTCTATCGTGTAGCTTTTTTCATCTACTTCTCAGCCGCCGTAAAGGACGGTCATGGATCATCATGGCCGCGCTCACCATGCTATTCATCTCCTCCACACTATGGTCAATAGCGGCAATCGACAATTATGTGATCCAGATGCCCACTGCCGGATATCACCCTCCGGAAAACACCATAACAATCCTACGCCGCCTCTACATCCTCATAGGGGTGACGAACCGGCTGAATGTGAGCGCGGATCGTCCGACTACCACCTCCCCACAATATTCACTCTGTGCAGATGCTCTTCAGCGACTGCCTCGTGGCTTGGAGGGCTTGGGTTCTCTGGCCCGGTAATCGACTCGCGCAGGGCATCCTCATCGCATGCCTAACGTGCAGCGTGGGTAGGCACCGGATTCAGCTTCCAGTCGACGTTGAACCGCTGACCGTAATTCGTTTAGCTGGCACCACAACAAACGCCGCTTTGATCTTTACACGAGGGCTGCCCGTCATCGGGTCGTTGTCCGCTACGGTGCCCTTGCTCGTCATGAACCTTGCATCGACGGTGCTCGTAGGCGTCAAGTTCTGGTCAGTGAATAACTCACCCATATTCCCGAGAATCGTCGCTGAGGTACTGAGGACAGGATCTACCGTCGAGACGTCGCCAGATCGCTTGGCCTCGCACCCACACGTAGCCAAGTCGGGCGTGTTCTCATCATCCTTTTTGAATCTGGCATTTTGTACTGCGCGCTTCTGGTATGTCGGCTCAAAATTGCCAGGATTCTGCGTGTTCACCATCGTTTCAGATCATCAGCCTCGTACTCGACATGCTCGTGTCAAGTCAAGCATTCGACTCCCTCGGAAACTTTGCGTCGGTCATACCTCTCATCTCGGTCCGCTCGTCCTTGCGTTCTGTGAATTGCATACTAATGATCACTATTGAGCAGGGTTTGCTATCCACCTTCGTCGTCCTTGCAATCATGGCGCAGGAGCACCTCGCAGCGAACAAGTCCATCGGCGGCCCAAGCAGTTTTCTGGCATCGATACAGTTCATGTCGGGCGGGAAGGATGATGAGCACGCGGAGGGAAGCGTGGTCACGGTGGGATCGGCCACGACACCAGCAGCTGCTGCGGGATCCAGCGGTGGGGATATCGAGCTGATTCAGCGGGACGGAGATCAGGGCAACTACGCGTCGATAGGTGAGTCACGGCCTTCATTGTACGCGCCGAATCTGACGTCTCGGATTTGCTACTTCAGCATCAGCGTCGAGGCCAGCGATGTATCGATCATGAATACGCACTGCCCGTGCTACTAGCTCGTCCGCAAATGCACATCAGCAGGATTAGACCTCACATCGTCAGACCATCCAAGAAGCAGTATAGGCAGTTCACAAGCTGTGCACGTTCCACGCCAGACGGTATTCATGTCCTGAGTCGCCCGCGTCTCACTTCGTGGCCTGCGCGAGTTCTGCTTCCCGATACGTTCACTGCTTCAGCCACTCCTCGATGATCTACGGTCCCTCTGCCTCGTGCCGCTGCACAACCTCCGCTCACTGATCATCGTCGCTCATTGGCGACTTGCGGCTTCGTCGCATGATGAGTGGTCTGTTCATATAGGAGTATCAATTGCCACGGGTGCCTTAGGGTTCCGCTTGAGCCACTTGCGATCAAGAATGCCGCGGTACACAGGCGCAATACCATTCTAAGGGTATTTCTGTGGTATCACGAAGCCATATAAGGGCTGCTACTCAGCGACGCCGTTATTGCTAACTCACCACAGAGGCGCGATGACCATGTCCTCGCCAAGGACAGAGCCTCTACCCGCCTTCGTTATTGACGAATTGAAGTATGTTCTAACCGACGTTGGCGTTTGTTTCGCGCTATTCGGTGAGCTGCCCGCTCTATATGCATTCTTCCCATGCTGATAACGGTCTCCCGCCAGGTGTCCAGATCGCACTCTTTGTCGGCGCTGCCGCTGTACTTGTGTTAGTGATTTGATACGCCGACTCTCGCTTGAGTAACTGACCGTCCTTCTAGCCGGAAGGAGAACCGGACTTGGATCTTCGCCCTATCCATCGTCGCCGTATTCTTGTGCTCGAGCGCACAAGCAGCTAGCTCGCTCACGGACTGGTGGTTCCAGCTCCTTGGAGAGGGTGGTGCGAGCGACGTGAGCCACACCCTTGGTGTCATTGAGGGCCTTATAGACACGAGCTTTCACATCAGCGTCAGTGTCGAACGAGCTGCCCATTATGAGATTCCGTAGTATTGACTGATTGCAGTATCTCGTCGGCGATGCTCTCGTCGTGTGGCGCGCGTGGTCACTATGGCCCCGTAGTTGGATCGCGCGGAGCCTCCTCGCGACGTGCATGGTCTTCACCATGGGCAAGTGCATCTTTTTTGGGTGGCGCATCATCCTGCTGAACACTCCCCCAGTCGGCCTATCTGTCGATCTCTACATGGACTTTTCGGCTGTCGAGCTCCCAAAGGCGCTCAATGCACCGATGATTATCGCAATGCTCCTTACGAACGCGGTGGCCACCATATTGGTTGGAATACGAGTTTGGTGAGGTTCGATGTCAAGCTCATCGTCAACGCTACTGAATCCGCTGGATAGGGAGTACCGACGGAACATTGCGTCGGCTCTGGGGCAAAGCACTTTTGGCCTCCAGATCGGGCGCATACTTGTGCTTCTTTTGGAGTCTGGCCTGTTTTATTGCGCTATATGGGTATGTGGCTTTGCATGCATATACGGGGAAATTCTGATCTTACTCAACGCTGAAGATCTGCATCTTTGTCCTTGACGTAGGTGTTGGTAATGTCGAGTTGGGTGCAAGCATCATCGCTGGTCGAACACTACATCAAGTTGCGGTACGTCGCACGCAGCCTACTCCTGATCACTTGTTCATTCTTGTACCTTCAGACCGCGTACCCCACCTTCGTGATCCTCATTCTGCTATCGCCGCAATGCACGACGAACTCGACGGTCAACCACCAAATCAGTCTTCTACTTTCGATACAATTCGACCATGGGCGTACCACCGAGCCTCAAGAATCCATGTGAGTAAGACCTTATCTTAGCGTGCTTGAACTTGACGGACCCCAGCGGTTTGAGCACACTGGAAGGAGCACCTGCCTTTGCGCAAGCACAACCTGACACATGATGCATGGAATACGACTCAGTGCCAGTCGATCTCGCTCGCGCGTGACACTCTCATCGGCATCGTATCTCATACATGCGCGTCTGGGAGCCTCATTCTCCCGCTTCCGAGCCCTGTCAGTTTTGAGTCCCCTTCTTTCCAATGTAAAGCCAACTTGTTGCCAGGAATCTCGCACACTCTGGCCTCGACTGTGTCTGAATCTGTCGCTCCTGGCGCTTATAACCGCCCATGCATTTTTCTCGCGCCGCCTGCAGGAGAAGTTGGTCTGTCGCCACCGCTGTCGCTTAGCGAGACCAAACCGTTTTTTCCATTCCGTCGAGGGCAGCTGCGCACGGGCGACCCTGTTCTCCATCTGCCGATGTAGGCGAGGCGGACACAGGTACACAAGCAACGACTGGGCTTACTTCCGCTACCATGTCGCGCTTGCAAGCCCTCTCGAGCCTACCACGCTTCGACGCTCGGCTGGCTCATCGCGTACGAAATAACGACTCTCCGGCTTGCGTGATAGCAGGTCATAGAAGGCGGGCAACATGGAGTCAAGACAGCATTCATTTGGAACTTGGAATAAGTCTTATACCTCCGCGAAGGCGCTTAGCTCTATGACTCGTGTTGCTTCTGTCGTGACTCCAGCCTGAGCGGAAATGCATGCTTTCAGGTTTTTCTATGATGGACTGCACTTTTAATTCGGTGAGTACTGCTTCGGATTCGGTAACCAGGACGTGACTTGCTTCGAGTTCGGTAAGTACTGAAGATATCCATCCTTCCCTGCTTTTTATTGACTAAACCCATAGGGCAGATCCAAGCCAGACCAAACAAATTGCTAACAGTATGGGGATAAACGCCACAAGACAGCCATTAAGTAGCCTTCCATCCTGTCGACGTTCGCCCCCTGTGCCTGCAATGGTTTGAAAGCCTTGCGCTGCCAGATAGATCGACAAGTCCGCCCTGCGCTGATTCTCCATTAACCGGGCCGCTTCGTGAGGGCGATCGTGCCAGATGTGGCAGCTGGTACGATGGGAGGTCAAGTCGGCCTGCAAGCACTGGATCTATGGTAAGCATCCCGGACCTTAACGCGACGTTGGAATGCTCACCTCCGCGTCACAATACCGCACAATGCTACACTTCGAGCATCGCCGGAGGCGCGGCTCGCCCGGCAGCTCGAACGGCGTCTCCTGCAGGATGGGTGCGGTTTCTTTCACGCACTTCATGCACGTGTGCGCGATCTCCGTGTCCTTCAGCAGGACCTCTACCAGCGTTCCCTTCCGCCGGTCTTTCGGCTTGATCTTCTTCAGTATACCTTGGGCTTCGAGCTGTGGGAGCATGCCCCTGTTTTCCGAGTCCGTCATCATGTAAAATGCCGGGCGCCCCGTTTCTGGGTCGGGAGGCGGGAAGGATTGCTCTGCCCCGAGGACATTGAGGGTGGTAACGATTGCGCCATGTTCAAGTGGATTGGAGGAGTTAGCGTTCGCGGGCTTCGCTAGCGCGAGAACCCAGCCGGTATAGTAGAAGCCGAGGGTGACGGGCACTTGGAAGTTTGCGACCTTGATCGTGAAGGTGCGGAGGTCGTCGTTCATGGCCGGTGCTATGTGATCGACGGTGGAAACTTTTAGAAAAGCGAAAAAGGGGAATAGGTCTTAGATCTGGACGTCGGTACCGAAGGTGCGTGACTTGCGCGTGGCACTTGCGTCATTCGTTGTTCAACCTATATTTCGTGCTAGATTTGTCCCGTTTTATCGCCCGTCTTTCACTAGCCAGTCACTATTCTGCGACTGGTTAATTTCATTCGTCCAATGCCGTCAGCGTTTTGCAGAAGAATCCCCATGGCGTGTTGCCCCTATTTCCTCCTGTACAACGCCTCGGGATGCGTGCGGCGGAAGACGGCCTGTTAGCCACTCCAACTGTGAATAGCATAATCAGCATCGCGGGTCTGTTCATGGGGCGCGCATCCTGGAGTTGGGCTGCCGCCGGCGCCAGGCTCAACGACTGGGGTATAGAGCGACTTTCCGCAGGCCGGGATGTCCGAGAGTGTAGAAAATAATAGAGGTGAATATTTGACATTTGCTTGTGGTGGATCCGGAGCAACGCACGCCGGCGTCGCGGTTCATCGGAAAGAGAACAATGGCCGGCATTCGCCGAGTAATTTTGCTACACGTGACAAATTAGTAATCAAATCACCCTTTCCGGCGCCTTCGCCGCCCTTCTGTTCTGAACTTCAACTTGCTCGTTGTCGAACTTTTCATATCATGGGTTTCGACCTCTCCCCATATAATTATACTCGTGAGCCTCTCTCTTCGGGCTTACGGCATTGAAGAAGCGGTTAGAGCACCAGCGAGCATCCTCGTCCCTCATGAAAGGAACGGATGCAAAATGGCCCGCAATTTAGTAAACCTGTCCGGATGAGTTGACTTGTTCGAAACGCCCACCTTTCTGCCACTGCACCCGGCGCAGCTGCACGCCTCCTGGAAGCTTCCCTGTTACCCTAATTAGTCAAGCAACGCGTCCTCCCCTGTCCTAACCCATCTTACATTGCTCGGAACTACTCCTGTCGCTTTATCGAAGACGCGGACATGGTTTATAGATCCCCGCCTCCTCGCTCGACGCGCCGCCTTCGAATCCGAGCCATGGCGCTCGCCACCCGTACCTGACGGAGGTACTTCGTCATTCCCCGCTGCTCCCACTCGCGTGATTGACGTATTCGCTCGACCATGCAGCGCACGTACGGACAGACGATTTTGTGATGTCTACAGATCCACGGGCATGCAGAGGTACGTCAGGCACTCCACTAGGGTGGTCTTTATGCTGAGGGGGGCGACTAGGCTCCTTAAAATATGCGCAACACCTTACCAGGACCAACAAACGATACACCCAATTCCGCCTCCTCGTCTGCCTCTTCAGTCGATCAGTCGTCGTCGAATGTCCGGCGGAAGGATTTGCGATTTGTCAGGAAGCTCGGGTCGGGGTCAAGTGGCAAGGTATACCTGGTCCGGGATACAAAGTCGGGCAACGCCCTCGCTCTTAAAGTCATCAAGAAACCGAAGAAGGAAGACGCTGGAGCCTGTACCCGCATCTTTCGCGAGCACAAGGTGCTTCAAGCTCTACGGACTGCCCGATGGACAATGCCTCTTCTCGCCCACTGGGAGGACGCGACGTCTTTTCATTTGCTCATGGTAGGCAAGTTATCGCGAGACCCCTTCTCGCCCGTTAACAACTCCCCAGCCGTTCTACGAACGCGACCTCGACGTCGAGCTTCGCCGCCAGGGTGGCAAGCTCTCCCCCGATGACGCTATGCACTTCATGGCCCAACTCGTGAGATGCTCTCTCACCGCCGCTTCCCAGCCTTACTCTTCTCCAGCTCATCGCCCTCGACGAGGTCCACGCGCACGGCGTCGTCCACCGCGACGTCAAGCCGGCGAATATCTTCCTCGACGCCTGCGGGAGGCTCATCCTCGGCGACTTCGGCCTCGCGCGCGCGTTCGCGGTGCCACCCCTGCCCGCGCAGCGCGCAACGCTGCCGGAATGGCTCGCGGAGGACGCGGGCACGACGGACGAGGGCGAGCTGCGATATCTGGCGCGTACCCGATGCGGGACGCCGGCGTACGTTGCGCCGGAGACCTACCTCGGTATGGCGGTCTCCTTCTCGGTAGACCTGTGGGCGGCGGCGGTGACGCTGTTCGTGATGCTTTGCGGGAGGGTGAGTACTCTACCTTACCTTCCATGGAAAGGGATGCATGGTAATTATCTTTAGGAACCGTGGCGACTGTCGAAGCCGGGCGACAAGCCTGTCGATTTGCAGGTCATGAACGACCCACTGAGCTTCGCTGGGTGCGGCGTTTTGAGCGAAGCCTCAATGCGTCTTCTACGAAAGGTATCTCGAACGCCTTTGCTTCTTGTGTTATGATTCATCTCTCCACAATAGATGCTTCTGAAGGACCCCGATGAACGGCTGACCGCGATGGCCGCAATCGAGGTCGAGCCCTTCTTCATCAAGATGTAAGCTTTCTCTTACTTGGTCATCGAGCGACCGAGCCGAGAAGCTCATCTCTTCGCAGAAACTGGGCTCAGGTCAGACTTCGCCAGGACACCGAGTGGCGCGCTTCCAGTACTACAGCCTGCGAGCCAGCTGTCTCGGAGCGCGTCTTCGGTCCTCTCCTTCTTCCTCCCCTACTGAACGCGCCCGCAGCGAAAGGGCCTGTAGAGGGAGATTTAACAAAGCTTATGGACAGTTTGAGGGTCAAGGATGGTATGGACAATGGGCAAAACTAGGGGTAAACAAGGACTGTCATGGACCTTATTTATTCACGATTGAAGGACTTGTACCGTGCAGCTGTTCAGACTTTTCGTGACTTGTAGACTCATTCACGCGTCCAAAGGCATCGACAGCTGTACTCTTGTGGAGGTAAGTGCCCCGACGACTACTGATCTAATCGTTTATCCAGGCACCGAGGACCCGACGGGATCTAGCGCTCGATGAGCATCACCCGAAGCTGATGTGCGCGATGGGGTCACGATGTTGTGAGTACGACCTGGTGTAGCGCTGGCTATTCGCTGACTCTTTACGCGAGGTTGGGTCATCAGAAGGCCTTCTGGTATGGTCTGCAGGCCTGCGCTCCGCCCCGCCCTGTGTACGCGGATAGCTCGCGTGATCCATGGCGGAGCCGTCGTCCCCCATCGCGAACTCGCCGCCCTCCATCGACCTGGCCCGTCCTACCGTAAGGCTGTCATCTCCTCTGTTGAAGCTTCCCTTCAGGTAAGTGGCCTCGACTGTTGGTCTATGAAGTCACGGTCCCTGTTGTATGACGTTTTATTTCATCGTAAAATCGGCCGCTCTAGTCGGGTTGGCGAGGTTCATAGTCTTGCAGGTGCCGAAGACCGAAGTCGTCTCTGTCGGGTGCCGTGACTAGTACGCCACGTGCGTTCGAGCTCCTTAGTCGGTACTCCGAAGGCGGTAGGCGGCTCGAGTCGATGTCGCTGTCTTCCAGGAGCTCTATTGTAGTAGCGCCTCCAAAATGAGATGAATCCTCTATTCATTGAACAACGAAGGGGTTGAGAAGCGGACCCCCCTTCGATAGCCGGCAATTTCCGCGAGATCTTGTTCATGCTGATCCCTTGCGCCCGGATAACGCGTCAGGGCCCTCCGTATAATGTAACATATACGAAGCGCTCTTAATATGCCTACTCGTGGTTGTTTCTGCGCCTCAGGAGGCTCAGCGAACCCGATATACACGAAACAAAACTCACCTGTTGACCATTGTTTGTGCATGTAGGTCCCTTCCCGAATAGCCTCTTGCAGGCTGCTCACGCTACCACAATATCAGCGAATACGATTGAGAGAGACCCCAGAAAGAATCGTGACGGTCATTTTTATGAGAGGGGCGATGTCGAATATCACAACTTGTATCACGACGCCTTCAGGAGTACGGACTAACGACCATTGCATTGGCCACGTGCATGAGTAAGGACCAGGTTCGAATGCCGGTGACTGCGAATTCTCGTTGAAATCAGCCATCATACTGTTGCGCCGTCCCCTCTGCATCCGACCTCTTCTTCTTTCCCTCCGGTGTAGGACTCGGAACTCACCTTTCAAACAAGCTTACCTTCCATGCGCTGCGTTCGCACGCCGCTGTACAGCATGCCGCCGGCTTCTCCCCCTACCACATCGCCCCTTCGCCTTCGACTCCCAAACTCCAGCAGGAAGAGAACGAGAAAGGCAGTTCTTTATCCGACTCTCGCGCCACCGGACGAAGCCACGCTGTGCCGGCCATCGCCGCCACATGGCCTCCGCGCATGTGAGCGCACCCCAACGGTGACCCGTGTCCGAGCCTGCTTCATGGGCGCGGGCCGCGCGTGTGGGATCAGTGTTTGCGTGGTATGTACGCGATGGGAAGATAACTGCGGAGCCGTCGCCAGGGACCGACGTTCGTCCGGTTCTCATCCACCTTGGTCTTAAGCACGACGCGACGGTCGGATGCTGGCTTCAGCGACGCCCCTCCCGCCTCCCGCCCCGCTGTCAACATGACGCAGTGGAACGATGCGACGAAGTACATGCGCATTGTGAGTCGCGCGTCTTGTTGTTGATCTGCTCTGTGCGCTTGACGCGCCGACTCACCAGGCCGCGGTGTGCTTCTTCGTGTATGACTGGGCCTTGACGCTGCCGGCGGAGATCAGACTATGTATGTATATTCGTTTGGTTCTGCTGCAATGCAAGTTCAATCTTTCTATAGACAGGCGACAAGGCATTGGTCGTCCAAGCGTCGCATGTATTCTCCTTATTCTCGTTCGTGTATGTGACCTGGCCAGCTAGATTGTTCCTTCTACTGATGATCCGCGCAGTACCTCGGCGCAATTGCCCTCGTCTTCAACATGCTGGGCTTCTTCGCGCACTTCTTCGACGACATCGACGGTGACATCTGCCGCGGCTACTACCGCATTATGCCGATAACTCAATGCCTCGCTTCTTGGGCAAGCCATATCGTCTTCGTTTTGAGAACATGCGCAATTCTCAACAACACCCGCGGATATGTCGTCTCACTATCCCTTCTTGCGGTTGTCGTCTGTGCTGCGGAGCTCTTCGCGCAGCTATGGTCCTTCAACCGTTTCTCGGTCGGCACAACTGGGAACTGCCTCATTCAGTACTCCAAGGATCGCAATATCAGTTATGTGTACTACCTTGTACGCGTCTTTCTCCCTTCATGCCTCGGCTATGTGCTCACCTTTTATAGGCCTCATGTCTCTTCGACATGGTCATCCTCGTACTCACATATCGCGGTCTCGCCCTTCGACACGCACAGGAGATGCGACATGAGGCCGCCCGCAGCTTCCACGCAGTCCTCTGGGGCTCCTCCATTCTCTACTTCATCGTCACGACTGTCTTCAACCTCCTCAACCTCGGCTTCTACGCCGCCTACAACAACAGCAATGCAACAATCCTGGGTCCTCTGGGTATCGCCATGACTAGCATGATGAGCGCGCGCGTTAGTGAGTAGTTATGCTCGCTTCTTCGAGCCGTATCTGACTTCGCTCAGTCCTCAACCTGCATGACTACGCCGAAGCTCGGCGAGCGGAGTATGCGCTTAGCAGCCCACGATCCGTAACATCATGTCGCTGGCGCTCCCTATCCCTTGGCGAGACCGGGCAGAACGGCATCTCCCCAATGAGCCCCGTGGTACGACCTTTCTCCTTTTACCTCATTAATCGCTCGCTAATCAAAAAGTAGTTTGCGACGCCATACCGCTCCGTCCACGAGAAGCTCTCGCACCCGGAGATCCACACCACCGACGACGAGGAACAGAGCCCAGGGATAGTCTTGCCTACGGTCAGCTCAAGATATGGACAGCCGAGATCATATCACAGTCGACATCTGTGATCTCTTTGGGTGGCGTACGACCTTCACGTCCGAGCACCGCGAGCCATAGCTGTCCCACTATCCCGTACTCTCTGTGTAGCAAGCTGAGCCACTCCTTCAAATTGTATTATTAGTTCTCCGCTTCGGCGGTCGTCTCCCTGCATAGACTGGATCCCTGTTATCGCTGGCTCTACGAGGCTCGCCTGAGATCGTCTTTGTCTCTGTACTGAAGAGCCGCGCCAGAGTAAGAGGACTCCTGTGATCATGCAAGCGCAGGGACTGTCGTCCCATGTCGCCTCCCAGATGGCACTTCGAAGGCGGTGAGGTCCTCCAAACCGTCGAAGACCAAAATTCACGCTCGGCCTACATGAGTGGTCGTGCTCCCAGTGCGCTTGCCTTCCAAGAAGAAACTTGTTATCGTTCACGACATCAAGGTGAGAACATCCTTTTTAGACGCAATACAGGATCCGGATTCCATTGGCGCGTCTATTCAACCAGATAGACGCGAGCACGCGTAGCATCAAGAATTTCCAGGCGGACCCACTGGCGATGGCCATACAAGACGTTCCTGGACGCACGCTCAAAGCGCGTTTCCGTGCTCATCGCTGCCTTGTCCATGATGCTGACCATCCCAATCGTGCACAGGATCATCATCGGGGTAAGTGTACTTCGACACACGAAGTTCTACACCAAAGAAGGGGAGACGGGTGCACGACAGCAATGCGTCGCTTCTCATACCTTTAATGTCCTTCTCCCTAGGAAAAGAGGCTTGAGACGGCATACCGACGACTTGGCGCAACGGTTTCCCAACGCACGGTCACCTCGACGATACCGAGATAACATTCGATAGATTCTCAGAATTTATCGTGCATACAATCCGCGCATGCGACAGCCCGACAACTCTCACATCGCTGAGGGCGCTGTTAGCTATACACCAGGTGAAAGAAGAAGCTGCTAACTCACATAAACGGTATCCTCCAACAATCTCCGGCAACCCAAGCACTGACCCGGCCCAAAGCCATACGCCCAGAGGTCATGTGGACACTTGTCCCATTTCTTCAGCGCACGCTTGAACTCGGTAGAGTGGATGTACAATGACTCCGAGGCGGGTACACGGGATACGATCGTCGAGAAATCGAGCGGGTCAGATTCTCGACGAGTAGAATGCGAGTGTCTCCCGGTCCGAGCTTGAACTGGCGGGCCCTCAGGAGGCAGAGCGTATTCCATCACCTGTCGGGACGAGGTGCACGCGAAGACCGGCGCCGCTTCCGGTGGAGGTGGTGGGATTGGAGGATGGAGCGTTGACACCGGGGCGAAGCGGTGCGACGGCTGAGGTGATGGTGGATGTAGTGTGGACACGGGGGCAAAGCGAGAGTATATTTGGTGCAAGGGCACGTCCTCTGTTCGAGGACTTGCGGTACGAGCGGACCGCGGCTGGTGAGAAGACGACGGGTGGACGTGATGATCTGTCCGTGGAGACACAGTAGAGCGGGGCGAGTGTATTGGCAGCGCTGCTGCGTGCTGGACACTACGGGAGGAGGATGTCCGAGTCGCGGATCGGTGCGATTCGGTATAGGATGGTGGCCTTGGCTTGTGATCATCTAGGTGCGAAGGCAGTACCGTACTAGCCGCCGAGGACCGCTCGATCCGCGCGTCGGAGGACTGTCGAGATAGCACGGGTTTAGCTTCGGGTGGCACGGGACCCTTGGTAGGAAGTAGAGCGTGCTGCATTGTGGTCTGCGCGTAGACAACGGGGGGTGGTCGCTGGTAAACCCTCAGCTTGTCGCGCTCCTTCGGAAGCATCAGCGGAGGTCGGTTCTTCGGCGGTGGTACGTGCTGAAGAGTACGTCGCGCGCCAGCAGTCTTGCGCATAAGCCGGGACGCATAAGCAAGCGAATCGACCGGCGCCCGAAGTCGTGCGTGCAGTTTGTACACAGGCTTTGGCGGTGGGTCCCATTGATATCGCGTACGGTTCTGTGGTATGGGAGGTGAAGGTATCGTCGAATGTGTTGTTGATGATTGCGATGCAGCCTCAATTAAGGGATCCGTCGCGCGGCGCTTGCCCTTGAGATCATTGGAAGGTGCGAGTACGATGCTATCGTCCATCCACTCTGCGGGAACAGAACCATACTGCGCGGCTTCAAAGGTCATGTAGGTGACCGTACGACCCTTGCCGTGCTTGCTCTCTCGATGAGGTTTGACTTCCTCCCGTCCGCGACGCGTAGGCTGTTCCGCATGCCCACCTCTGGTCGGAGACGCCGGCGGATCGACAGTGCTCGTCTCCTTAACAGCCTCGGCCTCGACCTGCTGCTGACTAGTTGATGCGTTGGCCGCTGCATGCACCCGCTCCCAATGTTCTCTGGTTTCGCGCCGCGCGCGTGTCTCCCGCTGCAAGCTCTCTGAGCGGCGAAGATTCTGCCTCGAGGAGGAGCTGGCAAGGGGAGGCTGTGTAGCAGGACGAGCGAGGGATGCAGAGCTTGCTCGGGGATCGAGGGCAGAGGCAGTAGACGATGCTCTACCGTGAGTCGGGATAGGTGCCACCACAGGCGGCTTAGCATCACGATGAGAGGAAGACCGCGGACGTGATGAGGACGCTGGGAGTCCAGTAGTGGGAGGAGTCGTCCTCGAGGTTGAGGGCTCTGATGCCCTGTGGGACGAACGCGCCTCTTGAACATGTTCGACATGCTGAGGAGGTGCCTTCTGTGTCGAAGGATCGGCGATGGCATGCGATATCGTATCCTTGCGAGGCCGCGAAGACGCCTTTTTCGTCGACTGCGATGACCCGCTCTTCGACGACCGAGAGGAAGATGTGCGCTTCTCCATGGGCGGTGCAGCGTATACCTTGACATTCGATGTAGACGCAGCAGGGACGCGAAGGTCATCCGAATGCACCGGCGGCGTATAGAACACCTCCGCTGAGGGAGCTTGTTCCTTCGGAAGCTCAGGCGGAGCGGGGCTGGGAGAAGGTGGCACTGGCGCATGGCTGGGCCTGCGGTTGCGGGAAGACACGGGAGGGGGTAGGATGTCGCGAAGCACTTGGCGAACGTATGCCTCACGAGCAGGGTCGAGCGCCTCGTCTTGGGCGTCATCATTTGGAGGAAAATCAGGACCAGCGACATCTGTAGCCGCATGAATGTCCTCCGACGGCGCTTCAGCCCCGATGTTGACTTCCTGCGCCACGGGAGGAACGAAATGATATACGCGGGTTGCGCGCGAGCTACTGCGGCTGGCGTGATGAGAGGATCGATGACCATGTGAGTGAGAGCGGTGTCTATGCGAGGGTTGAGAAGCAACATCCTCTGCAGGTGCAGGCTCCTTTGGAGCTATGTCCGAGGAAGGAACCTCTTGTGATGCAGGTGCAGGGACCGGTATCGGTTCCTCGTTCCTCGTCTGCCGTGAGTTCGACGCACGAGATTCTGCCGCCTCAAGTACAGGCTCCTCCGCAGGTGCTGAACAGCTGGGCTCCGCGGGTGGAATAGCGGGCTCGACGGGGGTTTGCCTCGTCGAGGCTTTGGATTTGCGTCGAAATACTTTGGAAGGCGCAGCTTGCGATTCCTCTGCGGGAGGTGCACGAGTGTCCTCCGACTCCTGCGGGATATCCTCCGGCGCAGCTGCTTCTGGGATAGCAGCAGCAACAAGAGGCTCCGCAAGCGGCTCTACGGGTTTAGATGGATCATCTGCTGGAGCAATTTCCTGGGGAGTGACTTCCTGGGCAATAGGAGCTGCCACTTCTGTGGTAGGAGCGGGTTCTGGAGCAGAAGCCGGAGCCGGAGCGGGCTCAACAGCGAGAGCAGCGTTCTCTTCGGGTGGAGGCGCGTCCGTGGTACGGCGGGTCCGCAGACTTGGGCGCATGAAGATCGCGCCGCCTTCGCCTGGTGGAGGACCGACCAAAGCCTGCATCAATGGTCCTGGAGCAGCTAGGGGTTGTACCGGAGCTTCGTCCACATGCGGAGCAGGGGGCGGGAGAGCATCTGCGTCCGGACCAGGCGCATCATCGGGTGGTAGAGGGGGTGCAACTGCTTGAGGCGGTTCGGGGGCGGGTGCGACCTCTGCCTGAGCAGGCTCATCCTCAACGTCCTCCTCTTCCCCATCAGCGGCCGCCTGCTCGCGCACTTCACGCTCCCTCCGCTCTCTCCTACGCCGTCTCCTCCTTTCATGCCTCTCCTCCCTGACCGCCAGTAGCCTGTCCTCGTCCCACCACGGGCACCCGCACGTCTTCCATCGTCGACTACAGACGTAGCAAAACTCCGCCCCGCACCGGCACGTCATGTGGTTGCACCCGATCACCAGCTCAACGAACGCCTCGCAGTCCGGGCAGCGCGCCCACTCCTCCTGCGCCGCGACCGCCGCGATCTGGTTCTCGTCCTCGGCCGGGCTGCAGCGGTGCCGCTCGTTGGGGTCCACTTTATGTGCGCAGCGACTGCACGTCTTCGCGCCGCACCCGGGGCACAGGATCGCCTTCGCGAAGAACCAGCCCGTGTACCGGGCCCCGAGGAAGGCGCTGCACGTCGGCGCGGCGCAGTACAGGCGCTTCGGGGTGGCGAACTCGGCCGCGCGCGCGGAGAAGGTGGCGAGGGTGGTGGTCGGGATGCGACCGCGGACGAGGTCGGTGGGGATCGTCGTCTTGCAGCAGCGGGGAGGGAAGAGAGCTTCGTCGCGGGCGGCGTTCATGAAGACGGTGTTCATGCAGTGCACGTCATAGGTATGCCCGCAGGGTGCGCGGATGAGCTCGCCCGGAGCGATAACGTCCTGGCAAACCACGCATTCGGGGGGAATGTCAGGACTGGGTACAAAGGTTAGCGGGGTACGAGGGTCGAGGCGAATTGAGATACGCACTCGCCGTGGTCTGTAGGTGGCGTCCCATTCCCAAGCATCCACTGTCGGGCTGCACTGAGCAGCCATCCTGGGTGCCACACCCTGTGTACAAGTCAGCCTGCATTCCTGCAGAACGGGAGGTACACTCACTGGTCGTCGTGCTCATGATCATGGTCATGATCGTGGTGGTCTGCACCTCCTGCTGGGGCGTTTTGCTGCTCTTGAGGATGTGCACCGTCGCCTGGAGCAACTCCTTCGTCGTACCTCGGTCTGTCTTCATGCGGTTGGTTCTGCGCGCCACCGCCCAGAGGAAGCGGAAGTGCCCACGCGCCAGGGATGCGACGTATCAGACTGGAAACTCTCCGTCAGCGCAACATGATTAAGGAGATGAGGAGGACGCACCTGGCAAGAGTAGGTTCCGGCCCCTCCGCGCGGGGTTGAGCAGGCTCGTCCCGCCGATCCTGGCCCTCTTCTCCCTGCCGCCGATCCTCATTCCCCCTCGCACCGTTGTCATCCTGCACATACGCCGCTACCTCGCGGTCCTCGACCATCTCCAGCGCACGCCTGAGTTCGTCGCCGAACAAGTCCAGCGCAAGCAGTGCATCTTCTCCTGCTCCCGCCTCTCGGAGAGCCTCAATATCGGCGAGGTGCATCCGCGCGACGGCCGCGAGAAGCTCATTTGGGTCTTCTCCCTCTTCTGGCTGCGGGACTAGGAGAGGTCCGCCGAAGGGGAGGGCGGCGAAGTCATTATGGTTGTTCGTGTTCCGGTTAGCGTTCGTGTTACGGTCATTGCGTTCATGATCGTTGGGAGCAGCACGGCGGCGGTCGTCGTTCAGGGCATCCCAGATAGCGTCCGCGGGGTCCATATACGGAGCCCGTGGTGAGTGTCGGAGGCAAGAGCAGTCAGCAATGTCTGCCTCGAGGCCGGAGCATGAAGATCATCGTCACATCCGATAGCACGACATCTAAGCATACAGTTTCCAGCTCTTCAGTGGTTCAGCGAATATATACAGATCCTCCGTACAATAGATAGACGATGCGCAACATAGCAAGACAGACACGAGTCGTAAAGTAGTACAAAGCATGCAGTGGAGCCGACGCTGCACTGGACACCACTCCCTCCCTTGGCTTCCCCTCAGGCTCAGACATTGCTGTCGGACGCATCGCGAGAGCGAGCTTCCTGGAAGGTCTGCGAGGTAATGAGGATACTGTCCCCGCCGTGCTCGTCATTACGACTCTTCTCCGCAGGCTTCTCAACCGGTGGACGCGCCGCCCCAGGACCGCCCGACATGTTAAACGTGACGGAGCGCGTCCCTGGCGGGGCAACGCCCTTGCCTCCAGCAGCCGCCGGCAGGTGCCTCTGCACCGGCGGCTTGTCCATGAGCACGAGCACGATAATGAACGTCGAGTACAGCCCCGTGAGGGAGATCGACACGGCGAGCCAGATGGACGTGAAGATGCCCGCGTCGATGACGGCGGCGACGAGCGTGACGAGCGAGATCCCGCAGTACACGAGCCCGCTCTCGATGCCGAACAGCGCGATCGTCTCGCAGCGCATGTACAGCGACTTCGCCCGCAGCTTCTCGTGCACGGAGCCCCACGACTCCTTGAGCTTGCGGAGGACACAGACGGTGGCGGCGACATTGGTGACGAGGAGAGGAACGGTCATCATGAGGGAGACGGCGCCGGTGCGGTCGGCAGCGCGCACCGCGTCGACGGTGACGAGTGTGCCGTCGGCGATGACGCCCGCGGCGGTGACAGCGAGGCAGCTCAGCAATACGTTCTGGATTTGCTTGTGTCCCGGCCAGAGCACCCAGGCGCGCCAGACGAGAATGACATCGGAGAGGAAGAACTGGGGGAATGTCAGCCTCCGAGATGAGCGGGCGCGGGAATCGCGGGCAAGCAACGCACGTTCAGACGGAAGAGCCAGTTGTCGGCGACGACCGTGCGCTTGATCATCCCGTCCAGGTTGGGTGGGTCGTAGCTAGAGAGCATTCGTGAGCCGAGGTAGGCGGAGGCTTATCGCAGGGGACATACCCAAGTAATTCCATGCTCGCCACTGCCGTTTTCATGTCCAGTACCATGACCCCCGTGGCTGCAGTGAACAGCGCTAGTGTTGCGCACAGCATAGCAGCATACTTCATAGTCTTGAAGCCTCTCGGACTGTTGATTCGGTTAGCGAGACGCATAGCGGATTGGGGGAGGGAAACGCACATCAAGAGGTACGCGGCGATGATGAAGAGCGTTGCGTGGATGCCTGCGCGGGCTTAGCTAGGCAGATCGTATACACAGTGCAGGTATGCGTACCATAGAAGACAAACTCGCAGCCGATCTGGATAATGGTGTTCTGCAGGTACTCGACGTCCTCATCAGAGAGCGGTCCAGAAGGCTGCTCGTCGGCCATTTCGTGTCCTGGGCGCGAGGGTAGAACGAGGAGAGCGGTGACAAGAAGTGCAAGCACGCAAAAGCGAGAGGAGCTGGACCTCGCTCGCTCTGGTCGTCGTGGGGGGAGGGAGGAGAGGCGCGGTATTTAGTCCGGCGCATGGAGGTCTTGTATCACCGGATTTGATGTGGGAGAGATGCTGTGATGTCCCCCCTTCCGCCGTCCATCTTCATCTCCCGTGCCTCATCAGCTAGCATCAGGGAGCTTGATGCTGTGGCAGGCTCAATATAGAATGCAGCAAAGACGAACTTGACGGTGCGGAACGAGGAGGAGACGATCCGGCACGGTCGGACCGCATGCGGGGAAACCAAATGGAGTAATCCACGGGAGCTTGTCCCTAAATATCCCCCTGGATTTCTCTGATTTTTTCTCCAACTCTTCTTCAGCAGGTTGCTGAGTTCTACTGCGAGCTCATCTTGCCTGCTTATCGCGAAGTCCCCCGAATCCGGGATTCGCGCGCACCGCTCCCCATCACTGCCTTGGCCCCTGTAACACTCGAGCGCCGAAGATAGCGGTGACTCACCGGCGCCTAACTTCGTCCATCTGTACGTCCCATCAGCAGACAATTCAGTCCACCCTACGTACCATCTCGCTTCCCAAACTCTGGCAATCCGATAGGGAGTGAGTGTTATTAGTACAGTGTAGGGCAACAGCAAGGAATACAAGGAAGTTATGCTACAACGACAGGCAGCGGCGCACCAACAGGTCAGGCATCGACATTCATGCTCGTGTCGACGACGCTCGCTAGTGGCGCTGCTGTCGGCGCTGCCTCTGTCCCGGGCCGTGGGCGCATCGAGAACACGACGTCCTTGATGATCTGCGAGATGAGGCCATGCTGGGCCTCGACGGCGATCTTCGTGCTGTCCTTCACGCTCTTTGCCAGCTGGTTGTCCTCCCGCTTCTTCTCTTCCTTCTCCTTGCCCTGCACGCGGAGTAGTGAGTATGTGCAGACCGTGAGCAGTTGGGCCACCATACCTTGTGATCCGCGCCCTTGATGACGGGGGCCATGGCGCGGGTCCCTGCGACTGCCGTCTGCGCCTTCGACAGCTTCTGGTGCAGATCCGCGAGTTGGGAGACCGCGTAAGCTTTGTTCTGCACGAGCGTTGATCAGCATGTGTCATTCAGCTCACCTCATGGACCATCACGCACCGATATCAGAGGACTCTGACTGAGCGTGTTCACCCAGTACTTATTCCATAGTAAGCCGAGGAGCTCATCGTCCAGGCTGCTCTTGAAGATCTCCACGTCGATCTGGTAGTACTGATTCGCGTACGCGCCAAAGTCCTCGATCTTGTTCAGAGGGATGGACTGGTACTCGGAGGCGGCAGCGTTTGGTGGCGTGTAGTTCTCAGGGTACGTTCGGAAGGCGCCAATGTCGACCTTGCCGGCAGAGATGGTACGGTTGGGGTCGATCTGGGCGGATGGTATGAGCGGTAATTCATCATGGTACTGGCGCCCAACGCACCACGACGGCGACAAAGGGGTCTTGGAACTTCTGGTTGTTCATCTGCGTGTTCACGTCGATGCCAGACAGCCAGCAGCCGTACCCCGGATGCGAGTGGTACCAGCCGATCGCGTTCTCTTGTCTTTGAGCCTATCACATGTATAGCCGCGTTAGTGAAGATAACTCTGAGATGTAGCACGCCACACACCTTCTCGCTACCCTGGATGTACTCCACCATGTACTCGTTCGCCTCGTTCGCGGCGTTTACACGCGTCTCCGTCCCTTGCACAGGTAGCGCAAACGAGTCCATGATCACCAGGGTCGTGCCCATGACCTTGCCCTGCATCAAGCCCATGATCTCGTGCGGGACGCCTGATCGTGCGTGGATGACCTGCGCGCGCCTCGTTCAGCGCTCCTCGTCCCCTCGTCCGGATGCCGCACCACGCACCATCTTGATCAGTGCCACAGCAGAGATTTTGCATAGCTTGAAGTAGTGCGGGCTGCAGGTACATCGGTCGTGAGCGCGATCTTTCCCCGTACTCAGGCGCGCGACGCGTACTCTTTCGACCATGGCGCTTCGCGGTTGATCTTGCGGTTCTCGTCGGCGTCAAACTTCCATATCGCGTCTTGTGGCGGGACACTGAGGACGTCGTTCTCGATGGAGAACGTCTGGAACGCCGTGCTCGACGACATGGTCGTCTTGGTTCAGGTCAAAGGCCGTTTGTGGCGCTTAGTGCATGCGTGGCTGTGCTGTGTTGTATCCCGTAAATGGAAGGTATTGTTCTTTGCTCCGAATTCTCATATGGCGGAACACGGGTTTCGTACAGAGTCGGTTCTTCATTGAAAAGAATCAATTCAAACAAGTTAGTCTTATGGTACATTCGAGGTCTGCGCAATTTCTGGCATATAGACAATGCATGAGACGCCTCGTTGGTGTTCGACTGGATTTGCCAGACAACCACAACCAACAAAACGGGTCTTCGATCGCAACTGGGTAGTCTCCTCACTTCGTTGGATCTTCCCCGTGCACCACCGTACCCGGATTGTGCGAAACCAGATGGCCTTGGAGCTGCGTTAGCCAGTCACAGACGTCATATTGCGCCTAGAGCACTCACCGTGCTGATCCTCGTACAACACCTTCGGCGGGTTCTTCGCGCCAGCCTCCTCCGCCTCCTCCTTCGTGGTCACGATGTCGGTGACCTCTCCGTATTGGCGCCCGCCTCGCGCCTTAGAGGCCACGGTGTCGCCGACACGAATGGGCTCGCTGTGCTTGTCTTTGACATGCGAAGAGGACATGGTGATGGTTTGGTTGACAGGATATCGTCGAGAGGACGGAAGAGCGTCGCAAGGTCGTCTCCTCTTATAGGGTTGAGAAGGTGCCAGTGAGGTATCGACATAAACGTCATGCGAATGTCATTCGTGGCTTCATTGCGCGTCGTTGGCTTTGGACAGCAGACTCCTTGAATGACAACCAACAAACATAATCCTCAGCATAAATCAAGACTCACAGAACGAGCAAGTACATACATTCGGCGCTTCCAAGTCCCATAGAATACAGATAAATAGACCAAAAGAGCGTCTCCGTGCATCTCCCCCTTCTCGTCGTGAGCCCGCAGTCACAAAATTTGCGGCGGACGAAGGGTATCTGCAATGGCATTGAACGTCAATATCCTCCCTACCCTGTCCAGTTATTGGATATGTACTCACCTGAATCGAATCTTCGGGGCGTCGACGCAGGTTCCGTCGCGATCCCATCATCCTCTATATCCGAGGGAGGCGCAAAGGATGGTGACCGGCTTGGTGAACGGGACACGTCGTACGGCTCGGCCGCTACCGTGGGGTTATCTTGTACATGGAATGTCATGCGCGACAGCTCGAGGGAATCGTCCGTGCTGGCCTGCGACATGATGACATCTTGGCCAGCCATCGTGCGCAGGTGCAGGATGAACCTCGCGGTGAGTATTCCGGAGATGCTGGCAGAAGCGTGAGCTACACGACGGTGAGGAAGGGATACAAAGGAGCTTACGGAAGGGTGAAAGCGTTTAGTAACCGTTGAGGAAAGCCTTTCTACAGTGAGGTCAGGTTGCGGCCATCGCGACACGAAATCTATGCTCACGGGTGCGATCTGAACGAAGGTCAGCAACGCTTCGATAAGGGAATGAAGTGAAGACGCACATAGTTTAAAATCAGGGCCGTGACCGTGAAGACAGACACGAAGCTGCGAAATAATTGAGAACAAATACAGAGTCGAGACTGCCAGCGCACCAGTAGTAGGCTATGCCTGAGAACGAGTCAGACCATCGAAGCTCGGCACTCATCCACATTGATACGGACCTTGCTCAAAGATCGCGACAATCAAGGTTCGCTGAAATACGCCCGACGTCCCTATCCTTCTCTGCTCACGGACCGCCGGAACGCATTGCACCATCGTCAGCAGCGTCGACAAGAACTCGAACACCACGACCATGATAGACAGCGCGTTGTCGGCTAATCGGTCGTAAGCCCGCGCCCGGCTTGGCGTTAAGCTGCGGGCGTACGTACCTCTGGGTAAGGTCCGTCAGTGAAGTGCACTGCGCGCGATAGCGTCGAGGATCACCCACTCTTGATGGGAGGCCGGGCCCGTGCAGCGCGCGCCGGAGGCCTGATACTGGGCCGAGAGTCAGTGAGGCCGTGGCGAGCGTGAATGGGAGGACGGACGGAGTCTAGAGCGGTGCAGGTCGCGACGAGAGCGCCGAGGAAGACGACGATGAATGTATTGCGATTCCAGACGACCCATGTTCGTGTAGCCCAGGTTGCTGTGAGACAGTCAGAGGGGGATGGCGCGAGCGGACGAGGACGCACTGAGCACAGCTGCTCGTCCAAGAACACTGAGGGATGAGATTCCACGGTATGCAGCGTCACAGCTATGGGAGATGGCTTCAGCAGAGGCATGCGTTCGACCATGGAAGGGCGTACTGGCATCGAATCATGTCGGTAAGTTCATGTTCGATAGTCGAGCAAATCAGTGGCGCACCTCTTCAATCTTGTGCGAGATAGCAAGCAGGTATATGACGTTGGCAACGAGAGCATATCGGCATAGAACATAGAGGAGTGTTGTCAAGCCAAGTTTACGTCCCCAAATGAGCTTCTTTTCGTCCGCGAAGGTGAGGGTATAGTCGTAGTAGAGGAGGGCTGCACGGAGTGAGTGGGTCGTCATCAGGGTCCTCCTCAATCACGGTCGAAGATGTCGACAGAGACGAAGTGAGAGGGGCGTTGCTCACTTATGCTTGACCACTGAATGCAATACTGTATGAAGCTTGAACGCGTCAATACGCGTCGCGACGCGCTGGGTACAGCACTCACTGCTGGTAATGAGCCTGCGCGACCGTTTGGTCTCCATTGGCCATGCCAAAGGACCGCAAGCTAGCTTGGGAGTGATCGAGATGAACGTTGGGGAGGAGAGGCAACCCACCCGCGGATCCTCGCACCGACTTTGCAAATTCCATCTCCTGGAGGCACGTCGAGCTCCCTGTCCATCAACCGTGATTGTTCCGCCCCACATTGTCGCGTCGCGTGGCAAGCGGCCATGAATTTCCAAATCGGGATCAATCGCCTGCCTAAAGCCATGAAAGCGGTCCTGGATAAGTTGGTTGGCCGAGTAATAGACCTTCGAGGGTAGATATTCAGCGTACATCAATACTTATGGGTAAGCCCGGGATATCCATTCATCACCCGCATCAGCATGACGCCGAAGAGAAGAGTGATGGTGGAAAATGTATTGAGGCGGCCTCGATCCTTGAGAGTATGAGCTTGGCGCAGGAAGAATATTTGGACGCCTCTTCAAGCCAGCGCAGTCTAGAGAGCCAACAAAATTCCTGTCTATGGAGAAAACATGTTGCCTTGCAGTGGCACTGACAGTCCTATGCTACACCACCTCGGCGCAGCGGCGAAGCTTTCATCACTTCGAAGCTTTTCAGTTGCCGATGCGTCGAGGGCTTGAGCAGGCCTTGAGCCAGATAAGGGAAGCTCAAGGTTTCCCATTGGCGTGGCCCACGGTGCAGCGTCGGCACCCTCCACGTACCGCATTCGTGCTTCGAGACTTCGTCGAGGGAACATCGATGAGTAGCAGCTCCGCGGTAGTGCGCGCACCTCGTACTGTATGCGTCGACGGAGTCTTCCGCTCCTGAGATTCTGGATTCATTGGGATGGGGAGATTGATATTACAGGATCTCGAGCGGATCGTTTGTGAAGTGTGGGGTTAGACGATGGCTGGGATAGACGACACTGATTTCCCCTTGCCCTTCTTGTCCTCGGAGACTGGGAAGGTCGACGAACGAGGGCGATCTGCAAAGAGGGTTAGTGACGAACTATAAGATGTAACTTGAACCGCATACCCTCGCCGCAACTCACTGCGACTTCCCTCCCAGTCGCCGCCTCATCTCCGTCCCCCACATCCCCAAACGTACGCGACTGATATACATACGAAGCTTGCGTCGCATTCTGATCATTGAAGTCCATCCGCGACATCACCACCGACTCGTCTGGCTCAACATGCGACTTGATCACATCCTGCCCGGCGATGGTTCGCAGGTGCAGGATGAACCTGGCGGTAAGCAGGCCTGAGATGCTGGGAGCAAGCCGGCGGCCGTGAGCATAAGAAGCAGCTGCGATTAAGTATGCGGTGCGGGCTTACGGGAGAGTGAAAGCATTGAGTAGGCGCTGGAAAAAGCCTTTCTGGCGGATGGTCAGCCGGTTGGCGGTGCTTGGTGTAAGGTGCGATCACATACGGGGGCGGCCTGTATATCCGTCAGTTGTTGCGCAGTCATCAGGAGACGAGGAACGCCTCACATAGTTTAGAATGAGTGCGGTGACAGTGAATAGGGAAACAGCGCTGCGAGTACAGCTCAGTCGTTCCTGCGAACTTCGCGCGCGTGCGATCGCACCAGTAGTAGAAGAGACCTGCTTGGCCGTCAGCGAATAGCAAGGCGACGGCGAGTATCCATTTACCTTGCTGGAAGACCGCTACGAGTAATGGCCGCTGGAAGGCGCCGGCTGCCCGCATGCGACGCTGCTCGCGGACGGCAGGAAAGCAACGGTATGCCATGAGAGCAGTGGATATGAATTCGAACACGACGACCATGATGGACAGGGCTTTGTCGCCTAATGAGGTGTGAGGGCGCATGCCGGGTGCGGGACAGGCCTCAAAATGTATGTACCTCTGAAATGAGGTCAGCTAGCGATGCCTTGGTAGATTAGGGCACGTACTCAAGATGAGTAGCAGGGCCAGTGCAGCGTACTCCGGAAGCGTGGTACTGAGCTCGATATCAGCGGGGCAATGGGATCGTAGAGATGGCGAGAACGACGAACGCAATCGAGAGCCGTACATCCGACGACCAGAGAACCGAGGAAGAGGATGATAATCGGCTTTCTGTCCCAAACGACCCAGGTTCGTGTTGCCCAGGTACCTGAAGAAATTCGTAAGCAAGGAAGCATAGTCGAGAGCTTACACGGACTGAGGACTGCGACTCTCCCAAGCACGCTAAGAGACGAGATACCAGTGTAGGCGGCATTGCAGCTGGAGGGGGAATGAGGCTCCCGACCACAATGACTGGCTAGGGGCGTACTGTGTACACAGGTGAGTCGGCAGGTAGGTGCCCCAAGGTCATTGCGCACCTTGTCAATCAAGTGTGCGATGGCGAGCAGATATAAGACGTTCGCAACGAGCGCGTATCGGCAAAGCACATAGAGGACCGTCGTTACGCCCAGCGTCTGACTCCAGATCAGCTTCCGCTCGTCCGCTAGGGTGAGCAAGTAGTCGTAGTAGAGCAGCGCTAGGACTCGTATGAGATGGGATTGACAATATGAGAGACATGCATTGCCCACCTATGCTCGACCACTGGATGCAGAATTGTATGAAGCTACGAGGCGTCAGGGTGAGCTTGTGACCATGCCCAAAAGGCGTACTGCTGGTACTGGCCAGCCGCAGTGGTCGCAAGGGTGCCAATATCGTGGGTCATGGCCGACATATGGGTATTGTTGAAGGTCGAAGAAATTGCTTTTCGCTTCGGCTCCCTTGATATATAGCACGAGCTGAGGCAATCAGTCACCTCCAATCAAGCGTACATGGCCCGTCGAGCGAGATTGTTGAACGCTGCGACGATCATGGACGTGGCGGGTGGGAACAGTCACATTCGGATCCCCTGGGAGAACGGCTCGACCGAGAAGCTCGACGACGTCAGGATTGCCTTCGCCGGAGCACATGCTCCTGCCAGTACTCTATAGTTGAGTGAAGGATATAGCGCTATATGGAAGCATCCGCCAACGGCAAGACTCCGCCTTCATCGCCTCAAGAATCCCGCGTCGACGTACGGGGCGGAACGCAGAAGGAATACAAGACCATAAGCTCTTGGCATGCGGTCACCGGCCATAAGACACAAATACGAGTGTGTCCAAAGGCTCGCATTATCCATGACGCTCGCGGTCAATGAGAGGGGAGGATTCGGGGATTAAACACATCCCAACTGCGTGTGGCACCGCTGAAAAATCGGTAAAAGTATGTTGTGGAATGAAGCCCAAGGCAAGGACGACTCATTGCGAGCGACGCCTAAGGGACCCCCCGAGCTTGCGAGGGAGGGAAAGGCGGAGCGAGCAACACTGACTAACCCACGAGATTAGGGCTGCTTCCCCGAACAAACAAGTACAAAAAGTGGTTTTCACGGGAAGCGGATGGGAAAATGACGGCAATTGCCGTCATCGGCCCCGTGACGCGCCGCAGGCGCGTCACAAGTTGAACTCTTCAGCGAGCCAGCGGCTTGAGTATTTGCTGCTGGCCTCTGCCTTGCCGCAAGCGTAGAAAATGTTTTTTCTTCGTTCAGCGACTCTAAGGGCTTATACATTTGGGATCAATTACCACAACCTTGATGGCCTTCAGCTGTGCCGACCTCTCACAATTCTTTTACACCGCAAAATTCCGTCTTCGGGAACGAGCGTACCGGCGTCATCAGGAGCAACGCAGTTGCCCTCGACGTTGCCGTGTCCATTTCCCGCGCCATGTTCCACGTCAGTGCCGAGGTCCTCGGGCACGAGAGAGGTGAGTGTGAACAGTGTTGCTCGCTTGGTCCAAGCGAGCAGCCCGTGGCTTGCCACAAACTATGTTAGCAGTAGATAGCTGTGCTTGTATGATACAACGCATGGTTCATAGCGCAGACGGGGGCCGTGGATGCCGATTTCGAGGAAGACGCAAGACGGAGAAAAGCAAGCACGAGACATCGTTGACACACAAGATAGTCACACCTCCGGCGACATCCGAGCTTGCTCATGACCACCAACATCCCCCTGCCTCCTCCTACGTCTTCAGCCGAGCCTTCTCTCCGACTTGGCTGTCGCACCCAAACTGACTCATTCTCTTCATAGCCCGAATTTCTGCCCAGTGCCCACTGCTTTGAGATCCCGATGGCTGATTACTTTTATGAACCCGACTCGAATAGCTCAGTTTTCTGAAGGGAATGACCCAAACTAACCTCTCGAGAGTGGCCCGCGACTGCATTAGAGTAATGAAGCTGGTTGAGTACACCGGATACAGCCGTACGGCTGCTGCTTCGATTGAACTCTAGCCCACACACGTCCAGCGTCTATGGACGCGATACTCAGCGTATCCTCGCAATCGAACCTTAAACCTTCCTGATTCGTCTACACTCAAGCTCAACGCCGCATCTATGCCTATAGCCCCCGATCTCAGCGCCAAGGGCCGCCCGCACCTCTTCGGCGCCTATTGCACACATAAGCGACCCCGCTTTCTTGTCTGTTGACTCCTCCCCTCTCCTCGGTTCTCCAGCCTTACTTGCGCCGACCAGCTCCGACTGGCTGTCGAATCGGTCTTACCCCGACGCTCGTCCATTGGTTACCTGAAATGACCTGGTCGGCAATCCTCACTGGCGCGTACACTGACCGACGTATCTCGAACGTACAAGACGAATGTTCGAAACCGCGCCCCGCTTCCCTTACTCGATATCACGGACCCTTCGGAGCGTCTGGTCGGGCTTCGTGTTGTCCTCAAAATTCACGCATCTCGGCGCGCATGGCAAGGTTAGGGTGCGTACGCCTCGCGGCTCACTCAGGGTGCTCTTGCACGCCAAGTCCCACGATAGCGACTCTTCCTTTGTGGGCGCCCACAACGTGTTCGTGACGTGTCTTCCCAGACAGACCGCCGGCCCAGAGCCCTCTTTTCCTCGCCACTGCGTCCGCACGACGTCTGGACTGCGGCCTTGGAGATCTTCGGCGCCCAAAGTGTTCTTCAATGCTCACAGGACTTCAAGATAGTAGGCGCTCCGGGGTTATAGGCGCTCACAGGACTCCAGGCGCTCGCAGGGTCCCGCAGTACGGCGTCTATCTGGGCTCACAGGACCTCTGTCGTTCTCACTCGGGGATATTTTGGAGTTCTTCGACAACATGCTTGCTTGCACGCGCCTCGGATGTTGTCAGCCTCAGCTTTCTTCTCGTGTTCTTTCGGCGTATAGAGGAGGCGCCTGCCTTCTTCTCCCTGAATTTCTACACCCTTTTTTATGATTTGAAAGCTTGTACGCTCGTTTACCATGGGTAGCAAGTACGTACGCTACCACCTTCCATTGTCCGTTAAGGGTCTTTTTGGGGGGAATATTAAGGCGCGTGGTCGATTGCCGCTGTGGACTCTCGCCTCAACTTGCCCTCCAAATATCAAGGGTACATCCCCAGTCAAGAAGCTGGACCTATCTCGCGGACTCAGTATCGCTTGACCGTGAAGGTCAGCAGCACGCCGAAGTGAACACAGCTCAGCGCTTAGCGTTCTGTACACCGCGTCCGGAGGTTCCCTTTCAGCCCGCGCTTAGCTCACAGGTCATGCGGGTCCGGGATCTCGATATCGGGACCGCCATCGAAGCCTGGCATAATTGAACATCGGCCTCGAGGCGGACGGAGGTGGGAACACACGCGACGAAAACAAAGAAATCGGGCGAGAGAAGCGCGGCTTGCACGAACGCGGCGCTCAGAAGGCGCGCAGATGCCTTGCGCCGAAGCCTTCTTCCCACAATGGAGGGTTAGGGACCCAGGGGTCCTCCGCGTATTGCGGCCTCCCCGAAGTGATATTACGGCCACCCCGAACTGACGAGATGCATCGATGGGTAATCGGTGGACGCGGCGGGACAATAGGGCGGCGTGAACCACGAGAGGGCACAGCATGAGCCACACACGATAGGGCGTGGCGGGACAATAGGCGCCGGAAACTCGGCGCGCAAGAGGTGGGATGGGGTTGTGAGGATTGCGTGAGGGACATGAGGACTGTGCGAGCGGGCTGGGAAGTGCGACTGCGTAGATTCAAAGCGAAACAAGACCGCTACAGAGACCAGGTGGTATACAACAACAAGCGCGACAAGTACGAGATGACAAAGTAGGTAAGTGATGCAGATAGTCCGACAAGCGGGCGCTGTTCCCAGCGAGGGGAACAGTGGCTACAGCGAGGGGAAGCGGTGGCTCGGCAGGGCGAAGCCGGCTGAAAGCAACGATGGGAGTTACGTGCTGAGCACCGTTACTTGCAAGCTGATGGGGCGCAGCTGGTCGTCGGTTATGTCCCGAGGCGTCTTAGCGTTCCTGTTTATCCTCTTGCCGAGCGTCTACGCGAGTGTCGGTCAGTAGAAGCGCGCGCTGATTGGCTGGTCGGACGTACGATAACGTCACCCGGCTTCAGAGGCGTCGGCGCACGTATAGGCTGAGTGTTGACAAAGGTGCCGAAGGGGGAGTCGAGGTCCCGAATGAGAACCTGGGTAGGGTGCGGCGGGGTGTCAGAGCGGTGATGATGAGAGAGGGGGATGGTGTGCGCACCTTGCCGCTCTCCAAGTAAAGCTCGGCGTGCGTCACGGCGAGGGTGAGCGGGAGGACAGTGCCATGTAGAGGTTCGAAGAGTCCGTTCCGCGGCGAGGGCGCTACGTGGGACTTTGGTGGCGGGACGCCGAGAGTTATCCTCGGGGCGTCCGGCGTCAAGGACAGCGTTTTGGTGTCGAACGGGAAGCTGCCTTGTGTGGGGGCAAGCTTGATGGATACTGAACGGCTGCTCATGGTGGGCGTCTAACGAAGTGCGAGCGCGTGTGGCGAGGCGTTCGGTGGGCGAAGTGGGAGAGCATCCTGGAGGTTCAGTGACGCGCTTTATATCGGCACCGGTGAGTGCGTGCGCGCAGCGGAGATGGGGAAGAAGGGGGCATGGCGGGGTTTCGAGCAGGGTTCGCACATGCAGGCACATCTATATGATTGCACCCTCCGTTCGTCTATTACTACGAAAGGCACGAGATCTCGATGCTGTGAGCACCCCGATTGCCTTCCGCCCGCAGATGAGGCGAGTCATTACCGGGCGCCGTCCACTGATGTCTTGCCTCAGAAGTGTCTTGACGGTTGTGCCGCTTTCTAGTAGCGTGTCGTACAACGCGCCCTTGAGAACATCGTGCAAGCATCGTCTATCGCGATCTAGCCGCGCAGATTGACTTGCCGTGGAGTTGAAGACAAGGGGCGCCCACAACCGGCCGCCTGGCGAGAGAAGCTGTTGAGAGCCTCAGCCGGAGGTTCGGTGATCGAACCTGAGCGACCACGTCCAGATGTTGCTCTTGTAGCTCTTCTTCAGTCTTGAATATCTACCAGCCTCAATGGAGAGCTTCCGCGTGAATTTGGGTCCTCGTAGCCTCGAGAAAGTTTGAAAGTAGAGGACGAAGAGTCCCTCAGTGAGTCCACTCACAATACATACATCCAGGAGCTTGGTCATGGGCCTCAGGGACAAGTCTAGTATGACTAGGACGAGGAGTCCCTGACTAGATGGAAATGTATATGGTGAGGTGAGAGTGACTCTCGCAAGCATACACTGCCGTGAATCTGAAGACCCTTTCAAGACGGACAGTGAGTTGTGGCTTGCATGTATTTCGATGCAACTCTAGAGCGTGCATTAGTAACAGTATAAAAACTCGGATCCGACGTTGAGGGTTCGGTTAAGGAAAGTTGAGCTTACGGAAACTGAACCCTCACGCGAGGCTAAACGCGCTTCGAAGGCTCACCTCCGGAGAAGAGCCTTCTAATCTGAGCCTTGGTGCTTGAGGGTTTGCGTTGAGCCTCCTCCCGCACGCGTTTTTTTGTGCCAACAGACGGTCGGACATATATCCCTCCCAAACTATAGCATACCGAGCATTTCTCATGTATTGACATTGAGCCGCACGCTGACCCACGAAAGGCTGTTTCGCATTGAACGACGTGAAATTGAGCTTCGCAAGATGGCAGTCACAGCTATGAAGGTTTCTTATGATACCGAACGCTGAGTCGTATATTGCCGCATTCGCCGACGCAGGAATCCGGTCAGTAGAACCGAAGTGTCATTCAGAGGTCAAAACAGCCCGGATAAGCAGTGACAAGAAGAGAGGAGCAAGCAAGCAAGAGATCTGTCGGGACGATGATAGCTACGAGTGCTGTGAGAGGAGCGGAGAGCACTGAGAAGCCCCGGAGGTGGCTGGAGAGACAGTAGCAGAAGACGTTTCGAGCGCCCGGAGTGTATAAGATGCATGTCCTTCAGTACTCCGTTTCTCACGTCGTCGAGAGGAGACTGGAAAAACCGATGCTATAGCCCCGAATGAGGCGCAGCTTGTTACGGCCCAATCTCATTGCCAACCAGAGGACCAGTGCGCATACTTAGTGCTCCTTGGTAGTAATCCTTTCAGAGCTTCCGAAGCAATAGAACTACGCGCGATGCTGGAATTGTAGCGGGAAGAGGGTGCAATTGTGGCCAGCAATGGTGGTTGAATGACAGTGGCGAACTGTGACATCGTTGTGACATGCCGCAAGTTTCTGCCTCGGCCCGAGCTCGATGCACCTGCAGTCTTCTTTCTACCTTGGTAGAGACTCTAACTGAGTACCTAATTTTCAAAACTACGTTCAACGTAGTCAGATAGATCTACCTGGTTCAACTGTCAGTTTCGAGAGGCGGGCACAACCGGCCCCCGGCCCGGCAGCGCACGTGGTAGATCGAGACACGCCTGCACGTGACGTTTTCTGGACTTTTTTCCCGCATCCGCAAAGTCACCTTCGTCGTCGTCGCCTGCAGCGAGCTCGAGGTATCAAGGCTGTCTGTTGTCGTCGGACATGTCACACAGCATTAGATGCCTTAACATGTCCCTTCGCGCCCCGCCCCGCGCCTTCGGCGGCCCGTCGTGTGCCGCACCCGCTAAGGCGCTTACCGGTGCGTGACAGTGCGCTCGTTGACGGTGAACATATGTCTGAACGGTTTGGTATAGGGAGGCGGCACATGCATGCTGCGCTGCAGATGAAGCCTGAAGCGAAGGGGCAACCTGCGCAGCGCGCAGCGTTCGCGCGCACAGCGCCGCGGCGGCACGAATCGGGAGCGCGCGCCGTGAAGGAGACCGTGGAGCTCGACGGAGACGAGGTGGCGGATATGCAGACGGCCCCGGACGCGAACCAGAAGGCGCCGCGCTTGAAGCAGCGCACCCTGCTTCAGCGGAAGGCGTCGTCTTTCGAGGAGCACCTCAATGGCCTCTTCGCCCCGCTCAAGTTCCCGCCTGAGCTTGCGCGGAGGATCATGACGCACGGAAGCCATCCCAGGGCGGTTGCGGGGCACAATGCTGGGTTTACTTTTATGGGTGCGTCGCCCGCTCTCGCTTTCTGAACATTCACTCATACTTCTGCACTAGGTCGCCGCGTCCTCAAGGCGTACCTCCTTCTCTTCCTCAGCTCGAGCCCCAACCTTCGTCCCTCCCATGACCTGGAAGCCATCGTCGACAAGGCGCTGAACACCTACCTCCTCGGCGAACACGTCGGCAACAAGTGGGGTCTGGGGCGCAATATGCTTTGGCAACCGACCGTGCCACGGGAACGGATACCAGGAGAGCCAGTCAACTTCGTCAAGACCTCTGGTCTGTACAAGGTGCAAGGGGACTGCGTCGCTGCCATCCTCGGCGGCATATTCCATCAATTCGTGCGTCTCGATTCTCCTCCATATCCGCCTTGATACTGACGCACCTTCAGGGAGGCTCCGTCGCGCACCGAGTGTTCCACACTCGCCTCCTACCCCGTCTACTTGACGACCCCGATGTTCGCGTGATCCCCGAAGCATTCCACGAGGACGTTCGCCGCGCGCGCGATACCCTCGGCGGCGGGAACGCACCACTCCTTTCTTCCGATGCTCAGACTGCAAAAGTATCGCCTAGCATAGAGAGCAACGGTAACCTGTGAGTGATGAGCGCGCTAGTGCTATGAGAAACCGGCGCTTATATCGCTTGCAGGGCATAATACTATCTACCACCACTGCTTACGAGGAATATACTGCTCTAACCATGACGCTTGCTGTTTGCCCCTCCTGCCATGCCCTGTTGTAACCATTTCCTGGATTGAAGCAAAGTCAAGGCGCAGGATCTGTGCCACGAATGCGCGGCGGCTCCTTCTGACCCGCCGACAACGCTGTGAGGGATCTTGATTAGGCATCTACGTTGGCACTTGATTGCGATCGGGCTCACCACATCGTCCGAGTATGCCAACGTCCTGCTCACCGTCCTTGAGGTTCTTGCTGTCGCACGTAAGCCTGGACGGTGGTCTACCGCGGCAAGGCTGCCGTCCGTAGTAGCTGCAAGGTCAACATGACGATGGTCGTCGGAGGCGGTAAGCGGTGCGAAGGTGGGTGAGTCGGAATTATTACCTGAAGAGGTGAAAGCAATCAAGCCAACCGAGAGAGGTGGAGTCAAGGCTACCGTGCTTCCCTTTCGGCTGTTATCTCATGACTTTAGACGATCTTCGCGACCGTGACAGTCGTCGACATCGTGCGAGTGTCGTCGGTAGCACGTGGTGATACGAACGGACTGGCATCCGGTGCGTATCAGAGCGCGCGTCGCCCCTTCTGTCCCAACAGTCTTCTCATGATGGATCGTCGACCGCAGATCGCATTCACGAAAACTCGTCGATCACGGTCGTACAACCTAGAGGACGACGTACATCAGCGATGGGCTCCGTAGCGAGCGAGACGACGCCTCTGCTCATCTACCTTGAGCATTGACTCCGAGTGAGGACAAGCAGGATCGCTTCGATGTCGAGCACTCCCTCGGAACCACGGAGGAGCTTGAACTGACGAGACGAGGAGAAACCGCCGCTCATCTCGGCGAGCTGATACGTCGCGCACTTGCTCATGCTGCCCTCGACGGGCGCCTTCGCGAGTGACACTTGTCTCGAATCGATCGCGAGGCCTCGCGCCTCCCTCCCGTCTCTCGCTGTCCAAAAAGGCTTGGCGCAGACCCCGGACGTCTGTTTCGGTGACGGATGAACGGGAGAATAGGCTCCGGGCAATTGTTCCGAACAATGCGCCCTCCGAACCCCGCCTGGATACCGCACGACGACCGTGCAGATCTGCAAGTTTGTGGAGCTCAGGGCGGGCGCGCCTCCCAGATATAAAGTTGTGCGTACGATGGCGGCCTTGCTCTTCCCATTCCTTCGTGTTTCCCCAGTCCGTTCATTCCCTCACAAACTAACCCGCGGCGTCTCCCATTCTTTTGAGCGCCGTCTCTGTCGTTTACGATGATTTCTTCGGCTTTCCTCGTCGCGGCTCTCCCTCTGCTGGCTGCCGCGCAACTTGACGACATCCTGGGCACTGGCGATGCGGCGTCCAATGGGGATTCTGGGTCGACCAGCGGCTCTGACCAGGCTTTCAACCCGTACCCGTATAATCCTGGCTTCGACATCGAGACCGTCGCAGCAACTGCGAAGGCACTCCCCTCTCACTCCTGGGAATACGGGTCGGCGTGCGAGGCGCTTCTCGAGCTGCACAACCCTGGTACGTTTCTCGCATGCAGCGTGAATCACTGTCTGACCTCCCCGAAGAGTACTCGATCTTCGGCGAGAAGCCCTTTCCCACCATCGTTCTCGACTCCAAAAATGTGCCCGCCCTCGCCTATGGTAAGCTGACGATCATTGTGCTATACATTTCGACTCACTAGCATGCAGCGAAGGAGAAGATTGTCCTAGGCGAAGCGCCCAACTCGTTTGCTGACGGCGATGGTGCCACTGGCGACCCCGCCGCTCTCGGGGTGTACGCCATGCTTCTAGGCAAGGCTGGTGACATTCCCATGTCGCTCAAGGCCGACGAGGAAGTGTCCTACCTCGTCGACGAGTGCCCGCGCTGGCCGAACGGCGCAATCAGCCAGCGTGCTGATGTCGCGGAGCTCTGGTGGGTGATGACCTCGCTTATTCGATACCTTATCGTTGCTGATCGTCGCGCAGGGCTGAGTACGCACTGAATCTGATCTGCGTCGTCTTCTGCTGATCGTTCGTCTAGCTTCATGTACATGGCACCGCCATTCCTTGCCTACTATGCCGCTGACAAGCAGGATGAGAAGCTTCTTCGCGAGTCGGTTGATCAGTGCTCTCACTACCGCGAGGTGCTGCAGTCAAACTCGACTACGACCACCGTTTGGGCGCACATCGTGGGCCCGCAGAGCGCCGACCCTGGTCTCTGGTCTACTGGTAACGGCTGGGCTGCGGCTGGTGCTGTATGTGTTCCCTATTTCCCATCATATGACTTAACTGACCCTTCTCCACTGAAGACCCGTGTTCTCGCGACTGTCCTCAAGTCGGATCTGGGTAACAAGGTCGCATGGAAGGACGAGGCGGTCAACACCCTGACCACCCTCATCAAGGAGATTGTCGACGGTGCTATGGCCATGCCCGAGGATGACGGTCTCCTGCGCAACTATCTGAACGACACCACCACTGAGCACGGCTTCGGTGAAATCAGCGGCTCATCGCTGCTCGCCGCCGTCACCTACCGCATGGCCGTGCTGCAGCCTCAGGCTTTCGGCGCGGAGTACATTGCCTGGGCGGAAGGCGTGCGCACGACGCTCGGTGGCAAAGACGCCGTTGGTCAACCGCATATCACCAGCAACGGCACCGTCACCCCAGCCGTGAACCCTCTGGGCTGGACTGACACCGCGCCCTTTACCGCGGGAAGCCCGGAGGGCAACAACTTCGTCGTGCTCTTGTATGCAGCGTGGCGCGACTGCATCGACGCCGGTATCTGTCAGAAGCCCGACGCCTCCGCACCTCCTGCAGCGCGCCGTCGCTTCCACCGCCGCCAGCGCGCTCACTTCGCCCCATTTGCTTGACCTGGCTCTGTCTCCCATCTGTACTAACTTGCTTTCCCTGACACGTCGCTTTCGTTCATACCCTATTATATCACGCTGAGTATACGTGTCTTGTACAGACCGACCTTGCTACTTAGTGTACTAAGTTACGCTGCTTCGAGTGCTAACTGTGTATTACCGGCTCGCGGTAGTGTATCCGTTGTCGGTGGTCAATGCATTCATAACATTTCTGTCATGGTGGCTTTGTTCCCTTTGTTCAGTTGTTGCCTTTCGTCTTTCACGAGAGCATATTTCTGGTGTGTTACACGTCACCCTAACCCTACCCACGCTGATCAGATATCGTAGCTGATTTGATGGCGAATTCATCGAACAATGGGCCGGCATCCTCCGCCACTACAAACTCAACCCATCAAATGATAACCACGAGGCGCTTACCCTCTTGTCTTGAACCTCCACCTTGCACAAACCCGTCCCTTAAATTCATTATGCCGCCTCCGAGGACTCGCATCCCCGTCTACGTCCAGCGCGATACTGCCACCACACGCGCTACTGAGCCCACGGCGGCGACAAAAAGCAAAAAACATACACCGGTTGTGCGTCGTACGCGTAGTCGTGTCCTGCAGGCTGGCCCTTCCTGTCGCCCTCATGACCCTACCGACTCTCCACGCAACCCGTTCGGTCCGCAGAACAAGTGGCCTCGCCTGATGGACCTCCCGCCTGTGCTCAACAACGTCGCGCTCTCGCACCTCCCTCTCGTCTTGACCATCGTGCGCGCGGGGGCGCAGGTAGACGATCAGCGTGTGCGCCGCATGGCTCACGTCCCGCGCAACTACACCATTACGCACATGCGCGCGCTGATCATTTACCTCTTCGACGCCACTGTCTACGACGGCGATCTGTTTTCGAATCACCATCACGTAGTGGAGATCTGCAAAGACGCCGACATTGCTGGTGACCTTACGACAGCGCAGACGTTCATCAAGCTCTCTGGGGCGCAGGACCCTTACACTCCAGTACGCGACGACGGTCCCGAGCATAGAGGCGCCGCTGAACCTCAATCCTCGCGTACTGAGACCATTCGCTGGGAAGGCGAAGGCGACTTCTCCATCGAGACCCTATGGACCACTGCACCGGACCTCAACGACCAGTGGGAGCAGGCAAACGAACGCCGTGGCATTATTTTTGTGCGGCAACTTTATCTCTCATGCTCGTCGTTTGCTGACAGTAGCCTGTATAGAATTTTAAGCACAATCCGGACGTCCAAGTGCACATCACGTTCGACGCGACACTCCGCAATTCAGCACCGCATCCCATGAACATGCCCTTCGTGGCGAAGAGCCAGGGTCGTACGAAGGCTCTTAGAGGGACGTCCTCCGGTGCCTCACTTCGTATGCCTTACGGCGCGGAGTGGAACGAGCCGGGCGCCTTCAGGAAGTTCTACACAACCCTCGCGAGAAGTAGCGCGGCTCTGCTACCGGCTCCCCAACGCCCCTCTATCCCACGACTCGCCCAACCGCTTCGCGCTCTTTCGATCAACCCGACGGTGCCGGGAAAGACGCCGGACGCTCTCCCCGCGCACCGAAAGGCAATCAGCGCTCGCGCGATTAACATCTCGAGGATGGCGAAGTCTGCCTTTCTGCGAGAGTTGGACGACCTCGACGAGCCTGATTCGTCGCCGCGGCCGCTGCCGCGTCGTGTGGCGCCGGTGGCGACTCCTGTGACTCCAGTGGACGACGATGAGGATTCATTTTGGGGAGACAAGAAAGAGATCGAGGCTATCTTGGCGGAGCAGATGAAGCACGCGCCGCTGTCGCTGGATGATGACTCTGACGACGAGGTGAATCTTTGGTGACGGGAGCTGGCCTTTGCAAACATCTGTGAAGAGCTTATGTATGCGAGGAAGGTGAAGGTTTCGAAACAAGGACATGTATTTAATTGCAACATTGTATTATACCATTGACAGGGATTTGGCGACGTGAACACGGTTATTCTTCTGATCAGCAACTCGAACACTACACGCGCGTGGCAGTCATGTGATGCGCTCGTGCGCGCGGGCGTAACGCGTCGCTTGGCACGTCACTGTCAGCGCTTCGTATCTTGACTCCTGCGTTCATCCTCTTTTATCTTTCCCAGCTCCAATCCATCGCGATTGATATGTCAGGACCCATTACCGTGATACCGCCTGTCTACGACGAATGCGAATGCTGTGGAGAGGAGGCGGAGGAGGGACAAACACAGATGTTGAGATGTTCGGCGTGCAAGAACAAGTTCTACTGCGTGCGTGCTGTTCTGGTGCGAGTTATGCTATAGAGCATACATCTGACTATCTGCAGTCACCGAGGTGCCAGAAGAAGGACTGGAAGGAGCACAAGATGAACTGCTCGCCGCTGCCCGTGCCTCTAGTCCCCAACGTCCCCGAAAGAGGCCCGGAGATGATATCGGAGGTTGAGCGCGCGGCAAATATGCTCAAGGAAGTTTTCGATGCTTGGAAGGTGAGTCGGACGACAATTCACTGGCTTCATGTAGGATTGTTGACACTCACTCCAGAGGATCGACGACGAAGAGGAGTCGAAGAACCTCCCTGACATCGAGAGGCTCAAGCTCAAGTTCAAAGATCCGGCGACCAAGAGCCTCACTCGTGAGCGTAATCACAGGCGTGCTCCAATCAACTTATCTGAATGGTCATGTAGGGTACGAGCTGCCCGCCGAGTTCGCCTGGAAGACGAATCTTCTCGACAAGCATCCAGATTTCGATCGCGTGCTACACTCGTTAAGGCGTCTCTTCTGGATCGATACCGTCGCCGCAATCAAGGACGACAAGGAGCGCGAGGACTGGCTCGAGCAGCTGAAGAGCATGCGTTTGCCACCCAGCTTCCCGCAGATCGTTCCGGAGAAGGCGCTCGCGCTTCCCAGCGGCCTGAGCCCTGGTGAGTACGAGATGCTCGCGCAGGTGGCGAACATCAGGAGCTTCCCGCTGGCTCCCGAAGTCCCCGCGGAGGCCGGAGGCGCTGGTGCGGACTCGGCCTACACCAAGCGATGGCTGCACTTAGCGGTCATCTACAAGCAGTCTCGTGCGAGTAGCTGATTCAGTATACGAACTTGGGGCATGATCCTGTTATCTACCTGGAGAGCGCAAACTCCTGGAGCGTGGATGTTAGTGACTCCAACAGCTCTCTGCGCGTGACACTTGCAACAGACCGCGACCTTCGGCACTACAGCTCGTTACACACACTTCCTGATTGACTCCAACGAGCTGTTGAGCGCTCACTGCTGATGACGTATAGGCTGTTATGTTTTGAAGACAGGCGTCGCACACCATCCATATATAATTCGCCCTCGATGGTGTTCAGGGTATATTTCCCATCTTCCTCGTCATGCAGGTCAAGTCCTCGATCCTCTTTTCCTGCTTCATTGCGCTAGCCTATGCTGCGTATCCCAACCCCCTTCCCGGTACATGTGAGCATGCGCCCTGTCTTTCGCCGTCCAAAGACTCATTTACCCTCGCCTAGCCGACGTTCACATCAGAGATCCGTCTATAGTATACAATGCGGACCTTAAGGTGAGCATCGAACGCGCCGAGAGCGAGAAGCATCCTGACCTGTGGCTTCCAGACGTACTATCTGTTCGGCACGGGAAAGCACTTGCCCTACTATAGTAGCAAGAACTTGACAGGGTATGCTGGTCTTTCGTTGTATCGCATTTACTCACCAAGACCACGCGGGACGCCCTCAGTCCATACAAGCGCGTTGGACAGGTGCTTCCGAACTGCTCTTCTATCGACCTGCCATCGTCTTGTATGAACTGGGTACGCCTCTGACCTGTACGAATTGTATCATTTCACTGACAAGACTTGCAGGCGCCCGACGTCGCCCTCGTCAATGGGCAGTATGTCCTTTACTACTCGCTGCCGCACAGTGGTTTCCAGAGCTACTCAGCCGTCGGTCTTGCGACCAGCCCTTCGATGAAGCCAGGGACCTGGGAGGACCACGGCCTGATCCAGCACGGCAATGATGCCAGCGATGGTGGGAATGATACTTTCCATACCAGTACGTTCTTCTCAAGTACGTTTCTGCGGCCTTGGAGAGTCCCACCACTGACCAAATACTTTCAGTCGATGCCAATCTTATTGAGACGCCTTCGGGCTTGACACTCACCTATGGGTCGTACCTAGGAGGAATATTCCAGCGCAGTGGGCTCCTTTCCCCAGTGCACGACGCCCATAACCTCATACACCTTGTAGATATGAGCAGCGTGCACGATGTAGCTGATCCGTCTGTATGTGGCCGCTATCGACCCAATCGCATCGCGCTGAATATGTTTCAGAAAATGCCTGGCAAGCACCTCGCCGGCGGGGGCAACCGCCCGTGCGAGGGCGCCTTCGTCTACCACAAGAACGACTGGTTCTATCTTTTCGTCTCGTACGGTATAACCATAGTCGACGTGCGTGCTACCCTCAAACCTCCATGCCCGTGTACTCACGCCGGTCACAGCCTAATCATCCCGTGGCCAAAAATCGCGAGTATCATGTCACCGTCGGGCGCTCGAAGTCCGTCAGCGGCCCCTTCCTCGACAAGAACGGGACGGACATGGTCAAGGTGGCGAACGGCACTGTCGTCCTCAAGACGCACGACAATGTCTATGTGCCTGGTGGGCAGAGCATCTTCCTCGACCCCGTCAGTAAGCGCGACGTGATGGTCTACCACTACGTCCGTGAGTATCTCAACTCTCTCCTCCGCATCCTCGCGTTCACGACCCTCATCAGCTCACAGCAATCTCTCGGCGCCGACGAACTTGGGAATCAACTTCCTGGATTTTGCGTCAGGGTGGCCCGTTCTAGTTGAGTGAGGATATAGGCAGCGTCTACTATGCACATGACTATTCTACACTGCACAAAATATGGACTTGCAACGAACACATTTCACTCGATCGACTTCGCCAGCTTCGAGAGATGAACCAAATGGGGCCACCGCTCCGCATAAATATCGTCGACGGCCTCGACCCTACTTCCTTCCTCACGATTTTCCATGGACCCCTTCTCGGGTCCTTTCGAAACACGATCTGCCACAGTCTTTATGAAGGCCGTGTGGAGCAGTAGCCTATATTCCCCCGGACTCAAATCGCCTGGCCGAGCGAGCACCTTCTCCGGCACCATAAGAGGGAAAACCGATGGGAACGTCGCTCTCTTCATGATGTCGATCCACCCGTCTCGTTCTTCCTGGCTGGCGATACCGGCGACAGTCTCAATCCAGAAGAGGCGCGTCAGCTGAAGGACGAGGCGCTGGAGGGGCGTCTCTCCGTCGAGCTGCTTGGTCTCCCATGCGAATGCCGCAGGGACCTCGTAGCCTACGGGTGAAAGTCAGTAAGACGACATCAGAAGTAGTCACGCCGACGCACGATATAGCACTTTGAATGGGTGACACTCCGCTTTCCGACGTTCTCTTTCCTCGCGCCCCAGCTCTTTGTCTTTGTCGATGTCCTTGCCCCATCGCATCAGTAGCTGGCGATGGGATAGGGAAACCGAGCACTCACCTTGCACGCATCCAAAAGGTCTTTCAAAAGGTTCGCCACACGTCGTACCTCGTCGATGAGCTCCGGGCTCCTTTCCGGAACGGTGGGCACAAGGGGCAGGGTGAGTGGGGAGCAGTTCTTCTTGTGCGCCTTCCAGTCCTGCTTTTGACATTTCGGCGACTAGAGGAGGAGAGATGTCAGCGATTATCGCCTCTGAGATACAGTTGGCTGAACATACGCAATAGAACTTCCCCTTGCACGAGGAGCATCTGAGCAAGGGCGCCGCGCCGCTAGCCTCCTTGTAACAGGACTCGCATTCGTCGGAAGGCGCTGGAAGGATAGCAGGGAGATCGGACATGATTTGGCGTGGTCGTCGAGGAGTTCAATGTTCCTGCTGCTAGAGTTGATAGTTATGGACGGCGGTGAGGGGCGCGTCAAAGGGGGAGCAGGCGGTCTTCGATGTGACACCGTTACATGCCAAAGGAGAGCGCGGGGCACGTGTGCGCAGTCCAACTTTCGTCTTTCAGCGGCGGGGAAGGGACGAGAAGGGTCAAGCCAGCAATGACAGAGCATTCATATCCGCCGTTCTAAGCAGGCCGTTCTCCAAGTTCCTGCTTTTCCTGACCCTCTCCTTCCCCGCCCGACTGGAGAAGACGCGACGCCTCCTTGAGATTTCATCGAGACCTGGCCATGGTTGCCAGTACCGAGGAGAGGAGCGAGGGCTGGTGACGCAAGGGAACATGCCAAGTACGCGTCGACGCGATGGGGCGAGCAGTCGGTAAACGCGAGGCGATGATCGCGGGCTCGCGAGAAAGGACGCGCAACCGTGATGTGTCGGAGTATGGACACCCCCTTGCCTCTTCGGACGTGCCAGGAATGGTAGGACGGCGGCTACTACTCGCTAGCTCCTACGCGTGGATGCGAGCTTAAGTATCGTGCGAAGACCTCTGCGCGAGAGTCATGCCAATAAGCGGACCGACTCGTCGCAAGTTCGCCGGTAGACACTCAGACCCGAGAGGGGTCAGAGGTCCAAACAAAATCATTGGTTGACAGCCATAGTCGTCCGCCGCAGAGCATCAGGTAGTGCGTGATCGCGCAGAGCGTCGGCGAAGCGGAGTGGGCTTAGGAGGAGGCTCAAGATGGCTTGCAATCGCGACATGATAGCGGAAGTAGGCCCAGTCGTTGCTCGTGAACCTATGTGTCGGGTACCGGCCATTGCGTCTAGCCCATGCCGGTGGGCACCGGACGGGGTCGCGCGGGCGCAGCGGGCCTCGGCGGACCGGAGACAGAGGCGGCTCGCTCTCGCCAGGCGACGGCGGTGGTGTCACACCCATCTTCTCCTGCAGGCGGCGCGAGCGGCGCACCTTGGCGGGCGAGCGCGACGCCTCGCGCGGCGGCTTCGCTTTCGGGTCGTACTGCGAGAACCAGTGGCAGACCTTCTTGAGATCATCTTCCTCGTCGATGGAGGCATCTTGCAGTATGCTGGCGGGTCTGCGCGGCGTGCACGCATCCGAGTCGGGCGGGAGCGGGTTGTAGCCGGTGGCCTCGGTGGCAGACAGGGTCGTATCGTCGCAGTCGTAAGTCGGCTCGTCGATGAACCACTGCGGCGCGTAGTTATTGGTGGGGCGTTCCCATTCGTCGATGATCAGAAAAACAAGGGCGTGGTATTGCCCGCTAAGCAAAGTTGAGCGGACCCTGTTGAGTGTTTCGTCCGCGAACGAGGCCACCGAGAAGGGGTGCACTAAGCACTCGATGACGGGGAATTCTTCGGTACCCGGAAGCATGGGCTTGCCGTCGTCGGGGAGGATACCGCCGTTGAGGTCTTCCTTTGTCTGAGGCTGCAGATCGAACTGCCTTCGAAGATCCCAGCCAGCTTTGCTAACGGGGATGAAGACATAGCGGAAGAGCCCGTCGGGACGAGCGAGCTGGAAGGAGCATCAGCATTCCTGTCGAACGTCGTCATGAACGAAGGCATCCACTGACCGCAGACAAAGGTCGACGAGGTGTCCTGTCACACTCGTCGCGACTCTTTATACTCGGGTTTTTCAGATACTCCAAAGCCCTCGCGCATTCGCGGAAGGTCGGTACCAGCACAAAATCTCCGCGGCGATACATATCACGAATGTCCTTCCTAACTGCATGGGATGTTCATCATCGCGCGACAGAAAAGACAAGAAGAGCGCTTACGGTGGATGACGTTCTCTTTCGACCGAAGGTAGTACCATAGGCCACCACGCGGCAGTCCAAAAACCCACTCCATACGGATAGCCTAAGCATCCGAGTTAGTGTACGTCCCGTAATCCCTGGTGAGCGAGTACCTCGTCCTCGTCGTCTGCGATTTCGTAGGGAATTAAAGGGCAAGCCCATAGATTTTCTGTTGAGCCAGAGATGGGACACCTCATCTCATTTCGAACACTAGTGAAAAGAGCTGCAGTTGGGTGCATTTTCAGGGAATCAATCTGGCGTTTCGTCGTCGTGGTGGAGAAGAAGGAAGGAAACCGTCACGTGCTACGCTCGGGCCGGCCGCCCGGATCAAATTGGCATGTGCCGCTCCAGATCCCGGCAATTGCCGAAATATCAACCTTCGACCGCCCATTGTCCTCCCAAAGCAGTTGAGCACCCGAAGCATGTGCTGAGTCAAGGCTTGTGCGGAATCTGATTCAGATGTTTCATCGATGCCTCGTTCAGCAAGATATGCCCTTATAAGGCAGTTTGTGGTGTCAGTCGACCGTCGACCCTTGGCCATGCACGAGGCGTCAGGCGGACAATGGGCGGATCGCCTGCGTGACATTAAGCGACGCATATATAACGACCTTTGTCACGCACTGACTCCTCACATCTCCCTTGCCTCCCGCCACCATGCCACCGAAAAAGAGGAAGAAAGCGAAGACCACGCCCGAGGCAGCCAACGATTCCGCGAGCGCTCGCGGGGCAAGTTCCAAGGCGAAGGGGTCCGCTGAGGCATACTCCGACGCCGAGGACGTGTCTGGCGGTGACAAAAAGCAGGCCACTATAGGAAAAGACGCAAAGACGCCCACGACCCAACGCCGCGAGCAATGGGTAGCTGCGCAAGAGAATAACAAGACCCCGCTCACGAATACGCGACCCGCTCGTAATACCAAGCTCCGCAAAAAGGTGTTCGATCTCGTCGGCCGCGTCTCCTGCGTCGTCACCGGTCTCAGATTCCACCCGCATTTTCTACACGTTGCCCACATCGTTTCGCGATCATTGTCCTGGACCCACCGGCATTGGGTGAGTGGCCCATTTCCTGAATCTGACTATCACTAACCTTGCGAAACAGTTCGAGGCCCTGCGCGATGACATCGGCATCTCAGTCAAGAAGGGAAAGCACTTGCTAAAGATCCTGAATCTGGACACGTCTGTCAATCAGGAGATTCGTACGTTCCTTCATGTACCATCTGTGAGCCCCTCTGACTACCTCCTTTGCGCTAGTATGTGCCTGGCTTCACTTGCTTTTCGACGGCACCTCCGTCAGGAAGAACATCGGTCAAGGCCCGATCGCGTTCGTCCCCAAAAAGCTTCTGGAAATTCTCAACAATATCGTGAACAACAAGGGGAAAAAGAATTATCGCGAGGTGCGTCAGCAGTCACTCTGCCACTTCCGAAGTATTGATCTTGCCTTACAGTTGGCTCCCGACGCAGTCTACGAGTACGAGCTTTGGTGCTTCGAGAACACCAACTATTTCCTCGGCCGCTACACTGACGCTGAACGCAACTACGACCACCTGGCAAAGGAACCTCAAGTTCAGGAAAATGTGAAGGAAGACATCCAGCTCGACGAGGAGCATCCTGTCGAGGAGACTGGCGAGGTTGGCACCGATCACGCTTCGGCTGTCATCGATCCGGAAGAGGTACCCTTGGACAAGAGCTTCCACAATGGAAACTGCGATCCAATGATTCTCGAGGTCGGCAAGCAAAAGTTCACTTTCTGGAGTCCCTTGAACCCCTACTTGGCGACCTTCGACCTGATGGTGAAGATGAACTATCGCATGAAGAGACGGGACCTCCGACGCATTCTCCCTCCGGAATGGAGGGCACTCTACGACAAGGAGATGAAGCCCAAGACCGAGCACTGGTTTCCGACCGAGGCCGAAGCGCTGGCTAAGAGGAAGGCAGCGGCTGCTCAGCAACGTCAACCTCAAGGGCGCACGACAGAGAACTCAAATCGCGACGAAGACCATGGTGCTTCCACCACGGGCGAGGATCCTGTTGCGCCGCCCTCGCCTGAACAGGCCGATGGCTCCGCCGAGACTTCCGCGTCTCCCCCTTCGTCGTCCCCACCTCCCGACGAGCCGTCGAACAGCAGCCCGCTAGGACCCGGTCTCACTCACTTCGATCGCGCCGCAGACGCTTCCGTTCGAGTTCAGCAACTCGACTTGAGTGCCGCGGACGCTTGCCGCGACTCATCTCCCACTGCACCGCCATCGCGGCAGGCCTCTCCTCCGGTTCTTCCTGAAGCCGCCTTTGACGGAGACGGGGCATCTGCTCCTTTGCCTATCTTGGATCGTGCTGAAGACGAGGCGCGTAACACGAAGTCAATGCCTGAGCGGCCTCGTCAAATCAAGGGTCTTCCGAAGCGCAAGGGAAAATCGAACCCGGCACCTACTACGTCGACGCACCCTGCGAAAAACCAGCGCCAGCTGCCCTCTCAGGACGATGAACGACTACCGGAGCATACAAGCGCACGCGAGGCGAAGGCCCCAGACAAAGAGCAAGAACCACCAGATGCTGACAATGACGCCAACGCTACACCTGCGCCCGTTCCCAAGGCTCCCGACAAGACCAAACCTACTACTTCGCCACCGTCGGACTCGAATGACTCTCTCGACGCGCCACGGGCGTCGCTATTGCATCAAGGTGCTTCCACTACTCTTTCGCGTGCTCCGAAGGCACCAGATAAGGCTCGCGGTGCAAAGGGTCCTATTCCCTCGATGCCACCACCTCTAGCAGGACCGTCGAGCTCAAGCGCACAGACTACCGAAAGACGACAGACCAGAGCGGCTGCGAAGCGTGCTCTTGAAGAGACCAACGCGCAAGGAGCCGACACCACCGAGCCCGAACCACCTGACCGACCCGCCGATGCGCCAGAGCGCTCGCACAAGAAGCGGCGCGTCAATACGCGCAATCGTCCGAAGGACCCGCAGATCGAGCGCGATCACGACCCACCTGAATCTTCGAAAGATGTGCCACACGTACATGTTCAGCACCGCCTGGAGGAGCCCGACATAGAACGCGACCACGATCCGCCTAACGTCAACAAGTCGAGGCGCCGCGGCAAGGATCGCTAGCTGGAACATAGCGCTTTCAGGATTTCTCCTTTTCCCGTCTTCCTGTCTTCTCTTCTGTACGCAACAGTCTTGTCTAGTGCTCGATGCATATCTATGTCCTTTATGATTCACTACTGTGTCTATGCATCTCTTCTCCGTGTTATGTATATTCCTCAAATCTGTGTCGTAGCCCTCGACTCCGTGCGCCATTCATTCCATGGCTGCAGTAGCATTGGACATCGTATGCCACTCTTCTCTTCTATGTATGCCTTTGATCTATGTTTATGCCTATGCCCATGCTAGTGCGAGGAGAGAAAGGAGGTTACAGGCCATCCATGAGGTGCAGACTCCCAACCTCAAGCAGCCCAGAGTTCATTGGGTTGTAGGTGAACTTCAACCGTGACGATCACGCGCGTAAACGTGACCGGTGACTAACGCGTCTCGACGCGCATTTGGTTCCGTATTCGAGACCTTTTTCCTGTGCTCACTGCAAATTCGTCGACGAAAAGCCAAAGTTATGAGCAACGACCTCCGCACCTTCGAAGTCGTGATCCAGAACGTCGACCGCGTGCCCGTCACCCTCGGCTTCTACTACACCGGCTGGGCGCTCGCGCTCGCGAAGCCCGCGGATGAAGACTCGAACAACCCCCTTGAACAAGCGCCCATCACCACGACCCTCAGCACCGTCTCGCACGATCTCCCTTTCCCGCCGCCGAACCCCGCGACGGGCCGCCAGGTCTTCTGCATGAAGACGTATTCGGAGAACGAAGGCATCCTCCCACAACTCGTCAGGCTGGGCGTCGTTGAGAAGATGAACACGGTGGAGCTGCAGAACGGCCCACTGGTGGAGGTCCTTCTGGACGATATGGAAATAGCGCACGCGTGCTTGAAGTGCGTGCGGGAATATGGACCGCTGGGATTGTCGAAGCCATTCGAGCTGCCGGGCGAGCCGCGCCTCTCGCGGTGCTCCAAATGCAAGGTCGCGCGCTACTGCAATGCGGAGGTCAGTAGTTTCCTTTTTACGTTGTGTTTTCAGAGTGAACTGACAAGGACATACAGTGCCAGAAGGAGGACTGGGAGATGCATAAGCAGAGTTGCAAGCTATGGCGCACGCGCCCTTCCGAGGCGGCGCGCCTGATGGAGAACCGACGCCGGGCCGACGTGAGCAGCTTCCTGGACTCATCCGGCTTCCAGACGATCAACCTGCATGAACACATGGTACACCGAACGGAAGCCTAGGGACCGGCGAGTCAAAGAGTTTTTCAGCGGTCTTGAGCAAGAACGAAAGAGGGAAACGAAGCCAGATTGTGTACTTATGAAAGACTTGTAGCATTGTCGTGTGAAATGATAGCTTCTTAAAGACTCTCTGGAGCTCAGGAAGAAGAACAATCGCGAGACGGAACTTCCACCACCGGATTTCCGAAAACAACACGCGAATATTCGCCTCGCGTGCTCGAGCCAAATATTTGTCGCTCCACGTGCCCGCGTTTGTGGCGCGCCGGCACGCGCTCCGAAGTGAAAGGACGCGTCCGCATTGTTCTCAGTCCTGCTCCTCATCACACCCATCCTTGCTTCCCGCCACGACGACGATGGCGCCCGAACTTGCGAGCCTAGACTCTGTCCTGCACCAGATCGTTGGCGCGAACAACGCATCGAGTCTGAATCACGCGATCAAGGTAAGCGGTGGACAATGGGACGGAGAGCGAGGGAGCGGGGAGACGGCCTCGGAGGAGGGATGAGTTGAGGCGATGGAAAGGCGGGACGAGGAAGAGGACCTGTACGAGCACGAACCCATCGCGACCCATCACCAGGCGGGTTTAGCACGCGCCAGAAATGGGTCAGGCGCTAATGCCCTCACCTATCAAGGCGTCTTGCAAGAGCCGCCTCGATATACCAACGCTACAAACGATGCCTGACCACCTGAACAGACCGGGCTTCCGAAGGACACGCGCGAGACGATCCTCAGCAGCACGACATCGGATGGACGGGACCCTTTAGCGCTGCTCGATGTGCGGCAACATACTTTGGGGATGCTGTGGATTATGTGCGTAGCTACATACCTCTCATATACAGGCTTCTGACGCATCCTCTCCTTCCATCTTGACCCTATGCTTCCTCTCGCTCGCCGGCATGCTTCACTCACGATCGACCGTACCTTCACCTCACGCACCTCCTAACCACGTCCACGCCTCAATAGCACAGCACGCCTCCTCACTGGCACAGTCTCCCCCCTCCCCCCCGCCAACCTCATCCTCGACTTCTGCGAACACTTCGATCAAGCGCAGGCGCGCGCCGCACCAGACAGGATCGCCATCCTCTCTAGGAACTTGATGAGATATGGCGCCAGAATGGGATTGGGAGTGCGTTGCATTGTCCTTCGCGCAGATGTGCGCTGACGCGAATACTCGAGTAGGAACAATGGTCGTTGAACCCACTGCGGAGCCTCGTCTTGCGATACCCGATTGACCCAAGTCATTTGACGCCTATTCACCCGATCTACATATGGGTGCGTACCTGCAGTGGACGAGGAGACGAGCGCTGATCGTTTTCGTGAGGAAGGTGGTACACACGACACGAAACTATGCACACGCGAAGGACCTGCTGCTGAACTACCCGATCACCGACCTGGATGCAGTACGTCGCGTTGAGTTTGCTATACTCATCTTACATCTAATGCGTTCACGCAGTCCGCCAAAGATGAGTTAGACGTGCAGAACTGCTTGATGTACGCACATCTGGGTGCGTCGTCAATCACCCACGATACGACTAGCGTTTTTACACCTCACCTCTAGCCGGCATGACCATGGCCCTCCTCGCCTTCTCGCCACAAGACTCGACAACATCGACGAAGCAGCTCCTCGCATCCGCCCTCTCGTACTACACAACATGTATCACGCATCCTGGGAACGCGGTCAGCGCGATGCAGCTGGAGTCGTTGAAAGTAGGCTCAGGTCTCTATTCTTATTGTGCACCTTCCTCCCGTCATCCCGCCGCTCGTCTACGTCTTCCTGCTCAGCCTTCCAACCATCCATCGGGCCGATGCTGACACCTCCCTTCAGCACCTACGCCTCGTTCAGTGCATCGGCTACGGCGAGACGGGTCCGCTGCCCAAGTACGTGAGCGCAATGCTGCTGAAGATGTTCAAGAACACGCCGTACTCGGCGTTCGTGGCCGCGTACCCGCAGGATCCGAAGCAGTTGCAGTCGGTGAGTGTTTGATGCATTCAGCTTAGCGCCGCTTGTCGATCTCGCTGATTGGCGTCGCTCGCGACCATGATCTTGCTTCGCGAAAATGAACTTCTGACTGAGGCGCTTCCCAGATCTTCGACAAGCACGCACCCTCCGCGCGAGACAAGGGCTTATGGGTGGAAGAGAACACGTTCTCGCTGATGCAGCTCGCGCTCGACGCGCAGCCGAAGTGGGCGCTGAAGCGGCTGACGGAGACATACGTGACGCTGCGACTGGCGGATATCGGGCGCGAGATTGGGGTGAAGGATGAGGAGGAGGTGCGCGCGTTGGTGTTGAGTATGGTGAGTGGATGTCAAGTAGGAGTCGAGGCCGATCTATTGACTGCGACCTTTCCAGATCGAGTCGGAGACCATTCACGCGACGATCGCTGGTTCAACGGTGACGTTCGTGGACCCTGTGCGAACGGTCTCGAAGGCGCAGATTGATGCTGTCCTGCGCGCCGCTCAGCAGCAGGGCAGCATCCTCGAGAGCGCCGACAGGCAACTTGGGCTGAACAAGGACTTCTTGAGCAAGGTCAGTGCCACGTTCCACGTAAAGATGCAAAGCAACATGGAGCTTACGTATGCACGACGCTAGGCCGTCCGCAACCGCCACGATATGGACGACTTCACCAGCAGTGCGGCTTACGGCGGGGACGAAGACCTCATGGGCGACACCATGCAGCAAATTACGCGTGGGGAGGTCACGGCAGGCTTCGTGGACGATGGCATGTTCAGCGCGGCGTGAGTCCGCGCGGCATGAGTCGAGGAGTAGAACATCTGTATCTTCTAATGCAACGCTTTGCTATGTAAGTCATCTGTAAAGTAGAGCCCCTGACTCCCGAATGGAGTGCGCTTGTAGCAGCGTATTTGGCGCTATGGGTGTTGCGGCACGTGCTGCATCCGCATTTCCTTATTCGGAATATTCATTGTTCTCTCCTTGTCTCCTGCTCTCATGGTCTCTTCGCAAGGGAGCCCGTTCCACGCCAACTGTTGAAACTGGGTATTCTTGAAGGCGCTGGAGATCACCTTGCGAGTGTCCAGGGCCCGGCAGAAATATACCTGGAATTGCCCGTAACTACGATGCAGCGCGGCGCAGTCTTCACCTATGTCCGAGATGCGCAAAGCCATATCGCGACGACGCCCATCCGGTGAATCTGTAAGCGACCCTCGAGGATGAGATAAGTGGACATGTATGTCCGTCTGCGACTCTGCTGCCTGGCGTCGCGGAGACGCGTAGGGAATTGGTAGACTTCAGTGATAGGGAGCCGCCGTCGTTCCCTCGCTTTCCCGCGGATCCCACCTCCAGGCCCCTTCGCATGATGGATCGACGACTGACATCCGCAGCGGAGTCTGATGGATTCTCGAGGATCCCCGCGGTATACAAGTAAGTGCATTCAGCTCGCTCCCACTGTTTCACGTTTCTGAGCGCATTACAGCGTGATAAGCATACAGCTCGCTGTATCAGGCGCACTTGGCGTCGCTGCTCCCGTCCAGCGAGCCGGCGTCCGAGACGACGAGCAGCGTTAGCGAAGCGGCCGACACCCGATCGGGCCGTTCGTGCGCATTTGGCGGGCGTTGCTCTTCGATGCCGCCTTGCATCGCGGCCGCCCTGCTTCCGTCATTCTTCGTTCCCGTCCCGCGTCGCTCGAAGTGCCCTGATGCAGAAACTTCGGGTTGCTGGTGGATCTTCCTGCGTTTCGAGGCGCGAACCTTGCAGCCTGCATCGACGGGAGACGCGCCCGGACTGGAAGACCTCGGTTCATATTACTCCGAGCTAGATGCCCTGGCGGGCGCGCGCACCCTGCAGGTCGATCTGCGACAACGTGGTGCTTGCGCGATAGACTGCATATATATACGCAGTGGATGGCGATCCCGCTCTTATCACCGTGTGTGCATTGTCCCCTCCCTAACAAACAGCGGCGACTCCCATTCTTTTGAGCGCCGTCTCCCTCGTTGACCATGATCTCCGTCACGTTCTTGCTCACTGCGCTCCCTCTTCTTGTGGCTGCGCAGTTGGACGACGTCTTGCCCACTAGCAACTCGAGCTTCAACGCGTTCCCGTATTCACCAGGTTTTGATATTGAGGCTGTGGCGAAGACTGCGAAGATCCTTCCCACCCACTCATGGGAATACGGATCGGCGTGTGAGGCTCTTCTCGAGTTGCACAATCCAGGTACGATCACGGCCTTTGTACTCTTACCATGTCTTCCCTATTGACGCATACATCCAGAGTACTCTGTGTTTGGCGAAAACCCATTCCCCACGATTGTCCTGGACTCCAAGAACGTGGAAGCACTTGCGTATGGTTAGTGATGCTCCCCTTCATACGAATCGAGCTGACGGCGATTTTAGCAAAGGACAAGATCGTTCTAGGCGAGGTTCCTAATGCATTCGCTGACGGCGACGGTGCCGTGGGTGACCCCGCCGCACTCGGCGTCTACGCCATGCTTCTGGGCAAGGCTGGTGATCTTCCTATGTTGACCACTGCCGACGCCGAGGTGTCTTACCTGGTGGGCACCGCACCGCGCTGGCCCAACGGCGCCATCAGCCATCGTGCCGATGTCGCTGAGCTTTGGTGAGTAGTATCGATCTCTTTTGGTGTGATTGACCTGCTAACCAATTTATAGGGCTGAGTGCGTCTACTCCTACTCCTGCCTCTGCTTGTACTGACCGACGCATAGCTTCCTGTACATGGCACCGCCGTTCCTTGCGTACTACGCCGCAGACAAGAAGAACGAGACTCTGCTCCGCGAGTCGGTGGACCAATGCTCCTTCTACCGCGAGGTGCTCCAGTCCAACTCCTCTACCACTCCTGGTATCTGGGAGCATATCATCGGGCCCCAGAGCGCTGACCCCGGTCTCTGGTCAACTGGAAACGGCTGGGCAGCTGCTGGATGCGTATGTCACACGCTCGGTACTTGACGCCTAAACCTCGCTAACTCGTCCTACTTCAGACCCGCGTCCTCGCCACTGTCCTCAAGTCGCCCTTCGGGCAGACGCTCGCGTGGAAGGACGAGGCCATCAGCACCCTTACCACCCTCATCAAGGAGATCGTCGACGGTGCTATGGCCATGCCCGAGGACGATGGCCTCCTCCGTAACTACCTCAACGACACGATCACCGAGCACGGCTTTGGCGAGATCAGCGGCACCTCCCTCCTCGCCGCCGTCACCTACCGCATGGCCGTGCTGCAGCCCCAGGCGTTCGGCGCCGACTACATCGCGTGGGCCGAGGACGTGCGCACCACGCTTGGAGCAAAGGATGCCGCGGGGCTCCCGCACGTGACCGCCAACGGCACCGTCACTCCCGCCGTCAACCCGTTGGGGTGGCAGGATACGGAGCCTTTCACCGCAGGGAGTCCGGAGGGCAACAACTTCGTCGTGTTGCTGTACGCGGCGTGGCGCGACTGCATTGACGCCGGCATCTGCCCGAAACCGGAGGACGCGCCCACCACCGCGGCGCCTGCTGCGCGCCGTTTCCATCGCCGCCAGCGTGCACACTTTGCGCCTCTTGCGTGAGTATGCTGAGGCCCTCGTTGTCGGCTTTGGTTGCGCACTCTGGTATCGTCGTTACGTACACGCTCTTGTCTCGCCTGTTGTCCACGCCTTCTGCTTGTTGGTTTACCCTCTAAGTTATCACATATTGTACCTACTACCGCTCCTGCGATTACTTCCTGACCGCTCAATGGCCAATGCGTTCGTTCCCCTTCATGCGAGTTTTCCAGTCCTTTGTGTCGCGTATGTTCGTCCAGCCTTTCATTGGCCATTTCTGAGTTCATCGCACTTGATCCAACGCGATTCCCATCGATGTTTCATAGTGAGTTGCGGGGATATCAGCGCATACACGAGCTGATCAACGAGCGCATAGCAGATCAACTTGACTTTCCCGATTCGGCGGACAATGCACCGGCATCTTCGGCTACTATATAGGGGGCGCATAGCAACCCATTACATGAAGTCCATGAGGCCAGGTGGCCACCTAGCCTCGAACTTCCATTCCACGCCAGACGGGTTTGTTCCATCCTCCATGGCGCCTCGGACGACCAGGATACCCGTCTACGTCCATCGCGATGCTGCTGCCACCGAGGGTCTGAAGACCCCGGCAAGGAGAAAGAGGCACTCCTCTGTCGAGCGGCGTACGCGAACGCGCACCATCAGTGGCACTTCAACGCGCCCCTGCGGTCCTACCGATTCCCCGCGCAATCCGTTCGGTCGCCAGTACAAGTGGCACTGCCTCAGGCGGCTCCCGCCCCCTCTGAATCCCTTTCTGTCGCACCTGCCACTCGTTCTCACCCTCGTGCGTGCCAGATCTGCAGCGAACGAGCCGCCGGTGTACCGCAAAGTGCACGTCCCGCGCAACTACACGATCACGCACCTCCGCGCGCTGCTGATCTTTCTCTTCGACGCCACGATGTACGATGGGGATTTATTCTCGAGCCTGCACCACGTCGTTGAGATATGCAAGGACGCCGACATCCCCGGGAATCTCTGGAGCGCGGAGACCTGCATCAAGCTCTCTGGCGTGCAAGATCCGTACTCACCAGCACGCGACGATGGACCCGAGCTAGGCGATGTGGATGAGCCAGAGGTCTCGCGCACGGGGTCTTATCGCTGGGAGGGCGAGGGTGACTTCATCATCGACAGCGTCTGGCCGACGACTCGATATCAGGACGATGAGTGGGAGCTGCAGAACGAGTGCCGTGGTATCATTTTCGTGAGTTATGGGCTTTTGGCCCCTTCGATGCAAATATTTATCCAAATCGTAGAACTTCAAGCGCGATCCGAACGTCAAGGTCCACATAACCTACGAGTCGAGGAGCCGATCGCAAGCGCCTCACCCGATGGACTCCCCCTTCGTCGTTGAGAGCTGCGGAATCACGAATGCCCTCTCCTCTCGCGCGCCCTCATCTTCATGCCGCGCACCCACAGGCGCCGGCTGGAACGAACCTAACGCCTTCAAGAAATTCTACATGACCCTCGCGAAAGGCAGCATGGCCCTTCTCCCCAATACCCCTCGCCCCGCGATCCCGCGCCCCGCGCGCAGCCGCCGCATGCTCCCTGTCACCCATCGTCGCCACGGGAAGACCCCGGAGGCTCTCCCTGCACACCGGAAGGCGGTCAGCGTGCGCGCGAAGGAGATCGCGAGGATGGCCCGGTCGTCATTCCTCCGCGAGCTCGACGAAATGGACTCGCCGCCGCCGAGCCCGGTCGTGTCCGGAGATGAGGACGACGACCCGTTCTGGGGCGAGGAGGATGATATACAGACCTTGCTGGCCGAGCAGTTCAGGCGAGCGCCGCTCATGCTTGACAATGATTCTGACGACGATTACGATGGTCTCTAATTTTCACGATTGAATGAATCGACGACTGTACTTGTATTGCCTATGGCCTTCCTTTCGGTTTCGGTGTAGCGGTGGCACGTTTTTAGATGTATCTTATGACACTGGATAGGTACCTTACCAGGGACTCTATATGTACCCAATGTTTTTCTCTCGTTAAACTACCTACTGACATCCATGCGCGATGTGTGAAGTCTGAGAGCGGACCAAGCCACAGTCGAACATCGATCACGTGGTTTCATGCATAACTGGCATGTAACGGCGTTACAACAAAGACTGCTCGTTCTTTCCTTTCACTATCATCTCTGACTTTATCCCCCATATCGAAGATGACAGAGACTGTAAGCCTGAGCGACCTCCTCACCAACATCGCCCCACCTGGCGGCGCATGCGAGTTTTGCCTCGGGAAGCCCAGCGAGGCGGTGCCACTCCAGAGATGTTCGTCTTGCAGAGCCAAGTTCTATTGCGTGCGTGAACTCTCTTCTTTCACAAATTAATGACCGGCACTGACACGGTTCCTTAGTCCTCTAGATGCCAGAAGAAAGACTGGAGGACGCACAAGATGAACTGTTCGCCACTCACCTTGCCACTGGCCCCTACGATACCGAAGAGGAGTCCGGACATAATTGCTGAGGTGAAGAAGGTGGCGGATCTGCTACAGCGCATCCGTGACGTGTGCAAGGTGCGTGTATGCCCCCTGTTGTTAGACGCACTCACCTAATCTATCCCTGCGTGCATAGAAATCCGACGAAGGCGCGAAGCGCGACCCTTTCCCACGCGCGAGCGTGGATAAGTTCGAAACCGAAGATCCAGCGCTGCTGAGGGAGCTATATGGTATGCACTTGTTAGCTCGTCCTCGTCATGGTCTCACTGGCACCCGCCTTAACGCAGATTATCGCCTACCCGACGCCTTCGATTGGAAGTCAAGTCTCCTCAATACGCAGCCGCCTCTCGAGCGTCTCGCTCACACACTCGCGCGATTCCTCTGGATCGAGACCGTTGCGAGCCTCCAGACGGACCTGATACGCTGGGAATGGATCTCCAGCCTGCGAGAATCCTCGTTCCCATCGCACTACCCCCAGATCGTAGCATGGAAAGTGATCGCCCGTCCTGGGGAGCTGAGTCCGGGAGAGTACAAGCGGCTTGCGGTGACGGCGAATATGAAGACGCCGGAGTGGCTGCCGCAGTGGGCGTCGGACGGGTACAAAGAGATGAAAGCGCACGCGAGTTTTGTAGATCTTGGCGAGGCGTATACGATGAGATGGCGGCATCTTATGTATGTTTATGCGCTAGCAGGAGTAAAGCTATGATTCATCTCGAGTGTATCTAGCCTATGAATGTGGCATTTTTTCGTTAGCTATCGGAAACATGTTGATAGCCAGGGAGAGTGACAGAGAAGTCGAGAGCCTTGTTGTATCCAGGGGATCTGGAGGCACTACTGGAGCACGAATGACCTACTTTGAGAGCGACCAAGCGATGGACGCAAGGACGAGGCCTGCGGCGTGATTGGTGACCCGTCTTTACGGCGATTGCCGAGGGTACACGGAACGGCATCACGTTGGCATCACGGCACCCTAACCTGCCTCCTGCGTTCATCTGCAGGGCGGCCACGTCGCGAATCCTTCCCTTTTATCCCTCTTCAAGAACTTACAGATATTTGTAGCCTGTCGGTGAGGCGGTACCATACGCGCTTTGCTGGCCATATGGCACCCTGAGACTTACTGTATCACTCGCTGCCTACTCTTCTGACCGACCGACCGAACTTCAAGATAATCCCCAAGAGCTTATCAGTACAGAAGAAGCATGCTACATACAACAGTTTATACACAGACGAAACTTCATATTCCTTCTCCCGCATTTGCGGTCCCTTCCATTTACTGCCGCGTACTACGATTTCGAAGCTACATCGCCTTGAATCCGAACAGCGACATTGCCCTGCTCATCTCCGCCCGACGCTCATTCTCCATCCGACGCGCCGCCTCGGCAGGGCGGGTGCGCCACAGCTTGCACGTCTGCTTGTGCGCCTTCAAGTCCTCTTTCTGACACTGATACGCCACGGTTAGAAAACTCGCCATGAAAGTGAAAAGCGCAGGCATACCTCCGCGCTGCAGTACCGCGCGACCTTGCACTTCGAACACCGCAGCATTTGCGGCTCGCCCGGCAACTCGAACGGCTTCGCCAGTCCCACCGGCCCATAATCCCTCACGCACTTCATGCACGCGTGCGCGATCCACGCGTCCTTCATCAACACCTCCACCAGCGGCCCATTCTGCAGCTCCTTCGTGTTCATCTTTGCTAGCACGCCGAGGCTTATGAGTTGCTCGAGCATGCCCTCATTCTCCGAGTACGTCTTAATGCAGAAGACCTGGCGCCCCGACTTCGGGTTTGGCGGCGGGAATGCGAGCTCTGGGGAGATGGTGCTGAGCATCATGGTGATGGGGACCTGCTCGACGAGGTCGCTGCTTTCTGGCTTTGCGGACGTCGCGAGCGCGAGCGCCCAGCCGGTGTAGTAAAAGGCGAGGGTGACGACGGCGTGGTGACTGCTCGCGATCGTAACCTCGAAGGCAACAGGACTGCCCAAGTCGCTCATGGCTGTATCTTCAGGTGCTGGGTGGACGATGAGGAAAAGAGAGAAGTCACCCGTCGGGGAGCCGAGCTATATACGCGTCGAGACGCGTCTGTCACAGGTGAGCGTGATTATCATGGCTGTCAGTAGTTGACTTGACCCTGCCTCCAGGAAGCTATCCCAATGCACATCGATGTCAGAGAACCCTCCGACGTCAGGTACGTCTCATCGTCTGTGTGACAACGCTCTGCCACCGCATATAGCTCGATCAAGCGACCATCTGGCATGGTTCAGAAATCATTACATGGTTGCGATCCCAACCGCATCGCTTAACAGTCCCGCGCAGACCTATTGGTGGACGCTGTTTCTGAGCAGCCTATCGGTACTCAGTGTTGGCCTTCGACAAAGTACGGCAATTGCCGATCATTGTTTGTTTATTCCGAACCTGACACGTGATGTTCTTCCCTCCTTTCTCTTCCCTGCCATCTCAACGAAGCGCCAGCTGCTGCTTCCTCATAATGCACCCAATCATAGATATATCTACTAGCGCTCGGAACGAACTAAGGTGCCTTATCTCGGAGGCTACAGAAAGACTCTGGGGCTGTCCCCTGATCCCCTACGAAGCTGTAAATGACGAGGATGAGGTACTCGCTCGTCAACAAGCTACGAGACCTATACTGAATTTGATACTCAGGCTATCCGTATGGAATGGATCTTTGGATTACCGCGCGGCGGTCTCTGGTACTATCTTAGGTCGAAAGAGAACGTTATCCATCGTGAGTGCTGTTCTCATCTCATACGCCGCGATGATGACCGTGCCACGTAGTCAGGAAGGATATCCGTGACATGTATCGGCGCGGCGACTTCGTACTGGCTCCGACCTTTGGCGAGACCGCGAAGGCATTAGAGTACTTGGCAAGCCCGGGCATCAAGAATCGCGATGAAGATGACACGACGCCTCGTCGTCCTCTATCGGCGGTCAGTTAAGATTCTCGTTCGCGGGGTCGTAACACGTGTTTATATACCTACTTCTTAGCTCTCTCGCCCTGACGGACTCTTTCGCTATGTCTTCATCCCCGTCAGCAAAGCCGGCTGGGAACTTCGAAAGCAGTTCAATTTCCAGCGGCAGACAAAGGAAGACCTCAATGGTGGTGTTCGCCCGGATAGTGGCAAACCCATACTGCCCGGCTCCGAAGACTTCCCCGTGGTCGAGTGCTACGTGCACCCCTTCTCGGTGGCCTCCTTTGCGGACGAGACGCTCAACAGGGTACACGCAACAGTCCTCAGCGGGCAGTACAGCAGCCTGGCCTACTTGATTATCGACGAATGGACCCGTCCGACCAACAACTATGCGCCGCAGTGGTTCATCAATGAGCCAACCTACGACTACGACGACTCCACCTTGTCTGCCACCGAGGCCAACGGCTACATCCTGCTCGCGCCTAGTTCCGACGCGTGCGCGACGCGCAGGCCCACGAGCGTCTCACGTGACCCGTCCGTTGAAGACGACGACGACGCCGACGCCGATGATGACGACGACGGAGACATGAACGAGGTCTGCCACTGGTTCACCCAGTACAACCCGAAAGCAAAGCCGCCGCACGACGCGTCGCGCTCGCCCGTCAAAGTCCGCCGCTCCCGCCGCCTGCAGGAAAAGATGGGCTTGACGCCGCCGCCATCGCCTGGCGAGAGCGAACCACCTCTGTCTCCCGTTCGTCGGGGCCCGCTTCGCCCTCGCGACCCCGTTCGGTGCCCGCCGGCGTGGGCGAGGCGGAATGTGCGGTTTCCTACGCACAGGTTCACGAGCAACGACTGGGCGTATTTTCGCTATCATGTTGCACTCGCGAGCTCTATCAAGCCTACGCCGCCACCTCGAAAGCGCTCGTCTCGCTCTTCGCGTACGACCTAACGATTGCTATCATCGGCGGGCTTCTACCTCACTGCGACATTCAGTGACTGCACGGTCATCTGAATACCAATCGACGCGCCGCGGTCCGGCCATCTTGACATGCAAGCTGCGCTACGAGTCGCTGGCTTTTTCGTGTATCCATACGAGTCATGGCGCTCGCGAAAGATGTCCTTTCGACTGGCGTCAGCCGTGGCATGTACGGACCGGCATGCCCTCGTCATCGACAGGCCCGACCCGCGGAGTCGCCCCTGCGCAACCGTCGCCCTAGGCCACTGGAACGTGACACGTCCTCGTTCAACATCATCGCACTCGCCAGTGGCGTCGAAAGCAGTGAAGCCTCACAGCGAAACAACATAGCGACGCGGGTCGTGCGTCTCGCGGAGTGGTCTTTCTTCACCTGCTATGTGCTAGTGCTACCAAGAGGGTGCTGCTTCGTCAGAGATATGTCGAGGTGCAACTGTAGATGCAACTGTAGAGATTTTGAAGGAAAATTGGGAAGTCGGGCTGGAGATCTGCGAAGGAGATTAAGGAATCAGGGAAGGGAGGATAGGGTCGATCCTGGAATGTACCTCTAGTTCAATTGAAGGAAATCGCTGGTGACATTCGGCAACAGCCGAATGAAGCTCTTGAATGCCAAGACAAGCCTGCCATGACGAGACTTCGTCCTACACCTTTCCTGCCTTGCAGTTCCTCCGCTGACCGCCCCAGTAGCCGGTCGAAGTCAGTAGCAGTCTCCCCGTCGCTGGGCAGGTGGCGTGTACACGCTACCGAGCGAGGTAGAAATCACAGTCGCGATTGGCGGAAAGAGCGGCCCGCCGTACCAAGCGCCAGCGGAGCCCAGATCGAAGGCGCTCGGCGCTCCTAAATCCCGACCGCCATAAGACGCCATCTTGCTCTCTACCTCCACGACGTGCGCGGGTGCCCCCTCCCCATTGCCAGCGAGCGGCCAGCTCAGCACGATCGGTTCTTACTCGAACTGAGAGCGGAACATCGTCCGATCACGAAGGCTCCTGTCCCACACCCCTCCCTCAACCATGGCGGCATCCAACGCCCAGGGTGTTAACGAGAAGCATGACATTGTGGACGCCGAGGCTGGTGGTATGCGGAAACAGAATACGGTCGCCGCTCTCCTGAATGGCGAGGTCGATCCGGCGCACTGTACAGGCATTCTGGCTGCTTTCTGCTTCATGACAGGGTTCATGTGAGTTTCCCGTTCTCATCGATGTCCTACCGCCCTCAGCCGCATATACCCCTCCCCTTGCCCTCTCCCTGTCCCCTCCGGATGGCGCGTCGCCTGCCCTCCCCCTTCTCCCACTGCGACCGCGAAGCCACCGAATCCCCCACTCTTCGATCACTCTTCACAACATCTAACATCCCCTCCTCAGCGATGCCATATCCTTTTCCGCCGTCTTCGTCTGGTGCGGCTTCCAGACCGGCAACTTCATCCAGCTCGCCGTCGCCATCGCCCGTCTCTGGGAACCTGGCGAACCCCGCTATTTCCACAAGCCTGACCAACAAGCCCTCGCATCCCTCATCGCCTTCAATGCTGGCGCCTTTATCGGCCGCATCGGCGACCACGTCGGCGCGAAGCGGCGGTCATGGCTCGTCGGTGGTAGCTTCATCGCCACGCTCTTTACCATGGCCGCCGCTGTCGCGATGTATCGCTCTGGCCAGGACGTGGACCCCATCGCGAGCAACCGCGGGGACCCGGCATGGACGAATGCGACGACGTTCGTCGCGCTGTGCTTCATGAGCGCGAGCTTGGGCATCCAGGGGATCATTGCGAAGCGGCTGAACACGCAGTTTGGGACGACGAGTGCGTGTGCTTTAGGCATCGCTCGGTGCCACTTGCTGACCCTCTCTTACAGTCGTCCTCACGACTATCTGGGTCGAGCTCATGGCCGACCCTGGCCTCTTCCGCTTCCGCGAGCGCGTCAAGACGCGCGACCATCGACTCATCGGCGCGGGCTCCCTCTTCCTCGGCGGCTTCGTCAGTCGCGCGTTGCTGGCCAAGATAGGAGCTGCAGGCACACTCGGCGTTGGCACGGGCATTCGCATACTCATAATGGGCGCGTGGCTCTTCGTGCCAGGTAAATTATAACATATCTCGGAGACATACTCCATACTCTTAGACTTCACGATTCGGATAGAGCCAGGGGTGGCAGGGCAGCTTGTTGTAGAAGGTAGATCGTTCAGCGGTAGTCACACAGAAGTTTTGCTTTGCATACAGTATCCGTCTCTATTCTCCCTCCATACTGACATCTCTCTCCGCATATTTGCGTCCGTGGACTGCCAAATACAATGGACGCCACTGCCTCAGCAGAAAACAATGGAGTCAGACAACGGATCCTAGAACAATAGCGAACAAACAAGGGAAAAACGCGCAAACAAAGCGCAGTTGCCTAATTGGGTCTAGGCCAAATATGGCACGCGAATTCCGACACGAGGCATCCGGCGACCGTTCGAAACTTGTTTCCTGCCATCATCTCGAATTCTTGCCACTCGCGAGCTTTTACCACTCGCTCGCGATAATCTAATCCCAATTCTTTCATCACCGATGTCATCGTCCGTGCGCCCGGCGTCCAGGTCCAGGACGACAAGGGCGACAGCAGGTTCAACGGCGAGGGCGACGACTGGCCCGACGACAAGGGCGGCGTCCAGAACGAGGGCAGGATCAGCAACTCCGGGGACGAGGACCGGCATGACGACGAGGGCAGCAGCGAAGGCAGCTGCCAGCCCTGCCACCAGCGTCACATCCTTGCCGCAGTCCCCCAAACGCCCCCTCAAACGAGCCGCGTCGACCATGTCGCTCCCAACGCCGCCGCGGACGCAGAAGCGCAAGCGCAACCGACGCAGCGCGACCCCTCAGACTGACAGCGACACCGAGGATGAGCGCGGGCCCAAGAAGCGCAAGACGTCGGAGGAGCGCACGATGGACGAGGACGCATTCTGGATGTCGCGCGGGCTCGCCCCTGTCGCGGAGGCCGACGAGGAGGGGGAGAACGCAAACGCAGAGGGCAGCGCGGGGCCATCCAACGCCGACGAGGAGCAACCAGTCCTGTTCCGCAAGCTCCAGCGGCAGGGCACCACGGGCATGCCGCCGATGTCGCCGCCGCCGTCGCACCGCAAGGTCGTGAAGGTTCGCGCGACGGCGACGAAGATCACCGAGACGGTCGTGGTGCCGCGGCCCACGACACCGACGCCGAAGACGCCGACGAGGCGGGTGGTCACGCCGCGGACGCCCAAGCCGCGCTCTGTGGCCCGCGACTCCCCGGAGAACCCGTTCTTGGAGTCGCCGACGACGCCTACGCCCGCCAGTGGCCGGTCGAGCAGGGCAGAAAGCCCTGTGGCTGGACCTGCGAAGCTGCGTGACTCCCCTGATCTGGATGAGCGGCCCATGCTCACCTATGTCTAGTGCGTCGCAGCCTGTATTTCTTGAACTCCCAACTGACTCGATCCACAGTCGCGGCACCAAGCGCCAATTGCCCAATCCGAACTGGGACCATGCCAAGAACAGGCCCAAGTCGCCCGACCCGCGCAGCCTGCTCGACCCCAGCGACCCTGACTACGTCCCCGACCTACGCTGCGCGCCCAAGATACTCTTCCCGCAGGCCCGCAAGGGCAAAGGCAAGGCGCGCGCAACCGTGCGTAAGAGCCAGCGTCACGTCTCCCCCGCTCTCGCCAGCGACTCGGACGGGGACGATTATGACGAGCGCGACACGCTGCCCTCGGTCAAGCTCGACTTCGGCGCGATGGCGAGGGCTGCGCCCGATTCGCCTTAGTGGTCTTGCTTGTTGATGGCATCCCGCCGCTCAACGTCGGCGGACTGCACTGTCCGCCGGCGCCATTGTCCAGTCTCGTCTGTCCTTCACCCCGCCTACCGGTTCCAATCTTTCACGCCTTCTCGATATATAATGACCGCCCGCCTCGATTTGTTTGTCTGCGACAACGTATCCCGCTTACCTACAGACTCATTTCTTGTTTTCCCGTGCATCGCAACGCGCTCCTTGCCATGGCTTGCGCGCTCGCTCGTGCGTTTCTCGATGTGCACCTTTCTTGATGTGTAATCTGAACCCCCAGACCAATCTGTGAATATTTACGCCCCTTACGATCTCATTTTCTCTTCTCTTCTCGCTCTGTACCTTTTCATCAACCTACCTCAACTGCGATACCTTTCTTTCAACCTCGGAGGCGCGAGGCCTCTGTTGTACCGCCCCCCTACCTTCCCCTTCCTCCGCCCACTCCCTTACCACTATAGACGCTCTCGATCCATACTTTATACTTACGTATGCGTACCCTTGCGAGCGCGCAGGTACTGACTACTAGGTGATCTATGCGGCTGCACTAATGTATGGATCTATGCTCAATTGTCCCCGAACGCGCCCTGTCTCGTATGCAGTTCTGCCTGGTAGGTGTTTAGTACTCTAGTTGAAAGTTCAAGAAAGAGCTTCAGCCGTTCTTTGCACATAGTTGTGCAGACGCCCTGTCGTGCAGCGATTCTTCGCTCGAGTGTAAACCTCCGTCGCGATTCTCGCCAGTTCGACCTGGGAAATTCGAACGGCTTGACTGGCCGGCTCGTCGGTCCGGATTGCAAAACTTGTTTCCCCCCACCATCAGCCATGGCTTCAGCGTATGTCGCCTACCGCGCCGGCTGAATCCTGCTGACCGTTGTGTAGAGCACCGAAAACATCATGGGCGGACGAGGTTGACGAGCTCGGTACGCAGAATGTGAAGCTACGAAGTCTGCTGATCTGAATCGCGCTCGATCATCCAGAGGGCCCGAAAAACGAAGACTACATCGATGAGAACGGCATCCGTACCGTCATCGAGTACACCACGAACGATGAGGGGAAGAGGGTGAAGGCGCGTCGCAGATAATGCATGAAGGGGAAGCCAGGACTGACCATATCGCCGCTGACAGATCACCCGCCGGACGAAGCGCACCCTCCAGAAATCCGTCGTCGACCATCAGGTCGCGGAGCGCAAGAAGTGGGCCAAGTTTGGCCAGGAGCGCGGGAACAAGCCCGGTCCCGATCCCTCGACGACGACCGTTGCTGAAGTCGTGTCGTTGACCTTGGCGCCAGGGAACACGGTGCGTTCGCTGCCTCTGTCTGCTTGCGTGTTTTGCTGATCAGTCTCAAACAGTCCTCGGAGCCTGAGGAGAAGCCCGCGGATGCGGCGCCGAAGCTTGTGGGCCGCAAGGTCGTCTGCCGTCTTTGCAAGGGCCAGCATTTCACTGCGAAGTGTCCTTACAAGGACCAGCTGGGTGGTCTCGATGCTGCCGGTGCGTCCGCCCACTCTTTCATCCTTTCCTCTTGCTGATCTGACTATCTAGACGCTCCTCCTCCCGACGAGGACGCACCTGCTGGAGAGCCCTCAGCTGCCCCCGGCAAGCCCGGCGGTACAGGCGGAGGTGTCTACGTTCCCCCCTCCTTGCGCGCGGGCGGCCGCGCCGCTGGCGAGTCCATGCGCGGCGCCGGCGGCCGCGACGACCTCCCGACCCTCCGCGTCACCAACATCTCCGAGGACACGCAGGAGAACGACCTGCGCGAGCTGTTCGGCGTCTTCGGGCGTGTCGCGCGCGTGTACGTCGGCCGCGACCGCGAGACCGGCCAGGGCAAGGGCTTCGCGTTCGTCAGCTTCGAGGACCGGGCGATCGCGCAGCGCGCGATGGAGAAGGTCAACGGGAAGGGCTACGACAACTTGATTCTGAGCGTGCAGTGGAGTCGTGAGTGCAGTCGCTTTTTTGTGGTTGCTGGAGTACTAAAGATTGCGCAGAGCCGAGACCCGAACAGCGTTGAGGGGTCTGAGGATTTCTATCTGCCTGTACTTTGTGTACGACTGTATCTGTACCATGGGTCTGCAGGGCCTTATGCTATGTGCTTGCTTGCATCCTCGGTCATCCCTTTTGGGAATGTGTATCTCGCGAAACCAGCCATCCTTTCGAGCCACCATTATGTACCCCTTGTAATATGAATCGGATGTGATGCATTGGCTGGTAAGCCCGCGTGTAGCCCTCGGCGCTCGTCTTCGAACTTCCGTCTGACCTTCGCCTGCAGTGAACGTACCTGGCCTTCGGCATGCCTTATGGAGGCGAATTCTTTGTGGATCGCCTTGGCGTGCATTCGTTATCTTGAGTGCCTTCGCAGAACAGGACCGAAAAGGACACGGCCCGTCGGCTTGCTTCTGGGATGGAGAGGCCAGATTCACGGCGCGCAATGTCCCCCGTCTGTGCTAAGACTGCCCATTGACCAGAAGAATGAACATGCGATGTCTTGCATTTCCACTCTCAACAGCCGACTGCGGGAAGGCGTCAGTACTTCGCCGCCGGACCGTCGAAGGGGGTTCAGATCTCGGCCTTCAAAGGAAGTTCACTAGGGTCTAGTCCCTTCATACGACTCGTTGGGGCCGGAGCAGTGGAGTCCCGTGCAGTCTAGCGGATCCGCAGAGATGCGTATAAAGGTCCAAGGCAAGCGATCTCATCCTTTTCCAGCCCCAGGCATCCTACTACCATGCTGCTGACCTCGCCGCCCTTGATTTTTGCTCTCGTATTCGTCGCGGTTTACACCTACGTCCGCCGCCTCAGACGTGCACCTCTTCCCCCGGGCCCGAGGAAATTGCCCTTCGTCGGTAACCTGCTGAACTTTCCGATGGAAAGGCAGTGGGAGACGTATACGGCATGGGCGAAGGAGTATGGTGCGTCCGAAAATAACCCCACTATCCTCTCCCGCCAGCAAAATTACTTAATGACAGACTCTGATATCCTGCACGTCGAGATACTCGGGCAATCCATGATAATACTGAACACCCGGGACGCTTGCACCGACCTACTGGACAAGAGGTCTGCGCGCTATTCGGGCAGGTGAGTTCTTCACCGTGATACCGGTAGTCGAAGGGCAAGATCGGTTCTTGCTCATCCCATTCTACATCGTACTAGGACAAGCTTGCCGATGCTTACTGATCTGATGGGATGGAGTCATGCACTGCCGTTCCTTCCGTACGGTATGCACCTGTACTCTTTTGAGTGCATTCTCTGCTACAACCCTATTTCACCCCGTAACTAACATATGCATACTCTGCAGGCGACAAATGGTAATGCGACGTCTTCTCCTGCGCCACCGATGATTCTCACGTGCCTGCTCAAGGCGCAAGAGCCGCCGCTTCATTGACGAGTACATCAATAGGCCCATAGGTCGCGAGCGCATCTTCACCACGCGCTCTAGCTGCGTCCACGCCTTTCTCCGTCACATGCTCAACGCAAAGCCTGATGGGCTCGAAGACAGCGCTCGCTTGTAAGTTCTGGCAAAACATTGTGCGCGCTTCTGTGCTCACAACCTGTAGACTAGTGGGCCGGATTATCATCGACATGGCGTACGGGTTTGCGCCCGAATCAGAGAACGACCCGTTCATTGCACTTTCGGAAGCAGTTGCCAAGGCAGTTCTCAATGCAATAACGCCTGGAAGGTATCTGGTGAATATGATCCCGGCACTCAAGTATGTACCAGTTTGGCTCCCAGGTAAGGCCTCACGTTGCGACGCAGGCGAAGTGCTGATCATGGAAATGCTGCATGTAGGCGCGCGTTTCAAGAGGGATGCCCTTCGATGGCGAGACCAAAACAATATCATGATCGAAGAGTCGTATGCCAGGGTCAAAGAGCAGATAGTGAGCGCTAGTGATTTCCAGAGGGATTAAGACCATCACAGTTGACGCGTTCCAGGTCAGCGACAGTGCTGCGCCATCGCTTGTATCGGTTATGCTGTCCAAAATCTGGTCCTCGACTGAGGAAACCCTTCTGAAGCATACGGCCGGAATATTATACATCGCTGGAATCGACACTGTGAACTCGTTACTCGCAGATATTCTCGCAGCCTGACGATGTTTCAGAGCACCGCCTCCCTGGTGCATTTTTTCCGCATTATGCTCGACCATCCGGCCATCCACAAAGGTGGGAAGTCACCGAAATTCTCAGCGGATTTCCCCTTACATCTCGGACACGCAGCAATATTGGAGTGCACACAAAATTTATTCGTACAAAATTCATGAGATCCAGTCATCAACGAATGTAGTACGGTCCCCGCTGCGACAGTAATTACGCGCTGAGGTGTGGCACTGTGAGATTTGCGCAGTGGTCCAGAAGAGAAGGGTACTTGCCTTTCGGCAGTCTTGGCAGTCGCCGCGTCGACAGACTCCAGCATGAAGCTGTTGACGCTGTCCGCGATCGACTTCATCAGGGCTTCGTCAGAGATCCCCTCGCCCTGTGCCTGGAGGAGATCATCGGCGGAGTTGAAGGGACTGGCGCTCCAGTCGAGATCGATGGTATCACCGCCAGACGATCCGAAGAAGAGGCGACTCTCTCCGTCAAACAGTTGACTTTCGTCATTCTGCTGCGCGGAGGCCATCTCGACGTCGGGGATCGAGTCGATCTTGGCACGCTTCGCCGGAGGAGCGAGATCTTCGAGCTGAAGATTCGAGCCAGAAGCCTTGGGAGTGGGGGAACCCATCTCCTCGTCCTCGTCGTTGACGCGGGGGATGCCGCGGTCGTTGACGATCTTGTCGAGGCGACGGAACACCTGGGGCGTCACCGTGATGTCCAACTGCTTCCCAAAGTCGAAGACGGCTCGGGCGCTCTTGGAGTGTTCGTTGTCAGCGACAGCCTCCTCGTTCTTGACGGGGGGCTTCTCAGTCACGGTGCGGACAGAGGTACCGTCCTTCGTGATGAGCGCGACGTGGGACGTCTTGGTGGCAGGCACCGACGGTGTGAGAGGAGCGGGAGCGTGCAGCGAAGAGATCATCCCAGCCATCTCCGAGACGCCGTGAGCGTGAGCGTTGCCGCCCTTGCCCTTGCCAGAGTTCTTACTAGGTAAGTGGCCCCAGGGGCAGGTTACGAGACCTGCCTGTTTATGTAGAACTCATAGTAATTCCACCCAAACCAGCCCCACAAACCACCATGGCCATCATGAGCAGGTCAGATGTAGAAGCCCTTACACACTGAGCCATGAAAGAGGAATGAAGGGGAGGCTCAGAAATTCCATAAAAGGCAAGTACAGAAGTTGCCAAATGCGGAAGAATTCCTTATATATCACAAGTTTACAACATGACAGTTATTATATCTGTGGTGAACGCACACTGAAATCTCAGAGCAAATGCTGACAAGGTTAGTATGCACGATGGGCCAGAGGGCGATCATGCAGTCTTACCCTGCAAGAAGGGTGCACGTGATGCCCATAGGGAAGGAATATCACGCGTGCGCGCGCACCCGGATGCGTCGAGGACGCGCCAGTGGACGCGCGAGAAGCATCTCCTGCAATGTGGAAAATTGCCGCAAAGGCGATTTTCCATGCCCACAGGAGAAGGGGAGGGGGAGGGGCATGGGGATATGAGTGGTGCTACCCACCCGCACTAGTTGTGATGGACAAGCACAAGGGTAGTGCAATAGCCATACACCTTGTGCAGTAGATTCAAAACCAACCCGACAACTTGTGTGCTGTGGTTTTAAATCTAGGCGACGTCGGGCCCGGCAAAAGCCGAGCTCGTCCGCCCTCTGTGCCAGCCACCGGCCCCGAGCAATGCCCGTATTGGGAACCGACACCGTGATGCGTGCCGCGCGCGCGTCGGGCGGCTCGCGTGACACGCGTCACCTCGCAGATGCGTCACGCACGCCCCGCCTCGCGCGTCGGGGGCGCGCCGCATGCTGCGGCAACGCCTTGTATTGCGCGTGAAATGTCAGTGAGTAGATAGAGTATCTGTTTATTGTAAGTCTATGTATGGAAAAGGAGGGAAGGGAAAAAACGAGAAGAAAGCGCGAAAAAGCGCGGGTGAAAATTTTCGCCCGCGATCGACACGCTCCCGCTGCTCGCGTGGAGCGCGGGAGCGTAGCGAGATGAGGAAGGAGGGTAAGGGGAAGTCCCCCCAAGCTTCGGGCGCCCTTCCGCATCGAGAGACGCGTCCGCGGCAGCACGTAGCACACTGGGGGGAGGGAATAGTGGGAGGGGGGAGGTCACTGCGCATTCCCGCTGCACCTGTGCCTTTGCGAGGCGCAGATACGACGCGACGGCGCAGCAGAGCCAACAAATAAACCCTCTCCATCAAAGGAGAGGGCAGTACATAGCCGGCTAGCGCGTCGAAGGGGCAAACCCCGCCGCTGGCAGCAGCTTTGCGCGCGGCTGGCCTAGCCAATCGCGGCTGCGCTCAGATGCGGCACATCGAGAGCTAGTCTCGGTAGACTAGCTCGGTAGCGTTAACTACATCACCAGCGGCGCGTTAAATCGCCACGAAGGCGATTTTACGCGACCGAGGGAGAGGGGGAGGGGGAGGGTGCCATGCACTACCCCACCCGCACGCATTGCACACGCAAAAGGGGCTGTAATGGCTGGACAGCCATGGAGGGGCTTCCTAGGGCGCATGGTACGCCCTAGGCCAGCCCCCCGCGCGCTTATAGCCGGCTTGAGGGGGAGGATGGCGGGGAGTGGGACGGTGTTCGACCCGTTTTTCCTGTCCTCGTGCCGATCGTGCGCCGTTCTTGCATCACCATACGCGAGTTAAGCAAAATGTTAGTGTATCGTCAATTGGCGGGGTGTGTACACGCACCCGCGGTCCCCCTACGCTCACGCCTGGTGGGTCAGCATCATCCGGTGCTTTTGGTTATCTTGGTGATGTCGTCGTCGCGGCAAGCGGCTTGAGCGTATACTCGAGGTAAAAGAAGAAGAAATGGAGTGGGGGAGGGGTGTCCGGAGGCGGAGGGGGCGACGAGGAGGGCGGGGAGGTGGTGGTGGAAGACAAGCGACGCGTTGCACGGACGCGTCGGATGAACGGGCCGGATGCTCGGCCCGAGAACCGAAGCACCTCGGAAGTCTCCGAAGCGTCATATCTTTGCATTCCAGCGCTTTTAGACAATGAGATTCACAGAGTGTATGTGTAGACCGCATAGAAGCTTTCCTAAATATTTCTATGAAATTTTGCAATGTTCTGCAGGAGCGACGGGGAGAACAAGTGCCGTCAAGTATTGAGGCTGTGCAAAGGGCCTCTCATCATTTCAGCACGTGGAGAAGCTCCCTCCACTGTGCGTCCACAAGGAGGTCTTATCCTCAGAGACTTCGCAGGATCATTCTATACAGCTCTACATGTACATACAATTTTTCTCCGAGCAAAACAAAGAGGAGGAAGCCAGAGAATTGAGGCTCAGAAGAGACTCGGAGATAACTTTGATGAACAGCTTGGACGTCTGATGGTGCTGAATTCTGGCCGTGTAAGACGAGTCCTGGCAAGCAGGTCTCGTAACCAGCGCGATTGCCGCGATTCTTCTTCTTCTTCTTCTCAGCGTTGTCGCCCTGTTTGGGCGCAGAGCTTCCGCCCTGTTGCTGATTAGAGTACTTCGGATCATTGCGCTTGCGCTTGGTGTTGAACTTCTGAGCAGTGGCGCTCGTGCTCATCCCCTGCTGCGAGTAGTGCGCTAGAAGCGCATCGCGAACAGTCGAGACCTTGAGCGTAGTCTTCGAGTGAGACTGAAGGAGATTCGTCGTCACGGGCTTGACCCGTGCGATCGCAAGCAAGATCATGGCCTGCAAGAACTCGGGAATGGCAACATTCTCGTTCTTCAGACGCGTGAACTGCTGAAGGATGACGTTCAGCTGCGGATCTGGGTGCTGACGCTTGTCGAACTTGGCGTTCAGAGCGGTCTGCAGGTACCCGAAGATGTCGGCCAGCTGCGCTGAGCCATACGTCTTATTCAGGTACTCCCAGAGCTTCTTAGCAGTCACCATGTCCTCGTCAGGGACATTGTCGATGAGACGCTCGTCAACGCGCATGATGATAGCACCACGCGCTTTGCGATCGTCACTATCAAACTGCTTGAGCTCCTCCTCGTTGCCCTTCACTTCCTTAGTGGTAGTGATTGGACTCGGCTTCTCCTCAGTCAGGACATTGTCAATGCCCTGGAACTGGAGGTAGGCCTTCATCTTCCTGGCAAAGGACTTGAAGTCCTTGCCGCTGAAGACGGGCACGGTGGAGGTGAGGGTGTTAGACATTGTGATCTGGGAAGATCATCAGCATCGTTTCGCATGTCATCATAGAGGCAGCATGTCGGTAGGGACTGCGCCGATGAGCGAAAGAGCGATGCGCCCTGAAGGGCCAGCATCTCCGCTAGAGATGGGCACCTTGATCAAGCGCGATCAGCAGCGATCATGAAAGATCAGCAGCGATCAGCGCGATCCGGCATGGTTTCGCCAGCGCTTGGAGCAGCTAGTAGCGAACAGGCAAGCGAGCAAGGCGCTGCTCGTCATCGCAGCCAGCAAGGGCGCAGATGACATGAGTTGCAGCCACTGAGGCGCTACTCATTGTGCCGCTGCCACTGGGGCGCTGAACACAGCTCACCGGGGCTCATAACCTGTTGAGCATGCTGGGAAGCGCGCCTATACTGCTTACCTGGTGGTAAGGAGCTTGGTATGAGGCAAGCGCAGAGGTAGGTAAAGACCTGTTATTCTGGGGGCAGATTGGGCCCTCCTTATATATGTACAGGATGGTAGGTAGCATGTGATAAAGCAGTGAACAAGTAAACAATAAACATATGATGTCAACCATGTGTGTCCACGTGTGTCCATGCATCCGTCATGTGAGTCATGAGTCATATCATGTGACAGGCCGATTGTCCAACATCTCCCCGTCCTTATTGAAGCCGAATTTTTCGCAGGCACAATCAAAAGGTCAACAGCGCTCAATAAATGACCGAATGCCCAGTGCTAGAACCGCAAGCAAGGTCGAGAACCGGCGTAGCCGGAGCTTCCTCTAGTCTGCAATTGGGTGCATTGCGAGTCAGCAGAAGTTAATGTCTCTACGAGGTGGCGGAGAAAGAGAAGGAATACCCAGTCCAGCACGTGTCGCGGGCCGCACCGAGGCCCGAATCACCGAATTGGGCAGCTCCTCAGCAATATCCGAAATATCAACTCACATTCCTCCGCTAGCAACAACGGTCTCGTGGTTCCCTTGAGCTGTGTGTCGCACGACTTAGGGGAAGAAGAGAGGCGTCTCCCAAAGTTGATATACGTTGATGCAGGGCATACAGGGGCGTAATACAATTCGTCAATGAATCCGATAGGCATTGTTCTGAGCAGACTGTATCCGTGAGTTTTCAATGCTTGAGGGCAGATGTGCCGACGGGACGTCATAAAAAAGGCGCCTTCGGATGAAGTTGGATTACCAGGTCTTGTCGGCAAACTCGCTCTCCATGAGCGCCGGGGAAGCTTGTGCTCTGGCCAGCGCCAACGTGACGGTCAAGGAATTGGCAGAATCCCACTCGCGGCGCTGCTTTCGGACTACGCAAAGGTCTGCGGACGCGAGGAGATTTTATGGAAGACTGTGACATCTCAGAGGACATGCGCATAGGCGAGGAACGAGAACGCACCATTCATAGGCGGCTTCCTGACGGTCTCGAGAGTGAGATTCTTGACCAAGCGTTGCCTGCGGACTCAAATCCAAGACTCGATAAGTTCTTGCTCCTCAAGGAAAGCTCGCGCATCCTCATCGTCCTCGGTTGTCCGACTCGCGCTTGCCGTGTTGGAATCGGGCTTAACTTTCTTCGGGCAAAATTCCGCAGGCTCTTGGGATTGCTCTTGCTCGTTGCGCACCGTCTCAGGGCGCTTACGCTTACGATACTCAAGCTCAGAAAGCCATATCTGGTCAGCATCGACCCCAATTCCGAAGTCCCTGGAAAGAGCATCGGCGGCGCATAAGGTGTCCTGAAGTAGAAGGCGTACTTATAATCGTCACGCCCAGCGAGCTGATCAATCAACAGGCCGAACACGGCGTCGAAGGCGTCGTTGAAGTCTTGCGGCGAGGTCACGCGCAGGTTATGGAAGAATGCAATCAGCCTGAACACCATGCGCTTCTGCCATTTGTAGACGCCGGGCAGCTCAACAGTGTAGTCGGAAAGCCAGTAGTAGGAGATGGCGGCAAGGCAGTCGTAGGTGAGGATCCGGCGTTGCAGGCGCTAGGAGCTAATCAGAATGATATTGTGGCGCCGAACTTCCGGAAGACGCACCAAGATATCGAATTGGATCCTGTACTTGAGCTGCAGCTCGATGACATGGTTGCTCAGAGCTTCGACAAGGTACCCTGTACCGATAGATATAAGCATCTTTGCGTAGTCCTCGCGAGAACCCTTGTATCCGTCTGCGACACAAATGTCGGGCAAGCGATTGTCGTCGAAGTCTTGGAGCACGGCGGGCGCGTTGTCCAGATCAAAGCGGATGCCGCGAACGATTTCTTTGATAGGAGGGCTGGACATCGCTAGCGAGGAATAGCGATGAGGAAGAGTTGTCTCGCTCAGCAAGACGGCGGCGCTTATCTACGGCTTCGTGCTTATTGTTCCCTTTGATACGCCCTGCGGCTGAAAAACGCGGAAAAACATACATAAACAAGCGATATATAGTCGACTTGGTCTAGATTGTATGGGCGGATCCGTATATACTGCACCGACGTCGCGACTGTACAACGGGCGCGTCGGGGGTATTTTATGACATAGAAAACCAGGAGCGCCACGCTTCCTAACCTTCAATACAACTAGTCCGCAGCATTATCCATCTGCAATGACTGACCAAGGATAGCAGCGAGCTCTTCGGCGCCTGATCACGAGTCTGCGCGTCGTCGATGACATCCTGCGAGTCCTTTGGCGGGCCCTACTTAATCAAGTAGCCGCGCTATACGCGCCTCAAGCCTTCAGTCCTCTTGCCCTGCTGTGTCAAGAGAATCTAGATTATTGTTGGGGCTCGGACAAGCCTTCCTGCTGCTCGCCGTCATGCGGAGACACGCAGAGCACCGCGCAAGCGGAACTCGAACCATCAACGTGACTACACGTGACTTCGGGTCCGAGACCGGAACTTCGGGTCCGAGCTCGTGATCTCGGACATCGCCGAGTTGAACTCCGAACCGAGCGTCGGCGCCGCCAAGCGCTGTCCGCCCCGGCAAGGGCTTCGCTCCCCGCGTATCGACAGTCCAGACTGTACGCTCCCCGCCGCGCAGGCCTCTGAGCCGCGTCGCGCACAAGGGAACGGGTGGAAACCAGGCCGGCCTTGCCTTGGTAAACATCAACAAGTGTGGAATCGCGCCCGGCATCGCGGCGCAGGAGGATACCCGACCAGTCAACCGCTCTACCGCCAGGAACCGCAGTCATTGCGCGATTATTCGGACAGAAGAACGCGCGGATAGGCGTTATAGTTGGATTTTGACTCAGAGATAGGCATTGTGTGTTACCGCGCGGTCTGGACGGCCGAGACGACGCGTTCAAGTTATATACCGAGACCTACATACGATTCGGGGGACTTTTCCCGCCCCGCGCAGAGAAGCCCTAGTACCTACACACCACACCAAATAAACACAACCGCGTTAACCCGCACTTTACACATCATAAAAGCCTGAACTTCCGAGCGCATTAAACCGCCTTGTGAACTTCAATCAAACCCGAAAGCGCTCGTAAGAACGCCGAGACGTCCGATTGCCCCACTCGACTTCTCGCTTCAGTCCAGCTCGTCTGGAACTGGCATAAACAACACAATCTATCCCCTAGTAATATAAATACTCGGACTCGCCCGCTCTCGTAGCGCCTCCAGTCTAGCGTGTTCATTGCTATCGTGGTTGTTGGTGTTTGGTTGTGTGGATCGTCTAGCTAGACTGTACTTCGCGTCTTTCGTGAGCGTACGATCCCATCATCTGGAGCCCACCGCGAGGGGATATTTCTGTGTTAGCCAGCAAATTACTAGCTGCTGAGCGAACTTCGAGAGTCATATTAAGGCCCTCTCCAATTCTACTTGTGTTTTCGGGTACCGTCACGACGGCTCCTGGACAAAAATCCAGCCTCTCGGCTCTAAGACCGGACTGGGATAGCTCTACATCCGAGCGATCCAAGAGAAAGGCCAAAGAGCGAGCGCGTCTAGCGGAACAAGCCAGTCGCACATCGCGATCAGCATCACCCCGGAAATCCGTTACCCAACGTCCGGTAGAAACATCCAAAGCGGACGACACCTTACCAGGTGCTTTCCCTGAGGACACAGAACCGAACCCTCCTTCTCCTACTTCTCTCTCGGTCGCCAACGACCTCTCTGCTTCATTCTCTCGTCTTTCCATCGAGCCCGAACCGGCCGCGACACAGGGTCCACGCGCTTCATCCCCCTTGAGCTCTCTGTCCGACGATTCGACTCCGTCTCTCTCTGAATTATTTCCGACTCGCGACCGTACCGAACCAGCCTCGACCGAAGAACCGACTCCGACTCCAGCTTCCAGAATCATTCCGACTCCGAATCCGACTCGTATATCCCGTCCCGTTCCTTCTATTCCGACTTCGACTTCTACTTCTATTCCCAAACCAATGTCTACCGCTCGCTACTCTCATACGGCGTCTGACGCCCCTCGCTTCGACGAGGATGATATGAGTGGCTTGCCTTTATTCCTACGAGATCTTGATACATACCTCAAAGATCACGGGATCACGTCCGACGCGGACAAAATCGCTAAGGCGCCTCTCCACGCTAAAAAGACTGCTACGCGCATCTTGTGGGAGGAGCTGGCGCTCGCGTTCAAAAACAAACCATGGGAGGACTTTGTTAAGGCGATCCTGGAACAGTACCCTGAAATATCGGGTCAGCAGTCCGGAACGCTTGCAGAGCTCAGCCAAATCTGTAGCGAGTTCCGCGGACTTGGCGAGCAGGATGGGACTCGTGGAAACGTGTTCCTTCGTCGCTTCGCTCCGTGTATCCTCAAACTCAGCCGTAGCAACTACAAGATTTCGAATTTTGAAGTTTGCTCGCGCCTCGCCGCTGTCTGCACGCCTCAGTTCCTTGCGACCCTCGACATGATGTTGGTCGGCAAGTCGAGCAGTCTTGAGGTACCCGGCAAGGAAAACGCGAATCCTCCGGAACGGCCGACTAACACATCCATCGTCGAAGGAGGTTACCGATGGGAAGATATTGTTGCCACCATGCGCGAAGTCTGGCGCCGCGGTTTCACTGCAGCCCAGAACGCCATTGGCGACGCTTATCCCGTCGCGTCCACCCGGACCTCCGTGGCTTCCGCTTCGCACGCAGTATCCTACTCGGGCGACAGTGAATCTCGCTTAGTTAAACTCGAGCAGGATTTCCACGAATTTGCTGAGCGCGCTAGCCAAGGCGAAAAGGAAACTAAGACCGCTATACGTAGTCTACAGTCCGAAGTTCATACCGAGCTCGCTCAAGGACGTACCAAGTCCGATCAGAACTTCGCAATGATTCAAGAGACGATTCAGCGCCTCACCAACCAGCTGTCGCTCAACACGAACAGCGCCGCCCCGCAAGGCGGTGGGTTCCGGCCCAACTACCCTGGATCGTTCAACCGACCCCAGAATAATTATGGTGGCGGACAGCGCGGTCCCCCTCGACCTCAATACACTTGCAACTGGTGTGGTGAGGTCGGCCACTTCATGAACAATTGCCCTGATTGTCAGAATGCGATTAAGTCCGGCGAGATCGTACCCGATAACGCTGGAGGCTTCCGCACTAAGACAGGCGAAATTATACCGCGTCGCAATGGTCCGCTTGACCTGCCGATGCGCACTAAGTGGCAGCAAATGAAGGCGGCTGTTAACCAATATGTGGTCGCTCCTTTCATGAACTACATCGGTCAATACACCAACTCAGGCATGTGGGGCATCCCGCAGCAACAGCCGAGTGTCATACTAGACTCAGGCTTGGACGTTCCTCCCGGATGGGACGAGTTCACCGAGCAGCTCTCCCCGGAGCAGATCGCGCATTACAACAACCCGCCTGTCGGCGAGATGGCTCAGCCACCGTCGGTCCAGGAGGGGTCGTCCCAGGGTTTTTGATGGGTTCAGGGATTCACGCCCAATACCTTGATAAACGCTGGGGGCGTGATGAGAGCCAGTTAAAACCAGCAGCTAGTTCGTTGCCACAAAATCCAAACAAGTCCGTGTACGCGACGCCTGCGAAGGCGCCCAACGCTAAGACTACGAATTCGCAGCCCGGCCCTGTACCGCAGGCCGGTCCTGCTCATCCATATCGCTCAGTGCCAGAGACGCGATTTATACCCATCGACCAACGCCCTTCTGCGTTACCTGTTAAGCCCGGCGCAGCGCCCGGCGAAGCAAGTCGTGCGAAGCCCGCGGCGAAGGTCCAGGCTCCTATACAAACCTCTGTAGACTCGGAAGATGTCTTAGAGAAACTACTGTCGACCAAGTGCCCGATGACCGGAATTACGCTGCGCGAATTCCTGGGAGTCAGTCCTACTCTACAAGACCTTCTAAGGAAACTGTTGACTAGGAAGCGCGAGATCGACAACAACTTTGGCAAAGTCCTGCGTGTGGCTTTGCTCACTGAAGCTTACCAACGCAAAGAATTGGGCTACGCTCAAGGACAGCGCCCCAATCTCGGCCGAGGTAGCGAGTCCGACGATCCAGTTCAGGTGAATTGGGCCGCACTCGAGAACGAGGTCATTACCACGACGGTCGAGCTACCGTCGTGCGCCCACACTAAGGTACCCATCGGGTCCTATGTGCAGATCGACGCCCGACTTGAGGTCTACCAGAGTCTGCCCGAACGCGGTCGCTCCGATGTCATCTTCGCGGGCGAACCTTCGGCGACACTGCGTACCGTCTGGCCGAATATTAACAACAATGGTCCGGACGAAAGTATCTTGGACAGTGGTTCACAAATCGTATCTATGTCTAAGGATTGCGCGCGAGACCGCGGCGCTTCCTACGACCCGACTGTTACCATACGCATGCAAAGCGCCAATAACCAGGTCAACTCGACCTTGGGTCTAGCGAGGAATATTCCCTTTGACTTCGCTGGGATCACGGTGTACTTGCAGTGCCACATATCGGACACCGGCGCCTTCCGAGTATTATTAGGGAGACCTTTTGATACTCTGTGCGAGTCCGTATATACCAATGACCGCGACGGCAACCAGGAGGTGACCATTACTTGCCCTAATACTGGCAATAAGGTTACTATGCACACATACGCCCGAGGCGTGATTCCTGAGCACGTCCGCGCTCATCCGGGTTTTCCGGACGCTTCTGCGAACTGATCTCTTCTCTCGAGGATCAGGGAGAAGCGGCTCTACAAATCGAGATGGATGAAAAACAAGAAATCATAATCCGTAGCGTCATGCGACCGCAAGCGTCGACGACCTTCACACGAGTCAACCTTCAATCTGCCTTTTTGCAAGCGTCTCTGAACGCGGACCAAATCAAGTGTGAGAAGGACAAGACTATTTTATACAACTTCTTTCACGGACCGG